TGTATTAGTTAGTAGGGTAAGAGAGAATACAACTGAGGGCTTACTGACCTAGGGACAAGAGGTCGAAACTGAGGTCCCTAGGGCAGCAGAGGCCGGCTTATATACATGGGGAGATTTAGGGCAGGCTGTGCACGTTGGTCCGTGCGCAGCTGGTCTGTGCGCAGCATGCCGACGCGGCCCCGGGGGCCGGTGAGTCAGAGCGGCTGTGTCAGCGGGGCCCGAGCTGTGCCGTGTGCTGCCGCCCCATCTAATCTAATCGTACAGTAGATATGATGCGTCCGTATCAGGCAAGTAGTACAGAGGTCGCGGGTTCGAACCCGCGAAAAGGAAAAATTAAAAAACGGCTAGGCGCCGTGCCAACTCGTGACAACGAGGTTGAGCGGATCAAGGATTCGCGGATCTTCCGGCGTCAGCTGCAGTACCTCGTCAAGTGGAAGGGTTATGACGACTCGCATACGTCATGGGAACCAGCGCGCAACGTCGCCAATGCGCCGGCCCTCATAGCCGACTTCCACCAGAAGAATCCGAATGCCCCTCGTCGCCTCAATGCTGCTACCTTTGGTGGTCTCAACTTTCAGCTGATGCCTTTGCCACTGACTGAAGCACACTGCCACTCCGGGTGGGAGATGGGCAAGGGCGCCTCGCATGAGGTCATGCGCCATTGAGGGGGGGAGGTAATGTCATGAGTTGACACGACATCTAGCCATTTTTTTAATTTTTCCTTTTCGCGGGCTCGAACCTGCGACCTCTGTACTACATGCCTGATATGGACGTGTTGTTATCTACTGTACGATTAGATTAGATGGGTGGCAGTGCATGGCACAGCTCGGGCTCCGCTGACACAGCCTCTCTGACTCACCGGCCCCCGGGGCCACGTCAGCGTGCTGCGCACAGACCAGCTGTGCACAGACCAGTGCGCACAGCCTGCCCTTATCTCCCCATGTATATAAGCCGGCCTCTGCTGCCCTAGGGACCTCAGTTTCGACCTCTTGTCCCTAGGTCAGTAAGCATCCCTTGTATCTTTTTCTTACCTAACTAACTAATATATTAACTTATCCCTAGCCTTAGGTTTGAGCTTTGCTCACCATCGCTTTGGTGAGAATCAGTTGGACACCCCCAGCTTTAGGTTTTCCCCAGTTGCTTGACCCCAAGTCACGACATCGTGACAACATCCCTGTCGAGCTCAATCTGACTGATGAAGGCGTCATGCAACAGTGAACACCCCTTCGTTGAGGAACTCATCCTCAGTCTGGCTGGCACTTTAGCGCTTTCAATGCATTTGCAACCCAAGTTTTTGACTGTCACATTGAAGATATGGCTTCCAAGATGAAAAGTGTTGCAAGCAATGGGCTTTCTGCGCATTGCTGTTATGCTTACTTAGGGGGGATTGCAATGATCTCAATTGATGCAATCAAAATGTTTTGATGACATTTATCATATCCGGGAATCAATCCTGCCTCATATGGGATGTGCGGCGCCGGTCCTTCGCTGTTTGTAGATGTTTCGTGCCAGCCGCTGTAGGGAGTTATAGGGGATTAAAGTTCAAATGGGATATCACATGATATGCACGTGATGAGATGGCACATGATCTGTGGCAAGACTTCTATTCTCGGATACACAAGATAAAACATTGAGTACGCTATTCAGATGAAGTCCCCTATAACTCCCACAGCGGCGGGAAGGAGCCTGCCATCCGACACGAATTTACATCCAAATGGCTCCAAAAAGCCATAACAATGTTGATTAAAACAAAGCGACGCCAGCAGGACTCGAACCTGCGCCCTCAAAGAGGAACAGATCATATGATTCTAATCTGTCGCCGTAACCACTTGGCTATAGCGCCTTACAAAATACATGGCTTATTATGTTCATAGCGCACTTGGGGTGAATGGACGGTCGGCGCTGGCGAGAAGGATCCAGCTCCGGCTCGAGGCGCGATGCAGTCGCGCACACCTCTCGCCGACATGCCCACCATCGTGCCCACCATCGAGCAGATTGAAGACTATGTTCAGTCTGTTGAGGAGCTGCTCTACTCCTCACTGCAAGCGGTGACCCCGGACCTGCCGCTAGTCGGCCAAGCCATCCATCGTCTGTGGGAGGACGTCGCTCGATTCGGCCCTCAATCACTGCCTACTCTCCCGGAGCTGCATATTCCTGGACTCGGTACCTTTGAAGTTCCTCCACCGCCGCCTCCTCCTCCTCCTCCTCCTCCTCCGCAGTCGTTGTGGGATTATTCCACTAAATGGGCCGCCCGACATCCATGGACATCCACGCTCGCTCTCGGTGCAGTTGGCACGGGACTCCTAGTGGGCTACGGATATTATAGGACTGGTGCTAGACCTGTGAGGGTGCGGGCTACGGCCTCATCAGAGAAGAGACAAGTAGTCGGTGAGCTGACATTTTCTGCGCCATCGATACTGTTCTAAAAAGGCCCTTCAGTTGTGCTGGGGGGAGACTCGCCTTTGGGCCTCCCGCTCATTTCGGAGCTCGAACGGATAGGCTACGTCGTAATTACTAGTGTCTCTACCGCAGAGACTGTTGCCGATATTGAGCGCAAATGCCACGGCTATGTTCGCGCCCTAGTTTTGGATCCGGCAGAGGTGAGTAGAGCATCATGTTTCCTTCATGTCTCGCTTAACATGTCGATCCCAGCCCGACACCATCCCGTATTTCCTTCGGTCGTTGTCATCAACGCTCTCGCGGCGTTTCCCTATTAACGCCGCCGGCGATCCTCACGCATCTCCTTCGTCTCATCTCCACATCCACTCAGTCATCTCGCTACTCACACTCCCATCCCCCGAGGCCGCTCCTCTGCCTGCTCCGCTGGAACATCTCGCGCTCCGTGACTCCTACTCGACTTACTTACAGACCACCCACATTATCCCCCTGCAGCTGCTACAAGCCATGATGCCGCTACTGCGCTCCTCTCCTGCGCGTGCTCGTGACGCGCTCGCGAACAACCTCGGCAAGAAGAGCATTATCGTCTGTCTGCCCGTGACTGACGCCCGGGTTGGTGTGCCATTCGGGTCCGCCCAGGCAATGAGTGCAGCGGCGACTTTGCGTGGGGTTGAGGTTCTCCGGCGCGAGATACGCATGGCGGCGCTGACTGACGACTCTGCTTCCATGAAGAACATCAAGGTCGTGGTCGTCGATGTCGGTGCCATCGGCGTGCCGGATGCGTCCCAAGAAGACCCCGGGGATGCCTTGAATGCTATGGATGACTGGACCCCAATGGAGAAGCTGGCGTACGGCTCGGCATTCTCTGCGGTAGTTGAGGAGGGGTCACATGTAGGAGTGCACCGTGAGCCGACGGACGTTTCGATTTTCGTGAGCACGGTCATCGACGTTGTAAGCGGCGGGCGGAAGAGTCGGCCTGCTACATTTGGCGCGGCCATCCTGCTTGGTCTCGGAAGGCTCAGGGAGTGGATTCGTGGCGATCGGGTCCTTGTCGGTGCTGGTGGTACGTGCCATAACTGATATCGGTGTTCTATCTGCTCATTGCAATTGCGTAAATAGCAAGGACGTATGCTCTGGCATCACATCTCCCCGCTATTGTCTTGGATACTCTGCTGAACATGCCTCATTTTCTCATTTCCGCTCGCAATGCGCTCCTTCCCATTCAGCCTCATCTAATGCCACCAGCCACTGCTATCCCGCCTGTCCAACAGGCGCACGTAGTGAGTGCTACGACGGAGCCAAAAGCTGAGGTCAAGCATTCGACCATTCATTCGGACCCAGAACACCAGGAGGAGGAGGTATCCGAGACTGGTTCCGAAGCGGATGTCGAAAGTAACGAAGGTTCTGGTGTTACTGGATCCTGGATCAGTGTCAGGGATGAGTAGGTGAGGCATCGGGATTTCATACATGTATCGACCATGAAAACTAGATCTGAATAGCTGTGTATCATGATGCTGCGAGCGAATGCTGTTGTACATTAGCGGTGTATGTACATGATTAGTGTAATATACGATGCAGTCCCATAAGGAGTGCGCGACCGTCGAAGGAACAGCCAAAACTCGCCTGCTTACTAGACCATATGGTCCGAATGCCTACTAGTCTGAGGGAGCGACGCAATTGTTGTCTTGAGTATCATGCTAGTGAACAGAGTTTTCCGAGCCGCTGAATCAGGGCTTGTGGCAGGACAAGACATACATAACCCTCCGAGGCAAGAAAGCGCTGTAGAAGGATACGACCATAGCAACGAGGCAAGTTGTAGGTGCATGTGGGTCCCTACATTTCCCACGTGTGTACTCACCATCGCCCCTTATCCGATTGCCATTTGCCGACCACCGTTATGGGTAAGTCTTGCTCTCAGCCCGTCATCTTCACTCGCGAATGACAGAGCATAGGAACGTCTCTGTGGCTTGTGCCCACCGCCAGTGAGGCCGCGCGGCTCGAGCGTGTGATGCAGATCAAGTCCGCCTCAGCCAAATCGCCCTCCTCGTTCGTAGACTTCGATCCGCACGTCACGCTCACCACGATCCCCACCACCCCCGACGCGGAAGCGATCCTGCGAGCTGCGATACCGGCGGGTCAGGCAGCCATCCCGCTCAAATTCAGGTCGGTCGACGTCGGCGAGAAGTACTTCATGTCGGTGTACGCGGTGGTGCACGAGTCGGATAGACTCGCGGAGCTGCGCGTGCACTTGAGGGCGGTGCTCGGCTCGCCGACGGTTCCGCCTGTCCCTCATGTGTCGTTATACTACATCGACAACGCGGACCGGGACGAGCGTGCCCGCGTCGCAGAGGAGCTAAGGCGTGCTGGGAGGATCGTCGATCATGCTGACGGGACAGGCGTCACCTTGAACGGCGCGGAAGATATCAAGCAGGCGACAGAAGCTGATCTGCTCAATGGTATTCACGGCGAAGCGATCTGGATTGTGAAGTGCGAAGGTCCTGTACCTGGGTGGGAAGTGCTACAAAAGATTGAACTTGCCTGATATCCACAGTACGTTCGTATAAGGTTGACCAGCTCCGTGGATTTACGTACTTGTCACATTCACACCCGTGAAATGTATATCAGCATCGACTGGGAAATCAGGCGCTAGTTCGTTCGTGCAGCTAATAATAAGAATACAATGATGGTGAGGGATAATACACAAAGGTATTGTATGCGACGCAAGCGCAGCAAAGGCAGACATGACCGGATACCTGATAATCGAACAGTAAGTGAGCGAACGAAGGACGAACCCTGACTCTTATGAGTCGCAGAGCAGTAAGTGAAAGCGAGCGTTGAATTTATGATACAGTGCATAAACGACGAGGAACGGCCGAACCATTAGGTGACCAAGGCTGCACGGCAGTCTCGGGTCATACTCCTCATGTTGCGAGGCCAATATCATGCATTTACTGTAGTCGAAAGGCTGGCCAATGATGATGGCGGAGGGATCCGGCAAGGCGCGGTTGGTGTGTAGAGCGGCAGTGGTACGGAGTAGTCGATCTTCCTTTCGCCGTTGGAATCGTACAGCTGCGAATATGCAGGCAGCGACTGTGCATAAGCCGGGCTGGGCGTCAAGGGGCTGGTCACTGAACTCAGCAAGTCGAGCGAGGATGACGGCGAGTGGCCAGGTACTTGTGACATGACAAAAGAAGATAGTGAGGGGGACGGAGGATACGCGGGGACGACGTGCGCAAAGCGCAGCGGGATCTGGAACTTGAGATGCTCCGTCGCACGCTCGCCGTTGTCGAGGTCGTAGGTGCTCGTCAGCGAGATATGCAGCTGGTGACCTACGCCAAATAGTGGACTCTGCCCTGAAGCACGCAGTCGGCGCGCTGTTTTGCCTTCCTTCTCATCGAGCGGTTCGGTGAAGGGCACCTGCGTCCGCACACCGTACCATGACTCGTCGCGACCAGGGTTTGCGTCATCTCGGAAGGCGTATCCATCCCCTGCGAACACATAGCGGCCAGAAGTTCCTGCGGGGAGGAGGGAGAAGGTGCGGGTGCATGAAGAGTGCGGCGTGCAGATGCCCGCCAGGCCCACTTCGTATATGAGCGCAACGGGGTTGGCGTCACGCAGCGGCTTGCATGGGGGTTGGTGGGAGGACGGGGGCAATGGGTACGCGGATTTGTAGGCAGACGGGACCGTGATGCTGCAAAACACAAGTGAGGAAGGCGTATTATAGCGAGAGAGGAAGACACGTACCGGTAATGCTCCGTCTGCTCAACGTCGACTTCGAAGCCGGTGATGCGTAGTCGTTTGCATTCTGACTCTGGCAGGTCCTGCGTGCGCAGCCTGATGCAGAGCGAGAAGGAATCATCGTCCACGTCGATGTGTTCTGGGACCGAGACGGCAGCGCGTAGTTTTGAGATGACTTCATACGGGAAGCCAGAGGATGATTGATCCTTGCGCTGTTCGGGCAACACCGTGTAATCGATCGTGGAAGAGGTCGATGGTGACGAAAGGTCGTCAACGAGAGTGCTTATGAATCTGTTCACGGTCACCTCGCAGCGCGGTGCTGCAATGACACGGGTCCGGGAGCGGAAGGGCGCAGTGCACAGGGAGAACAAAGATCGACTTGAGCCTTCATCGAGATCCAGGAACTTTGCACTGGCATACAAGCCATAACGTGTGCCGGCGTCGCCACTTTCGCAGTCGCCATAAGCGGAGGTGGGAGGCAGCCATCCCGGGATGACTAGGCTGAAGGCGACGCTCCAGACAGATGGGAGACTGGCATCCTCATGACCTTCGTTGCTGAGTTCAACTGCTTCGCGCACAACGAGTTCCTTGGACACACTGCAGACACGGAAAGGCGTATAGCCAGTCTCATCCGTGATGAGCTCACACTGTCCCTCGAACTCAATGATGAGGGACTCTAGGAGAAGTCGGATAGCACGACGGCGCTCAAAGAGTGAATATGAGGACGACAATGAAATGACGACGTCCCCGGAAAGCGAATATGCGGTACTAGTATCCGTCAATTGAGGACATGATTGCCGAAAACAGAGCGATAAACTCACGACTTGTCGGGTTGCCCATACATGTCCAGTGAGCTGGCGTGCGGCCGTATTTCTATAGAAACAGTCATGGCGAGGAGGACGACGTAAGGCTGAAAGAGAGGCTGGAAGAGCTGAAATGCGAGCTCGCAAAATACAAAGGGCCTCCCCTGCTCTTGTTATATGCGACCCCGTAGCGAGCCGACAAAGCGCACGAAAGGGCATAGACCATGATGAGAGCGATAATAGTGCTGTCAAGCGACGTCAGACGCGTCCGACGGAATGTTGAAACGACGGTCTTGCTTTGGGACTCCTTTTGTTCCCGCCGCTTTGTCCTCCGCTTCAGGATGAACGCTCGATGGCATGTTACCCTCTTTGGCGCTTAGTCAGCAGCCTTGTTGCAGGGCATCAGCGTCTAACAGCGTCTTCAGAGACCATCTCGCCAGCGGACAATGGGTCTTCTTAACAACCTCGGGGCTGCCCTGGCATTTCTTTTCCTTGATCCTGCGGCTACAGTCCCTCTTGAATCTAGCGAGATGTCCCTGGATGACAAGCTGTCGTTCTGATTATGTAGTGGCTATACAGTGCGCAAGCTAGCTGCCATCAGAGACTTCCGCATGTTGCAGGGGCTCACGCCGACAGCCAGCATAAAAGAACCTAGTTTCCATGTCCGCGCCGTTCCATGTGGGGCGAAAACAGACGGAGGGGCAGGTCAAATCATGATTCATTAGGTGCCAACACAGCAGTGACGAGCAAGTGTTCGACGGTGGAACCGCGAAGACCGTAAAAGGTGAAGGACCTTCCAAAACGAGGTGGGCAGCATGCCTTCGCTCGAGCGCAAATTTGACAGTAGGGCCACCTTATGAAAGCAACACACAGATGTCACAAAGTGAGGTGACAGTTGCTGCGTTTCATGACATGTCCCCGTAGTAATTGCTCAACTGACCTCTGAAGCATGAGAGATATGACCGCCGCAGATCATATTCGGCAGAGACACGATGGTGACAGGTCTCGGGCATTATGTCTCATGTACAGTTAGTAAATATATAAGATTGAATGTATAAGGCCACCCTGCACACTCGATCCTGCATACTCTACACATGTGTATGATATCCTGAGATGCTCCGGGCAGTATGGTATATTCAATGTTTCCCTCTTCGGTGACATCTATTCTTGTTCCGGTTCTCCACCAGTTGACAACCAATCGTTCGTCCTTCAGACTGCTAGTCCTCCCCGTAACATGTCTCGTTGCATCTGATGTTGCTTATATATTACCATGTATATGTGGCCTATGCGTTTGTCTCCCATCTTCAGCTGTTTTTTGTAGCGCGCTTTGCAGCGCCCTGGTTCATCTGCTCGTCGTCGTGTGAGAAGACAATCTTCCCACCTGTTCAGCTCACATGTAAGCTGTGCAGCCACTGCATAACGAAGGGAAAACCCCAATTAGCTGACGCGAATTCAATTGCCAGCTGCATCAGTTGTTCCTTGTTTGTGTCCTCATAAGGCCAGTGCACCCTGGCGCTTAATTAACCTCCCAACCCAGGCGCATACACCCGTCGCTGTTGTCGCCCCTAGCGTGCAGCTATCCTTTCCCGCCGCCAACGACGACGTCCAGGTAAGTCTGCCTTTACAAAGCGAGATGCCTTCTCCCCTCCCGCGTTCCCCTCACCATTCCCACTACCTTCCTTCAGAACCTGCTCATCGCCCCGACCTCCTGTCCCAAGTCTTCTCCCTATACGTGTCCATTACTCACAGGCCTTGACACCGCCGTCTGCGGGCGCTGAAAAACACTGAATTTGCCACCATGCCAGAAGCCGACGTCACGCGCAAACGCTCCCGCTCGCCCTCGGACAGCGACCAGAAGCAGCACAAACGTGCCAACACAGGCACTACATCGACTGGCGATGACTCGATAGCCCGTGTACACAATGTCGCTGCGACATCTGCCGCAGGCGACGTGAACATGTCTGAGGTCCCCGCCGACACGGCCGCGTCTACCCCTTCGCCCACGCGGCCGTCAGAGAAGGCGGCCGATGGGGAGCAGTCTGGCGACGTGCAGGTCAAGCGCGAGGACAGTGGCTCCGCGACGACGTCCGCAGCGCCCAGCAGCTCGGCAGGCCCTACTGCCCCCCCAGCGGCCAACATCCACATGCGGTGCTTGATCGTCACGCAGGACGCCTCGATCATCATCGGCAAGGCTGGCTCGCACGTCAATGAGATCCGGGAGAAAAGCGGTGCGCGTGTCATGGTGTCGGAGAGTATTCCAGGTAACCCAGAGCGTATCTTGAACGTGAGCGGACCGCTAGATGCCGTGTCAAAGGTGTGTCTTTCTCGAAGTGCTAGGTGAGAACGCTTCAATAATGTGGCCTGGCACAGGCTTTCGGTCTGATCGTGCGGAGGATCAACGACGAGCCCTTCGACAAACCCTCCGTCCCTGGTAGCCGCGCTGTTACTATCAAGTTCATGATCCCTAACTCGCGCATGGGGTCTGTCATCGGCAAGGGCGGAACGAAGATCAAGGAGATCCAGGATGCCAGCGGAGCAAGACTTAACGCCAGTGAGGGCATGCTGCCTGGCTCGACAGAGGTATTTGCTCTCTGTATGCGCTGGTTCCGACAATTAAGCTCGCGTTCGACAGCGTGTATTGAGCGTGTCTGGCGTCGCGGATGCCATTCACATAGCAACTTACTACATTGGCAACATTCTCATCGAGGCAAATGAGCGCATGCCCTCTTATAACAACAGTTCTTATCGGCCGTCAAGCTACTCCCGTCGGCCACCAAACACGGGCTCCTCGTACGTTCCGGGCTACTCAAACCCTTACGCTGGTGGATCCCAGGGTGCGCCTCAACAACTACAGACACAACAAATCTATATCCCGAACGATCTTGTTGGCTGCATTATTGGCAAGGGCGGCACAAAGATCAACGAAATTCGGCATATGAGTGCGAGCCAGATCAAGATCATGGAACCGGGAGCGGTTGGTGTGGGCATGAATGGCGCTCCAGCTCCCGCCGGCGGGGAGGGCGAGAGGTTGGTCGTGATCACAGGCCAGCCGGCGAACATACAGATGGCGGTACAACTTCTGTACCATGTAAGTTGCTTTGCTCACTGGTTGCGGTACCGACGACTGATCAGTGCTGATTTTCAGCGGCTGGAACAAGAGAAGCAGAAGCAGTTGCGCGCACAGCAATCTCCAATTGCGTAAATAGTGGTCAAATGGCCGTAGACGCATAGTAGCACATGTCCGAAGGTAAAGCTTAGGTTGTGTCGTTGTGTTTTTCATGCAGTCCCCACTCTGTGCTTGTGGCTTCTTGATCCTTATCATTTTGCAGGCTAGTATGCATGTTTCGTTGTACTTATGTCCAGGTGCCAATCATGACCATCCCGAAACCTCCCTCGCTGCTCTGTTCGTTGCTGTTCGATGTTTGTTCGCTTCTCTCCTGTGGTCTGTCCATGGGTATATACCATAGCATTGCACCGGTATTCAAGCCGTCGTAATACATGTCGAAGTTATGCACAGGTTGTATGATGTATCGTATGATGTATCAAATGCAAGTTGCAGTCAGGGGTATCAAATAAATTAATAAATGCCACAGCAAATGGAGGGTTTAGACTGATGTCAGTCAACAATCTCGAAGGTGTCGTCTGCGAAGAAAGCGTCTTCGACGCCATTCCTATACGTGTCGTGTTCCTTTCTCAATGCGTAGTACTGCGTGAACGTGTCAGGGAACCCCTCCGATTCCACGAGAAACGAGGTGACCCACTTTCTTCTTGTATCGCGCAGCTTGAGTGCGGCACTGCTTCATCTGTGCATCCAGCTCCTTGGCTACGGCGAAGCTCGCCTCCAATTTGGCGCGATCTGTCGCAAGCGCACTCGAAGTTTCCTGAAGCTTTGTTTGTAGCTCAGACGCCTGCGCAGAGCACTCCGCGCGCAGTTCGGCGAGCTCTACGCCAAATCGCAGGCGCTCTGCTTCCCGAGAGCGAACGGCTTCCTTGAGTTTGTGACTGAGCTTGCGCGCGACGACACGATATTTATCTCTGTCTGCTTCAAGCGCGGGGATACATGACGCTTGTTCAAACTTCTGAGTGGGTTATGGCAATCCATGAGGGTGATAAATGGGCAAGTGCAATAAGCAACACACCGAGCGGATATCTGTGAGAACTTCGATGATGTTCGAGAGGAGATTCTGTATACGGCAGCATGTTTCCTAGACCCGTACACAGACGATCAAACGAATCAGCTCGTACTGGGATGTAAGGTGCGTCGTCCTCGTGCTCGGACAGCTCTTCCACGAGATGATCTGCCCTGGTCAGGATCAGCCTCGGTCGTAGTTCGAGCACACCACTTACCTCGCCAATGCAGGCCGGAGTGCGGCCTCATCAAGCACAGCGTCTTTCTGCAGCACTGTACGGCATGCCTCAAGCAGGTCGTTTCCGACGGCCTCCACGCCCAACCGTCCTGTAGACGTCGAGGGCCCCTCTTTTGCGCGCTCGTAGTCTGGGTAGAGCTTGATTAATTCATCAAGAGTATGCGGCCGGCGACAGATGGCGCATGTGGCGTCGTCAGAGGCGAAGTTGTACGTCGCGCAGTCGACGCAGTAGAGGTGGCCGCAGAGAGTGGTCATGGGAGAATTCCCTTCGCCGAGGGTCTCGAGGCAGATGCTGCATCGTGAGTTCATGGTGGTTGTGTGGGGAAGGGGATCGCCAAAGTGTGCATGCGGCGAGGGGATGGAAGTCTATTTGTTAGACGCGTCTATGTAGGGCGTGCGGCGGCAGCAGCGCAACAGGCACGATCACGTGTGATCATGTCTGATCGCGAAGGACTCGGGTCACTCGGCGACTTCAAGATGATATTCAAAATGCCCAGGCTTGCCTTGAATGTACATCCTACTTATACGCATGCTTGTCTCATACAGCAGGGCTTCAGATATCCCAAATGTGCTTGTTTCCTTCGCTCAAGGCAACAGTAGGTCATCGCAAAAATCGTCAGAACCGCCACTAAGCTTCACCGACAGTAATGACTGACAGCAAGCCATAGAAGTGCCAATCATTACAATCTGTTCTTGATAGTAGAGTTCATGATGCAGCATGATGTACAATCCGGTAATTAAAACAAATACAGTGTGCGTGAATTCGGCGTAAGTGCTCCCGTAATGCCAGTAGCCTTCTTGCTCAGATGACCTCAAGAGAGTCGTCCGAACTATCTCCTCGATTCCGAGCCTTCACTCCTGCTTTTAAAGCGTAAAACTTGATCCAAATGAGAGCAAGGCCTCGAAGAATATCGAGAATGAGACCCACTTTCTTCTTGTAGCGGATGCTACTGGTACGCCATAATTTCATTTCCTCGTCTAGTTTCTTGATACTCTCTTCGGATCTTTCCATTTTTTCTTGTACAACGGCGAGTTCACTCTTTTTCGACTCGAGCTTCTTGTGCAGCTCCCGAAGGCTGTCCTGCCCTTGAGATTGCTCCCGAGCAAGTAGCCTCTTATCCTCCGCGCGTTCCTTCTCTTGCGAGTGTCGAGTTATCTTGATCTGGCTCTTGAGTTCCCGGTACTTCTTCCTATACTTCTCGAGTTCGACCTCTAGAGATCGTATGCGCTCAAACGTCCCTATTTTCTATATAAGGACTGTCAGGTCTGTTGACTTGTCTACCCGAGATGTTCTTCACCGAATCCACTTCGCGAACTGCGGCTCTTGTTGACTTGAGTAGCGCCTAACACCAACGTGTAAGGTTTTATGTGCAGGTATTCCGATACTCGAGTAGGCATACCTTTACATCGGTCGCTGTCTCGCGGCTGCAACGAATAGCAGCATACATGCAGGTATAATTCACTCTAGCAATCTGATCGCCTACACCAGAAACTATTTAACGCTTACTTTGGAGGAGGTATATGCTCAATGGCATGTCCATGCATTGATCGCCTGCTTGTTCCACTCCGGATATCCTGCGTGTCCAGACTTATCTCAAGCAAGGTTCCCCTCACGCATGAGGGTGTCCCAGGTCTCTTATCATTGCAGTAATCAGGGTATAGCCTGATAATCTCGTTGAATGTATGGGGCTGGCGACAGATTGCACAGGTGGGATGTTGATTCGAGAAGTTGAATGTTGCACAGTCAAGGCAGTACAGATGTCCACAGCGAGTTGCTAAGGGTGGATTAGTGTCGTCGAGCGCGTCGAAGCATATACTACACTTTGCATTCATCGTTTGTAGTAGTAGCAGGTCTAGGAATGTGGCGGATAGTGCGATGTAAGGAGAGAAGACGCGACTCGCGCGCGCGAGACGCGCTCTCTTTGATCACGTGCGACGAGAAATTATTGGGCGCTTGGAAGTCTTGCTGCTCTTCATTGGCTCTCCGTTCTTCATTGACTCGCACACTACATTCCTTCTCTATACGATGGCGAGTATCCTCAAGACGCAGAAGACGAATGCATCTAAAGCAGACGCCAAGGGCAAAGGAAAGCGCAAGGCGGAGGCCATGGACATAGACGAAGAGGTACAGGCCCCCGTTCCGAAGAAATTGAAGAACAAGCAACGAGTACTGCTCCTATCGTCCCGAGGGATCACACACCGCATGAGACATCTCATGAATGATCTGGAAACATTGCTGCCACATGTCAAGAAAGGTATGTTCTCTCCGTCCGTAGCTCAGGAGGCAGGCTCACTTTCTGGCAGATTCCAAACTCGACTCCAAGAACCACCTACATCTCCTCCCCGAGCTCGCCGACCTGAACAACTGCAACAACACTTTGTACTTTGAAGCGCGGAGACATGAAGATCTTTACATATGGGCTGCAAAGACACCGAATGGTCCGAGTATCAAAATGCATGTGCAAAATGTGCACACCATGGACGAGCTCAAGATGACTGGAAACTGTCTGAAGGGGAGCAGGGGCATCGTGAGCTTCGACAAGGAGTTCGACGAGACAGAGTGGGGCAGGCTCACGAAGGAGGTCTTCACGCATGTGAGTGTACCAAGATGACAGTCCGACATCTAGTCGTGTGCTGACCTCACCTCTAGATATTTGGTGTACCCCCACAAGCACGAAAAGCAAAACCCTTCATCGACCACATTCTCACATTTTCTATTCTCGACAACAAGATCTGGTTTCGTAACTTCCAAGTTCGTTCGGTTAGGGCACAGGAACGTAATGCATTCAGCTAAGTATACTTTCTGCAGATCGTCGAGAAGGACCCTCTTCAACCGAACGGCCCGCCGCAGACATCCCTCGTAGAAATTGGTCCCCGCTTTGTACTTACGCCCATTCGTATATTCGAAGGAGCATTCAGCGGTGCGACAGTGTATTCTAACCCTGGTGAGTATCTCACCTGTATGGAATGGTTATGTGCTAAATCTCATTACCTCCTGCTTCTCAGAGTTCATCTCCCCAGCCGCCGTACGGTCAGCGCTCAAGAGGGAGAAGGGAGACAAGTATGGCAAACGGAAAGACGCAGAGCAGGAGAGAGTCGGCAGGAAAGAACTCCGTCGGCTCGAGGAGGATGAGTTGGCCGTTGCCAAGGTCTTCTCATAGAGTCGCACTGTTGGGGTGCTATGTTGTTCTGAACTTATGGGCGCCATGACGCTCTTTCGGAAGTGAATTAGCGTCGGCGAGACGCTGCTGGTCAACGTCAACCTCATCGCCTGTTCCCCTTCCATGTCAGTCTGGTGAGGTTCAAGTGATAATTAGCTGATATATGGGTAACAACGGAGTGGGGAGGTATCAGCGCGAGCATTACAGTTATCAGACCAACGAGGGGATCCTTGCGGCCGCGATTTCAAACTTTAAGCTTCGAGTCGCTTGGCGAAGTCAGGATTCCATGTCCCCCGAGTCGTGCAAAAGTGTGGGCATATCCCTTCGGCCGTACGTCTCCAAACGACGAAATTCTGCTTAACGAGCGAGAATTATCCCTCGTAGGGAGCGATCATCTCACTTGATTGGGTCGAGTTTATATTCGTAACTTACAAGTCTGTGTCTGCTTCGAAACGTCTCACCAGAATAAGTGGAACGTTAACAGGACGCTCCTGTTGTCAGGCTTTGAGCTTCGTGGGTTGCTCTACATATTCGATTAGTGGCTTTAGGGTGTCTTCATGACCTACAAGGGCGAGCCATAGTTCATAGCTGTTCGTTATCTTACCTCGCACTAGGCGTATCGGCTATTGGATGAGGGTGCTCTTGCTTTAAACGAATACAGTCCTTGGTGGACCTTTCTCCTTCATTGGCGCTGCCCATACACATGGTGGTGTATATGGACCATCAGGCGCAAGTATCCATGTATGTTCTTCACAGCCATATTGTATCGCGGCTTTACCTTGGAGCCGACAAACTCTCCGTCTCTGCCCTGTCGCCTGAGGTCCTTCTTAGGCTCCTGTACGACTTAACGCACCTGATACAGACCTGGTCTCTTTTGCGCAGCGGGTGCGGGAGGTCTAGTCAGCTGTATGCTTGGTGACCTGATTTCGATGTGTCAGGACGGAATGCTCGACCCTGAAGAACAAGCTGCTTGTACCGCTCCAGAAAACTGTCCATGGAAATGTGATGGCGGATCGCCGTCTGTTGAGCCCCCATCAACTCTGGTGTCTGAAGCTTTGGCACGTTGTGTTACGGTCCCGGAGCGGAGTCAAGCCCAAGGTCCGAGCTACATCCGTGATGCCCACGGACTTGTGCATACGCAAGCCTATATAGTCGGATGCTATGTCCCATTGTGGTCCTTGGGGGTGCCAGTATCCAGTTCTAATCTGAAGATTGTGCACCTAGAGGGAGGCATACAGGCACGTCTCTCGGAGCAGCCATCCCGCGACGCGACAGAACGCGACGCGCGTGGCACATAGGCACGTGCCGACGCGTTGTTCGCGTTTGCGGGCGTCTACTCAAACCTCCGCTCTTGCCCAGCTCATTCTGGCCACCCGATCGCAACTAGTGAAAGATTTCTGAGTTCCACCAGTCTCTGTGGCCTTGAAGAGCATGTCGGACTCAGACGAATTTGGTACGTGTCGCGTTGTCTAGTATCTCAGAACCCAACGAATGTCCATCGGCCATTACCACGTTCAGCGAGCTATGATCCAACAACGCCCGCGAAACCGGTCGCCCTCGCAAAGCCTACTGCTAGACGGCTGGGTGGAGGCGGTACTCGCGCCGTGGCAGGACCGTCATCAAAGTCAACGATCCCAGAAAAGAAGAAAGGCAAGAAGAAAGGGTCCCCGGAGGAGATTGTGATCGATGATTCCACGTCTGAGCATGAGCAAGAGATGGCAGTCGAGGATGATGATGTGGTTGCCGCACCCCCTCCAGCAAGAGGAAAGGCCAAGACAAATGGCACTACGAAGGCGAATCCCAAGGGCAAATCAGAGCCAGGGCCATCTAAGCCGTCAAAGCCGAATCGCGGCACCAACTCACCTGGAGATCCTATGGAGGCCACTAATTCGGGCGATGCGGCATCAAAACGCGCGTTGGCAGCTCAGCAGGCGAGGGAACATAAGCGTGTCTTGCGCGAGCTAGAGTCGTTGCGTAGACAAATGGACGCTGTAAATACTACCGCTTCCGTCCTCCTAACAGTGACATTCAATTGCAGTCGACGTCTAGGTCACATCTGAGAGGGACAAGTTTTCCAAACAGTTGGAGGAATTGTTTCAGATTCGGCAAACAGAACCCGAGCAAGCCCTCCAAGAGCAAGCGACTCAGTATGAGGCTCGCCTGAAGAGTAAGCCGACAACAACGTTGCCGGGGTCGCTCTCTGAGACTTCTTCATTATCCAGCTCAAGATACCCTGATCAATGAGCTGACGACACAGCTGACAAGAGTTAAGGCCCTAGGGGGCTCGGAGAAGTCGTACATGTTGCACTTCCTGACGCGTGAGGCAGCAGACGAAGAAAAGGAGGCAGTCGAGAAAGAAGTCTCAAGGTGGAAAGACATCGTCAAGCAGAAGGATGCTCAGCTGGCGGAGAAGGACAAGCGAATAGTGGGACTAGAGGAGCAAGGTGCGCCATCCCTCCATAGTTTGTCATGCAGTCTGACCTTGCAGTCTACTGCTCTCAGCAAAATTACTACGATCCGACCTCGCAGCTGAGATTGAGAGAGGGCGTACATTAGCGTCACGACCTCCGCCTCCACAGGTCTCTCGTATTCACACGAAGACCGTAGAGGATCCAAAGAATGGGCTGGTGATACGGCTGTACGAAGACATGACCAACATGCTCGTCGTTTCCGCGCGTATCGAGAAGAACTCCCACTTTGACCTCGACGAGCCCACTTTTACGTGTGTTTACACGTATCGAGAGGATACATCAGACGTCGGGGGCATCAGTACGCGTTATTGCCTCCTGCTGGGTGTAGGCTGCTGACCCTAGCCTCCTTCCAGGTCTGAATTTCAGCTTGCACGAACACTGGGACCTGCCAGATGGTTGGGAGTCAGACAGACCAATGGCCAAGGACGACCTGCTGCACAAGGTCACATTTGAACCACGAGATCTGCAGAACGAGCGGCCAGAATTCGTCGAAGGACTCGGCTTCTTCAAGGAACCCTTCAATTTCTCGCACGATCAGATGTGCACATTTTTGAGGACATTAGCAGAGCGCATGTCTGACCTCGCATCAAACGAGGAGGAGGAAGAGGAGAAAGACCAGCTAGAAGACGACGATGTTCTGGTTGTAAGCTGAGCGTGTGCAGCTGATGCATATCTAGGTGGAATTTTACCGAGCGAACTATGTACACATCACAAGGTTCTTGTCTGCGATAATATCTTCTTCACTTGTCGTGCCATCGCTGGAATGCGAGTCTAAGATTGTAGAAATTCTAGCGGTGCCCCTGCCTTTGCCCATAGCCTAGAAGTACGGTCATCTCCCGCGAGCGATGCCTGCTTAATCGCAAGCGGAACAAAGCCCCCCTCAATATCGGAGCCGCCCAGGAGTGCTCCCGCCTTTACCAGCACCTCGACGACAGCCTCGTGTGCCTGCCGCGCAGCATAATACAGTGGCGTGTGTCCGAGAACGTCTCGGAGATGCACCAGCGCACCAGCTTCGAGGAGACTGTTGACCGCGTTGACGTTCCCGTTCAGCGCAGCAGAATGCAACGGCGAACGCCCCGAGGCAGGCTCGATGCTGTTGACCAGCCCTCCCGCGATGGCTATGTTGCGCCGCCGCGGCTCGGAACCCGGGCTCGCCATACCTTCACTGTTAGGCCCCGCCTCCGAGGCAAGGCAGAACCGGATAGCCTCGATGTCGTTGCGGGCGGCAGCGAGGTGGATCAGGTACGGGTAGAGAACGCCTTCTGTGGATGCAGCTTCGGCAGCAGTCCACGACCACGGCGCCGCGGCCTCTGCCATCTTTTCGTTGTTGCTCCTGTCTGCGCCGTCCAGAGATAACTGGATGGCAGGGACGCTAGGCTGGGCGGACGAGGACAGGCGGACAACCTGTGAGAGCACGCCCTGGATGTTTTCTAGACTTTGCTCGATCCCCTTAGGCTCGCTGAGGCTTGGCGGGAGTGCGCTCGCAGGGCGGGTGAGTTCTCCGCGCAGGGGCGTACCGATGAGCGAGCGCACTTCGGCTGCGGAGAGCTCTGGCTTGGAAAGGAGGTAACTCAGTTTGGTAAGCGCACACTGTGTCCGGCACAGCATCAGTCGGATCACACAAGCTCACGAAGACGCTGCGGAAAGGGGGCTGACCTCGGGTGTCATGTCACCCCCGGAGACCACCCCAGCTATGAGGAGTTCCCGCCCTGCCGCATATGCGTCCGAGACGGAGCCCTTCGCACACTGCGAAATGGAGACGATCACTACACCCCGGTCACAGGCATCTTTGAGCGCGCCGATCAGGTCGGGGCGTTGTGGCGCATTTCCGGCGCCGAACGCCTCCAAGACCACGCCCTGTGTCGGGGGTGTAAGGAATGCTCGAATGGTGGCTGCTGTAATACCCGGGAATAGACGCAGAGTGGCTGAAACACCGTGGCTACATCAACGATATGCGTCCACCTGAGTGTGAACACAGGCGTACCAACGTATGGGCTCATTTCTGTCAGGAGATCATGTTCGTCGATTTTATATACGGTACAGACGGGAGGCTCACTTTTGTGTGCACAGAAACGTCGAAGGCTTGTCTGTCGTATCACATCGTTCCAATTGACCATGATGTCAATGCCAACTGCAGCACCTCAATCACACTGGAGCAACACAAATATATACAAGACTGACCATTCACAAGCGGCGGGAAATTAGGGCTATTGAAAGCATTAAGGTCGTACGAGGAGAGCTTTGAGACTCTATTGCCCCTGAACAGGGTGTGATTGAAGAATAGGCAGCATTCTGAGAATCGTGGTTCAAGGCTATTTTGGTGAACAAGGCAGATTGGTTACCTGGGATGATGTAATGGCCGGCGATCACCAGCGCGCCCAAGAGGTTGTCTACCGCGTCGTTCCTGAGTTGAGACAGCGGTATCTGAGCACCGGTAAGGATCTAAAATTTTAGTTTGTCAGATGCATACGGTATACACCCAACAATATGGAGGTGTCCATACCACAGTCTTGCCTAGATCCTCAAGTAAAAAGCTGAGGGCGGACGAGGTGTACGACATAGTGTCCGTTCCGTGCAAGATGACGAAGGCATCAAATGTAGAGTAATTTAGCTCTATGTCTGTAGCTATCCTGATCCAATCTGCCCTACGGCATCCACTCGCTCAGAGGAATACACCAAAATTGAGCCGAGCTATGTCTCACCGTGGATCTCTATGTTGCTGCTGTCTAGTAGGGGATCCCACTGTAAGTGGTCAACGCAAGTTGTCTTGAGTGTGAGAGCAAGACTCTACCTCAAGAATGGCATAACGAATGCGCTTCTGGATTCCACCAGGCGCTTTGCTTCGCGGGGTAATTAAACTCGGTAGATGTGCCTCGTAAACATTAGGAGCAATCTGAGCACAGGGTGGCTGAGCTCGCTGGTTTTGTTCTATGGCTGGTGAAAGCCGTGCGGCAACATGTGAGACGCCGATTGGCTGTGAGGATCGCACCGGTAACGTTGGGAGGTGATGAGGCTGTGGCTGCGGTCCATCATGGACGACATCTGTCGAGAGGTGGCCTACGGGACTCGCCCTTCCACTATTGCTACTCCATTCTCGATAACCTTCGACGGAGGATGAATGCGAGAATAGCGAATCCCCGAGCGGATCGTGGAAGCGGTTTTGGCTGCGAAGTGTTTCTGTCAAGAAGTACGGTTCGGGCTCATAGCCTTTCTGCCCGAGGATCATGTTGATTGTCCCGCCAGTGTTGATTATGAGCACTTTGGACTCATCCGAGTTCTGTGCAAGATCCATCTGGTGTTGTTGTGATTCTGGTCAGTAGCGGCTGCGGACGAAGGCTGCTCAAACATCAACTGTAAACTCGATCAATCGAGAAACATTGAGATCGGAATCGGGAGATTAGATTAGACGGAAGAAAGTGGATTGCAAGACTCGATTGAGATGATCAAGCCTTGACTCGACACTCCCATTTAGCATAAAAGCCTTTGTAGGCCAGGGCGTCCCCCCCAACAAACCCACCATGGACGCGCTCAAGAAAGTATTCGAGGCCAAGAATAAGGACGTGAGTTTTGCAACAGCGGGTACGACGCTAAGCAATTAAGTGCTCCTCCCTTGAATTCCTAGACCAGCCCTGCATTGGTTACCTTTGTCACCGCGGGATATCCCACCGCCAATGACACAGTACCCATCTTGCTTTCGATGCAGGAGGGAGGGGCAGACATCATTGAGCTTGGAGTCCCATTCTCTGATCCCATGGCAGACGGGCCTGCAATCCAAGAGACCAATGTGGTGAGTATCCGAGGGATTTGGCGCATATACCTTGCAGACGATGTGGCCAATATCGAGTAGATCGCTCTCGAAAACAAGGTGGAATACCCGAACTGCCTTGGCATCGTACGCGAGGCCCGTAAGAGAGGGCTTACGGTCCCTGTAATGCTCATGGGTAAGTCGGAGGACCATGCCTTCGCGTAAAGATTTAGGAAATTTATATATGCCAGGATACTACAACCCGTTGCTTGCATATGGGGAGAACAAAGCCATTCAGGATGCTAGCGAAGCTGGCGCGAACGGCTTCATCGTGGTCGACCTGCCACCCGAGGAAGCCATCTCCTTCCGCGAGAAGTGCACAAAAGCGGGGTGAGACCGACTATCATGGCTATTGAAACCATTAGCTTACATTTAGTATAGCCTCTCCTATGTCCCTCTCATTGCACCCTCTACCTCCGAGCGCCGAATTGAATTCTTGGCCTCCATTGCGGACTCCTTCATTTATGTAGTCTCGAAGGTCCGTATCGAACGACCGTCGGATATATTTATCTACTGATGTGTCACTCTTATGATACAGATGGGAACGACAGGCTCTTCCGTGTCGGGGACTATGAATAACGCTCTACCCGAACTCATATCTCGTGTGCGCGAGTACACCGACATACCTCTTGCGGTTGGGTTCGGTGTGGCGACCAGGCAGCATTTCGACCTGGTTGCCGACGCCGGTGCAGATGGCGTCGTCATCGGTAGCCGCCTCGTCTCCGTCATCAAGAACGCGCCTGCGAGTAAGGTCTCAAAGAGCGTCGAGGCGTATTGCCGCGAGATCAGCCTCAAGGACCAGCCGCAGACGCGTCCACGCTTGTCCACGGCGACAAGCTCAGCATCCCATGTGAGCCGAGCGAGCAAAGCGAACAGCGACACGGTGAAGCAGAACTTGCTGCCGCCGCGATTCGGCGAGTTCGGCGGGCAGTACGTTCCGGAGGCGCTCTGGGATTGCCTCATTGAGCTGGAGGAGGCGCATCAGTCGGCGATGAAGGACCCGGCGTTCTGGAAAGAGTTTGAGAGCTTCTATGGATACATGAACCGCCCGTCGAAGCTGTACAAGGCGGAGCAGCTTACGAAGCAAGCGGGAGGTGCAACGATATGGCTGAAGCGAGAGGATCTGTGGGTGCCTCCCCTGCTCTGTACAAGTGGCGTTAACAGAATAATGCTAGGAACCACACGGGTTCACACAAAATCAACAACGCGATGGGCCAAGTACGCCCTTCAACGTTTAATATCTCTTACTGTCACATGTTTAGTTGATCGCAGATCCTACTTGCAAAACGGTTAGGCAAGAAACGTATCATCGCCGAGACAGGTGCAGGTCAACACGGTGTGGCAACCGCCACTGTCTGTGCCCGTTTCGGTATGGAGTGCGTTATCTACATGGGCGCGGAGGACGTACGGCGACAGGCCCTCAACGTCTTCCGTATCAGGATGCTCGGAGCTAAGGTCATTGGTTGCCGCTCATCCATTTTTCATGCTCCTAAACTTAACGTTTGCATCTTTGACGACAGGTTGTGCCGGTGCATTCGGGTTCCTGCACGCTCAAGGACGCCGTGAATGAATCCCTTCGTGACTGGGTTACGAACCTGTCGGAGACCCACTACCTCATCGGCTCCGCCATCGGCCCGCACCCGTTCCCGACCATCGTCCGCGATTTCCAGCGAATTATCGGACAAGAGATCAAGTCGCAGTTGCACGCTGAGATTGGGAAGCTCCCCGATGCAGTCGTTGCATGTGTCGGTGGCGGGAGCAACGCGATTGGCACGTTCTACGACTTCATTCTTGAGAAGGACGTCCAGCTGATCGGTGTTGAGGCCGGAGGCGAGGGTGAGTTGTCGGCTTGTTGCATGTCTACCTGTTCTGAGACGTTTTCCTCCAGGGCTGGACGGCGACCGCCACTCCGCGACGTTGAGCAAAGGTCAGGCGGGCGTGTTTCACGGTGTCAAGACGTATATCCTGCAGTCACCCTCTGGCCAAATTGTGGAGACGCATTCCATCAGTGCTGGTCTTGACTACCCGGGTGTCGGCCCTGAACATGCCTGGCTGAAGGACTCCGGTCGCGCAAAGTACGTTGTCGCGACTGACGAAGAGGCGTTGAGGGGCTTCAGGATGTTGACGCAGTTGGAGGGCATCATTCCCGGTATGACTCGCGACCTCATCTGCCCTTTCTTTCACTGAGATTCCGGGTTTCTTAGCGCTGGAATCGTCTCATGCAATCTGGGAGGGCGTACGGCTGGCAAAGACACTGCCCAGAGAAGCAAACATTGTCATCGTGCGTGATGCATGTGTTCTTTTGTCGCTACATTATTTTCTTACCGCCCGGTCACTAGTGTCTGTCTGGTCGTGGTGACAAAGATGTGGAACAGATCTCGCAGTTACTCCCAGGGAAGTGGGAGGATGTCCTGGACTGGCATGTAACAGCCTGATATACATAGACCGAGTTGCAAAGTGTACCGTATGAGCCGGAGAAGTCATTGTATAAACCATGCAGTATTGATTTTGAGGAAAGTATGATATTGTATCTAGCTCCTACATCACATCGCTTGGTGCATATATCCCAGTCCATTCATATAGCAACGGATCATCAGCGGCCTTGTATTTGTCGCTAATTGTGTCATTGCAGTAAAAACAACACATACCCCTAATATTGTTGGAGGGAACAAGCGATCTGCAGAGATATACGACCACTGCAGGACTCGAACCTGCAATTAACTAACCGGGTCGTAGTCAGACGCGGTGCCATTTCGCCAAGCGGCCATTTTAGCTTAGGGTCCAGAGTCTAATAGCTGTACCTCTCCATCCTGGTCAATTAACGATACTATGGGAATCACAGTAGATGTTTCTCGGTGAGAACATTCCCCATTCGACTCGTTCAATAATCCCAAAGTCTCATCAGGAAAAAGCAGCCTGAGGACAGTCGTACACAAGTAGCAACACTGAGCCAATCAGGACGCCCCGATCACTTGACTCGGATCGCTTTCATTCAAACGCCCTCACTGATCCCGTTCCTTGCCCCTTTACTACTGTAGCTTTCGTTTGCGTTTGTATCATCAGATCTTCATAGCTCCAGAAATGTCTTCAGCTTCACCCGCCAACCGTGCTGTTGAAGTACTCGCGGCGAAACTGCGAAGACGGTCAGTGGGCCCGATCAGTTGTGGCATCAGCTCTTATCTTCGAGCAGGCAGGTCGTAGGCTCGCGGGAGGCCGCCCTCGAGACCGTCCTTGTCCTTCGGCAAGTCGTCGCGAGGGCACGCTTTTCCAACATCGATCAGCTGGTGAGCCTCCTCCGAGATGTGGGTAAACGGCTCGCCGAAGCACAGCCCAAAGGTATCACAGCATTGCTGCATGTATGTATCGATACCCTGCCATGGATTTATGGTATTTTCTAGAGCATACCGTCGGAAACATTGTCCGCAAAGTCTTACACAACATCCGCGAGGAGTATAACACGGCGTCCAGCGGCGTCGCTGCTTCTACCTCGTCCAAGAATGTCTTCTCGATCTCAAAGTTTGTCCTCCTGGGCCAGCCGAGGAAACAGACTGTGGCACCAAAATCTGAGGCTACGATTTCGCTGAAGGAGAATGATCCAGACGATCCCGACTCCTTCGCGAAGGCGATCAAGCCGGTGCTCATGGAGGCGATCCAGGATGTCCTTGATGAACTTGAGACGGTCTACGACAACGTCTCGAAAAACGCAAAGGACCATATACACTCTGAGTACGCAGCGCCTCTCGCTTTGTGGGATAACTCGCAGACCGTCTTCGCAGTGAGATCATTTTGACTATAGGCCACTCAAAGACGGTCGAGGCGTTCCTCAAAATAGCAGGGCACTATCGCAATTACACTGTAATCGTAGCGGAGACTGCGCCTTCGTGAGCTTCTAGCCCGTCTTCGTTTACTGTGCAACTGAACATGGTCTGCTATCACAGCTACAGCGGGCACGAGATGGCGCAGTCTCTCTCCTCCGCAGGCATTTCCACCTTCCTCGTGCCCGACTCCTCGATCTACGCGATCATGTCGCGCGTGAACAAGGTCATCATCGGCGCGCACGCAATCCTCGCCAATGGCGGCATGTTCGCGATCAGCGGCTCGCTGCTCGCCGCGACCGCCGCGCGCGCACACAGCACGCCCGTCGTCGTCTGCGCGGGCCAGTTCAAGCTCACGCCGCTCTGGAACCTCTACCACGAGTACGGCGCGCTCGACTTTGCCGACCCCAGCAGTGTGCTCGGCTTCGAGGAGGGCGCGCTCGTGGACAAGGTCGACGTCGTGAACCCGTACTACGACTACGTCGGCCCGGAGATGGTCGATGTGTTCATCACGAATGAGTCAGTACCGCATGCACCTGGCTGTCGAGTGTGGCGCTGACGGATGCTGTACAGTGGTGATCATCCGCCCTCATCGGTCTATCGGTATGTGGGATTTACACGATTCCACGATGTCATACTGACCGCTCCCAGGCTTGTGAAGGAGAGCTACGACGACGATGATCAACTGCTCTGATTGATCTCATTTGTTTCTCTGGGACACAGCCCTGCCGCACATTGAGCTCCGGGAGAAGGTCGTTGGCATCATGTCTCTGGACGTCATGACAATCAGGCTTTATCTAGCACATGACTGCATGTCATGGATGACAATGAGCACGCCGAGACGAAGGATGAGCGACAGGCTGACAGAGCAGAGACCGTTCTGTGATTGTCGAATGATCTAGAATGATGAAAGTCATCAATGGATACCGGAATGTATGCGTTGTCTGAAGGAGTTCCGAAGTGAGAAAGTTCTGAGGGATGAGTTGAAGAGAGTTGCTATTAATGAGAGTGCTGAACACGGCCAGAACAAGCGACAAGACCGAATACTACACGATTCAGAAACCTTCCGACCTTCATTCGAACACAAATGACGATGCAAATACACTTTATCTCATACGCGCAGACGTAGAGGTAGCATGAGGACCATAACATTATGAGTAAAAAAGCAGAAGGGGATGGGGGTAGAAGCAGAACCTGAGATCGGCGGGGTGAGGAAGCAACAATAAAACGAGCGATGGTATATATGTAACAAAGAGAAAGAGCAAAGGAAGAAGGGGAAGTGGGATGGTCACTGGATGACGCAGCAGCCCTTTCCTCCCCCACTTTGTTGCGCATAAGGATCTTCGTTGCGCGCTACAGGACCCCATACTGATGGTACCTGCAGGACATATATGTCAGTCCAAAAGCCGCGACATATGAAGAAGGTGAGTGAGCAAGTAAGGTACGGTCTGCAGTGGCTGTCGCGCAAGGGAGTGACATGAGGGTAGGAAGAGGATAGGAATACGTACGAGGGGATCCTTCGTCGTTTTGCAATACCGGATCAAACTGTCATTTCAACAGCCACGGACAAACACGCAAGCGGCGAGACGACAATAAAGAGCGACACAAGCGAGCGTACCGTCAGTACATTGCGGGAGAATATACAGGATGCGACAACGCACCTCGCGCTGGCTTCGCTGACTCTGATTCGTGGCCTCGCGAGGTCCTCCTTCAGCCGCTGATTGTGCTCCGTCAGGCGGCGAAGCTTGAGCTCCGACATGGACTGTTTGTGTGGACGGCCGTTCATTGTGATGGCGGGCAGGCGGGGCGTTTATGGTTTAAATGATGGCACGACAATGAGGAGGTTCGAGCAATGCAGGCGTGCGCGTTGGGTTTTCTGTCGCGCGGGGGATGCTGGCGCGATGAGACAGATGAGCAGGCCTGAAGAGTGGCAAGCTGAGGTACGCAGCGTGCCTGGTAGCTAGTCTGCGACTCACGAGAGGGTCGAGGTGGTGGTCCGGACACTGCAACAGGCCGGCGTCTGATTGAGCCGAATCGAGGTGCGCCGAGACGGGAGATGCCTCGGCTGCGTGATGGTGGCGAGGACAGCGAGGAGAAGAGCGATAAATAGAGAGTGCTGGAGATGGGGGAGAGGAGAAAGAGCAGACTCTCACTCTGTCAGGCGCGGCTGCACAGGTCGGCGTATGCCCGGAATGGATCTCCTTCGCAGGCTCATTTCTGATGTCCACTCACGTGAGTCCCTTATATGCTCGCCAGTAACAAGCCAGCACGCGGCGTCCAGTCTGTTCGAGTGACACGCAAAAGTCTATTATAGAAATAGAAAAAAATCCCGACCCGAGACGAACGCCGCAGTTTCCATTAGAGAAGAGTAGAAGTTTAAATGAGAGGACGAAACCAAACAGAGCGACGAATAGCAATGGGTCACGAGCGAGCCGGGAGATGAATGCATAGAAGTTCCATGTCATGTATGTACCGCAACGTAATGCTAAGATGTATGTGCGAGGATGGGTAGGTGCGCGAGGGGGGTGAACGAGCGTCCGGGTGTCGCGGACTAGACGACAGGATCTTAGTGCCTGCGGGGTGTACGCGAGGCGTGATGAATGCAGGCGAGAGACCCGACAAGCGTCACGGAGATTCGCTGCCCGTCTGAAATCTGCTAATCAGGACATTGCTGTCAACTTTAATGGCTGGGTGGTACGTACTGTGCGCGCCGGTCTTACATGACAACGCAACCGCACCCTGTTGATTGTGGTGCGGCACCGAACGGGTCCTCGGCTTTACTCACTGTTCCCCACACGGATGGCACCTTGAGGGGAAATATGACCAGTCAGTCACCCTCTTGTTACCACGCAGTCCAAGGACAAGGGCCACTAAAGGACACTCTAGATGTGAACAAGAAACACCCATAAGCAATGCAGGGCGATCCTTGTCTGCTACGTGGGTCGATCGTCGGAAGCTCTGTGCGGTGACCAGTGATAACAGGAGGATCTACGTGCACAGGTACACCTCTCCACAGTTAACCCCCAATCGTGTATCTGTGATCACACAGGTTCCTGGCAAACCATCTCGGTAACAACTAGGCATGGGGATGATCGGGGATATCCGTGCTCCCAGATACAAAGCGGGATTGATGTGAAGGTGGACTTACAAGGTAGTCCTTGGTTGTTTTGCAGTAGCGTATCAAGCTGCACCATCCATCAACATCCGAGCACACTACCGATAACGGTCACGCACCTCACACTGGCTTCGCTCACCCGTATCCGCGGCCGCGCGAGGTCCTCCCGCAAGCGTTGGTTATGCTCATTCAGTCTGCGGAGCTTGAGCTCGGACGATGAGACCTTGGGCTGGCGGCTGCTCATGGTGGCGTCACAGCAGGAAACGTATCTTTACACGGGGTCGCGCAGGGGTGGTCTGAGCGGCAAAGGGCGGCGTAAAGGAGAGAAGCGCCAGCACGATGTGACCTGACCCGGCTGTGCTCGAGAAGGGCGGCGGGGGAGTGCTCTCTGGCGTGTCGCGCAGCGGGCGGGCACGCAGAAGACGGGGCTGAAAAGAACGGAAGGGAGAAGCGCGAAGGTGCGATGCGCTCCCTGCCCGCGCTTGGATGCGACATCACGAACCCTGCGGAGTTTCATTACTAACCTTGCCTTTTCGGGAAATGACTACGCCGTCACGTGCACCGCGTCTTAATACCCGGCAGTGGCTGAAGCGGCTCGAAGCCTGAGTCCTCCGACCACCTCCTGTTCCTCCAACATGGTCCGGCAGCAAACCAACCGTGTGCAGAAGCTCTCGCCGCTGGCTTCAAGGCCGCAGAAGGCGTCTACGGCACGGTACAGTGAGTCCTAGCTTCCTCGTCTTTCGAAACACCCGACTTGAGCTTCGGCTACAGTTAGGGCGCGCCAGAAGTCGCCCCTCGCCGCAATTCACCCGTCGGCAAGAGACGTGCGGACGCGGCTGCAGAGCACGAACACCAATCGTTTCCTGAAGACGCGCAGCCAACTTGCGACCATTTGCGAGGAAGAAGGAGAAGAGGAAGAGCCATTTGATCGAGGTTTCGATCCTTACCGGGAATTGCACGCGTTCGAGCGGGATGAGGAGCGCAGCAGGCGCAGGCATGGCGGCGAGCAAGACGAATTAATGGACTGGGATGATGAGTCGACTCTGGTAGCACTCTTGCAAGAAAGGTGACTATATGCGCACGCTATACCCGTAAATAGGGGATGTGACCACAGCGACAGTGCTCCCGGGGAGGACGAGGAAGAAGACCTCGCCCAGCTCGCCAATAGACTCAGGGCACCTATGGCAGCCCAAGGTGCCATTATGAAGAAATACCTCGCTGATACTCTAGTGCCCGTTTTGACACGGGTGAAGGAGGTGCACGGTTTACTCGAGGACAAAGGTGGGGTCGGTGAAATCTCCTGAGAAGAAGCCCTTCATGCTCAACATCTACAGTGGACCTTGCCTTTGGCGCTGGCATCCTCACTTTTGATGAGGTCTGCAAGAAGGTCGAGGCAATGGCGCTGCGTGATGAGGATGACCTCAAGACAGCATACACGGATGCTCAGGTGCGATGCAGACCTTTCATCCTGGAAGTCAATGCTCACTCAAGATCTAATAGGAGAATATGAGGGAACTTGTCGCGCGACTTCAGCAAGCATATACCCGTCGCGACGCACTGTGGATTGGTATGCAAGACGACGCGGACAAATGTGGTGACTATCTCTCATACCATCCTCCAGTGATAGTGGGCGTATAGGCCATCTCTTGACTGACCATCTGGCTTGGCTTGTGATCGTAGCTGAGCGTGCCAAAGCTACGCTCGAGGCACTACCCGCCGAACTGGAAGTCGTGATCGCTCAGCTGGAACGGAGGAGCAAAGACCTGGATAAAGATAGCGGCGCAGCGTCGAAGCAGAAGATGCTCATGGGATTATTGGACAAATTGTAAAATAGGCAAATCGTGGATCTCGCTCTCTCTCGTAACAGTGAGTTTCCGCTCAGTGTTATAGAATGTTGGTGTATCTGACGCAGAGCGGCTAGTGTTGAGTTTTCCGCGCGGACAAGTCATCCTCTATTGTATTTCTATCTAGATCTGCACTCCCTGTATCATATAGATGCTATGATGGTCTCGTTCACTGCATTTGCACTTTCTAATGTTATCAGCGTCACCCATAACAAGTCGGACGTATCTCACCCACCGCTGGAGAGCCATATTTCTACAGGTGTCAGCTAGGTGATACACACGACTCACGCACGCATCTAGGCTCCGTTCGGGAGTCTGAACACGCTCGTACCATTGTCATCACACAATCGTCAGTCATATTTCCAACGCTGATAGCCTTCAACGAACCATGATTGCGGCTGAGAACTTCGCATTGCATTGGCTATACCCTCAAGGTCCACGATCAGCATGCACACGTTTGGTCATGGCAAAAGATCTTCACCGCAGAAAGTATGATTCTGCGTCTAGCTGCTCCGACCGCCGTTCTTGCATGGCCATAATCGACAACTGCTTTAATTCGAAGCTTTCTCATTTTCACGTAGAGCTGGCGCATATATCTGTTCCCTTCACAGTAGTACGAGCAGAATAGATTCACGGCGGAACAATTATATGTCTCGAAGCATATAACTAGTTGCTACATCGGGATAAATGTATAGGTCTTCTGTCTTCTCACCGGTGGCCCAAGTCGCAGTTTGTCCCACCGGGGCACGTAGAGTCGATGAGGAATAAGAGGTGGGGAAGCGGACGATGTTGCCGTGCTGCAAACCATCCGCCTATCGCGCTCCACCAATTTCACTGCTGCGGCAAGCCTCAATCGCGGGTCAACATTACTGATAGGAGATTAAGTACCTGTTTCCGTAGGACATGTATGGTTCACCATGACGACGCACGGCCTTTCTTTCCAGTCTATGCCGTAGCCTAATCCTATCCAATAGCCAGTGATCGTAGACAATCCCGGAGAAGAATGAGATCTCACCAGGATATGAGCAATCTGACACGAAGTGACGGTCGTGATATGGGCTGAAGCCTCTCTGGAGTAATCAATGAATGTTAGCAGCACCAATAAGAAGAATCAAAATTGAGGAGATAGGGATGAGGGGGGATGGGGAGAAGATGGGGAGAGATAAAGGAAGATGAGATGAGAGAGGGTTGGGAGAGGAAGATGGAGTGGGGGAAGGCGAGAATATGGGAGAGAGAAATAAGTAGGTCCATGTAACGGCAACACAGAGAAAAATTATCAGTGTTTGTGGATAAGGAAATCAAAAAGTAGCATTTTGGAGACTGCCGTCGCCGAAGAGCTCGTGCCACAGCGCCGCCATATTCGCATCGTAGGCCGCCTGGTCTGCATTCATCTCCGCAGGTTCTTCCATGATGGTCTGGAGCTTGCTCCCCGTGCTCGGTGGCACGATGAACGCGTTGGTTTCCTCGCCTGTAAAGTTGAAGATGTCATCGAAGTTCTCCTGCTGCGCCTGCGTTGCCTCCTCTGTGATCTCGACGATCCTGGGCGCCTCCGCGGTCTTGGGCACGCCGATGCGGAACGCGTCGTACAGGCTCTCATCGAAGTAAACATTGTTGACGGTCTCGAGCGGGAACGAGTGGTCCGAGACGGGCATGATGCACGGCGGAACCGGGGGAGCCACGAGCGGGGCCGCTCGCCTAGGACGGACAGGCAAGGGCTTGATGTCGCGGTAGTAGTCCGGGTGGAACTTCACAACGCCTTCCTCATCCGTCGCACCAAATATCTCGGCCATGCACGACTCGAGCTCGCGTTCGAGCGCGGAGTCTGATGCTGGGAGATCTTCGTCGGGGTCGACATTGGTGGCGACGGTGGGGAGGGACGCATCCGGTCCGAACATGTCCGTCATGAAGATGTCCTCGTCGGTGGGTGTCGGCAGGGGCGTGTAGTCGACACCGGACTGGGAGTATGTCGAGCTGGCTTGCGAGGAGGCGGAGAGCGTGGGCATCATGGGAGGCGCGAGCATGTTGAGGTCAAGGCCCGCATCCCATGTACCCTGGCTCTGATACTGGTGGTTCTGCGCCTCAGGGAGGGTCTCGTTGGCCATCATATAGGCGACGGCGGCGTCGACGTCTGAGTCCATGTTCATCATCGAGTAAGACGTGTCCATCGCGGAGGCGTTAGGCTGCGTCTGCGTCGGAACTGCAGAGTATGCGTCCGGCGCGGTCCACGACATGCTTGCTAGAGGGCTCGAACCAATGCGAGTCTTCTGCGGAGAGACGTTCAGGAACCTGGCAATGTCCAGCATCAGAAGCCCCAGCAATGAACCAAGAGAACTACATCACGTACTCGAACGAGCTGGTCGAGGGGTTGGGGGCTGCCACGGGAGCCTGCACAGGAGAAGCTGAGTTATTGGACCAGCCCTGACTCGGGGACTTCAAGAGCTTGAAGATCTGGTCAAGGCGAGAGGGGGAAATCTTGCGCTGGGCGCGACGCTCCTTCTGAGCCGGACGGAGGCTCTTGGGGAGGAGTCCGCTAGCTTCCCTCAGCTTTCTGAGCTGAGCTCGGTTGGCCTTGTGGTCGAGGACATAGACACATTCAGTGCCGAGGTGGAAGCAACGCTTGCACGTAGGACGAGTGCCAGAGCACTACATATACACCAGGTATCAGTTCATGTCGTGAGCGCCGGGGAGAAGCCGTACCTTCGTCTTACGCTCACGGCACAGCTCACATGCTTGAGGAGTACGCACGCGACCGGACATTCCAGCCAAATCACTCGCCTTGACCACACCGATACGGGGGCCAGATGGCGTCGGCGGGGGCGGCGGAGCGAGCATGTCCCTCTGACCCACGGGCTGGGTCTGGGACCGCTGTGCAGGGGCGGTAGAGCCACCAGCAGCAGGGGACGGGCCTGCGCTGGCAGCATCCCCCTTCTTGCGTCCGTCTTTGGCGAGGAGGCGCTGGAACGCCTGCAAGAGCTGGGCCTTGCGCTGGGCCTTGCGCGAGCTCTCGTTGGCGTTAGGTGTGGGAGAGATGACATGGACGTCCGACATGTTTAGGACGTCAGGAAGTTCGGGAGGAGCAGCAGAAGTAGGGGCGGGAACAGGCTGGGAGCTGAGGATCTGGCGGAAGAGGGGAGAGGCAGACATTGTGGAAGGTAAAGTGGGGTAGGTAGGTTATTATGCTTTGTAAAGCAGGATATGCAAACGCAAGATCGCAAATGTACACTGTGGTAAGCAGTAGATCAAAAGCGATGAGGTTTCCAGTCGGCTCACCGGCGTTATATGGCCAGCACGACGTCAGCCTCGATCCCAGTCAGCCACTTAATCAGACTCTCACTTCGAATGATTCGGGCTGGGGTCGAATTTGAGACCTCACTAGACTCGTTACAAATCAGACTGCAATAGCATGAGGTCCTGTGGTAAAAGAGTTTGTTCAAAAATAACGATGTGCTCCTGAGCATGAATGACATGGAGGACCTGCTGAGCCTGAATGTCGAATAGACCGATATGGTTGTTGAAAGCTGGCTATTTGTTCTACACAATCCGCGATCTCTGTTCCATGAAATCCGCATAACGTGCTCCCCTGCTAGGTCACAGCAACTGCATTTACTAACCATTTACCTGAAGGGTAGAAGGACAGTACTCACCTCTGAATCCGCGTCATAACAAGGCGAATCTAATGGAGTCTCGATGGCGGGATCCTTTAAGTTGGTTCGGCTAGCAGAAGAAGAGTTTTTGTATTGCAACAGATTTGATATGCGGCAGTACCACCTTCATTGAGGACCGCGACGTGACTCATGAGTCAAGCGGGATATACAGGCAGACACGGGCGCATTCAACCTGAACAATACGCCGCTATGATCTCGTGTGCTTCGAAACCCGTTCTAATCGATCCATTATCTTCCCAACTCGAGCCAGATCCATGCGAAACCAGTTGGGCACGACTGAGTTGACATCAGCAGTATGGCATATGCGCAACATCAGTGATCATGACTGAGTATGATAGCCTTGTCGGTGACCGCTGGCCTGTCTATCTCAGCAGCCCTTGGGGTCACCTCGGGCTGAGCAAGCTCTGCCACCGCGCCCATGAACTAGACAGGAGAACAGTCCATGTCCACCTGAGGCCCTGACCGCGGACGCATGGACCTTGTTCTGTATCGTGATCCTTGCTGTCTGAAGATACCCTCTGGCCAGACGACCAGTAGGACAGGTAAAATTGCCGGGAAGCTGTTGAGATGTACAAGTGTAGCGTTCAAATCGTTCCGGCCTCTATTGAACCAAGATCACGGCGGATGGTCAAAGCCGCTCAATAATGGCCAATAACCCAAGCTTAGAACTAAACAGGACCGAATGAAATGGGGGTCTTTATGGATCCGGTATCTTGATCCCGAGCCGTGGATGAGCCTCTAAATTCCAATGTACAAACCTTCGGCGAAAACGTCTTTGATCGATACCAGGTTGAATTTGCTACTCCCGAAGTTCTCTATATCATCAAGCTGAAGATATTAGCATCGTCACTTAGCTCTCGTATCAAATAGACATACCCAATGCTTGCAATTTTCGTGGCGAGCGTGGGCATTGAACAGCAAGATTGTCGTTCCAACGCGTGTGGACATTACCGCTAGTTGTTTGCGTTACCCAGTGTCAAGTTTTCTCGAATTTCACGCTGTTGATTTCGGGTGCCAATGCACTTTTGAGTAACCCCTGCCTGCTGAAGCTGATCTGAAATCCGAACCGAGAGAGCTCTATCAAACGCGTAAAGAACGTACAGAAAGGCTCGCACAGTGAAGTCTCCGAGGTACTACAAACAATGCCAAACACGGTAGTGCGCGCTCGCCACAATCCCAACGTTCCAACACTTGTCCAACACTGTCCGGATTCAAGTTGGCCACCTTGGCCACCAGTTGCTTCAGAATGTCCTGTCCTGTGCAAATTGATCAAGCCCAAATACAACCATACGCCGCCGTGTCCGCTATCACGCTCGTTGGTGAGGACTCGTGTGGAAGGCGGAAGGCGAACAACCGTGGCGCTTGTTATGCACGTACCATCATACACCGGCGTCATAATGCATTACAGCAAGCCGCTCGAAGACCTCACCACTTCATGACTCATGACGCACAACAAGCCACCAGAGCCTGGAGATCCTCAGGCCTAGGTAGGACACGTGTAAGCACTGCTTCACAACAACGAATCATCGAGCCACCTGAGCTATGAATGTCAAATGATAGCCACCAAATCTACTCATGGCAAGAGCGTGTACCCGGAACGCGGTCACAGCACTGCGATGGAACAAAGGGTCGGAGATTGACATCCCACGCCACATGTATGATTGTGGCTGCACACAGCACCCGAGCTCAAGTATTTAAACCGCGTTTTGCAAGTTCCTCAGACTCAAGCACCCATCTCTCCATCATACGGACGAACACCATGTCCTCTGTCGATCTCCAACAGCTCTATCTCGAAAACGTCTCCTCGATGAACATCATGTACAAGCCCGGTCTCGGTGAATTCCTCTGGGCCGTCGTCACGACACCGTTCGGCATACCTGTCTGTCTCGGGCATGCGTTACTCCGCCTCCTGCTCCCACCAGCGCTCTCAAGTTCCTTCGATACCTCAGTCGCGAAGACCCTTGACCTCACATTCTTCGGACAAATCCATGTCATCGGCCATCTTCTGCTCCTTATACTCATCCCCTCGGTGTTTGGGGCAGCCTATGCACGTTCTCAGGGCATACGACGCCCCCGTATACTCTTGTATGCTCAAATGGCCTCCCTGATTATTGTCAATCTGGTGACGGGCCCGCTCGCCCCCCTTTTTGTTCCTACTATTGGGGCGGCAATCGGCTTCGTTGGCGGGCTCTACGCGGACATGCGACTGGACGAACTTGATGCCAGCCAGCTGGATGACTCTCTGCTGTCCCCTAACGCAGCTGCTATAGCAGGGTGGTATGGCTATGCGCTTGTGTTCCTCACCTGCAAGTTCCTGCACGCATTGTGGGTATTCTCCAAGGAACAAAGCCAGCCCACGGTCGGTCTGCGTATTCAAACCGACATCTCTGGTGTACTTCCATTTGATGTCTTGCCGCTGGAACTTGAGGACGTGGCGCGAGACTGAGCGGTTAAGACTGTTCCGCTAATACCAAATATTTATTTTGTGCAGCTCAGTGGCTGCCGTTCATTCACTTGTTATTTAACTGTACTTCAAGCTTGTAGCATGCTCTCCAACATGATGTGGCATGCCTGCCCATGTATGACACTATGTACCGAAACCAAGACATGCACAACTTGAACTGATTGTATCGTGCCTGCAGATATACAGATTCGTGTTTTGACAGCCACGACTTCCAACTATTAGGTGGAATAAATGGATATCCGGAGCCGGCGCAGGTTGAAGGAATGGTCTACGCTGCTCTCAGGAGACCAGCTGCAATAGTTGGGACGCAAACGCAGGCTTCCCGTTCACAAGTACCAACCGAAGACACACCGACTAGTGTGGCATCAGTACTGCTCAACGAACATCTCAGCGTCGCGACTGCCATGCAACATAAGGCCGACGGTTCTGGAGGATTTTCCCTTAATTCCTCGGGTTTATACTCCATACAGCGTAGGTCGATGCAGAGTGTATCCAAGCCTCTGGCAGCTCTTAAGGTACGGGGGGATTGTTGAGAACGTCGGTACTTATGAGAACGGCTTCAACCTGAGGTACGCGGCTCCATAACAAGATAGGTATGTTGGGCGACAATCACAAGCGGCGTACAACGTCGCATGAAGCTTGAGAACTCCGAGTCAAGCAACGGATACGAAGAGCAATTCATGACATTATTGTAATCATTCCAACTAGATGGCCCTCGAGAATGTAATTTCAGGGTTTTGAAGCGCTGTATTCACGCTGTTATTGTATGAAAGGGTCGTCGCGACAGAAAAAGTATGCGTATAGCCAACGTGTTCCCAAGTGGCACAATGGCGATGTACAATTAGCGTCCGTTGCAACGCGATGAAGCGCCACAGATTGGCTATATGGAGATCTGTGCGGAGCGTGAAAATGCACTCGCTTGGCGTGGCGGAGGAAAGCAGGAGATCAGCTGAGCTGGAAGGCACTTGATCGAGGGATCTAGGACCCAGGTCTGGATGACCTCGATTAGTTCAAGCTGGCCACCGAGAGAAGCTGAAAACGCGGACCTGCCCATGCCATTGCTGTCGCCTCCATCTCCCCAGTCCCCCCTCTCCTCATCCCTCCTGAACACACCCCCACGTACGCAACCACTCATAACACGCGTACAGGCCAGAAAAACGCGTCAAGTCACGTCCAATCACTCCGCGTGCTAACATGCCGAGTTCCTCGCGACACGCGCGTACAGCGAGTCCCCCGCTCACAAGCACGAGCTATTCGAATACGCTAGCAGCTGGACAAAGACTAAATGTAGTCACCCGTTTGGCCATCGAAGGAAAGTCCCAGAGGGGTTCCGAAGGCGCGGCAATCAGGATGTATCTAAAGGTGAGATCCACAAGCCCGCGTCACTGCCGTTTGTCGTCACCGCGAACGAGAGCAAATACCAGCCTAGCCTAGGGTACACGTGTATTTCGCGTTTCAGTAGAGTCAACGCGCTCTGCATGCGCAAGCCACGCGCGAGATTAAGCTGATAGCCTGTTTGCCACATTCGATTGCAGCTCGGGGTAAGCTTGCTTCTGCACTAGCGAATATGCCCCACAGCAGTCACCAGCTACTGCTATTTCCTCTCTCACGAAGAATCCTAATTGTAGACTGTGTGTCTTCATTTGTGATCATGACTTTCCGCGACACCTATCTTGGATGGACGTGTCCCTCTTGCTCGAAATGATAAGCATACGGGCCCTCATTGATCTCACTTTCTTTCTTTTGACTCGCAACACGCTCGTTTATGATAATACCACTAACGCACCAATTCTAGATGTCCATTCCTCTGGACAGCATTACCCCCGGGGCTACACTTGCTCTGTTCCCAGGTATGAGACATCCCGCTGCCTTCATGGCCGTTGCTCACGACTTGCAGAGGAGAACCTTAAAATCCTCGATTCTCAGGTTCACCCTTTAGACAACAATTCTGTGCCGTACAATTTCTCGTCGACTACCTCACCCATGCTCCACAGGGCTGCACGCGCGCTCAACCTCCCAGCACGATCTTCTAGTATGTATGTCCCAACGCCTGATTCTATGTCCTCGTCCTCCGCGAGTATTCCTCCATTGGACAACAACTACACTGGACATATACTTGTGAGCGGGTATCATGTATCCTACGTACTGCCGAGGGAGTTCCCGCGACGAGAGCACGAAAGCCGCAGCCGGCGCGGGGCTTCCGTCATGCAATTTATGGCATCAGTCGACATATGGGTGCCCTTCCTGTCTAGTCCGCCCCAAGCGCCCTATCTTGTGAGTGTGCTTTCGGATCTGCGACATAGCGGCCACTCAAGTTGACGTCACGCAAGCTGTCTATCCCAGTTCCTCGTTGCCTGTCAAATCACATCAAGCTCCGCATATTCCCTCCTAATCCCTCAGCCGCATCCTCTATGGCATCGATCTCGTCCGCGGATGAGGAGGGCGGAGCTTGGGAGCTCACCTCAGACCCCCACGTCACACGCAACACGGCGCGTCTCTCGCGTTCGCACTCGTACAATAACTTCGCCGACGACGAGTCTAGCGACGCTTCGACGTCTGCAGGATTTGCTGAAGGGTGCGGTATCCAGGGTACATTCCCTTGCACGGACCGTATTCGCATGCGGTGGGCGACGCCTGTGAAACCGGGTCAAGTGCCCGAGGCAGCTGACGGGCGCCGCCGAGTGGGCATCAGGGAAGTGAAGGGCGATATGACCTGTGGCATCCTGGGGAACAAGGGCAAGGGATGGGACCGAGGCAGCTCAGGCGTCCTTATGAAGTTGGAATACACTGCGGTTTGCAAGGGCGTGTGGTTTCCTGGAGTTGCTACTCTGCTGGGCATGGATGTCGGTCTGGAGGCGGAGGATTGTGATGTCTCCTGGGCTCCGGGATACGAGCAAAGGTGGGCGATAAATGGCAGTACAGGTTTTACCGGCTACGCCATTGATGGTCCGCCGAAGCCTGCGTCACGGCCCTCGACCTCTAGGCAGTCATTCGCGGATTACCCTCCGCCTTCGATATATGTCCTCCCTTCGACCCCAGATGGCAAGCTAGCAGTCAATGGACATACGCAAGCGTCACAAGGATACGCGTCGAACTCACCGTCACCATCGCTGTTGCGCGCACCACTGCCTGTTCAGAATGTTGCCGACTATTCCTTCGAGAGTTCTCCAGTGACGACTCCTACTGGCTCTGTGTCATCCCTCACCTCCTTGACAGGCCCCTCGAGTCCGGAGCGCACCCGGAAAAAGCGGTCTTCGTCCATCAATGGACGATACCCTGGGTCAGACACTGACGTGGATGCTGAGGTCGACGTACGCCCGCCAAGAGCACCGATTACGGTGCATCTCAACATGAATGAGCTCCTTCCGCCACCCAGGAACGCCTTCACGTTCAGCATCTCTGGAGTGGTCGTTGTTACGCATCGCAATACGCCCCTCACGCCCGAATCGCGCAGATCGTCTCCGCGGTCTCGTCCGCCAGCCGACAGCGAGATTGACGAGGAGCCTGTCACGCTTCCGCGGTTCCGCATTTTCTACGCGGACAAGGAGTCCATATCTACGGTCGTGCGCAATGAAGCAGATCGCACATCTGTCGATATCTACGACCCGGTCAGCGCTCGATCAGGTGGCAAGAAACTTCGCGCTGTCCTGCACAAGGGCAAGGACGCCCGTTGCGGCACCGAGGCGATACGGGTTGCGGTGCATGCCGCACAGACTGGACCTCCAAACTCTCGCCGCCATGACTCGAGCGACGACAGCCTGGACTTTAGTCTTGGCCGCACTCGGACGTCCGGGGGCATGCGTTCGGTCTCGTCAACCTCTCGCTTACGCGAGATGTCTATGATGTCGTCGGCAAAGCTGCAGCCCCAAAGGGACGGTGCGCTTATGATCCCAACGGTGACTGCGAACGTCACGCCCTTGCTCGGTGAAGGGACCGGCTTCCAAAATGGCTACGCTGTGCATGTGTGCCTTCCTGCACCTGCTGATACCGACTCCGATTGGCTGGAGTTTGGTCTGGCTCTTCCTGGTATGGGGGCGTCTATATCTGATTCCAAGGAGCTATCTATGCGTCGTGGCGTCGCGGCAGACGGTCCGCCTAACATCGACATTGCTAGTGTTAGCCTGGAGGGTGTGCCAGTCCGGTTCCAGACGAGTACGGTCGCGAAACCTCAGACCGGAAACACCACGTTAACGTTCGAAGAGACTAGCGGCAAGGAATGGATCAGTTGGGTCAGAGTTCATGTCGGGGAGATCGGAGGTGGCAAGGTAGAACTCATCTACCTTGTCAAGGGCCAACAGCAAGAGCCCCCCGCAGACGAGGAGGTCAAGGGCAAGCTTTATAAGAAAGATAAGCAAAAGGCTGTGGATACAATACCTATGGATATCCTTTTGCCAAGTTTCGCCCTACCGGTCGGTCAGCTGCAAGTGGATATCTTTATTCGAGAAGGTATGGATCCTTCGATCGTTGTTACCCTTTTATGTTGACAATTTGGCTTCAAATAGGCTATGAAATCACGTCCCTACGCACAAATATGGTGGAGCAGCAGTCGACCGTTCGCAGCCGTAGGCTACTAGGTCTTTCTTTGAGCGAGTTTTTCTACCCCCGTGTACGCCTATGTATTGCCGCCACACCTCATCCGCCATCGCGACAGCCACGGTCGTATAAAACATTCTCGATTGGCGTCTTGGCGGCCACTTTCTTACTGCTCTTCGGCATGGTCGTCATGCAGAGAGTCGATCTTCAGCGCTCATACACACAACTGCAAGTCGCCAAAGCGTCCGCTGCAAGTTATGCAGCGATGCTCGAATCTAACCATAGCGAACCGCCGGAAACAGTCACAGTCACTGCTAGCGCTACATCCGTTATCACGGCTAGTGCACATCGATGGTGGCTGGGCACCGACAGTCCTGTCTCCAATGAGCCGACGACTACGCCTGTGGAGACAATGGGGACACCGGACCCATCGACCACTACGTACGCGACGCTCTCGAGAGCAGAGACTGCAGAGATGCCTACACTTACCCCTTCGCTCCTGAGCCCGTCGAATACCCCAACTAACTATGCTGTGATGCCACCAAAAGACATTGTCTGGTCACTAGGTTTTAACCTGCCGACGATCCCTATACCCCATATAGACTTTTCAGAAGCAGCGCGGACTACAGTGAAGACGGTCGTCGATGGTATGGGCTCGCTCTGGCAATTGTTTCGAAAGGTTGTGCATTACCCTCTAGATCCCCCCTAGGTTCACATTATGGATATCATGCGGCTCGTACTGTATGTAATGTTATACTTATGTTGTTAGAATAATTGCTTGTTGATTACAAGTACTGTCATGTTGTCTGCGGCACAGATGCTCGTCGCCTAAAACGAGGGTAAGGACATGTTTTAATAGTTGACTGTGTGGGAGCAAGCCATATTAGACCTTCATCATTAATGTAACAATAAAATACAGTTCAACGATTCGATAGCGTACGCGATGCGAGTGATGCAGGAGAATTAGAACTTGGCCAGAGTCAGATCGTCCCATTTAACAAGTGGACCCGGGGGACCGGCTCTTCGTAAGGCTGCTTTAAACGCTTTAGGATCTTCAATCAAGCGTACCGCATCCTTCAGCTTCCCTGCATCGTCGGCCTGCGCGGGGTAGCGTTCTACAAGAGTTTGCAGGGCTACGAGAAGTTCTTGTTTAGTTTCGCCAGACACGTTGGGCTCTTGCTTCATGAGGATATCGGCCCAGTAAGCAGAACATTGCGTAAGGAATGGTTCGCCTTCGACCATGAGGTCTTCTCTCCATTTTTGTCCATCGATTACGACGCCTCGCTCGAGCAGTATGCTCTCGAATGCCTCCATCGCCGCGAGGCTGACCTTTTTGGGACGAGGTTTCTGCGAATGCAACTGTATGGAGAACTTGGCACGCGTCCTGGACGATGGATGTACACGGGACAGGAAGAGCGAGATGACGTCCTGCCTCGTGATAGTCTTGACCAGAGAAGCATCGTGTTCACCTGCGGTAAACGTCAGTCCGGCTGGAAAGCTACGGACGTGATGACAGACACTTACGCCGCAAGAAGTCCAGGTACCCGGAGTCAATGTGGCCCCAGTACCGGTTAGTCTCTTCACCCAGGTTCTTGGCCGCCTCACGCCACCGTCTCTCCAGACCGGTCTGTTGCTCTTTGAACTCCGCGTCGGCCATCTCCTCTAGTTTCTCCTTCATCTCGTCCAGGAATGCCTCGACGCGCTCTTCGAGGTACATCGGACCACGCTCGCTCTGGACCACAATGCGTAGTCCAAGGTTTGACTCTCCAACGGAAATCATCTGTGAACAGGACACAATATAGCCTAGCTGCTCTCTCGTCCGAAGGACATTGAAAGCTGGCTCCGCCATAATTTGCGTCATGAGTGCAGACGTCACGCGCAGTCTGGGTTCGAGGAAAGAGCCTAGGTGGGTGTAGTACGAGAGGGCAGAGTTTGGCTCGTTTACATTAGGGACAACAGTAGTCCAGACGTGATTTGACCCTAAGATTACAGTGAGCATCGACATTACACTCGAAGTCAAGTATGCGTACCGTCTGGAGGGATAAGCGCTGTCTCGACTACCTCAGATGCCTTCAATGGAACGGGGTGCAAGATGTTCTCAGTCATTTCGGCAAGTCGTACAGCGTCCTGGGAAAGTATATCAGCCATCATACCGACATGAGACACAGACGGGGAAGAAGACTGACATCCTTGAACATGTTTCCTACGACAAGCATGCGAATGTGTAGCTTAGAGAGGACGTGTTTCACGTGAGCTTCCAACTCTTCAGCGGTGATCGCTGCTCGCTGGTCAATATGTCATCCTGACAGAATGTATGCGCCGCACTCACAGCTAACTTCCGCGAGTTTCTCGGCTAATATCCACTGTTTCTCCGTGAGGAGGTGCCGCCCATAGTAATCAGCCAGGCGGAATGGCTGCCCCATGTAGAAGTTCTCATAATCTCGTTTCGCCTGTTTCGGGGGGTGAGCGTACGAAGATTACCCTGCGCTTGTATGCCTCACCTGATCCTTCATAACTTCGAGTCTGTCAGCTTTGATCTGGAGGTCCTTGACTCTGCTTATCACATCTCTTGCAAGAACGTGCAGCTTATCGTTATATCCTGAGAGTACGACAGATACTCCCAGCGTTTGTGCCGTGAATTGGTACGTTAGGCCAGCAAGATCAGCATCGTACGCGAACTCTGTCAAAGAGTCGTTGACAAGATCCGAAAACAATCTATCCAAAAGTTCTTAGGGATATCTCCAAAGAGGCAACGTTCGTGGACTTACCGGGTCATCACGCTCGCTCGCGCGGAAGCATTGGCCTCCGGACTGCGGGTAGATGAGAATGCTTCCCCACACGAACACGAGAACCACGGCTGACCTGCGAAGATCCATCAAGACATGTGCCTTCGGAATCCAAAACTGGTCGTCCTTCTTGTGCCACAAGCTGGTCAGAGGGGTCTCTCGGACCAGGATGGGGCGTTTCAGGGGCTGGAAGAGAATACATTTCATTTCCGAGCATTGAATTGCCGAGATTAGAGAAGACTTACCTGGTCAACCGGTACCTTCTGAACATCTAGGTTGGTCGGGATGAACTCGTTCGGGCCGGGGAGAAAGAGCTCAGGAATGTTGTTCGGACCTTGGGCCTGCGGGAACCACGGTGCTGCCTCAGCACACGCACACCATTTGCAACACGGGGCATACATACCTCCTGCACGAACGCTTCGTCGAGGGTTTCGACGCGGTATTGCGTCCCATACCATGGCTCTTGTTCCCAGTTGCCCTTCCCACGCAGCCGCTCGTGCTCGGCGCCTTTCGCCATCAGAACGACGCGACCCCTGTCGACGCGCAGACTTTCCAGTACATCGCGCATCTCACGCTCGCCACCACCCGCCGGGACCTGTTCGTCCCATTCCCAGACAAGCTGTGGCGCGCTGAGAACGAGCTCCCGAGGGACGGGCCAGGAGAGATGCTCCGAAACCCACACTGCGTAGTCGTCTGGGCGGCGTTTCTCCTGGAAACGGAAGCGTGTCGCCTTGATGATGCTCATCTCGCGTTGGTACCACGCGGGGAACTCAGAGTCGCGCATCATGGACAGATACTTGAAGATGGCCAGCATGGCGTTACGATAGTTCTCTATTGCCAACTCATGAATTTGAATTTGAGTGACATGGTGGGTAGAAGAACGCACCGAAGCCCGTCTTGGTCAGATTGAGTGTGACTTTGATCATGGCGAAACCCCGTCCGAGATTCTGGGGCCCCGCACTGAGCGCAGTTATCCAGCCCTTATTCTTCAAATACGAATGAAGCGACCCTGGACCTTCATGTCCTAAGAAGTGCGATACGAAGTTTCCGGGTTGGTAACGCCACTGGCGCGGCTGCCATGAGAGAGGGAAGGAAACCTCCACAGCGTGGAAATTCATGATCGTCTGCACAGAAACGAGTGTCTGGGACATTTCTCAGCTCATTATCATAGCATACAGGCACGTTGCATACTCACGCCCACTTCACTGGATCCAAACGGATGGTCGTTGATCATCGGCAACGGGTCCTGTCCCCGATTGAGGATGGGGGAGAACAGTCCAGTTGTCATTTTCGACAGGTCGTCCAGCGACTCTGAGCAACTAGTGAGTTAACAGATACGCGGCCCATAAAGACAATATACCTTTGCCGATGATGCATAAACGCATGCGGCCTGCACAATAATTCTGGCTCCACCACTCGACCAGCCTTCGGCGAGTCTCACGACCCACAGAGCCGCCATCGGCATCCATCTCGCTCGATGCAGAGTTGGATGACGGTGCCGGCGAGGGGACACGAGACGAAACGGGGGATGGAGCAAGGCTGCCGTCAGCCGACTTGAGCACCGCGCTTGCCTCTCCAGCTGTGTTTGAGGCGGGAGCGAGGAGGCCCTTGGCTTTAAGCTCACGGCCTACCTTCGAGAGGCTGTCGCGGTTGCCGCTGCCGAATTTGCTCCACGGGTGGCCCGGCTTGCTCAAGTGCTTGTTCAGCTGAAAGATTCGCCACATGTCTGATTGGTGATTCTTCTTGTGTTCGGAGTCGACGGCATTTAGCTCGCGTGATGTGCACGAAGGCGAGAAGAGCGGGCAGTGAAAGAACGCAGCAAAGCGAGCGAGCGCGCCAGGGAGCGCATTGGTGTCGACAGTGAAGTAATAGTTTGTGTTGGAGGTACCTGTGAATGCGTTTGAACTACCATTGTTTTTGGCAAGAAACTACGCGTGGAATATGAGATGAGAGCAGTAGTATGGAGCCAAGGCATACCTCCGAGTATTCATTCTCCCGCGGGAATTGCTCCGTTCCCTACAGGTAGTCAATGGTTGAGATGAGCCACTCTGACGCTCGCGTGCTGCATACCATGAACAAGAGGTGCTCGCAGAAGTGAGCTAGACCTGGCATGTCATCCTACAAGCAGATTGAAGAGCTCAGCACCTCATAGTCTACACAACTAACGACTGTACGACACGCTGTACGCGGACTCACGGGATCGTATAGATGTCCCACCGAGATGTCCAAGCTGGCAGCAGCCTTGTCGGCCTTGGCGTCGTGTATGAGCATAGCTTGAAGTCCATTGTCTAGTTGTATGATTCTATAGTCGCGGTCGTCCTGACGGGACTTGTGGATAGGCATGGTGAACATGTAGTACGGTTTGGAGCCAGCTGGCGAGACCCGTTCCCATTCGGGGATGAGCGGTGACGCGACCATGGCGAATGTCGAGGAGGGAAAGAACGGGTAAGGCCTAGCAATCCTCAGAGGATTCAGGACGCGGCTGGAGAGGATGGGGGGACGGAAAGGGGACAGGCGACTCGCCAGCAGCCGCTGCATCTTGGACGAGTTAAATGGGACTCTGACGGATACGCTTACATCATATTTCAGAAAAAGAATAAGCCGACAAGTGGACCCTGCAGGTGGTGGGACGAAGGACCTATCAGAGAAAGCAGTCCGCACTCTCCGTGAGGTGTTCACAATGTCGGCGTCAGGTCACGAAAACGCTGGCGATAGATTGCCAATCTCGGACTCAACGCCTCACATGCATTTCTCAGTCCGGTTCACACCCCGTCGCTCTTTACCGCTATCAGCTTCTCTCACGTTAGAAGTACTTCATACGGGACCGTGGCTGCCACTCTTTATGACGTCGGAAATGAAACACAACTGAGCCCGAGTGCACCAGGGAGCAACCGACTTTATCAGCATGACCACTGACCAAGCTGTGAATCGAGGCCCAAGGCCTCCCAGGAGCACTAAGGGTAGCTGGCGTTCTCATCGGCTTCGGACAAACGCCCGCAGCGTCTCCTGACCATTGGCATGACGGGAGGGTACGACAGAGCACATCGAGGACAACAGAACGCTATAGCTCATTACGTAGCCAGAGGTGTCCCAAGCAATGGTACCTGCATCGAAAGTTAAGCGACAACTAAGACCGGTTAGAGTACCAGACAGGGTGCACACCTCCATCAGAAGACCGATGGTCCAAAGACACGAGTCGTTGACCAATCAATGGAAGCAAAGAGCAATCGGGACGACGAGCTGATGCATAGCACTACAGAAACAACACGAGGCACGACAGGCTGGAACACTAGGGTTACATGAAGAGAGCAAGGGTGATTATTAATCCACTGAGGTGACGACGGGAAATAAGGAAATTCAAAGTTGGCGGAGTGACAAGACGACGAACAATTCCGAGATCCAATCGAGTAAAATGAGACCGTTACTTCTTTCTGGCCATCTTCAACCCCATCTTATTATTCAGCATCTGCGGTTGCTGTGGCGGAGGGACGAAGTCTCTACGCCGACGGAACAGAAGAACGTGTGGCTCGGGTGCTACGCGTTTCTGTCAACGGTGGTGTCAATTGGCTCAAAACCTCATGTTGACTCACCGTGGACCTCATAATGCTCCCAGCCCAAGCTCTGCGTAATCCCAATCCCGCGCCACTCCTGCTCGCTCAGTAGCCGCAGCGTGCCGCTCTTGTCCGAATTGAAGAGCTGCTTCGGGATCATCTTGAAGAGCGGCTTCGGCAAAATGACATGACGATATTCGTACTCGTCGTCTGAGTATCGATCAGAGTAGTGGATCCTACCAAAACGATAGCCTGTGAGTCAGAACATTTCGCATACATGTGAACGACGAGCCGACTTCTCTATGTATTCCTCCAACTTCCTTGCGGCCTCCGCTGCAGCTGCCTGCGCCTGAGCTTGCGTCTGGGCTTCTTTACTGGCCATGGCGTTGCGTATACAGCCCTGAAAACGACGGTGTAGACGATGATCCTGTCGAAATGGGCGTGTCTGCTGAACGCGACCGGTCACAAACCGTCACTCACTGTACACGAGGTCATGTGATCATGCGACGCGTCTCGATTTGAAACTCCGCACGTCGTCGGGTGACCGTGTAAAGACACGGTCATTTCTTGCTTTCGATCATCGACATTCCCCCGCTCTTGCAAATGGACGAAGAAAGCTTTGCTGATCTCGTTGGAGAATATGGATTGGATGATCCTGACTACGCTGTTGGCGTCGATGATTCTGGCATCGCATTTGGTCAAGGATCTGCAGAGGGAGAATACCAAGATATAGACGACCTCATTGAAGAATATGGTGACTATATGCGCCTCATTTTCGGTCGCCTAAGTGCGTTTGACACTGCAAAATACTTCATCCAGAGAACTCGTCCCCATCTCCACCAGAACGTCGTGGCGTGTCAAACGCTCGCTTTGCTTCCAATTTCAATCCGCTCTTCACACGGACCCGCGCCCCGCTACCTCTTCAAGAGCGTGAAGAGATAACGGGATACGAGGAGCCCGGCCAAAGGTACCATGCGCGCCAGCAGCATCCGGCAGACGCGCACGCTGGTCCCGGTCTGTCCAATTATCGTCCTCCAACCTTCAATACGGTTCCGTTCCAAAAACAAACAGGTAAGCATGACCCAGATTTCTCCACCGGCGGTCTTCGCTCATGAGTGTGCAGCTTCCAGACCTTCATTCTGCGAGCCGGCTCAAGGCATGGCGCTACCTCCGCAAATCTCCACGCCGCCCTCAGCGACCCTTGCAGCAGCCAGTGCTCATCGATCGGCACATGTTGTGAAACATGGTCATGATGACGTGCAGAGCCTAGATAGAGGGTCAAATCCCCGCAATGCTCACGGCATACGCTTGCGCCCTGTGTCAGAGCTCCGTAAGTCTCGATGGCCATGTTCTTACCCGAGCGGGGTGTATGCGCTACCAGCTGACGCATGCATGCACCCTTTGCTCCAATTCCCGTTTCAGCTGACGTCTATCGCGGGATGTTCAAGTTCGGCGTCTTCAATGCCGTGCAGTCCCAATGTTTCGATATCGTATGTGCTGGTTATTTAGAACGAAGATATTGACCAATCAGCGCTCTCCTATTAGGTTATGCACACGAACCGGAACATGGTTCGCGGTGAACCTCCTTTGATGCGAGCCTATGCTGAGCTTATTACGTTCTCGCTTCACAGGTTATAAGCGGTCAGCGTGCTACGTCTTCTTGCTATCTGGATCTCACGCGGAACCGTCAACAGCTCCGACAGGAAGTGGAAAGACGGTCCTTTTTGAGTTGGCCATAATCAGAATGCTCATGCAATCGGGTGGAAATAGCAATACATCCAAGTGCATTTACATAGCCCCTACAAAGGTGAAATGACGGCCGGACATTCACAAGCACGGATAGCAGCATTGAATAGTATCTCACCGCGCTGGTAAATTTCATATAGGCGCTTTGCTCTGAAAAATGCAGAGAATGGACGACAAAGTTTCAAGCGCTTGGTGTAAACTGTAAGCCAAGACAGATTGCGATGTTATGGTGCAAAGAGACGTGGATTGATGACGTCTTGTCGGTAGGCTGTGAACTAACCGGAGACACGGTTCAACTCGGTAAGAATGCATGGGGTAACGCTCGAGATGCATCCATCATGTATGTGGGACAATATTGCGTATTTTCTGTCCACATTACTGACTGAACCTAAGCGTGACCACTGTATGGAAGCTATGGCTTACTTAACAACAGAAAAGGAAGCGCGGCTTATTAGACTTGACAGGGCGAGAAGTGGGATAGCTTGACGCGCAGCTGGTACGTCCGGGCACCCTAAATCACACTCCTGTCGTTGACAGTGCTCACGCTGTTACATAGGCGCCGTCACGGACAGATCCTCTCACAGATACAACTCTTCCTCATCGACGAAGTAAGTCTATCCGACCTTCACGCGTAGAATACCGTCCGGAACACAGCTGTTCTTCGCAGGTGCATATCTTGAATGAATCTCGTGGGAGCACACTCGAGGTAGTACTCTCACGAATGAAGGCCCGTGGGTCGTCGGTTCGCTTTGTGGTAGTGTCCGCAACGGTCCCAAACATTAAGGATGTCGCGAGCTGGATTGGCGACGGGACGCCGGATGGCTCGGCAACAGTTATGCAGGTGCGAGACATCCCTCCATACATCGCGACCACTTGGGTCTTTGTCGCCTCTGGAGACTGACTTCTATCGGTATCCTAGTTCGGTGAAGAATTTCGGCCATGCAGGCTTAGCAAATTCGTGTATGGATTCTTCAGGAAACGGGAGCAGAATGACTTCGTCTTTCAAACGGTGCTGAACGCAAAACTTTATGGGATTTTGCAACAGCACTCCGTCAACAAGCCAATGCTGGTTTTCTGCTCTACACGCAAAGGTATCAATGGTGTATTCCGCAGATAGGTAGCAAGTATTCATAACGATTGTACTTAATTTCAGGGGTCATGGGCACAGCGGACCAAATCTTGAAAGAATACGAAGAAGCGTCCCAGAAGAAGCAAGCATTGCCCTGGACACGCCCCCCGAGGTATGTACTACCCGCTCAAGTATCTTGGCAACTCGTTAAGCAACGAACACGCGTAGAATCGAACGAAATTTCCAAAATAAACACCTGGAGAGTGAGGCATTGATTATACGTTTCTGGCGTTGTCAGATGTACGTTAACATTGTCTATCATTCTCGCACAGAGCTAGCAGCATACGGTATTGGCATCCACCACGCGGGCATGAGCATGGACGACAGGCGTGCAACGGAAGACTTGTATCTGAGGAAGCTGCTTCGGATCCTGTTCGCTACCTCCGTGAGCCGTGACACTGTTATGTCGCCTTGCCGCTTACACCAGTCGTTATCAGACTCTGGCAGTTGGTGTGAATTTACGTGCGCGATTCTTACACGTGTTAAGGCGCACAAATGGCTCAGTCTGCTTGCTTGTCAATCCCAGCTGCGCATACGGTGATCATCAAAGGCGTCAAGGTGTTCCAGAACAACGCTTGCCAGGAGTATTCAGACCTCGATATCATGCAGATGATGGGTCGTGCGGTGCGTGCCGGCCTCATTGTACGACACATCGTGCTGAGACTTCTCGCAATGCATCGTCTAGGGCCGACCCCAGTTCGGTGCGTTCGCCTTCTTTATCTTCATAACTGATCGTATCTCATCGGACATTATCTGCAGATAAGGAAGGGGTCGCGATCATCATGTGCGAAACCGAACTCGAAGCCAAGTACAATGCACTCGTGCAGGGGCAGACGCTTCTTGAATCTTGCTTGCATCTAAACCTATCCGAGCACATCAATTCAGAGGTGGGGCTTGGAACGATCACCGATCTCAACAGCGCAAAGGCATGGCTGCACAACTCGTTCCTGTTCCGGAGAATTCAGCAGAACCCGAAGCACTACGCGATCGGGAAGGAGTGTAACCAAACATGGCAGGAGCGAGTCGACGAAATGGTAACAGAGAGCATCACAAAGCTGCGGCAAACAGAGCTGGTCATGTACTCGGACGATACTCAGACACGGTTGTGTTCCACCGAATATGGCGATGTCATGAGCAAGGTAAGCTGACAAGCCTGCTCACATCCCGATTTTACTGAGTTTGTGGTAGTTTTATATCAAGCAATCTACGGTGATATTTCTCTTTATCTCATATCGCGGTATATTCATCGAGGAACTCAAAGATGGGGCTCATCCTCAGCCTGCCCGAACGCGCGTCTGTAAGAGAGATCGTAAGGACAATTTGATATCGGGCCGTGGACACATACTCAACGATAGTCTAGCTCGAGACTATTTGCGGGGCTGAAGAGTTCGTACACACTGCTTGAGACGTTGCTGTCTTATATGCGTTATATAGATATTCGGACATCAAACTACGTGGCGGAGACAAACACGTGAGCATCTATATCAACGATATAAATGACTATCTTACTTTGCTTTGTTAGATTTATAATAGAATGCGCGGTCATAACGACATTCGATATCAACTTAAGAAGGTCGAGAAACCGGCCGATAAAATATTCATACTGATCCAAGTGAGCCCTTTTATCACGCGGATTACATTGGGGCTAACGATCCCCGTACGCTGTGCAGGCAGTTCTTGGATGTATCAGTTTATCCGATCCTGAATACAAGAGCGGCGATAGCAACCCGTCTCTGGAAGCGTCATCCGTCTTCAGACATGTCGTACGGATTGCCAAAGGTAATTGTGGTTCTAAGTCGGGTTGCGTTCACTTCTTGTGATAGCGATCTCATTTTCGTATTTAGCCATTGTCGAAGTGGCGATCCTCAAAAAGGCTGGAGGTCTCCTCAAAAGCAGTCTCGAGGTGTACGTCAGTATCTGTTCGATCATACAATCGAAAACTCAATATCGGGTGCCGGACTAGTATCCGCTGCCTCAGTGCTAGGGCTTGGGAGGATAGGCCATCTGTGCTGCGGCAGGTGGAGCATATTGGCGAGAAATCGTATGTCTGCTTGAGTTTCGTTCAAATCTTCTGCTGACATCGTCTCAGCCTGAAGGTCTGCCAGCGGCTCCTCAGAGCAGACGAGCATTACTTGACGTTGCCTTCAGGTTTTAGCGGAGGCTGGAATCACATCTCTTCCCGTCTTGCGCAAACAAGACCCCTTGAGGATCGAGGCGGTACGTTGGGTGAATAAGTCCCCATGGCCCTGCATTTACTCCTACCTAGCTGCTAAACCGCCGTCCTCCTTTTGGCCACGAGGTCATCGCCGCAGTTCAACAATTTCCGCAATACCTATTGAACATAAATGAAGTCGACCTTGCTACCTTCGCGGGAAAGAAGCCTATTCAAGTCGAGCTGTCGATCAAATGTGGTCTCACAGAGAATCTGTCGTCTAATAAGCCGAAGAGGGCCAAAGACAAGAGCTCGGACATGACCATCGTCTTTACTGTTACGTCCGATCTGGACTTCCTTGACTTCCGTCGTATCCCGTGCACTGAAACATTCCTTATTTCGCGTTAATCTAGACTGACTAGTATCACTAGGACCAAGGCGTTGAAAGAATCGAAGACATTTTCATTGACGGCGGAGTTGAGTAGGCAGAGCCAATCCATCACGGTCTACATCACATCAGTGAGGTCACCTCATGCACTGCACTGCACTGATCCTCATACCAGGTGATCACGAAGGAAAGCATTGCTGGTGTAACTGTCAGTAACACATACAAGCCGACCGTCAACGCAAAGGAGTACCCTACCCCGGACACGCGCCCACAGACCTCTGTGGTATGAAGAAGTCATGGACTATCGACTGATATTGTGTCTGACATTCGTTACTAGGAGGTGATGCTAGAAGGATTTGAGGAAGATCCAGACTTCTGGAATATGGGACCCGATGACGATGATGTTCCAGTTAAGTTGGAGAAGTCACAAGGTGCGTGTTACAAGTCGATTTGGACAGAGTAGACTCCTTGACGATGATGATATACTGTTCGATAGACGTTGATTGGCCCAGCAGGCAACAGGATTCCCCCGCAAGACCTACAAAAACTACCCAGTCAAATACCGCTCGTTCGGCAAATCTTCACCTCGGACTCAAGAGGCTGCCGAATGGCAATTACGAGTGAGTTCATAGATTCAGCGTAGAACTCGGCCTCAGATCTCTCGCCTCAAGGTGTAATCACACATGCAAAGATAAGTCGAAATGTCGGCACATGTGGTGAGTGCCACTCTAGCCTCAAAGATGCTAAAGAGGTAAGCTTGCTTCAAGCTGCCGTGACGGACTCGTGAAGGCCCCTCCCATGTCGAGAAAGCGCGTCGAGGCTATCTGTGCAGAAGACCATACTCAATCAAAGTTGAAGAAGCCTTCTAGTGCAGAGGCAGCACCTGAAACTCTTACAGGAGGCAAATTGAAAGCGAAGCAAAAGTCCAAAGCATCCAAATTGCACGACAAATCGGACGCCCATCTCAGACACCTGGAGTCGCTACATGATAAGACTCATGTTCGCCAGAATCTGAAGCTACCTGCTCATCAGCGCATCACACTTGGCGACGAGGGAAGCTCCAGCAAAAGCAAGAAGTCTAAGGAACAATCTACTGGCGACGACATAGATCCTGGCGACTCTGATGATTCTGACCTTCCCGACCCTCTACAGTTGCTCGGCGCTTTCAGCTCGTCTGAGCGACAGAAGGATTTTGGCTCAGATGGCTCAGAAACGAACTACTCGAATTCTGAAATCGATGCTCTAATCCGTGCTGCTCCCTCAGGTGACCTTTCTGGCAGCCGCAAGGAATCCAAAGCTCCACAAGTCCTAGATTCACAACCTAGTCGCAGTCCTGCTCCTGACGTGTCGTGGCTGACAACGCCGTCGCCTCCAAGCAAGCGCAAACCTGAATCCTGTGGTCCCTTGCCCAAGCGCGTCAAAAGGGAGCACGAACTACTCAGTCCAGCGCTCTGCGCTGCGTCTTCTCATCCATCTCAACGACAGGTTTGCATATGTTTCCCTGCTAGGCTATCACTTCGTCTGAATTGCTCGCAGCAACCGCTATTCTCCGCGACGCTATCCGATGACGAAGAGGTACAGTATGTAGACGAGGCGGGATGGGATGTCACTGAACCAGCTTTCATCGACCACGCGGAAGACTTTGTCCTTGACAGCACTCTCTTCGATATCACGCACAACCCAGCGGACGAATATCTCTTCCCTGGCTCTTCGTTCACCGTTAGCCAAGATCACAGTACTGCCCTTGGGAGCAAGCTGCCTACGGGTGACTGTTTGACTCCTAGACATTCTGACACAGCCGGCCACGGGAGTTCCACAGCCGCAAAACCCAACATCGCATGGGAAGATGAAAGTGAGGACGATGGTGACAACAAAGACGACCTCGCAGAACTGGAGGCATGGCTGCAGAGTGACGCTGTAGAAATTATAGGATGAGCAGTACCATATGCATTCGTAACCCCAAAGAATGTAGTATGTATGCTAGGGCGGCGGATAAGCCAATCTATTGTGCACTCTTGCTGTCACCATCGCGCTGGTCCTCCCCGATAGCCTGCAACTCGGCGACTGGGTCCGTGAATACCCGCAGTGCATCCGCGAACCTCTGGTCCCACGCAACCGGGCTATCAGGACTCACGATGTCCCAACCCTCCTCGTCAGCTCTCCAACGCAGCTCCTTTTTCATCCTCTCAGAGCGCAACTCAACCTCGGTTGGAGGCGGATAGTTGACTTCCTCTTTTGTCAGCTCGCGTGTGCGACGGGCAAGGGCTCGTGCCGTCTCCAGCTTAGCCGGAAGCGACGCGTAGTATCCTGAGCGCGCTTTCTCGATGTCAGACCTGAATGAGCGTACAGTCGACTTTTTGTACCACACCTCCGCGTCTTTGCCGAAGTCGAGGTCGCTAATCGAAGGCTCGGACATATGCGGTCTCGGTGGAGAAGTGGTCGGGTCTGCGTCGAAGCTCTCGGACGCACCCTCTGACGGAGGCGACACGAAAGGTCGTACGTGCCCCATGATGAGCCTGTATGCTGCTTCCGCGCCCTCGCGCACTTTGCGCCGTTCGTTGAAGAATTCCCATATCATCAACGGAATATGGGTCAGACCGATATGGTTGACAAAATGAACGAAGAGGATCGGCGGTTGAGGCGGAATGGCGGTCGGCGGTGTATCCATCCCGGCAGGAATAGAAGATCCAGATGTGGGAAGAGCTGAGGAAGAGGACCCTCGCAAATGGGGAGGGGTGAAAGCTGAGAACGACTTGGAGGGGGGAAGACGTGACGGGGTAGGGATGGGTTCGCCATCCAAGTCGGGGCTGCTCTGAATGGGATCAACATCGGGCTCAGGTTCGTCGAACCTACCGTCCAACTCGAACTCCTTTGCAAGTTCCTCTTCCCTGTCCACGGTCTGCAGACCCTCCGTCCAGCCCCTCTTGAGACCCGCCATAAACTCTTTGAACGTCAGGCGGCCCACGATGACAACACCGCCCTCCAGCTCGCGGCGCCGCTTGTCCTCGGCCGATGTATTTGGTAGAACCACCGGCATGACGGGTGGCGGTTCAAGACCGAGTTCGATCCTCCGTCGCTTTTTGATGTCCTCGGCGATACGCCTCGCAAGGTCTCCATGCCGCTTCCCCTTGATCATCTCATAATCAACAGCGGCTGCGACGAGGACTGGCTGTGCATACGGTTAACGCTGTGACATATTGTGAAGTTATGGGCACCGGACCTTGACGTACTTGCGGAAGAAGAGCATGCTACGGTCAGAGTCCTCGTCGCCAGGCCATTTTGTTCCGTACACGGTGACCTTGCGCGGGTAATCCATGCTATGGAGTGGTATCTCCGCAAAGTGCTTGACTTTGTCTACATACTCCTGGCGGATGCGCTTGCATTGCTGGCGGTCGTACAGGTAGTAGCCCGTGAGCGTGGAGGTGACACCAATGAAGATGAGCCAGTTGCGCGAGGGTAGTTTAGGACGCTTGTCAAGCCATGATGGAGGGATTCCAGTGTATTGAAGGGCAGCTTTCACCCCTGTGAGCCTAGGCTTTTGCTCGGGGAAAACGCTGTCTCCAGAGGACGTGCTCATCGCCAGCAGGCACTTCGAAGGGCAAGGCGCTCGCCTTGGGGTTGATAATTTTAGGTCACGCTTGATGTTTAACTGTCTACTAGCCTATCTGTAAATTTAAGCCACAAGATAGCCTTACTTTCATGTGGTATGTCTCAAGTTACGTAATCTCTGTGTGTCTCTCCTGTCCACCACCTCCACCATCTTCAGAACAGCTCAGTCATGGCGACAGCTCTTGCTTCGTGAGTCGAATTAGGCCACTTCTTCGTGCGTATATTCACGCAATAGCCAGACTACTCCCCAGGCCGGCGTATGCACCGGCTATCGAGGACGACGAGGACGACATTGTTCAAGTACCCACTGCCGCTCCGTCTCAATCAGTCATTATTCGGACACCTGTTCCGCCATACGGGCAAAGGCAAGGATGGAAGCCTGCGTCCCCAGATGATTTTGGTGTGTATGAATGTGTTTTGGTCGGACGTCTTCAACTAAACATGTTGCAGGCGACGGAGGGGCATACCCGGAATGCCATGTCGCGCAATATCCACTAGACATGGGCAAGAAGAAGGCATCCTCAGGTAATACTCTTGCACTTCAAGTGGATGCCGAAGGAAATGTCCGCTACGATGTCATCGCGCAGCAAGGGCAGCGTGCCGGCAAGATTGTCCAGTCGCAATTTAAGGACCTTGTCCCTCTTGCTCACAGGAAGGATCTTGACGACACTGCCCGGATACTGGAGCGTCCTTCGGAGGATGAGGTTCAGGAGACAACCGAAAAGACACGAACGGCGCTCGAGAAGCTCGTAAACGGGAAGATCAAGGCTGCGCAGCCCAAGCATGTCCCGGATAGTCAAGGGAATACTTCCTTCATCCGGTACACGCCCGGCCACCAGAATGGGTCTGACGGACTGAAACAACGGATCATCAAGATGACCGAGGTTGTTGAGGATCCGCTCGAGCCCCCACGCTTCAAGCACAAGAAGATTCCCCGTGGTCCACCCAGCCCTCCTCCTCCTGTACTCCGGAGTCCACCACGGAAAGCCACAGCACAGGAACAGAAGGAGTGGATGATCCCGCCTTGCATCTCTAACTGGAAGAACAACAAGGGTTACACCATTCCTCTCGACAAGCGACTCGCTGCAGATGGACGAGGCCTGCAAGACGTATGTACTATCAACTGCTTCTTGGCTCGTTCCGGTGACCTTATACCCCCCTTTTGCGCAGGTGCACATTAACGACAATTTCGCTAAATTCTCTGAAGCCCTTTTCGTTGCTGACCGGCATGCACGTGAAGAAGTCAGACAGCGCGCCCTTATGCAGCAAAAGCTCGCGGAGAAAGAGAAAGCGCAGAAAGAAGAGAACTTGCGGTTGCTCGCCCAACGTGCGCGCGAGGAGCGTTCAGGCATCCCAGCTGCACGCGTGGAGACTAAGCCAACTGCCGAACGTACAGCAGCCATGCAATCATCACTGAACGCGTATGGCAGTGGCAGTGAAAGTGGATCGGAGTCTGAAGAGGAAGGAGACGAAGATGCGGCGCGGGTGCGTGACGAGATGCGCCAGGAGAAGCGTCGGGAGCGCGAGCGCGAGCTACGCATGAGCAACATGGGTCAGGAGCAGCGTGCCAAGATGCTCGCACGACAGCAGAATCGCGACATCTCGGAGAAGATCGCGCTCGGGCTCGCAAAGCCGACGCTCTCGAAAGAGAGCATGCTGGACTCTCGGCTGTTCAATCAAGAGTCACTCCAAGGTTCATTTGCCGAAGACGAGGCGTACAATCTGTACGATCGCCCTCTGTTTCACGGTTCCACTGCCGCTGCCGCGATCTACAAGGCGCGCGGGAACATCACGGAGGGCAACCAGGACTCGTTCGGCGAAGGTACTGAGGAGGGTATTGGCAAGGCCCTCGACAACGATCGCTTTGGACTGGGCCAGGCACGGATCGGCTTTGAAGGTGCACAGGACCAGGAAGTCAGGGAGGGCCCTGTGCAGTTCGAGAAGGACACAGGAGACGTGTTCGGATTGGACAAATTCCTGGATGAGGCTAAAAGCGGGAAGAAGAGAGGTTTGGATACTGATGTGTAAGCCTTCCCATACTACATCCCTGATTTTCAGCTGACAATAGTCTGCAGTGGTGGCGCGCGGAAGCGACAGCAACTCGACAAGGCATCGGAGCGCGATTCATAATATACACGTTTTCCGTCAAGTAGATAGGTCATTTCCCCCATCCTGTTTGTCCTGTAGTATGTACTGCTATTCAATGCTTTCTCGACTTTGTCGCTTCACAGGGTCTGGAATAATGACAACACTGCAGGTACTGAGCGTGATGCATTAGACGGAAACGATAGCTTCACTCGAGCTAAGAACTAGTGATACACACAACGTAAAACGGCCATGATAACGACTGGCTAGCAAACGACAGGCGGGGCGACAGAGCCATGCTTGACCCTATCTTCACCGCGCCCAGTCACTGGAACGCAGGAGGTCCGATAGGTACTTTGCTTCCTCTTGGTAGTTCAGTGGTAGAATGCGTTGAATGGAGTACCGAACGCGTGTCGTATCCTGGCGGTCAAAGCGAGGTGAGCCTTTTCTCTGATACCCAGGGTTGGGAACGTACATTGTATGTATCCTGCTTCGCCCTGCAGGCGTAGTTGTAGGCGGTACCAGTGGCCTGTTCTACAATCTTGGTGAACTCGACATCATTGCGGTCCTGATGAAATGTCAGCATCTCCTCGTATCTGAAACGGTCCACGCGCCACTGACCTTGATCTCCATGAGCTCGTCCGCGCTCATACCGAAGATCACCTGGCCGACGTCGTTAAAGCCCTGTAGCCATGCCTGGCCAGAATAGTCCGCCACTGCCATCGCGACAATGTACCTGTAGCGATTGTAATGATGCAACGGTGGATCTGTGTCAGAGTACACCATCGCACCACAGCCGCCACTGCACCGCACCTATACTCAGGCTTGTCCCAGGTCTTGTTGCATTTTTCGCAGCGCCATGTCCCATCATGGTCCTCGATGACTTTCTTGTTGCAGCCCTGCGACTGGCATGCGGGGTACGCGAGGTTGTCCGGCTTGATATGCATGACTGTTGCGCGTGCAGAGAACGAGTCAGGCTTGTCCGACATGCCTAGTTCGCGCTCTTTGACGTCATTTAGCGGTAGAATCTCCACGCGGTCAAATGTGGCGTAGGACGAGCTCATGCCCGCGCCGTTGTTGCTGTACGCTTGGTAGCTCTCGTTCACGCCAATCGAGTCGTACCAGCCGCGCAACAAATGCCCCTCGGGTGTGTCCGGGTCCATGTGCATGGTGCTGGAACTAAACATGGACAGCGAGCGGCCTAATGACAATGTAAGCCATAACCAAGTTCAGTGGCAAATCAGTAACACACCTCCGAAGTCACCAACCTTTGCGCCCTTGAAGGCAATGACGGGTTGGCCGTCGGCAGCGAAGGTTTCTGCTTGCTTGCCCCAAAGGGTTAGACGCACTGAAAAGTTCGACCGATCGACGAGTGTCAGCTCGCGCTTGGAGATCTGCAAAATATGTGAGATGTTGTAAAGGCACATTTGATGATAGGTATTACTGTTTTGTTTTGTCTAGATGTGATCTCGCCCAGGGGGCCTACTTCTTTGACGATGCCAATCACATCTGCCAGAAGACGTCAGACCAATGTTACAATATAGCAAACGCGGCTTACCACAGACAGAATCCTTCGGCAATTCACTCAGCTTGCCAATGTCTACGAAATTGAACTTGACGGCAGGAACATCGTTGGTGTCCTCGCACTACAAAGGGGTCACTCTCTAGAGCGTCTGCTCACACAGATGTGTGTACACACCTCCTGAACTTCGGTAGCGCGATCGAGGGATAACTCATATTCATTCTGAATGTTGGAGAACTTTTTCTTCGCCAGGTTCACTCTGGCCTTTGATATGTAGTACACCTTGCCCTCTTGCAGCTTGTCATACAACTCATCGACCATATTGTTGAATGCGGTGCCCTTAATCTCGCCACTCTCGTCCATAAGGTTGACACTGAACAACTTGCCTTCCCCGCGCTGGTTAGACCACGTCTTGATATCTGACTTCTGGGTAACGCGCGCCCTGATCTGCCAGTGATTCTGGTAGGGGCTAAGGCTCTCGATGGGGTAGACAGATACAGTACGACCGCCTCGGTTCTGTTGGCGCACAGGCTGAGCCATGGGAGCTGGAGCTGGAGCAGGCGCGGGAGTGGGCGTAGTGGAGGCCGAAGGGACAGCGGAGGTCGATGCTGCTTGCGCACCACCTTCAGGGACAGAGGGCAACTGGAGCGCGGTCGGATTACCGATCTTCGGTGCCTCCTTCACCACTACACTGAGTTGCAGCACAATGAGCAGTCTACAAGATGTGCAAAACATGAGTAAAAATGCATTCGGGGCCCCTGTCTTGCATCTGACCGTTTCTCCTGCACCACGTTACAGCTGAAGCGTTCCATTATAATGATGGAATGCTTCGTGACCTGCCCCTCTTCAACGAGATGGTTCAGCTGGGTCGCCATCATGGCTTGCAAGAAGTGTTCGCCGTCGGACACGATGATTCGGTAGCGATCCACAGTCGCGGACGACCCAGGGATCGGGGGAACCCTCTTCAGGGACAGAAACTGCACCGTTGGAGACGTCTGCAGTACTGGGTCATCATTATCGCGTATGTTGTGCAGACGTGCACAGATGCCTGCGGTGAGTTGCTGCTCCATAGGGTAAGAGGTGAAGGTCGGCTGAGAGTCAAACGCGTCGCGTCGCGCGTGACCCTTAAGTAGCGCGTCGCTTACGTAAACCGTGACACGGCGCGGCTATCCTCATCTTCGGCGACTTCCCTTCAAAGTTCACACTGCGTGCATATATGCCGGCGGATTTGTAAACTCTCATAGTGTGGAACTGTGTCTCTATGCCGTTGCAAGGCGATCTGCTTCATCACACATCAAGGCGAACACCATGCAGCATCTGATCCGGTGGAATAAGAATGTGTAAGTTTGTTCTATTGACACAGTATTGCTACTAGTGTTCATTGATACGATATTACCGACAGCGTGGTCTATTTGTACAACACGTATAATAATCTATGCTACAGCTCTGGACAGCAAGAAGGCTAAGAATACAGCTACATTGTCATGTGGTGCAAGGCGAGCAAGCATCCGTAAGGTCCGTGAGAGCGTTGCGACAACAAGAAAGCGAGGTTAGGTGAACATGGTAAAGTAACTCTATCGGGTCTAGAAAACAGGTCCAGAGACCATTGATTGCATGTGTTTAGGTTCATTTAAGCACGGCACGCTGAGTGGCGTCGCGACCCGCCTTGAGCAGTGTCGAGACCTCGCTACCGCCGGTTCCGCGGGATGGTCCGTCCCTTTGGGAAGCGCTGGGCTTGTCCACCCTGATGTTGGCGGGCGGCGTCGAATTAGCTTTCGAGATTACATATATCGCGACGATCCGAATATGCGAATCCCGAAGCCGCTTCAGCGCCATTACCGCCGCGTTGTACGGCTCCCGCAAGCTCGGCGTGCGCTCCGCGATCTCGCGCACAGAGCTTAGGTTCTCCAGGTACTCCCGGTGCAGCCCCGGCATGTAACGGCGCATTCTGTCCATGAAACCATGGTCCGCGCGCCGGTTGTTGTCCGATGGCGCGGGTGTGCGGGCGTCTTGGAGGCGGTGGTCGATATCGAGGAATATGTCGAGTGCATGCATCACGGAGCTCTGTCCCGCGGACGCACCGCCAAGATCAGCCTGGTCCGCGGACCGTACGCCCTCCAGCACCCAACCTGGGTGGTTGGGGCCTTTCGAGGTTGCGCCAGACCACCATTGGCGCACATTCCAGTAGAACTCGTGGGGGTCGACGGTGTTACGCATGGAAACAAAGATGGATTCAAGCTCCTCGATGATCTTGACAAGCCGTGTCAGGTCGCGTGCGAGCATCGATGTGGCATGGGTGTCCGTGGCGTCGCGCAGGTTCATGAAGCCCTCGAAGATGTCCAGCATCTCCACGCCCTTGAGCTCCACGGCTGCTGACGCGAGGTAAAAGTTATTCTCGGCCTGTGTACCCGAGAAATTGTTGACATAGCGCATATTGTCAATAGAAAGCGGCTGCGTTGGGTCGATGAATTCCCAATTCCACAGGACGGTGTCCGCGAAAGTGAGTACCGGAGCGATTTGAAGCAGCTGCGACACCGCAGACAACGGGACCGCTACGGACTTTGGAACGACAATGGATGCTTCTACGTCCGCCTGCGGCAGCGAATGGACGTAGTAATGCATGATAGTCGCAAGGACCATGTGCGCCCTTTGTAGCCTCCGTAGGTCGTCGCGTATTGCATCAATGCTCTTAAGTGGCATCTGACAATGTGTGGCGTATATGTCATCCATCCCGCGAACATGTCGCTGGATTAACTCACAGATCGGATCTTCTGCCGCCATCTCTCCCCTGCCGGCCGCTTCGCGATCGCCTGCGGACCCTGATCCTGGGCCAGGAACAGAACCCCCGGTGCCTCTTGCAGCGCGTCCTCCCAAACACTTAACGCGTCTGGCAATCTCGGCAGCGGTTGTGGCGGAAAGAAGCCAGACTTTGGATCGACGTCGTAAGTGCGGGGGCAGAAGGCGGACAGTTTACCGCTGCATGTCGTCGATCTGACGACTTGGGAGGCATCCCACGCGGCGGTCGCTGCCCAATCGAGTAAGTGGATGGGGGAGGAGAGGCGCATGAGAGAGATGTGATTGTGAGTAGAGAAGTGGTGATAGTTGGTGAGTGGTCAAAGCATGGGGTTGGGAGTCTTTATACGAGGGGGGGCTTCTGGAATAAGAGGATTTCTGCGAGTGCACGTAAGTGGTTCCCGCCGTTGTGCAGTGTGACATCCTGGCAGGCATAGCGAGATCTGAGATCGCGATCGAGACGTTTTAGCTTTTTGATGTGTGACTCGGCTGCAACGGAATGCATCTGTACAATCCTGCGCTCGCCACCGTCTGAGACAGGCACAGTCAGATCAGACCCAGGCGTCAACTCGGCCGCATCCAGTCCTGCCCCCACCGCGATCCCGTCTCGCTTTCCCGCTGCAACTTCCTGATGCACACGGGCCTCGTGTTGTGTCAATTACTACAGCTATCCGTTTAGAACACCCAACGCACTATTCAAGATTCTCGCACGTCCATCGGACTTCACACACATGCGCAACGTGTCACGGCGTCTCCCGCGTCGGCGCGGATGACCGCGACGTTCATTATCCAACATCGACAAACGATGGCAGTGGCTGTGTACCCGTGGGGGTGTTTCGCTCCATCTGCGACACATTGGCAGAAAAATGCCCTACGGTACAGAACAACCTGCGCGGGTTCCCGTCCACCGTACATTGCTCCTCACCGACCTCAGCGATGCACATCGGAGGTGTTGCACGCAAGCGTCCACATTCACAGAGGGCCAAGGCCGTCCGGGTACGCAGTCCCATGCCGCTGAGCAGTGCACGTCCCGTGTCTGCTCCAACCTCGAGTTCCTTGGCCGTGTCTGTTCCGTTATCCCTTGAACAAGGTCTGAACACCGGTCTTACTAAACTGATCCTCAGGAGTGTTGGGTCGCATCAAAGGCTGCAAGGGTACTGTTGGTCTGTGCCACATTGTGCCACAAACTTCGACCATGATGTCTACGGCTGACACAGGAGATGGATCGTACATTGCCTACACACAATGCCCCAAATCGCTACCGGGCCTGTGAAAGATGACTCAGTACCATGCAAGAGCGATGCAGGCAACCTATACTGCCTTTTTTTACATACACCACGCGACACACGTTTTGCCGTTTCATGCATTGACTTATGCTCACGTTCGAGAATTTGCTCATCAAAGTACAAGGCCAATGCCACACAGGTACCGTCGTGGATTCGAGCGCATCATGATTTGCATTCCACGCTCCATGCGGCCGAGGTGCCAGAAAGTGTCTTTTCCGATGGCCCTTGACCAGCCTGACCACAACCCAGCCGCAACCGCTCTTGCGAGCTTTGTACTCTCGTTGGACACTCGGCAAACGACACGGCAGAAGGAGCCGTCCGACGTGAGGTCCATGGTTCGTCGAACAGACAGTCACATCTAGCGGATCGATTTCAGCGCCTCACTATAATAGCAGTGTCGTCTGCTCAATTGGTGCCGGCGGCATGTCAATATGCAAATTGCTCTGAGCACACTTACTATGTACGACTGCGGAGCTTCGGACGACACTCCATCAGGTGACGACCCCGTGGAGGCGTTTGCGTTACTTGATCGGGTCACGATAACATGGCGTCCATCTCTTCCGAAGATGATGTAGGCTATCCCCGTTGGTGCACCGAGGTCTTGTCGCAAAACAAACACGAATGCAATGTCAGAAACAGACCATCTCGACATTCTGACACAGACGGTGCGTCATCGTCACTATCATTAGTAGCGATACATCTGTGCATTCTCGATGCGACACGCCGGCTGCGATCTGTTGTATGAATTGGCTCTGACTCACAACTCAGTGCCGCCACTTGAGCCACTGCTGCTCGCCGCGCTTGTCTTTCTCCGTGATGCAGCACCGCGCGACGACCTCGACAATCTTCTCGCGCAGCCCCGTCTTGCCCTTCTTCAATACGTTGAATGCTTGCACGAGCTCGTCGAGCGTCAACACCGTGCTCCCGCTCGCAGGATGACTCCCGTTGACCATTTGCCGGATCTCTGCCTCCGCCGGGAGTGCATACTCCATCGGGTTCACGACGCGCGTGGACTCCGCAAGGTAAGTGGGAGCAGCGAGCTTCGGCGCAGTACCGACGTCGGGCGAGTATGTTGAGAAGAATTCCTTCGCGATATACGCGTCCGTGACTTCCTCGAGCGTATCGGGGGACCAGTTTGGCCGCTCTTTGGATTTTTTCGTGATTACGGCAGTGACGCCAGTAGGGAAATCTGGGCTGGCGCCATGCTGCAAGATTGCGTCAGTGACAGATGTTCATCAGCGAGCCAGGGGTAAGACGCGCACGCAGAATGCTGTCGCAATGTTCATTTCCATCTGCAGCGCCTCAAGCAGCGGCATGTTCTTGCCCCTGCGCACCGCGGCCAACGCTACCTTCAGACTTGTGGGACTTCTCATCGAAAGAGCGTCCAGCGTTTCTTGAGCCCACGAGCGAACGCTCTCGTGAGTACTTCCCTTGAGTATTGACTGCAGTTCTACGATGATTTCCTCCACGGAGCTATGCTTGAAAGCCTTGTCGAGGGCCTCGCGTACGACGCCTATGAGCGAGCTTGCAGGCTCCCCAGGAAATCGCTCTGCTCGGTGCTCCTCGAGGATGCTGTCAATTTGCGCGTACGAAGGGTGGTCTATCGACGCGAGGCGCTCGAGCAGTCCAGGGATGCGGCGCGCAGGAATAAAATGTGTTGCAAAACCATGCTCGCTACCCGGTGTGAGCTGAGATTTGAACGCGTCACGAAAAATGGCAATGCGACTTACAAGACCGCACGGCCGTTCAGTGTTTGCGACGTGAGGGCCATGTATGTGCCGATCTCGCCATCCACTCTCGACAAGAAGTAGCTAGCACCGACGTCGGGGCAGTAGCCAATCTTTGTTTCGGGCATGGCAAGAACTGTGTTCTCAGTAGCGACACGGAATGGTGCATTGATACCCAGTCCGACACCCCCGCCCACTGCACATGAAATTCAGCGTCAGCACCGAAGAGGACATACGAGCACTCACTGGTGATACCATCCATTACAGCAACGTAAGGTTTTGGCATTGCAGCCAGTATGTAGTCCAGTTCGAATCTGGGAGGGTGAACATTCGCCCTTCAAAGGTAACAGGGGGGAATCACTGTAGACGCACTCTTTGTGGAAGAAATCAATCGCCTTGGGTAATGTATCGGGATGCGAAGCGTATTTGACAACACCTATAACGCCAACAAGTCAGGCGCCGCGCAGCTCCCAAAGACTTTCGGCACTCACTTTCGACATCGCCGCCCGCACAGAAGGCCCTGCCCACGCCCGTTCCTACGATGACACCGGCTAGCTCGCCCTGCGCCCATTCCTGTACCACAATCAGACTTTCGAAGTTCCAATATACCTCTGTTATGACATACTTCTATCTTCGGCCTGAGGATGCCCAGCATATCATCGTTCAAGGCATTCAACTTCTTGGATCGGTTGAGGACATATGTCCTGAGGCACCCATCGGACTTGAATAGAACTGGCGCCTGCAGCGCGCACATCAGAGTGCTATGCTATAATGATATCACAGGCACTGACCTCATCTAAGGCTGGTCCGCTGGCCGCGCCAGAGGACATATGTCTTTGAATCGCGGCTGTGCGCTGGACTGCTGCACGGTTAATGTGTGCCATCCTTGCGATACGTAGGCGCGTCGCCAACATCGTAGAAGGCAATGGGCACCAACCTGATAAGAAAATAAGGACAAGACGGGGACCCGCGCCGGGAAATGAGACAGGTCACAAGCCTGTGAGACTCCAAGTCGGAATCCCTAAGGCAGTCGCGCGCCGACCGGACGCGTGAGATCACGGTGCACGTGACCTGTCGCGACTCGATGTGCCCTTCCACTCTCCGTTATTGCTCCTTTCGCAACAACGCATCTGCCGCAGCTATTGACGGAGAAACCTCACCGTCTTTCACGGGCTCATCTGCATTCTACCACCAATGTCCGGCCAACAGCTGCCGCTGATTGGCACGCGGATAAATCATTCCGGTTTTCTCGGGACTGTCAGATTTGCAGGCAATGTGCACGACACCAGCGGCGTCTGGCTCGGTGTCGAATGGGATGACCCTCATCGTGGTAAGCACGATGGCGTGAAGGACGGCGTCCGCTACTTCTCCTGCTTGTGAGCTCGTGGCTACTTCGCTCTGGTACCTCGACACTATCAGCTCTACCACACAGAGTCCCCAATTCAGGGTCTTTCATACGCCCGTCACCAACAATATCTTATGGCAGATCCTTCCTCACCGCCATGTACGCCAAATACATTGAAATGCCTCATGGCGAGGCCCTCGAAAAATTGATCCTAGGCTCATCGCATGGCGCGATCGAGGTGGAAGCAGTTGGCTTGGACAGAATCCGGAGCAAGCTCGCGCGCCTCGAGCGGCTCCGTGAGGTCAGCCTCGACGGTGAGAGTGTGGCCGCCGCAGACCCACCTGGAGCCGTCGCAGACACATGTTCTGGTAAGTGTCCAGGAAACCATTTGGTGTGGACGACGCAAATTATGCTATCTGCGTTGGCCGGTCGCTCCATTGATGACTGTGGCGGCAACTCCCCATCAGTCTCTTTTGACTGTCGTCGCCTGTCGACATCAATGGAAGCCCCAACAATAGCTCGAGCTGCACTACCGTTTTGCTTCGTGGCCTGATTGCTGGTAGTTTTAACCGAGTGTAAAAATGCCTGTGTACTGGCAAAAATCATCTCCGGATCACGCTTATGATGATGATTGCGCGAGCTTTTCAGCTCGGCCTTTTCGTATAACGGTGACTACTTCGTTGCAGATGAAACGAGTCAATGTCAGCTATTTTCAGCGCGAATGGTCTGAATAGTCTGCTTTTCGGCCGAATCGATTCCCTGGCTTCCCTTCTGGTGTGTCCAACACACACATGGGATCGAATGTAGACGAATCGGCAATAACTGTTGCGATTCGCTTTGGTTTGCTGTGTGTCGGGCCTCCGTGTTCGGCGAGTTCACTCGGGCCCGACCGTAGCAAACGGACACTTGTAGGCAGTCGATGACCCCGACAACGCACATCTGGAAGCCCAGTTCGCCCTGTGCTAGGTGGCCTATGCAGCGTGAACCTCCGGAAAATAAGGACGTTTTGAGACTCGTCAAGGACACTCCATTCAGGGACCTATCATCCCGTCGGATTAACAAGTCCGAGGTCCATGTGCGAAGATCAAAATCTCCTCAACTGCTCGGCCTGCTTGTTGTTTGGGTTTCATCAACACTCCTGTAGATGGTGGCGCACTCACCAGTCAATTCTACCAATGTATTTACCGTATTTTATAGGTATGCGCGGTCTGGACCTATCCAAGAATCTCATCCCATCATGGGATGTCGTCGCACAAGTCACATCCGAGCTTCCGCATCTTCGCGCGCTGGCACTCAAGTATGCCGTGCGGTCTCTCGATCTGTTTTTGAAACTGACCACAGTACGGCAGCCAGAACCGCCTGAGACCCGTGACCAACCGAGTCCTTGCCGCGTCTGCTTTTCGGAACCTACGCGAGCTCCAGCTCAACGCGACGCTGACCACATGGGTGGATATGCAGCTCGCGACAAGCGCCATGCCAGTCCTCGAGACTGTTGAGATGGGTTACAACCGTCTCGAATCACTGTCTCCCGGCAGCGATGATGACTCCGGCGCGCCGCCCAGCGTCCCACCGCTCCGTGAGCTCAATTTCGATAGTAATGGTCTGCACAGCTGGCCGGCAGTCTGTCATGCCTTACGGCCGTACACGACGTAAGTGGCACAATCGTTCTCATGTCCCCTCATCCCCTAACCGCAATGTTCGCGCAGACTTCAGCGCCTAGTGCTCCCCTCCAACTGCGTCGAGACAATCGAGCCGCTCGCTGATTTGTCACAGTCGCCCATCGCAGGTCTGAAGCACCTCTCTCTCTCGTTTAACCGCCTGAGCGCGTGGAGCGATATCGATCGCCTGCCGCTGTGGTGCCCCGTGCTCGAGTCGCTGGCACTCGCGGGCAACCCTGTCACCGAAGGCATGTAACTTTGCGTCCCACGCGCCTCGCCTTCACAACCTGGCGCTTACATTCTGCACCGCACAGCTGAAGCAGCAAGCGCGCACGCGCGGCAGTTCGCCATCGCGCGGATCCCCTCCTTAACGAGCCTGGATGCAGCCCCCGTCAGTGCTTCTCCCGCACGCGTTCCGTGTGTTTCTCACTCCGTCCCGATCGCTCCCTCGGCCGAAAATAGATCTCGAACAAGGAGCGCGTCGACAGCGAGCTGTTCTACCTCTCATATGTGAGCAAGCACGGACCGCTTGACGAAGACGCGCTATGCCGCGAGCACCCGCGCTGGCGAGCGCTCTGCGAAAGTACGTCGACTTCCTCCCGCATTGTGGGCTGCAGAACTGAGTTCTTGCAACCACCGTATATTAACGCTCGTTGTGCCTGTGGCACCTACTCTCATTCTCAGAGCACGGGCGGCCCGATCATACGCCAGCCGCCCCGCGAGACAGACCTGACACCCTCAGTAGCCGCCTCATTCGTAGGCGTTCCACTCTCCTCCCCCTGCATGAGTCGGCTGATCGGATGCTTCATCCTGCAGAGGTGAACGTCCGTCAATGCGTCGACGGCCTTTCGAAGGGTCCGAACACCACGACCACGGGCCCGGCCATGGCACTGCGCGTCCTGCCCACCATGTCCATGCGGACGTTCTCCATGAAGGTAGCAAAGTCGTTCAAGATCCCGCGGGCTGCTCAGGCGTCCCTGCGAATACGGCTACAAATGCCCGATGACCATCTCGCGCTGGTTGATCAGGATGACACGCATGATTTGGACTGGTGGGGCGTAGACAACAATGCAGACATATACATATCCCTCGAGCAGACATGATTGTTTCCATTTGGACAGGATCATAAGGGCAGCGAGAGAATAACATTGGATATGAGCGTGGATACATGATGTACATCAGAGCTGGTGAGAAGGCAAGGCGCGACAAGGAACACAGCAAATACATTACCCAAATGCACACGTCCGAGCTGTATATTTGCGTAGTTCGACAGTTCAGCATCCGAACAACGGTGTGTCCTGGGCCGTGAGAATATAGCGTCTTCGGGTGGCTTGTACTGATACTGCGCACGTCGCATGCTTCGCGAAGTCACGACCATCCGGAATCTGCTCTTCGCGATTGGCCTCGGGCTTAATTATTGTGCACCCCGAGGTGACCACGCCTGAAACGGACGGACGCCGTCTTTCGCCACTAGGAGCCAGTCAGGATCGTTCCATTGTCTGCAGTTTCACAATGCAACATTGTCTTGAAGAACAGTCACGCCACTGGGCCAGCCATCCACGTATGCTTGAGATATTGCAGACTCCCGCCCTGCCCACGTCTTGCATTCCACTCGCGCTCGCCACCACAATGGAATCGGACCGGAAGGATCCTTAGGCCAGACCAGGAAGGACCAATGCGAACCAACGCGGGATAACCAATCCTCAAGTACACGACGCGCGCTCCATACAGCAGAGAAACCTATCGAGCAGCCAGTCCAAACGTTTTTTGAGCAACCATTCGGGGTCCACAGAGCAACGACCGCTGCGGAGGGTATCCGGGATGCCATGGTCTCCTTTAACGCGCCCAACCGCTATCTCCGTTGGCATGCCTCGGGGGCCTGTCGTCAAACCTATCGTCCTTCTCGTCACGTCTCTTGTCATCCCTACGACGGTCATAATATGGGTCAGGGCCACGAGGGTCATCATAGTAGCGACTCCTGCGATCATCGTACCCTGCAGGCCTTCTATCTTCAACATCCCTCCGCGGAGGGGGAGACCTGGGGGCCCGACGATCGTCGAAGTCGCCACGTTTGGGGGGAGAACGGGAGCGTTCGCGTCGAGGAGCACGGTCATCCCGAGCATAGCGATCGTCCCGGGAGTAGCGGTCGTCTCTGGGAGGGCGATCCTCTCTGGGGAAACGGTCTTCTCGAGCGTAGCGATCATCACGACCGTGGCGGTCATCGCGACGTTCATCACGACGCGCATCTCGTCGATAATTGTCGGGACCAGTACGCTACATGTGGAGTTGAGAGATATTACAGAAAAATGCAACCACCTAACTCACCTCAGAGTCCATGATCACACGAACAGGTTGCCCGCGCAAGTCCTTGCCGTCGAGCTCCTTCACGGCCCTCTCGGCATCATCGCGAGAGAGATATTCGAGAATACTGAGATTTTTTTTAATCGATATAAAATTGGTCTTACAGTATGCAACACTTACCCTTCGCCTGGGGCATCGCGGTCGATATCCGCGTAGGAAACACTACCAGCTTCGCGCCCGAAGTCTTTCAGATCCTAAGGTGGTATAACAGCATTAGGCCCGTCCGATGGTCTCAACAAGTTGATCTTTGACGACTATTGCGCAAAGCAAATCCAAGGCGGGAACGTCCCAGCGACCACCTGAACAGTCCAACACAACGAGGATCGGCACCGGGAGGAGTCGGGTCCATAGGGATGCCAGAATTTGCCACGGTAACATGACGCCACACCGAGATAAGAAAAAGCTCAGCAAAACATACCTGCCAACTCGTGTCACGAGAGATGCCTGACACAACGAGACGGAATCCTGGCGGGCGTCTTGCACGAGGAGCTCGTTCTGCCTCATAGACATCGCGACGGGGTCGGCTTTCTTTCGCGAATTCCACAACAATGCTTCTCAATACGTTAGTAAATGAGGTGTCGGTACCCAGGACAAACTTGAGATGTCCTACTTCGCGCCCATAAAGGTTTTCCCGTTGAAGTGGTGAACAGCGTCTTCAGCGTCCCTAGAGCTTTCAAATTCGACAAAGCCGAAGCCAGTCATAACGCGGCAGTCCACGATGCGGCCATAGCCATCGAAAAACTTGGACACGTCTTCAGAACGCGCATCCGGGGGAAGTCCTGTAGTGCACTATGAGCATCAGAAGGAAAGACAGGCAAAAGAGAGCATTACTGCCGAGATAAAGACGACGGGCCATGGCGGTTAGAGATAGAGAGAGGTATAAAGTTCGTGATTGTTCGGCTGAGTTCAAATGGAGGAAAGAACTGGTCCGTGCGCACCACGAGGCAGGCAGCCTAATGCGGTAAGGGTGCTTACCAAAGCGGCGACAACGATAGGGCTGAGCTTAAGGCTGGGAGGGAGTCTGGTGGAGCGCGCCGGCACGGCCGACGAATCAGGTCGGCCGGAGTGCTCAGCCAGTCACACGGGGGAGCTCGCCTGACCAATCGTGCGCCGTTTCCTGACGATTCGGGCGCCCCGCCATCCGCTCAAAGGCCCATACTTATCAGATAACTTCCGCTCCAGCTCCCATCCTCCAACCACCATGTTGTCGAGAGTCTCCTCCCAGGCCTCCAAGGCCGTCTCTCGCAGCGCTCTCCGCACGTCGACCGCTCGCGTCGCCGTCAAGAGCGCACGCAGGACGCTTGTGCAGCCATCTGGCGCCGACCGAGCAAGCGTCGTCGAGGTTCCCTCTTCGTATGAAGGCGATGAGCACTTTTCGCCCCGTGCAGGTAAGCTGGCAACATTCTAATTACTGTGATCTCTCTGACTCTGCTTTCGCAAACGCAGATATGCTCGGATTCAAGCTTGAGCACCGCCGCGAGGGCAACGTAGGCGAGAAAGTTCGCCCGATCTACCTTGACATGCAGGTGGGTACCATCATGTCAGATTTATAATATGTCGTCTTATGGGCATGCGTCAGGCAACGACACCAATAGACCCCCGGGTGCTCGATGCTATGCTACCCTACCTCACCGACCAGTACGGTAACCCACATAGTCGCACACACGCCTACGGCTGGGAGGCTGAGAAAGCAGTTGAAGACGCACGAAAGGCACGTACTCCTCGCGTTACCAATTGATCCCAAGGGCGGCAGATTGACCGGGCCGAAACAGTATGTCGCCGATCTTATTGGTGCCGACCCGAAGGACATCGTCTTTACTTCCGGCGCAACCGAAACCAATAATATGGCTATCAAAGGCGTAGCCCGTTTCCACAAGGACCGCAAAAAGCATATTATCACCACCCAGACTGTTCGTGTCAGTCCTTCCATAGCTTGCGCTACTCCTAACCCTCATCTAGGAGCATAAATGCGTCCTCGACTCATGTCGTAAGCTCCAAGAAGAGGGCTTCGACGTGACCTATCTTCCCGTACAAAAGAACGGCATCATCGACCTCGCAGAGCTCGAGGCTGCGATCCGCCCGGACACCTCTCTCGTCTCAATCATGACCGTAAACAACGAGACTGGTGTCATTCAACCCATCAAAGAGATTGGCGCGCTCGTCCGCCGGCACCGTGGTGTGTACCTACACACCGACGCTGCGCAGGCTACGGGCAAGATCGCCATCGACGTCAACGAGATGAACGTTGACCTCATGTCTATTTCTGGCCACAAGCTCTATGGCCCGAAGGGTATTGGCGCCGCTTACGTTCGTCGGCGTCCCCGTGTCCGCCTCGAGCCCATCATCAGTGGTGGTGGCCAGGAGCGTGGTCTGCGCAGTGGCACGCTCGCCACCCCGCTCGTTGTTGGCCTCGGTGAGGCCGCGCGCATTGCGAAGCAGGAGATGACGGTGAGCGCACTTCTCTCTAGATGCCTTGATGATACTTTGCACGTGCTTCTATTATTCTGTGAGCTTTGCGGAGAACTATTGGGCTTTGCCCGTCGCCGGCTTAGCCGTGATTTATCGTGCAGGGGTACTGAGCCTCTTTCCAAATCTTATGAAATTTTAGAACTCGGCACTGACTTCACTCTCCTCTTCCAGAGAGATCATGCCCGTATCAAGGAGCTCTCCGATCGTCTGATCGCTGGCATCAACGCCAAGGTCGAACACGTTATCCGGAACGGTGACCTGAACGGCTACCCCGGATGCGTTAATCTCAGCTTTGCCTATGTCGAGGGCGAGAGTCTCTTGATGGCGCTCAAGGTATGTCACATCCCGCCCTCATCGCCACTCGACGGTGTTCTCACCGAACCTTGCGTCCATAGGACATTGCGCTGTCATCCGGTAGTGCATGCACTTCCGCGTCGCTGGAGCCGTCATATGTCTTGCGTGCGCTCGGCGCCGCTGAGGACATGGCACACTCGTCCCTCCGCTTTGGTATCGGCCGCTTTACCACCGAGGCCGAGATCGACTACGTCGTCGACAAAATCGTCGCGGTGGTCCAGCGATTGCGTGACATGAGGTACAGTCGTGTCCTCCACTCCAATAGCATGTTACTCACGACTCTTCCCGCAGTCCTCTCTGGGAGATGGTCCAGGAGGGCATTGACATCAACACTATCAACTGGGCTCAACACTAAGCTCGTCCCACTTCATCTGCATCCATATTCGCATTCTCTGGGGTGGACCGTGGGGGGTCGCGCGTTAAAGAGGGGGGGCATCTGCATGAGTTTCGTTGTACGGTATCGGTTCTCACGTCTGTCTTTTATATAGTCCACTTGTTTCGTGTTCGTCGTTGCTTTACCACAGTATCTATCGCCGCCTCGCGTATTAGGAGTGGCTCGCGTATGATTCATGATGGCCTGGCATCGTGTACTTCTAGTCAGTCTATGCATGCATTGGACCCGCCGAATCTGCTATCGTTGAAGAACCTTGCATAGCGCCGGAGTGTGCAGAATGATAATGAGAGGTGCTGCGAACATGAGAACAACGAAGACGTGTATCGAGATGCTCGCTGTTCTATAGCTCGTGATCGGAGAATTGATCGACATGCATATACGATCGGGTGGTATGCACTCGTACAGGCACGGGCATGTGCATGAACCATCGATCAACATGGCCCAGCCGCTGAAACGCTTGCCGCATGCTTCTGCGCCCGAGCCACAGAGCATACCACTGGCAAAGAAACTCTATTCTACTCAGCTACCGTGAGCCCCGGGCCGCTGCACTCTGTAGCAGCACCCTCCTTCTGACCACATCCGTTACTTCAGGCCGCAGTGGTACAGCCGTCAACATGTCCACAGTGCACTTCACATTCATGGAGCCGAAATCAAGATCTCCTGGCTCAGGCACTACGCTGTATGAAGCGTGGAAGGTGCAGATAGGAAAGTTACTGTCTCCGGAAGACCAGACTCGGTTCTCCGTCATACAGAGCACTCTGCAGGAGCTCAAGCCCCCGCACTCCCATTTTGACTGCGCTGTCTCTCCTGCAAACTCGTACGGCATAATGGATGGGGGGTAAGTGGAACGATACGTCCTCGTACCGCTGCCTCAACCGGTCACTCTTTCCCACTTGCCCTCCAATAGATTCGACTACTACCTCTCTGAGGCGCTCTCTCCCCCAAAGGACATCATGGCGCTCACACGCTGCGCTCAGGCAGCACTGAAGGAGCGCTACTACGGCTTCGCGCCGCCCACCTCCTGCACGCTCGTGCCGCTCCCTCCCGCACTGCGGCAGAACCCCCGCTTCCCCCGCGCCCGCGCGCTCGCGGTGTGCCCGACAATGCGGATACCCGCTGATATGGATTGGCACCGCGACCTCGTGTACAACATCATGTGGACTCTCCTCGTCGAGCTCGAGCACTGGAACGAGACGCACGGGGAGGGCGAGCGGATTGCGCGCGTCGTGATGACGGGCATGGGCACGGGCGTGGGCAGAGTAGACAAGGCGGTGTGTGCGCGGCAGATGGTGCTGGCGGTGAAGCATTTTCTGGATGCCAGGAGCGAGGCCGGGAGGAAGCGTTGGGAGCAAGCGGACTTCCCCCACTGGAACGACGTCCTCCCGATTGCCATGGAGGTCCTCGGAGAGGAGACTGACAAATGATGCATTCGTAGCATCTGAAGGCCTTGCACGCGCTACAAATGTCCTATCATCTTGGGGCATGCGGGGCATATGACTTGAGCAAATCGACGCCTACCGATGTTTATATTCCAAAACATCGGTACCCATATAACAACAGTTGTATATGAAGCCCGTGTACAAAATCTCCATGCTAGGAAGATACTATGATACATCGCATTTGTCCGTGAGATGAGACCAAGAAAATACAGTGATAGAGTGCTCCGGAAGGTAAGTGCTAGACTCCAGTGGCAAGCCGAGGTATGGAAGATATTTACGCCCATGAGTAACAGTCGCAACGGAGTCCGACTTTTGCTGCGCTTAAGCCGGCGGAAGCGCGCGCTCGATGAGCCGCCAATCCTGCCAAAGCATGAATGTCAGATTATCAGGATCGAGAAGAGGCAGGAACCTTGTGATTTATCTTGCTGAAGTCCTCTTGCGTGTTGGCGATGTAAATCATATAGCGTGCGACCTTATCAAGCTCCTGATCCGATCTGGATTGGGGCATATGTGCATCCTTGAACGCAGGTATCTTCAATCCTTGATTAGGATTTAATGCGAAGTTGCGGCCCTACAGAAAATCGGGCAATGATCAATCAGCACATCGAATGAATCATAATGCAGCATACCAAGTCGTCGACATGGACGGTGTTACTTGCATTACTGCCCATTAACATGTGAGTGAATTAGCCCACACCCACACGAAAATCTCTCACAATTGGGGGAAATGGTTCCATATGATCTGCAATGCCTTTACCGAGTGCTTATATTGTTTACCTTCTCGCATGGAGAAAACCGTGAACATGCATGTCTTGTCTAGGACTGCATCAACCTACTCAGCTTGATCGCATCTCATAGCTGTACAAGCACTCACCGAACGATATCTAGTCATGCACCAGTGTTAGATACAATGGCCGGAGTTTTAAGCTCATACCTGGTAATTGCGAGGCGCGGAGCCCAGCATTCCTAGCTCAACGAGCTTCGTTTCGAGCCATATCCAACTTGTCTGAGACCTATGACAGGATGGTTAGTAAGTGGACTGGTCAAACTACGGGATGACGTGCCAGATACAAATGTCGTAGTATGGGTATACTGCTTCAAGGAACTGGTGCAAGCCAGGTCGAGCGCATTCATGAGGTGGCAAAGCGCCAGATGTTAGGGGCTTCGTATCCAATATGGCTGTGAACCGAGACATCAGCGAGGAGTTACGGCTAGTTCTGTTTATGCCCACTATAATCAATGTCGAGCACAAGAAGCCGCTTGCCCTCTCGTAGTGGATGGATGATGTCGACTTTTAACTTCTTGCTATGTTCGCGAATCTTGCGAAGGTTACGCTGGTCGTTCATATACGCCAGTGCTGCGGCAGGATTCGCCGAGAAGTCGACATCAAGGTCGTTAAAGACGTCAGGCAGATACTCGAGTTCTGAAACAAACGTCAACTGGACCCGTCATGTGAGTTGTCAAGGACAGAGCGTACGGGATGGATCTTTGATCTCATGGCCTTGAGGTGTTCCCACAAGAGTAAACTTCTTCCCGCTCACTAATTTCAAGTCCCCTCTGGCAAGTGAGAAGGGTGAGCGGAAGGCACAGGGACACCATAGACCAACGACTAAGGAAAGTGTACGAACAATCTCTCTTCATCAGGAGGCAGCTTCCCCTTGACCAATCCAAGGATCTTCTGTCGCTCTGGCGGCACGTCGGTCAAGCTTTGCAACATAGCCTTCAGGTCAAAGACGCTGTGGCACGCAGCGCCGAAGTCAACGCGAGAATACGGGACCTCAGAGAAAGTACACACCGGTCTGACTCTGCAATGTCCAGCTTGAATTGCTTGCCAGACCACGTGAACTGGAGGTGTATCCATCGCTCGGCCTCAGGCTCCTCGAGCGAGGGCGTCGAGTCAACCTATTGCTCGGGGATCAATTGGACAGTCTCAGTGCAGTACGGACGGCTTACGACGGCTGTAACTACGGCTGCCTGTTCGCCCTCCTGCACCTCCGTCTCCGTTGATGGTGCGACAGTGGGCTGGTCGAGTGGCGCATCCGAGCCGGGCTCAGCTCGTGCGCTATTGTCATCGAGCTTTATCCGTTTCGGCGATGGTGCTGTCTCAGTTCCCATTTATCCCCAGGTGAGGACACGCGGTCAAGAGCTTGGAGGGTGACGCGTCTAGGATAACGCAAATAGGCAAGTGCTGAGATATGTGCGCTTGTAGGTCCACTCGAAACAGAGAGGCAGCGGAGCAATACGCGCCTCGCACGTGACTTGAGGTATGATCGCGTCGCGACGGACGAACGCTATTTGTCACACAGTAGTTGTCTATGGGATGAAATGTGGAAACGGCGCGCGCATATCACTATCCGTGAATCATCACAGTCGTGTCAGACCAGGGATACATACTCTCAGCATCTCCTCTTAGATTTGTCATGATTTCTGCACACGTATACAGGTCCTATACCAATGTCCACATATACCATGGAGCAGGTTGACTAGATGTCCGATAGCTAATTGGGTCCCTACTAACCATTCACCATTTCTTTGGTGCGCTTGGCGGAGGGGGGAGCAACGGGAAACCTAGACCACCTCCCAATGATGTCGAATTGGTAGATGTGCTGCTTCCAAGGAGGTTAGTGGACGTGATGTTGTTGGCCTTGGCCCGTCCAGGTATAGATATTGAGAATGTCTGGCCTTCTTTCAGGCTATAGTCCTTCTTAGGACCAGCAGGAACGTGTGGTGAAGGTGAGTCTGTCGCAGCATCCGGAGGATTCATCCGAGCTTTCCAGCGCCTTTAGATGGTCGCATAGCGGTACTTCAGTGCGCTTCCTACAACCTATAATCATGGGGACTCACTTGGTGTAGTCTTGCAAAGTCACATCTACCCCGAATGAAGTTAATGAGCACAGTCGCGTGACACTACAAGAAAGGCTCACTGAAGTCGAAGCTATCAGTACGCTCGAGGAAGCCCATGCCAATGTATGCTCTTTTGCCATTGTCCTCGACACGCACGACAAAATACCGTGATGAATCGAGCACCGCCTCAACGCATGGCTTCGCTGGATCGTAATCGGCTTTGGCGAAGACTGCACTTATGTTATAGGAAGCATCACTATGATCAAGAGAGGCGAGTACATACGATCGCCTGCAGCGCACAGTTGATGGAAAGGGATATGTCAATGTGGTGCGCGCGATTCTACCACGAATTGCTTACCAGTTGTAGCATCTTCGAATTGAATCATGGCCCCGCTCGACCGCTCGATGATCCGTAGCCGGCCTTTCCACAGCGGGCTGCCAAGATCCCCCCATTCCTGAGCACGGTGTCCCTCGTTCTTCTTCAAGGGTGGGATCTTGTACACTGCAGCGGTAGCACTCAGCAAGAGACCTGCGGATGTCTAAAGTGGCTGACCCGAGACTTCTCTGCCAATGTAGAGGACACTCTCGATATCATCGTCGCGGAACTCTTCCATTTCCTCAATTGCGTGGATGACTCAAGAAGGTGTAGAAATGGGTTATGAACCAAGGACTAGAAGCAAGTCAGATCAGGAGCGATGTCGTGCAGCCACTGCTAGCGCTCGATGCGGTACAGTGCACACTGCGGGCGCGCGCACGTGGTCCCAATCAATGCACGCGTCTCGCGCCCTGCGCGCCTAGTAATTCGCCTCCGCCTTCATTGTTATCATTTAGCTCTGCTCAAAGACATCTACTGCAATCATGACGGGTCCACCCACTCCCCCTCCATCCAGTGCGACAGAGATTGTAGACGCAACGCGAACCTCAATACCTCCTCCGAGTGCGCCCCCCGTGGCAGACACTGCCCCCGAGACGGCTATGCCGCCCATGCAGACAGAACAGCCCGCGCCCGCCCCAGCTCCCCCAGCTCCTGTATCGGAGAGGACACAGACGCCGTACGACCCGCTCTCTTCACAAATAGCAGAGTTGACAACGAAGGGCGAATATCTGGAGGTGATTCAGGTTGCAGAACGGGGAGACATGATCGTGCGTGAAGACGCGCAGGGGAATGAGGAGATGGTGCTTGACGTGCCATTTTGCAGCCCGGGTATGACCACACCATGTCACGGCTTCTCATTGTCGCACCTCTTGTCTTGGCCTATCTGACCGTGAACGATCTGTGCGTCTCCCAAACCGACCCATACCGTTATTCCTACTGAGATCGGACATACGGCAGTGCCGCTGCCCGTCATGCGCTCGCAAGGCTCCCTAAGATTCTCAGAGATGTCCCCATCTCCTCGCGGCTTTCTGATTTGCTCTCCGCTACTTGGAACCGCGATTACTCCGCGGTGTACGCGCGTGCAGACGATGTCCTCCGCCTGTGCCAGGAACCGGCGTCCGAACACCCCGAATTTGCATCAGTAATCGAAAAGCTGGTGAATGCATTCCTCGGTATGTATGTCCATGCGTCACAGAGTGGGGTCGCTCACTTCGCCACAGAGGCATTCCGGCAGAGGGTATTTGCGCTACTAGGCAAGGCATACACTTCGATATCTGCCTCGCTCGCGCAGACCTACCTCGGACATTCTGTAGATATTTTGAATAGTACGGTTTACAGTTACTCACGACATCGCTTGATCTGACTTAATTCTGCAGTTGCTGCCGCGAGCGGCTGGTCCTACGATGCGGCCACTGAAGTTCTCACACCATCTCCGCCGAGTGTGCGTCCGAATGGTTCAGCATTGGGTATGACGTTGTGTATCCTCAATATGTTCAGCTGGCTGAACTGTTCATCAGGCTCCTCAGACCTGCAGACGTTTACCACCGTGGTGGCGAGTCTTGCTCGGGTGTGAGAATTTGGAATTTACCTAAGAGGAGGTTGCGATTGTGTCTGTCATCTGCCGTGCGTTCATTGTAACTTCATCAGAATTTTGTTTTGTAATACCATCGAGGTCTCGCACGAATCGACTTGGTCAGAGCAAGAAATCTGGTGAAGTCAGTAGACTCAGTACGGATGACAGCAAGATTTCGACTGCTTCTACCTTATGAACGCAAGGATGAATCGTCCCGTCCCATTCTTCCTGTCCTGAGGTTCCAGCATGAATGGTCACGTCGTCTTTAAGTGTGTCAATTTCGTATCTTTCATCTAAAGAACATACCTCTGGCTCCATGACTTCGTCTCGTCCGCTACGCCGAGCGCCGCACCACGATGGCAGAAATACGGTCCGAGCACCGCGCGCGAGTGGCGGATGCAAGATACTCAGGGCGATCATGGTGCCACTCGACGGCTCCGCCGACGGTCGCACCCCTTGCTGATGCAGTCGCAGGCTGTGCCGGGCCATACGCTGGGTCCCCTCTCTCCAAAGGCGGACAATCCACGGCAATTGTAATCTTGGCTGGACTCTGGAGACGGCGACCATCTCCTCGGCGTTCTCATGTGCAGGTAGGGCACCTCCGAGGGTGTATTCTCTTGCCTCTCAGGCTCAGTGGTATCCGCTTCATACTCGTGCGAGTGGCTGATGAAACACGGTGTCGCCTTGCTTAGTAGGCACGCGATGTCAGCATCTCTGACACTCGATGACTGGTGGCCCGGCGTTGACCGGCGTGGTAGCTTTCGGGCGCATTCCCTGTGACATTTACGGCTGGATTGCCCGAGTGGTCATTATTTGAAGGCTGACGCCGACCTACATTGGCCTGGTGCTTGCGCTACTCACCTCGGTACGTAATGTCGGCCGCTCTCTATGGCAGCACGAGCACCTGCCATTTACTTATTGTCTCCTGCCGATGGTAACCTTGTCTCGCCAACATTGTCGACCAGGAACATTCCTGGACATCGTTTGTTGTCTTTCCACCGAGGTACGTCAGTCCCGAAGACTACAGCGGCACGCTCTGCACATTTATCACCTTTTCTTCCAACTGACGCTCACGGATGTTCTAGTAGTTAGGCGAGGCCCTTGAAACTTTGCCTTTGAAGGTCCCTCCTGATGTGTGTGCACTCACGCTATTATGTAGCGCAATCTAAGTTTGACTTATCAGCACTCCGTATGTCCGTTCGATTGTCTCTGGACTTATGGTTCATCTGATCGTGATCATCTTCCAGGTACCTGACCTGCCACATTCGAGAGGTTGTTTGACGTTTCACAAAGCAACAAGACGTTAACAGCGCTCACAGTGACAACACCTACGCGCTGAGAGACCTTGTATTCAATGACTACTTCATATAGACGACATTTTATGAGGTGCGTGTACGAGACGTGAATTTATGTTGTCAGGATCTGCGGTCAAATGTGTTGCGCCTGGCTGCTGCTTATGCGATGCTCCCGTTCCGCCGGCGCATGGAGGTTAATACTTCTGCACCGGAGGAGTGGAGGCAATGTCCGCTCCGGCCAATTGGCCCGTCCGTCCAGGCACCAGCTGTCAGGCACTTCCAGCGCCGATCTGTAGCCTAGATCCCCGTTCGCGGCTTGTGTATCGGCAGAACGTGGTTGTCCCATCGTTCCGTTCCGTCATTTGAAATGATTCATGAGATACGTCCCATCGGCAGGTCGCCGGCTCGCAAAAGGACGTGCGGTCTACGCACCTCCCAAGCAGCTTGTATTACTGGCGTGTATCTCGCCAGAGCGTTGTCGCTTTCAGCTCTTGTTTGACAGGTATATGTAGAATACCACACAATTGTCTGGGTAAAACCCTCGCGGACTTGTCAGACACACCCGTTCGATGCTCGAATGATATTGAATTTGCGCGTGAGTATATGGACTGCCCGATATGAAATTTGATTCCGGACGGGGATACGATCTGGTCCTGATGGCGTCCTGATATATCGTGCTCACTGCACGCGAGGCACAGTCTGAACGAAGAGCACAAGGACATCAAGTCATGGTATCAGGGGATCGCAGGCAGTAATTGCAATTCGTGGCGTGAAGAATGCTCAGACGCGACGTGTGCGGTTGTAGAAGCATTCCCTTGCGTCATAATCACTGCGACATGGATTTAATTATGGCCCAACGCCGAGATCCTGGAGCCGAGGAATGTTGCCGGCGGAAGGACGAACCTTGGATTAAGGTCGTGATGGTAGTCTTCCCGGGTGGGGCCTGAGATGATGGCAATAGAGAGAGCATGCTGGCCGAGAGACTACGGCACTCACAGGCGTGCCACCACGCTCAGGCACGTCGTGTGGACGAGTGCGCAGAGGCACCGATCGACTACCATATCGAGAACAATGCACATACCATATATGGCAGGTGAGGTATTCGGAGAAGCACGCGGTCCGCGGAAGGGGGCAGTCGTTGAGCAAACCATTGTTCCTCTTCTGGACATCTGATGCTCACTATGTCTCCTGGACCCGTTCTCTGTTCCTTACCACCATCTGTTCCTGCCCACGCAGCCCAGGCTCGCAGGCACGAGCTCGCCTGTTCCCTACATAAATCCGCTCACTTCCCTGCTTTCCTCACGAGCAACGGAGGCCCCTTCAATATCTTATTCGTCTATTCTATAGCTCGTCATGGTCGCTTTTCTCACTCTCGCGCTCTCGCTTTCTCTCGTCGTCCACTCTTGGGCTGCACCAGCAACACTTGAACCACGTATCTCGACAACCATTGCAGACCTCAAGTTCCCACAGATTCCAGCCAACTTGCTCTGCGATATCCCCTTCATATCCCAGTGGATATGCCCTCGTGATAGCGGAGGCTCTTCTACGAGCTCCTCTCTGTCTGTTTCCACTCCCCTTGGAACCGCAGAGGGCACGTCCGATACCTCCGGTGTCGTCAGATACGCAGTCAGGTATGGCAGCGCAGATAGGTGGCAACCGTCATCCGTCGTGACATCCTGGGCCCTTCCGTGAGTACACTCATCTTTGAATTGCTTTCTTTCCTGTTATTTGATTAAATTTACTGCATATATGCGCCTATGAAGCCGAGCTCACCTCTATCATTCCTAGTGCTGGCGCCTCAAACGCATCCGGACTGCCCTTGGCATGCCCTCAAGGCACTGATCCCACTCAATACTCTGAGGATTGTCTGGCTATGCTCCTTTATGTTCCGCCTTCCGTCCAAATTGGAAGTGATGCTCCGACGTTGATGTGGTATGTTATACGTTTTCTTGTGGCTTGTAGCAATCTAATTGAAGCGCATATAACCAGGATTCACGGCGGTTCTTTCGTCAGCGGTTCCGCCACCGGTCCTGGTCTCGACGGCGCTATCCTCGCGACGAACAGCGACGCGATTATTGCAGTTGTGCAATACCGGCTGGGTGCGGTGAGTAATCTTAATATATCTCGCTTTCGGGTCATTCTAATTGTGTCTTTGTAATCGTGCCCTCAGCTCGGATTTATGGCGCCGAGCGACGAGACGAACCTGGCTGTCCAAGATATCATGACGGCCATGCAGTTCCTGCAGAAGGTAGTGCCTAGCTTTGGCGGCTCCGCGTCAAAGATTACACTCGACGGGCAGTCTTCTGGTGCGAACATGATCCGGGCGATACTCGCAGTGCCCTCAGCCTCCGACCTGTTCCAGTCCGCCATCCTGCAGTCCGACCCGATGGACTATGGCTTCCTGAACACTACGATGCAAGACACTTTGCAAACGTTCTTCAATGAGCAGCTGCCCTGCAGCTCAGCAGACAGCTCCTGCCTCTCCTCGCTTTCGGTATCCGACATTTTACTTGCGCAGTCCTCTCTTATGGGCAACGCGAGCTCTCTAGTACCAGCAGCTGGCGCGGCGGAACCTATTCGGCCTGTGCGTGACGGCATCCTAATCACGTCTCCGCTGGATTCGACAGCACCATTCCCCTCCCAAACGAAGCCGATCTTACTCTCTACAGTGCTGGACGAGGCGATGCTCACGATCTACGGCTACTATACTTCACCGATCACCGTGACGTTCTACGACGAAATCGTCAACGTTTCATTTGGGGAGCCCCGCGCGGAGCGGCTGCTGTCGGCAGAGGAGTACATTGTGCCTGTGAGCAGCTCGAACTCGAACTCCGTGCAGGATGCACGCCCGCAGTTGCAGGTCATGGGCACGGACCAGGTCTGGCGCTGCGCGACATGGACGTTCGCACGCAACTGGGTCGCAAGCGGGGGCCAAGCGTGGGTCGGCCTGTACGTCGTGGGGGCGTCATACCCGGGCAACTCGGCTGTGCCGGAGTGCACGGAGACAGGGTCGGTGTGCCACCAGGATGACATCGAAATCGTGTTCGGAACAGCCCCGAGCCCGACGTCGGCGCAGAGCGCGCTCATCAACGAGATGCAGGCGCGGTACAAGGCGTTTTTGACAACGGGCAACCCGAACACAGACTCGTATCCGACGTGGACGGAGGCGACGAGCACGACAATCGACGCGCTGGAGCTCGGCGGGTCGGGCAATTATGCGGCCGGCGCGTGCAACGTGACGTACTGGGGCGAGTACGTGGAGTACGATTACCAGGTGTACGACATCTAGTGAGATGGACCTCGACGACGACTCGGCTCTTTGCAAGACACGGTGACGCAAACGCGCTGCCAGACTAGAACGCGACGTTTGCGCCTTCACGTGAATATCCTAATCTTTTCGATTAATCGGTGCAAGACTTCGGATCTCTAATACGCAGGCTGGGTGACAAACTTGCCTGTTGCTTTCGGCTTTATTCAAAGAAAACATAAAAACTCAATTTATGAATTGTAGTTCTTTTGTAGGTTGGTCATTCGGTCTCGTTTACTTTCGGACGTTCTTCGACACTGGCTCATCGGAACTCGGTGTTCGCTTCGGCATTTTGTGTATCCATATCCTCTCTGTTGTATCCCCAGATACTGTTCTCACCTGTAGCATTGCAATGTTCGTATACGGTTCTATTTAATCGCCTTGTCAATGATGTATTGTTGGTCCGTTTTACTATGGGAATATAATGGTTGTCATGTTCTTCCAGTTGGTCCATTTGAGCCTCATTATGGTCATCTTACACAAAAACATTTGAATACAAATCGTTCACAGCGAGTATAAGCACCGCTCGAGAACAAGAAAGGGGTTCCATCAAGAGATAGGAATGCAGAGACAACGTCGTACAGGCAACGCGCAGCAGGAACAAAACGGACGTCAAAGCTTTGAGGGCTCGGATCGACCCCGGCTTTCCTGCAGGTCCGTGTAAATATCGAAATTGCGCTGAATGACAACTTCCGTCGCGACCTGTCAATGCTATCGTTGAACAACATTCACCAAAACTGCACAAGGATGTACACACCCCTTGTTTGTCGAATCGCACAAGACAACGATGGAGACGGCCATTGAGACCTCCCCGGGTCTCATCCCCCTCGTAGGTCAGAATCGCGCGGCCCTCTGCGTCCTTCTCCGGCAACATACGGGGCTGGACCGTCATGCGGCCGAATGCGCCACCGGACAGTGTTCGTACGGCAGTGACTTGGGCAGCAGTGCGTGTGGAGCCCTCCAGGATCTCCGCGAGAGTCGTGAGCAGGTAGACCTGCGGGGGCATGAGTGCGATCTCGTGCGCTCGGTTCTCCGCGAGAGCCGCCAGTGGATGGACAAAGCGCGCGGCGATGACCTCCTGGCCACCATCGGGTGTGGGGAGGCGGTCGTGCTTCTTGCCTGCGGCGAAGCCCTCGAACTCGGTGGTACGATCTTCCAGGAAGGCGACGTAGAAAGAGGTGCGGAAGCGCCTGGGAGGTATTTGGTCAATACGCATGTTTTCGGGTGACAGCGTCGATATAAGACAGCTTTGATAATGCCACAGTAGTAGCGTCCAGTCAAACGACACTCAGGGTAGTAGTACTAGAAATCGCGACTCTGCGTACAACACTGCTACAATTGAGATGCGAACCTGGGAATGGAGGGCGGGGTAACCCATTGAGTAAAGGGCAGCAAGGATTTCACATGAGGTGCAAGCGCGTGCCGCGAGAGAAAGTCACGGAACTGCAGCTGCTGTGAGTGAACGAGCTCTCTCGCAGTGTCCAAGGTCCTGTTTGAGGGTGTTCGATTCCGGTCGCCAGTCAAGGGGGATGCGAGAAGCAGCCCAGTCTCCTCAAAGAGCTCTCTGATGGCAGTCAATTCAAGTGAGCCATCCTGCACAGGGTCGAAGTTCCCTCCTGGAAATACCTATGCGGCCTGAATACCCGCCATATCAGCAGCCAGAAATGATAGGACATACATGTGCGCCCGCGAACGACCGAGACTTGGGATTCCGCTGTACGAGGAGAACCTCATTCTGTCCGTTTATGACGATCACACTTGCAGATGGCCTGGGCTCTGAAGGTGTTCTTCCAGCCTTGTCCGGAGTCGCCTTAGTTGTCATATTAACAGCGAATGTAAACGTTAGTGCCAGAGGCTTGGATGATACCAAACGCGAGGCCAGACAGCTAGATGTCGAACGTACGATATTGCGCCGCAACAGAGGTGGTGTCAGCATCGACAACTAGGAGCACAACATCCCATATATCAAGGGGCGGTCGATATGTATTCGGCCAAGTCACAGGGTCGACAATCAGGAGGTACATCCATTCAGAAGTAAGCAAATGAGTAAGGGTAAGTCTGGGTAAATGCTTGTTACCTATCGCTAAAGCTCGGCAACTGCCGTCGTGTGGCTCAAGCGAATGAAGTCACCGTCCATTGCTTGCAACTCGATTACCTTCACGTCTAACCCCACTTTATGCGTTGAAATGTCTGCGCTGAAAATGTATGTCTGATAGTGAATGTCATACATAACTAACATGGCATCCCCAGACTTACTGTCGGCTCCGCTGCTGGTTCCATCCGCGAGCTATTCGCGAAGATCAAGGCCATAGATGCAAAACATGGCAAGTTCGACCTCGTACTCTGCGTGGGGGACTTCTTTGGTCCCCCGAAGGACGAAGGGGAAGCGTACAGCGAGGATGACGAGGTGATACAGCTATTGGAGGGAAAGTTGGAAGGTCGCGTACATGGTGTTCTACTGGGTTTGTAACAAAACTCAATATATCTCCTTGGACCTTACAGTGCCTGTGGAATGCTACGTCATGCAAGGAGAGCATCCACTACCTGCACCTGTGATTGAAAAGTTTGCCAAGACGGGAAGCTTCCTCACTAAGGGTGTGAGTCTTTTTCGTGAGTGTGTCGGCTTTCTGGCAGTGAACGCGTGCATCTCAATATATACCATCACATGCATAGACAAGTCCGGTATTATAACGACTCCACAAAGCCTCCGTGTAGCATGTCTGGGAGGCATCTATGACTCGAACTTGTACGCGGCAGCCGAGTCTGCACACGTACGTCTCTATTCAAGTATACATGTCCAGTTCCTTGAGCCTTTCCTTCCAGGGGTTCACCTCACCGTACTTCACCTCACAAACGGTCGAGAAGTTGCTTTCCAATAGCCTGACCACGTCCCACCCTTCGGACCAAAATTACACGTCTCTTGCATCTATCAAGGCAACAACCTCATCCTCGCAACTCGTCGACATCCTCATCAGCAACGCGTGGCCTTCTGACATTACGCGTTTTTCATCCGCTCCCCTGCCTTCACCCGAGCTCTCTTCTATAGGCGTCGAGCCCGTGGCCGAGGTCGTCCGCCGCACGAAGCCGCGATATCACTTCGCTGCCGGAGGTGGGATTCCCCCGAAGTTCTGGGAGCGCGAGCCTTTCATATGGAACGAGGAGGGCGATCGCATTTCTCGTTTTGTCAGCGTTGGCGCATTTGGTGGCCAACCGACCGAGGGTAAGAAGCAGCGAGTGAGTGAAGTCGCGCGCACCATATGCTATTATTGACGAAAGCCATGAATAGTGGTTTTATGCGTTCTCGATCACACCCAACTCGTCGACCGCTCCACCCCCTCGACCTGCCAATGCGACTAATAACCCGCTCACGGAGCAAGCACCCCGTGCACCCAAGCGGCCATTGATAGAAGACGAAGGTACAAATTACCGATGGGGGGACGTCAAGCAGCCTGGAAAGAGATCCCGTATTGGTACGCCTCTACCATCTGGAACCACGATATGCGCTGAACAAGCTGCCTAGAGCCTCAAGGCGAGCCCGGAAAGCCGCCACCTGGATATAAGTGCAAAATTTGCGAGTCACCAGAGGTACAGAGCGAGGAATGAGTCGTTCGATTATCAAACTCAAATCATTCACAGCACTTCATTATGGACTGCCCAGACAGAGCAAAACCTCACGAAGGTTACGTCTGCAAGATTTGTAATGAGGTACAGGCTTTGTATGCAACTATGTGTGGTGGCTCTCATTTATTGGGACTCGAAGTCAGGCCATTTCGTTCGTGATTGTCCGGTCAAGAATGCGGTAGGCGATACAGGCGGACGCAAACCCAAAGAAGGTTATGTTTGTAGAGCATGCGGGAGCGAATTGCATTACATCCAAGACTGCCCAGTCGCAAACCAGTCTGGCGGAGGGAGACATGGGGGGCGGGGGCAGCGGGGGCCGCCGAAGGAGATTGCACGTAAGCAAGCAGTCCTATTATTCAGCGTTCTCCGTCCTAATGCCACTCGCAGCGGACGAATGCTGGTTCTGTCTATCGAATCCCAATCTCGCGTTCGTCTCTTGCCAAACATGTCGAAATTGTGCGATTGACGATTCCATTATGCAGGAAACATCTTATTGTATCAATTGGGACTGAGTGCTATGTTACGCTTCCCAAAGGACAGATCGTCCCCACGCACACAGCGGCCGACCACCCAAATGCCCCTGCCGTACCGGGCGGCGGACATGTCCTCATTGTCCCGATTACTCATTACCCCACGTACTCTTCCATTCCCCCAGATCTCGCCGCCCCAATTGTACAAGAGACCGAACGGTACGTTCGCGCATCTCCGGTCGAACCGCCCGAGAACAAGAGAAGCTGATTATGTGCACCTGCCATGATCTTAGTTACAAAGCCGCGCTGCAGGCGATGTTCGCAAAGCATAAGGCCGCCTTTGTCGCTTTCGAGGTCGGGCGGCTGAGCGCGAAGGGCGGGCACGCGCACGTCCAGATCGTGCCTGTGCCAGACAAGTTCAAGCACAGTGTCGAGCAGGCGTTCCTGGACGAGGGACAGCGACTAGGCATCCAGTTCGAGACCGATCCGGATGCCGCGCTGGAGGCCTGCAGCGGGGGACGAGGCAGCTACTTCCGAGTGGACCTGCCAGACGGACGCAAGATGGTGCACCTGATGAGGGACTCTGTGCCGTTCAGCATTCAGTTTGGGAGGTGGGTAGAGTCTGTTTCTCATCGTTGCCATGTCAGCCTTGCTGATCCATATATGGCTCATAGAGAGGTGCTTGTGTCACTGCTGGGAATGCAAGACCGATTTGACTGGAAAGCATGTCTACAGTCAGAAGAGGAGGACAAGGCTGATGTGCAAGCATTCAAGACTGCCTTCGCGCCTTTTGACCCTTCACTTTGATATTCTATCTCGATTTTTGCATCAGAGAAATGACTCGTTTTCGCTTTTGTAGCACTGGTTGTGCTATGCATGCTTACTACTCTTATGCTACAACCATGTTGATATGTTAAGACGGTATAAGTATCCGTAAAGTCAGCGCCGGTGGTGGTATATATATTGCGACTACAGCTACATGTGCAAGTAAAGTACAGATACATCGAATGCCACACAATGTGCAGCGATGGCACTGAGAGATATCTGAAGGTTAGAGATCAGAGCTGGGTTCTTCCTCCTCCTCATCCTCGTCGCCTGCTTCAGAGCTGCCTTGTCCGTACTCGTCCGTGCTGACATCTACTGTCTCTCCGGTGGCATTTGCTGCGTCCATGTCATCCATGTCGGCATCGAGGTCCTCTTCGGCGGATTCGTTCTCCTCATCCTCCATAGCCGATGGGCTCTCCTCTGACGACTCGGATTCGTCGGAGTCATCTGATCCCTCGTTGTCCTGTGGTCAGCGTCAAACAGCAGACACAATGGGCGCACGAGAACTAAATACGCAACGCTCGCATCGTTCTTCTCTTCATGCTGAGTAAATAGGCGACCGATGGGAATAAGGAAGTTGTATCCTCTACTTCGGAGTTCCGAAGCCTAGTACTAGAGTAAGTTGCGTGACAGGCATGCATGACAGTGTCCATACAATGTCGTCAAACTCTTCCTCCTCATCACTCAAGTCGTCCATCTCGCGCTGCAGGTCGCGCCGACTGTTGAAGCGCCCGACCCTTTGGTCATGCCTTGGTAGTGGTGTGGTATGAGGCTGGGGCGGCTTGGGCAAGAGGTGAGGGAAGAGCGGACTGCGAGGGAGCACTGTCGGTGTGGCAGTAGACATGATGTTCACTGGAGAAGGCTGGCGCGATCACGCGACGCGAGTCGCGTCTGTGGCGCGTCACTTCCATTGCATATCCCCTTCGGTCAATCATAGAGATACATGATTGCTCAAAGTAATCCTGTCTTCATCGCTTGTGCATTTAAATTCTCACGAAACATCATCATGAGGTTGGGACTCGGATGTTATCTCAGTGATCGTCTCGTCTTCTAATGTGTCGAGGTACAGACGTTGTATAGTGTTATACATGAGACTACTTGGCATATGGTCCGAGTGCATCTTTTTTGGTATATCTGTTCGAACATCCTCAATGGGCGGAGGTAACATAGAAGCTGCGCGCTGAGAACGTCGACGGCGAAGTTGAACGGGAACAAATAGTTGCATGCTTACCCCTGACACAAATTTGCTTGCAGGATTGAAAATGGACCAACTGCGTCGATGCTCGTGGTCTGTCACTCGTCGGTGAACTTCACCACGCGTCTCTTTTTAAAGGCCGGGCCTTCTGCTGGCAGTTGTATCGCCACTGCATCATCTTGTTCCTCATCCTCATTCTGGTCCTGCCCGATTCGGAGCAGGGGAACATTGAAGTTCAGCCTTGTGGCTGCTTTCTCTTTCAAGAACGTCGGATTCTGCGCGCAGCGAACACAAAGACGGTCAGAGATATGGCTGCACGTATCGACATGGAACGACTTACCGCGATGAAGTCGCGGATGCCCCGGTCCTCTATGAGCCGTGTCTGCTTGGCGTCATTGTCCTTGCTCTTGCCAAGCGCCTCGCGCCGAGTGACGATCGCCTCCTCCCAGGTTGAGCGGATAGCAAGGGTTTGTACTGGGTGGCGTGGTCAAGGGGCGTTCGGCGAAGTAGCGGTGGGGCTTACCTGTAACCGGGCGCGTCTGGCCGATACGATGCACACGCTTATCAGGTCAATGATAGTCAATATCGACTGTATGAATGCGGAAGGGACATGAAAACTGTACTCACCTTGATTGCTTGGATCTCGACGTCTGCTTGCCACACCGGTTCGCAGAAGATAACCCGTGAGGCGGAGATGAGATTCCTGGTGTTGAGTCAAGTCAAGTCAAGTCAGCAAGCTGCAGGCTGCACATGAAGGCAGGGCCATACAAGCCACGCGCTCCGTGCTTGAGCTCCATCAGGAAGACCCTGTATAAAGCCGACGTCTCGAACGTCGTCACAAACTGTTCGCGCAGCTTTGGCTTGTCCATAGTGGTAAATCGGATGTGCTTAATTTGGACGAGCTCAAGACCTTCTGCGACGAACTTCAGCGTAAGCGGGGAATTCGAGAAGATGAGGAATTTCTCGGTAGGCGAGTGTTGCAGAACCTAGGACAATGCCATGAGAACAAAGGTGAATGGCGGAAGACCACGCCTGCATGTAATGCTCACCTCATTGAGAATGAAGTCCAGCTTCGAGGACGTCGACTTCCCGATACGGACGCCAGCTAACGGGGACAGCGATAGGAGACGTGAAGTTATTGATGGCTGTCGATGCACTCCAGCGGCGCGTCCTGGCATCTCATTCTGAAACAGTGCCAATAGCCATTTCTGGCCAGCAACGAATTCCCGCTGCACCTCGTCGCGCTTCTCGGGTGCTACAGCGTGCTGGGCGACCTCTTGCTCCTTGCGGTGCTTGTTAGTCTGTTTCCGTTTCTTCGTCTTTCGCTGTATTAGTTCCTGTTCGCTGTGGAGTCGAGCTTCTTCTTCGTCCATCACATCCCGCACAGCCAGAACAATCCGTGTCATGTCCGCAAGCGGTTGTCGTGTCACGAATGAACGCAGCTTGGTCAGGCGCTCGCTTGACAATACCTGGTCACTTCTCGATACGCGGCGGTAACGACGAGTTACTCTGGCAGGCAGTGAGGACCAGGCCTCGTAGACATTGGATAATATATTGTGGACGCGGTGGAACACGGAGACATGGTTCTGCATGGCCCTCCACGTTGGATCATGGACAGCGGAGTACCTGTAGCAGTATGAGCCTCACGAGGAGATAGAGCAATCGAGGACGTACACGCATGAGATTGCCTGTTGTAAGAGAATCAGATCCTCTTCGGAGATGTTCCTGTGGCGGGCATTTTGCAGGAACTCCTTCGAGCCGTTCGCGATTTCGTTGACGTTGTAGCACTTCTCGTCATCCACATGCCAGAACATGACCCTAAGCTAGGTTAACGAGCAGGTAATAACATAAAGGAAATGTTGACCCACTGCGACATATTGAGCATGAGTTGCTGCAGAGCGGCTGCGTTCTGTACTATCACGTCAATATCTGAAGCCGGTAAATCATGGCCGACAACCTACACTGGGATGGAACAGATAGTCCTACACAATGATCAGTAATCACCCTTACGTCGCTGAAGAGATAACGTGAGCTTACCTGACCAGTACGCTCGGAATCCACCGCGTTGATGACAATACCCGCTTGCAACGCATTGTACGACTTGATTGCATACTGGTCGAGATCCAGCAGAATGGTCTTCTGGTGCAGTAATGGCAATAGCACATCTTCCTCGACGTCGATGATCCTGTCAAGGGAGTGCTTCGTTAGTTTGAGTAGCGTCTCACTACGGGGAAAGCGTACCGATGGCGGATCATGACCGAGCTCATCACTTGCTCAAGTACCTCGATCGCACCCGGTCGAGGCCTTGGATTTGCCATCAATGGTTGTATTATAGCTTTGTTGAACAGCGTCTTGGCACCCGCAGCGAACTGCGGCACCTCGAGGAAGTGCACGATCATGTTGGACAGCTTGCGGAGATCTTCGCGATCGTCACGCGTCCACGTTCGGACAACGAGATTGGGTTCGATGGCATCGGCTGCGGGTGACCCTTCTGCTACAGGCGATTCGGGATATTGAAGTTCGCTACCACCGCCAAATTGCAAGCCAAGGAGGTTCGCTGTATCGAGCATCAGCATAAGTCACCCGAGGTCATGCAAAAACCGTAACTCAACTTGTCGGTGTGCCAGTTACAATCCACTTTCGTTCGACGCTCAGTATCTTCGCGAATGGCGTGAGGTTCGTGACGATCGAAGCGGAGACATGACCCTCGTCGATCACGAGCCGTTTCCATCGGACTTGGAGCAAGGGTGTCACGGTAGCACTTGGTACCTTACACTTGCACACCGGGACACGAGTTCCTGGGTAGCAGGGGCAGGAGCACAGCTTCCACGAGTACAGCTCAGAGACATTCTTTTTCTTTGATTCTCTAGAGAAGCCTAGAAAACACCTGTAAGCCATATTCAATGAACGGGTTCTTCGCAGTACACACGGTCATATGTCATTAATATGATCTAGTGTAGCATGAGCTGCGTGATCTGATTTGGGATGATAGTGGATGACTTACATCATAGTTGCTGGCCAGGTCCACTGCTCCTGGCAAGACTGTATCAGTCTTGACCTCCAGTACACGCAGTGTATCATGGCAGTGTTTCATAATCTCATTTCGCCACTGCAGGAATAAATTCACCGGTACAACGACAAGTGTTGCAGGGCTGAGATACATTTTTCTTGGTCCGGGGTCAGTGTAGTTGCGCCTGGTGCGGACAAGTTCGGGCATTGATTCATAGTAGTATGCTACATTAAGCCTGAGAGGCTCCCGTAGGCGCCTCTTCAAAGACTCGATATGCGAGCGTATATCCAAATTTTCGGGGTGTACTTTGCAATAGTGGAGTAGTGTCTCCACAAGGGAAGCGATTTGGCGAGGTTCTTGCTGCTCCAACCTTACCCGAGTCGAACATCCGCGAGCAAAGTGCTCACGCGCGGCAGCAAACTCGACATTCGGAAAGTGGCGGAATGCCAGGGGTGTCAAAGGAGGGCATATGTTTGGGACAGACGTCTTGGGTTCTGGAAGCTGGTCAAGAGTTGCAACTATGAGAGAAAGCACAATGACAGTTTTGCCAGTACCGAGCTCCTCGCAGAGGATGCCTCCACGACTTTGAGCAACCTGCGGACATTCTTGCCATGACTCCATCGTCGACGGCTGGAGGTAGAAAGATGTTCCATCCATGCCCTTCATTGGAATAAAGAGAGGATCGTTTATGGTTGCTGGGGACTCTGCTTCTCTCGCGAGCATCGCAGAGACAGTTTCACGTTGGTAAGGATAGAGAGAGGTTCGCATGCCCTGAGTACAGTTGACAGGGTACTTCGCAGAGGCCTTTGGGGACGGAAGATCTCTGAATATTTCCGCCAGAGTGCGGTTGTCCTACCAAGCTATATTAGTACTATGATCGAGGTGACATGGGAGCATGTAACATACGATCTTCGCGTCGAGCATTGGAGCATCGGATCCTGAGCTGATGGACGACATTGCAGCTGCAGGAAGTTAACAAAAAGTCAGGCAAAGGTTCTAACCCGAGCAAGTAAGTACAATTGAGCAGCAAAAGTTTGGAGTGTCGTCACAGACGACCCGATTATCGCGAGCACCCGTGATCGAGCGCTGCAGATCGGCGACATGAAGATCGGGCGACCTAAGACCCCTTGTCTCACCCGAGACAACCACTCATAGCAGGCGTACGTGCTAGAAAGATGCCTGTGCCGAGTTCGCGACATATAACGAGTGGCAAAGAGGGGCCAAAAGCGCGGAGGTCCGGGTGAATTCGGGTGAATCCCCAAGCTCACATCGCTGCCAATTGGCCTTACTGCAGGCAAGAGCAAATATATATTTCCTGCAGTTCCACTCGTACAACATTTTTTTCCGCGACAAGTCTCGCGACGCACCTACATCTGCAGAACCTGGTCAAACAGCGCATCATCTGATATTCTAAGGGTACAGTGGGTATCTCAAACTTCTGCAGGCTCCAGACAACAGTATCCACGGTACCTTCCCTTGCATGGAGCGGAATCTGTCCATGAGTACCCTGACGGGAGTCTCTCGCAGTAGGAAGGGTGCAGCACTTCCTCACAGAAGTCCGACCTACGACAAGGGACGCACCAAGTATAAATCGGTCGCATCACCGGCCCCCCCTCACGACAACCAAATCCTCCTCGGCAGCAGCCACGCCTGGGACACCTAGCTCGCCGATACCTGCGCCTACCACATCCTCAGCGCTAACCTCTTGTAGCAGTCACCCTCTCCGGGAATCTGACTGCGACACCCAGGACACCACCATTGCTCCTGTGAACGGTGTTGTCCGTGTCTTTGGCGACGGCGATGGTGACCTTCTGTGAGCCGTCGCCTTCTGTGATCTAGGCCTCGTACGTCAGATGAAGGTCGAAAATACACCACTAGGAGAGTAGGTAAACGAGCTCCACATGCTCACCTATGTCTCTTGGACTGGTAGTCATGATTAGCTGACCTTTGTCACTTAAGACATCTTGAGCCTCTGACGTGTTCCAATTCGCCATGCATCAATAGTCTCGCACACGAGAGATGGACCATTTTCACGACCAGGCCGTCGCGGCGTCTTCGACGGCGGCATGAGAGCCCGTGGGGAGTGCCGAGAGGAGATCCTCGAGCTCAAGAAAGGAGATATGCTCGCCAGCGGCATGCTGAAGTAATTTGTCGACGCCCGATTCAATGCGGGGCTCACTGCGGCTGGCAATCCGACAGCTATCGAACTCGGCGAGAGGCAACTGGGCGGCCGAGAACAACGTTAGCAGAGGCCACGACACGCAAGCGCGCGACACCCTCGACGCGGTCACGTGCACTTGTATAGTGGACGCGGCTCTCGTTGACTAGACTTTGCACTCATCTGCGAATACCGCACACATCAACCCCACGCGCGGTCGGCCATGCTGAGAACTTCGTGGCCCCTCTCATTCCCCACACGCCGAAACGAACTTGCCTCTGTCCTCGACGCAAGGATGGCAGATTTTGCTCAGCGCGAGATTGCTTAGTAGCTCGCTGCTGAGATTGACAGGAGCAGCGGTCTCCCGACCGTGAGTGCCTCATCTGCCCTTCCCTGTCCCAATTCCAGATCTTCCAACCCTGTCGTGGCATGTAGGACCTCTGGGAGACGCCCCTAGTTGCTTCAATCGCATGGAGGACCTCTCGCGGGTGTGTCCGGGTCGGTAGCTTTGTCGTACAGCGCACATTCGAACCTCTGCGTGAGCCACGTTCGTCCGTCACGCGTCAGGGCTCGTACCGTTGGGTTACTCCATGCTGCACGCTAGATTCACAGGTGGGGCACTGACGTGCAGGAGGAGCACTACATTCCCGACAGCATCGCAGGGCGGAAAGTCGGCAGGCGAGCCCTGAGCGAGCCCGGGAGCGGGCGCAACGTGACTGGCATGAAGCTTCGCGCAGAGAAGGCCGGCGGCGGCGATGGCGTCGGCGCGAAGAGAGCGCTGCCGGCGCTGGCGGGGTTCAGCTGTCCGAGCCAAGGTTGCGCACTGTGTACACGAAGCTGGATATGTCAGGTCATGCGGGTGCGTGCAGACGCGCTGTGAGCTTCGTATGGTTATGCTGATACGATCGTGTCCTTGGGCCGTTACTAGGACTGCGCGGGTGCGATTCTGTGTCCGTCAGACCGTGTTGCCGCGGCAGCCGTCGACGCGATGCAGTGCCTAAGCGGCGACGGGGATGTACACCCATGGTGCATGCTGGCGGCCTGTTGCGATATGGTGCGCATGTCGACGCTAGTGGTGCAGAGTGGCCCACTGATGGGTTCCTCGGGGACGCGAGCTTGTATTGCGCCGGCGCAGGCACGCGGGAGATCCGGTAGATGCTTGTCGGACGCGAGTCCAAGCGCCGTTCTTCGTGCTCGGGAGGTCGCTGTAGCCATGTAGCAGTTAGCATGTCATCCTGACTACACTTCCCTCCGTTTCTATATTATAAGATTTATAAGCTTTGTTAGTGAAACATTTATCTTTCCGTTCCATTCCTTGTATTACTAGCGCCCATACTGGCGCCTGTCTTAGCGCTCACCCGCAGGATGAACATTATGTAGCTTACATAATGGGGTCTGTGCGCACTTCGTGCCTGGTATCGTACCACTATGTTTCTTTCTTCACTAACACAACCACATAGACACGATGGTCCGTGCGTAGTCAGTACTTGTATAAGTAGTTGTACCATTAGTCGGTCGAACCCTAAGTTCGACCTGGTTATTCATTCAAGTCTCTGCTCCTCTTCACTTGGGGTAGTGGTCATTCTCGACTTCCTCGCTCGATCTTCAGGACGACGCACTGTCCATAAGTCCTCGCTCGTCGTCTACGAGTCAGGCATCGATACAGGAGTATAGACCATTGTATCAGTTAGAGCATGGCCGTCAATGAGGTCCAGACTTGTCTAGCATTCCTGTCGATCCCTTGAGTGATAGAATGAAGCTTATGCCACATTAGTAGGGCTTACATTTGTATTTCAGAAGATCGCGGTTCTGCGGGTGGCAGAGATGTTCTTTGCATTCGAACCGTGTCTAGGCCCATATATTATTGAACACTAAACCATATTGCTGGCCAGCTGTGCATGCGAGGATCCGGCGGAGATGGAGAGCACCACGAACACGCCAGAGAATGGTGAACATGCCCCGCACTCGAGGCAGGGCCAGACCACATAGATCGATCGCGAGATGAGAGGGCAGATCTTGAGCAGATTCCGTCTCTCTCGACGTCATCGGGTGACAACGCTGAGCAGAGCAACTCGAGTGTCTGTCCGATGCCACACTGGCTTCGACGCTGCGGGCGGGCGCGTCGGCGTCGACGACGCTCAGGCTCGTGTCTGCGAACAGAGTCCGGCTGTCGAGTTCGCCGTCCCTGGTGCCGCGCATCTCGCACCATCGGTGCGGCCGGGGAAGGGCCCCGGACGCTATAGCCATTACTGCCGTACTGGCAGGCAGACGGCTGTGCCAGACGCGGGAGCCAATGGAAACGTCCTGCCGTTCGGCCGCTCTCACATGGGCGCACATTCAAGTCGGCTTACGGCCAACCCGAAAGGCCCGCACGGGAACGTGTATGATGACACTAGTCCCAGTCGAAGTCCGCGATGCAAGGGAGGCTTGCATTGTGATCGATGAGAGACAAGTGTACCGTGAACAAAGCCGGTCGAAAGAGCACAGGTATTCGCGATGCACTTGCATAGGCTGCGCAGTCGAAGCCGAAGCAAGTGTCGAAGTGGCGTCGTGGGCTATATATAGGACGCGTCATAACGCGAGGCACGGCAGAGTTGAACTGCCTCGCCGGATTCATCATGGATCTGATATCGTTGCCCGCAGCTGCACGACCCCTTGAGTTGCTAACTTCTTTCTTGTCCTCCACCATAAATACTCCCCCCACCGCACACCATGTCCGCTACCAACTCTCACAAACCCAACCCCCTCAACGTCACGTTCAAAGACTCTGTACGTTGCCTTTGCTGCAGACAAACTTGTCCTGATGGCTCTACCCCAGCCCAAAGACAAGGACATGACGAGACACCACAAACCCGCAAAGCACCTCAAGCACGAGAGCGAGTCCGAGGCTCACAGGGTGCGTTCCCCCACCTCCTGCCGATGATGCCCCGCAAACCTCACCTATCACACCCAGATCTTCCGTGAGTCTGCCGGCCACGCGCCCAAGGGCCTCATCCCCCAGACCGTGAACCCCGTGAGTCTCCCTTGCCGTCTATCCTCATCCGTGCCACAACTCGGCTCACGCGTGCGCAGGATGAAGAGACGGTCCCCGGCATCCAGCACCCGGGCAGCACGGGTGTCATCTACTGCTCCGACCGCGCCATGGCCAACGGCTTCTCCTACGCGTCCTCGCACGAGTGGGCGAACCTCGGCCAGGGCGCCCCCGAGGTCGGCGCGATTCCCGACGCCCCGCCCAAGCCGCGCACCATCGACGTCCCCGAGGACTCGCTCGAGTACGCACCCACGACCGGGGTAAAAGGTGCGCTGCACCGCCCATCACGCGATGTCGTGACGGCTGATGCATCAATATTGACGTTGCCGCCACTGCTGTTGCTATGTAGAGTTGCGCGAGGCCGTCGCGAACCTCTACAACCACACGTACCGTCAGGGCAAGGAGAGCCAGTACACGTACGAGAACGTCTGCATCGTGCCCGGTGGCCGCTCGGGCCTCTCGCGCGTTGCGGCTGTCATTGGCGACGTTTACACGGTGCGTGTGTAAATGCCTGGGTTCGTGGAGCGTAGCGAGGGAACTGACTCTGCGTTTGCAAATAGTCATACCAGATACCGGACTACACGGCGTACGATCAGGTGCTGGGCGCGTTCAAGCGCCTAGTGCCGGTTCCCACGACGTACGTGCTCAATTTCATTTCTTACAGAGAGAGGAGGGGCCTAACCGAGCGCGATCGGGCAGTCTGGATGCGGAGGACAGTTACCACCTGAACATCCAGCAGACACGCGTCAGTATCTCGTAAATGTTCGCTTGAGCATAAGCTGAATACGTGTTGTGGACGTGCAGAAAGATATCCGGACGCAGGGTCTGCAGGTGCTCATCGCGTCCAACCCACGCAACCCGACGGGGCAGGTCATCCGCGACGGGGAGCTCAAGGAACTCGTGGACCTCGCGCGCGACACCACCACGACGGTCATTCTCGATGAGGTAAGTACTGCCCGCTCGGCGTGCAACAACACCTGACGCGATTACGCGTCGGCTCGCAGTTCTACTCGTGGTACATTTACCCCGAAAACGACGAGGACTTTGGCAAGTCCGTCTCCTCGGCGGAGTTCATTCAGGATGTGAACCAGGTATGCGCGTTCCCTCACACTGTACCCGTACGAGTCCGTGTCTGACCGGACTGCAGGACCCCGTCGTGATTGTCGACGGTCTCACGAAGGTAAGGAGGCCCACCCGCCGCGTGTTCATTCTCTGATAGAGCGCCCGCACTAGAACTGGCGTCTCCCCGGGTGGCGTGTCTGCTGGGTCATCGGGCCCAAGAACCTCGTCACCGCACTGTCGCAGTCTGGCTCGTTCCTTGACGGCGGCGCGAACCACCCGTGAGTGTCCTCCCGCGCTCCTCGCGCCACGCCACGCCGCTGAGGGCCGTGCGCCACCAGCCTGCAGCTCGCGGCAATACCCCTGCTCGAGCCGGAGCGCGTAAAGCAGGAGAAGCTGTCGCTGCAGAAGCACTTCAAGGCGAAGCGCGACCACGTGCTGGCGCGCCTCGAGGCGCTGCAGCTCAAGGTGAAGGTGCCGCCGCGCGCGACGTTCTACATCTGGCTCGACCTGGAGGACCTCCCCGCGCCGATCAACAACGGCCTGGTGCGTGTGTTCGTGCTGTCCTCGCTGAGCTTGAGCTGACGCGGGCTGTGTGTGGATGCAGACGTTCTTCGAGGAGCTGCTCAAGGAGAAGACGATCGTCATCCCGGGCATCTTCTTCGACATCAACCCGTCGCACCGCCGGAACCTCGTCGACTCGCCGTGCCACCACTTCGTGCGGCTGTCGTTCGGGCCGCCGCGTGAGGACCTGGACAAGGGTGAGTGGTCCCGCCGTGTGCGCTGCCCCTGCCGCCTTGCTAAGCGTGTGTGCGGCTGTTAGGTCTGGACGCGATCGAGCGCGTGCTGAAGAGGGCGAGGAAGGAGGGGGGCCCGCGCCATTTCGGCCACGGCTACAAGAAGAGCATCGACTCGCCCACGACGCTCACGCACTTTGTCTGAACGGGGGTGGATACCCGGCCTAGGTGGGGCCTTGCGCGGCTTACATAGTGCGAAGGAGTGTAAGTGTGGATAGAAGAGTAGAAGAGAGAAGAAAGCAACGGATTGTACGACTGATACCACTGCACGCGTGTAACCCTTTTTTTGTCAATGTACTACAGACCGCCCGCCGTGCTGGGCGCGAATGCATGAGTCATGCTCGTCGAGTTTCCTGGTCTGAGACGGACCGGGGGTGGGACCTTTGTTAGATCAAGCGTGGACTCATAGCACCACCCAGCCAAGTGACCGGTAGTGCTGTGCGAAGTTCACGCGCTTGGCGTTGCCCACGCGCATGTGCGCACGCTAAGTCGCCGGCGACGATGGGCCTCCCGCGAACAACCCGATAAAGATATATGACAGCTGAGATTGCATTAGCGGCGGCAGCAGATCTGGGTCGGACACCGGCACACGTGGCTTCCCGCGCACCAGATTCAGATCTGTGTACGGTGGATACCCCGCACCTTTTTTTGGTTGAATGAAATTGAAGATCCCGCGGGTTTATGCTCCATATTTCATGGTCCACACAACGAAGGTACGTGTAGAGTGTAGCCGGGCCTCGGGCGGTTCCTAGGAGTGGGCTCCGCGCCCTTCTACGAAACCGCGCAATATAGTGTGGGTCGCGCGGTGTCCTCGCCCTACAGGGTTTCGGGCGGGCCTAGTGCCGGAGTCGGGTGCAGCTCTTCCTCGCACAACTCAGTGAAGTCCGCAAGACGGTTGCTCAACGGGGGACGTTGACCCCTTTGAGCGTAGAGGAGAAAATTGGAGCTGCTTCAGACATCCTCCCCCGCCCTCAACGCCCCTCCCGGTTCACAGCAGTTGAACCTCGCCACCCCGCACCTCTGCTACTGCAAAATTGGTGATGGCCTCCCCGCCCGTCGACGCAGTGTACCTATCGCGCTGGAACGCACCTTAGCGGCAACATCCATCTCTGCATATAACTTGAATTTGCTGTAGTAACCCCTCCTCAAATTCCGAATTCGCAGCCTTGCCATCTGGCCATAGAGATGTCAGCGCAGCTTACTGGATGACGTGGCTGCGCCTCGGCGAGAAGACTTGACCGATGTTCTTCTGCAGGACGTCAACTATTTCGGGCGGCGGTACCCGCGAGGAGTTTTAGGCGAGTTCGGTCAAGCCTTCTATATTCCCTCGGATGCCCTGCTTACCGGTGTGGAAAATAGTATATAGGCTGGGTCTCCCGAGTGGCCTGGCGCGCGCCATAACCGAGCTGGGCATTTCCCCGAGGTGATCAGGGCTGCCGAGCTGAGTTTCTAGTCGGTTGGACCCTCATCGCTCTCCATCCTCCACTATGTGCGCAGACGGAAAGCAGCGGGTGCATCGAATTTCCTGCTTCCACAGCCACCATGAACAGGTCTGCAGTCTTGAGCCTCGGGCTCGGGCAACAACGACGGTGTCTTAGGTACTGTCTTGGCGGAGCCGTCTATGTAGAAAAGCGCGCAGAAGGATCACAGACTGTTGCCGTGCGATTTTTGCAAGCTCTCGATGTCTTCTCTGTTTTGCACGCGTCTATGGGCTAGACCGTCAGTTGAAACGGCTCATTGATATCGTAACAAAAGGCCACTGACCACCCCCTGAAACGTGCAAATACGTGCTAATGGTCTGCCGCGACGCGTGCTTCGGTAGGCCCTATTCCGACAAAGATCGAACGTCCGGGTGCAAGTCGTGTTCTTCCGCCAGTACGTATGGTATGCATGTTACATCCAGCATTTAGCAGGTTGAAACGAATAATGATTCTTCACCAAGGTTGGGTTGCCAAAGTCCTTGGACGGCCATGCGGACGTCATAGCTCACGGCGCTGCACACCATGCACTCAGCAGTAACAATTGCTTGATATTACTGCAACAGTACCAATCCGGGCTTGTGAAGCGGGGGGACCCCGACCGAAAAGTAGTATATTGACGAGATTACGTATCGTATCGTGTACTCACTACTAGAGATGTTTGCATCGTAGACGCCATAGTGCGCCTTCCCCATATGTACCCAGAAGAATTTGTAACCCATGATCCCGCGTGGGTGTTTTGACATAAAGATCCGTGAAGTCCGCGAGCCGAATTTTGAGATCAGAGCAGAGGTTGCCTTGTTACCTGTTACATCAGAGCCGAGAATGCCGTCAGAACACTTCGCGAGGTGGACGCCGATAATTTTGCGATGACTTACACTTGTAGGTGAGAAAACGTGATCATAGCGACGTGACTGTTCCAGAGCATTACGACATGGGTTATAACGACAAAGCGGTAGTCTAGGGATGATTTACCAGTAAATCCAAGGTGAGTAAAGCGCGTAATAATCATGATGTGTTCTATTGTGCATGGGTGCAAAGTGCGTCATTATCGGATCGCGAAGTGCATGAAGGCGTATCAAGAAACTGAGGTCTCGTTTACCTGGAAAGAGATGCTGTCCCAACTGAAGCCACCCGACTGCACCTCCTGCACACCGTTTCGCTCGGCCGAGCTGCGCGCACGTTCGCGCAGGAGGCCCCATTGGACCCACCAGTTGTCCGCCTCGTCCTCGCAGTCATACCCAAAGATATCGCGGATCTCGCTCCACTGCTGGCCGGCAAGCCCTCGCGGTTCCTCGCCATCCTCGAGCTCCAGGACGCCCTTGCCCTCGCGGTGCTTGGCCAGCATGTCATTGTCACGAGCCTCGCGCTCGGGGCCATCCTCCAAGACGAATAACTGCATCAGACCGATCTCCGACTTCACGGTGTCTCTACAACGTTGCTGTCTGAGGTCCTGGAAGGCGTAGAGGAAGCTTTCGATTTGGTCACGATTACGCAGGCGTGCAAATAGCTTGGCAAGGACGGCGCCGTCCTCCACGGTCATTGAGGCACCATGGACTGTTCCCGGCTAAGGTAATAGACTAAGCGGTAGTTCCAGTCGCCGGTCACTTTGAACTTACAACGATAGGATGGGCTGCCTGCCCTATAACTACCAGAGGGCCACTGTCATGAACCCAATCCTCAAGATCCTCATAGAAGTTGATGGCGATGCGCACTGCACCTCCACAATTCTGGGCGACATGGTATAGCCTGCGAAGGTGGCCATGTTAGAAAGACTACACAGTAAGTGACGACATGCTCTCCGTACCTAGGATCACATGGCATTTTCATCACTCGGCGGAGAACGTCTGAAGGAGGATCTCCATATACACCTTCGGTACCCTCGTCCTCGATGAATATGTGGAACGCAATATCTTTCCGCTTGTGCTGTTTATTGATAGGTCAGCTGAGATGAGACTCTGTCTACACGTCACACTCACTACTGGATATCCGGTGGCAGCACGATTGGCCCCGAACGCAACGAATACTGTGTTCTGGGTAGACCGTGAATGAGCACCAGCATGCAGGTGAGAGCGACTACTCACGTCTTCAAGAGCACACAATTTGGCCAGCTCCTCATCAACCCCTTGCATTACGCGGTCTGTACTGTAGATGGTGCTGTGGACAATTTGTTATGTACCATTAAGATAGTACGATATCAGCTGTACGCACTCAAACAAGGTTACACCGCTTGGCGTCACACGTTCCGGGCGGCCAAGCACAAGTCTCCGACACAACCCTCTCTCGCCATCAGCACCGATGATGACGTCGCCAGTCAAGACCTCTCCAGTAGACAACGTGACTTTAGCTTCTTCTGGGTCAATTTCGCTGACTTCCGTGCTGAGGCGGATTTTCGCGCCGTGAGCCACAGCACTCTCATAGAAGAATTGAAGGAGTTCGGCGTGCTACATCAGGTCAGTCCGATATTCGTTTACGAGATCTGCGCTAACGTTACCGTTGTGCACATGAATTGTCCTCTGGTCTCCGCGAGAAGCTCATCGCTCCAAAGCTGAGTCCCAAGAACCTCCCCAGTCTCGACTGCATAGATACGTCAATATCGCCTAGACAATGGATGCAGTTTGTGCACACATTTTGAGAATAGTAGCGGCTTTGAAGGTGCTGCCACTTGCAACAATTTGTCCCTCAATCCCCAATGAAACAAGATTTTGGACATATTTGGGGCCATGCGCACGCCACCATACCCTTTCTAGAGGGTGATCAGTGTCAGTCGGTACGTGTCCGGCACCACGACGTACATTCGTCCGCCCATCGCCCTTCTCCAGGACTGTCACCTCGTGTCCAACGCGACGGAGTGCTATTGCGGCCGACAATCCGCTAATGCCTGCCAACAGATGGTTGGTGGGATGATGCGACCTGGCTGTTGGACTCACCTCCTCCAATTATTATGAAATGGATGCTCAAAGGCGCTTGCATAGGCGCAGTACTAGTGGGTTGCTGGGTCTGCATTGTAAGTGCGAGTACAATGGCTAAGTTATGGATGTTACCTGGGCTGTCATGACGGGCATTCGATTTTCAGGTTTCAGGCAATCGGTAGCGGAGAGACCAAAGAAGGGTGATTGAATACTAGAAGGGCTATATAACTCGACCAACCGGATCACGTTGCGGTTGGAACTGATCACCGCGCCAGATCAGATAGATATTCCTCCGTGGTTTGCTTCCGTTAGTCGATGAGGTAACCGATTGGACAGGCATTCGATGTCACTCTTTAACACTTATCAGTCCCTGGGGATTTGCGGTTCAAGATCCTCCTGAAAATATCCGTTTACAACAATATTCGGGATTACTCCATGGAGTTTGAACGGGGCAACCTGATACTTGTGCTGGCGCGATATTCGACGTTGCCATTCTGTCGGCACATCAGCGTCTACATATGTAATATAAATCTGGTATTTCTAGTTGATTCCATATCATGAAACTTGTTGAACTCGAGGTGTGCGTAAACGGACTTCCGGGAATGTGCGGGCCCTGGAAACAACAGCTTAGTTTGGTAAATTGTGGCTGCGACGATACTTTGCCGAGTCCAGCCAGGTCGGGACCAAATACTCTCGGGTAGGTCTATCAGTGTGGAATCAGCCGTCATTGTGACGCCAGTCACTTGGATAAGACCCTGGGCAATGGGCGGCGCGTAAATTAAAGACTGCGATCAGCCCCGCGATTTTGATTTTGGGCCACCTACCACGCAGGCAGAATCGCTTTTTGGCATGTGCGCACCACCGCTCCTTGAGAGGAGTCCGTGGAAGCGGTTTTTAGCGATATCTTCTTCATCAAAAAACTTACAAGCTCACATGTCGTCTCGCCTGACCCCAATTGTGCCAGGCATATTTCCCATGTCTACAAAGTCATCGTAACCAACCTCGAGGTGGTAGATGTAACGTTCGCGCATATCATTGGTCCTGTATTGTGTGCCTGTCCGAGATTTGCGCGGATATTTCATAATCTGCTCTGCCGAATGCAGCCATTCTGCGTTGAGGCAAGCGACTGATGTTTTGGTCTACACATTATGTACATCTGGATGTACGCAGGTTACTCGTTGCCGAAGGCATGTAGACAGCGCGGGAACCCGCTTATAGGTAGATGCTGCCGCCCATAGGATGCCTGCGTCTGCCTGGACTGCGAACAGGCGATGCAGAAGCACAGTGTCACCACACAGTGCGACGGACTCATTTGTCGACTATGACGCTATGGAAATGGCTCAGTGATAGCGTGGGGCAACCTCCTTCATGATACGATAGAAGCGGACTGTCAGTACCATATATACGTCGCCTGCGCCCAGAGCGCCCAGGCAGCCGAGCTCTAGACGGCGCCTCCCGATACACGTTCTACCCGGGATGTCGCGACATAAGCCGATACGGACGCGTCCGGGAAGGGATGATCGTTTTCGAGAACGCAAGGAGAAAGCATCCGGGAAGCAAAAGGACTCCATTGGTAGTAACTCTTTGCTGAGAGAATCAACTCAGCGCTGCACATGGAGCGGTTTTGACCGCCGGCGATATGCTGCTTTTTGATGCGCGCTCCGATTCGAATTCTAGCCTTACCGCCCTAAGCCCAGTCAGCACATGTCTATGCCATTCTAGACAGATAACGACAAATTACCCAAAAGGTCGCCTCGGAAGTCGATGTGTTTCTATTATTGGAAGGCATAGCCTAGACGAGGTCGTGATGAGAGCACTGCTCGCGAAGTAGATAATCCTGCTCAGAATGTGAATGACAGCATAACGACCGTCGGCATCAAAGGGCTGAGATGATAGAATGAAAGGTCTACTCAGGCTGTGTGACGACGTAGTAGCAGAGACAAATGGAGAAAGCGGCACGTACAGCATATATGTAGCAGTAGCTACCAGGTCTTCGATGCGAACTACAGACTAGAGACTGACGGGACGGGAGGACCCACGTTAGAGGTCGGAATAAACTGGCTCTCGGGCGTCTATGGATAAACACGGTCACATGATTACGCATGAGTGCGTTGCGGAACGCGAAGATCCTCAGAGCAGTCCATCGGATGGCGTCCCTCCAACATCGTTGGGCACAATCGGGACAAAATGCGACAATTCAAAATGATATATTACATTGCTAGGTTCTGCGACGTCTCCGCTAAGGCAAGAGAAACAAGATACATCAAAGCCTCCTGGTCGAGCTCCGGGGGTATCGTAGACTCTGCAGCGCTAGCACCCTGTCTCGGCTGCTCATGCATTACAGACATACCTCTTCTTACGTCCACCGTATATGTGGAGTAGCCGGCTTCGGCTTCGCGGGCTTGCTCTGCAAGCTTCTTTTGGGCTGCAACGCATTTCCATCTTTTCTGGTGCCGTTGCAACGCGTCTCCTCTTCCTCCAGATATACTTCGACGTACAGTCAGGTGAGATAAAAATGGCGAGACATAAAAGCAAAGACTCACGAAGAGTCGCAAAAGGGACACTTGAGAAGGGTGCTTGGCCGCGAATGGGGCGGCAGACGTTCAACGTGACCTTTCGATGTCGCGTGCCTGTCTCTTGCACGCGTCTTGTTCCTTACGTCCACTCTACACAGTTCGCAAAAAACGTACTGAGAGAAGAAAGGTGAGAAAATATTGAGGATCAGAGCATTTGAATCACCTCTGGTTGATTAGCCCGTTGTCGCACCTCCAATGGGTATCCATGAGGTGTTGGTACGGGGAAGTCGTGCGTATCTTCTCGCGTTGCGGTGTTTACATATACCTGTTGGTACGGAAATGCAGGGATAGGGTCGATGTAGCGCGTCAGAGTCAACGCGTGAGGGAAAGACATCTCGACTCGAAAGAGTAAGCAGTGAGACGCGAGCAGAATAAAGAAAAGCCGAAGTCGACGGCGAGTAATTAGGAAATAGGTAGTGGGTTGTTGAGGCTGAGAAGCAGAGTGAGGAGCATATATATGGGCTTGCCATGGAAGTGGGGCGAGCCTCTCTCGATGTGTATCACACCGACGGAACAATCCAGACGGACCTCTGAGCCAATCATTTGCCGCAAGCCGCGGTGGCAATAAGCCTGTTTCCCTCCGGTGCACCCCATGAGGCCGATTCTGTTACACTTCTTTGGCGGTTCTAAGTCACAACGGCGTGTACACGTCAGCATTGTACGATTGCCTCTGATGTATTGAGACAACACTTGTTCAGCCAAAAGTAGCTGATACTGTCGAAAACGTAGACCCACTTGCGCGTGTCAGAGCGGTCTGGGATTTCCCAGCTCGAGGCCAAAATGAGCGGACAAAAGGCCAATGTTGCGCAGCTTCCAGTCGCGTGATCGAAGCACCGTTGCCTGGTGCCTCCTTGTGGAACGCCACTCACATCCAAGCCACACGAACGTCTGCACGGGTCACATGTCACACTCTTTGTACTTTCGGTGATCACCCACCATAAGATCACCGTTCAGATTCCAAATTCTGCACATGACCCTTTGTTTTAGGTCGACTAAGCGTACTGATATCTTGACTGTTGAATGCCTAGGCTCTGCCACCGCAGGCGCTGCACAACCTGCGCCGAGACGCGTCACAAAAGCAAGAAACAGGGCTGCCGAAGAGCTCACTGCGATACATGCCCAAGTTGTGCAGGTACATGGTTTTCAACTGGGCGATCAAGGCTGGCAGTCGGGCAGGATTCTGCAGTAAACGAGTGGATTATCACTTCTTCGCTTGGTCATGATTCCCATGGGAATGGGCATGCTCAAGACACGCGCGACACGGCCTTGTCACCACAAGAGTTCTTTTTTGTCTCGATGAGAGTCCGGTGTGTGGCTTTTCGTTTCATGAATGCACCTCCAAGCGGGTTACATTCAGCGAAGTGTGTCAGGTCAATCTTGCCACATACCGTCCACGACCGTGCCACTCGGGTTAAATGTCACAGGTCATAGACACGGCCTGATGGAAACCCTGCTACTTGAATGTGTGTGAGCTGACTGCTAACTATATGTCAAGTGCGCATTCTCACCAGGACCAGCTTCGTTGTCATGCACAATTTTCCGACGCCACCTCGTTAGCGCAATGCGTATCTATCAGGCCGGGCCTTACAAACTTCCTAAAGGGCGGGGATCACGATGATCGTCAGCGACGATCGATGCGCTGTCAAACAGATCTCCCGATATCGTATTCCCCGACGCCCACCACCTGGGTACATTCCTTCATGACACCTGACAATTGACCGACCGGTAGAGCGCTGCCATATGATCTAGATCTTCTCCGGTCAAAATGGTGTTCAAGATCGGCGCATCAGCCGATGGGTATTGAACACCGGCCGCACATGTACTGGACGCCACAATGCCGGCGTCGGGTACTATCTCGGTTCGTCTCTGGCGTCTTATATGTCTCTAACCGCAGGAAGGAAAGCCACGGCTGCGTGTCTGCTGCTTCAACTGCGACCCCACCGCCCAACCCTGGCAGATGCGACGGGCATTTCCCATACCTTGAGGTATCCTAGGACAGGCAAACACGTCCCAGGTGTACGTACGATGGCGTATGCATTGTCAAGATAAACCTCAATACGACGTAGGTGTCGTCCAGATTATATCGACATGCATCGTTACTCTGTCCATGTCAAAAAGCAGGCTAGCGATTGTCAGCGATACAACTTGTACTTCTCCTGCTGCAACAGAGCAAACCGCGGTGTGTCCTCCTTGTTAGGGAGGGTCTCAAGAACAAAGGGATGCCTGAGGTTTAGATCAGCTACGCTCCCTTTCTGGCGCCCAATGACGGATCAGGACAGACCTAAGCAGTGCTATCCTCTCCCGCGTGTCAACGGGTATGTGAGCACGTATAGGACATTGACCTCTCGACGCGAGAATCCATATCCAGACGCGTAGTGCGACTCGCTGGCAAGACAGTCATGGGTATGTGCCAGAAGGAGACGCGCTGAGTATTGTTGCTGCATGCGAAAATGGCCGACGAAACCAGAGGTAAGAAGACCTCTCGCATTTCACAAGTCGATACTTCGCGAAGCCATGATTCAGATGCCTCACGGCCGATTGTCGATACTGCCAATCAAAGTGATCGAGGAAATCCCAAGGATCGAGGGCATCGAGGATCTGCAGACTTCTTTGCGGACCTCCAGAAGGCTGTCTGTCTCGAAGCCGTCAACGCTTCCTTACTGCGTCGACGTCAAACCTTAAACCTTAAATTTTCACCAATCCTAGAATGAATTCCACGGTTGAACCGATACAGCGTCAGTCACATACGGGGAGTTGGGAACCTCCGTACTAGAACGTAATCCCGTTCGGAAACCCCTCTTGTCGTTTTGTACGTGCGTCGGCAGTCGTGCCTGCGATACGTCTGACGTTTCCCTATACAAGTTATATGACGGACCACAGTCGCATAGAGATCAACAAGCCGCTAGCTAGAATAGCGAACAGATACACACACGCAGACGTTTAGAACATAAACTCGCTCAATGTTCAAGATATTGGGTGTGCGTGTCCCCCGAATGCGGGGAGGCGATCGAGGAATACTGTACACGTGATATGACAGATCCGTCGGTCCGGATCTTAGGTTCGCAAAGTATGGGTATCGATGGACAGCCTCCAGCAATTCTCTTCCTTGTTGCGTTTCTGAATCGCTGCAGTCTTCTTGTCGATATGTCGTCTCAGCCCTCTATCTCCCGTTTCCTCCCGGAGCCCAAGACCGTCGCGGTAAGCGAAAAGATACCGCCCGCGTGATTCTGCTCAGGAAGGAAGGAGATTGATGTCGGCCTTGTGCCTTGTCTAGATCGTAGGCTGTCCCTTTCGGTAAGGGTTGTCCTGGAGCCCGAGATAAGCTGCACTCACCTGCTCGCTCAAAACAACGTGTAGAGGCGGCCAGGTGCGTTCTGACACCCTTATGCCTTCACCCACCCCACTGAGTCTCCGCGCAGGCTAAGCTTGGCGTCGATCATGGTCCCATCCGCCTAGTGCAGGCAGGGCTACCGGAGCAGCTCGCAGAGCTCGGCTGGAAGGTGCAATTCGACGGTCACCACCAATTCGAGGAGATCGACACTCAGAATGACCCGCCCATTGGCAAACTGAAGAACCCGCGTCTCGTTTCGCGCGTTTCCCAGGCCGTCGCGCAGGTCGTCGGTGGGCACGCGAAGAAGGGTGTTCTGCCCCTCACGCTCGGCGGCGACCACTCCCTGGTACGTGCTCAGTACTCGTGGTTGGGGACCTGTGACCAACGACCAGTGAGTAGGCCATGGGAACGATCTCTGGGACACTAGAGTAAGCTGCTCACGTAGATGCGAGCGCGGGGGCTGACGAGCATCACAGGCAGTATCCAGACGCCTGTGTCATTTGGGTCGACGCGCACGCGGACATCAACACTGCGGAGACAACGGACTCTGGTCTGTCACGCTCCTGCTACGGCGAACCATAGGCTAACGAATACGCGCCTCAGGCAACCTGCACGGCATGCCCGTGTCCTTCCTGCTCGGGATCGGCCCCAAGATCCCGGAGTTTGGCTGGGTGAAGCCCGCGCTGCGTCCGGAGCGCCTGGTGTACATAGGCCTGCGCGACATCGATGCCGGCGAGAAGCGCATCCTGCGCGAGAATGGCATCCGCGCGTTCAGTATGCACGAGGTGGACAAATACGGCATCGGGAAAGTGGTCGAGATGGCGCTGGACCATGTGAATCCGAAGGGTGATCGCCCGATCCACTTGAGCTTCGATGTAGACGCACTGGATCCGTCGGTCGCGCCATCGACAGGAACACCTGTAAGTCAAATTGGCATTCGCGATATAGAACACGACTGTATTCGTTTTGGGGACAGGTCAGAGGCGGGCTCACGTTCAGGGAAGGTCACTATATCTGTGAGGCCATTTACGAGACGGGATGTCTTGTCGCCCTGGACATCATGGTAAGTTGTAAGCGAGTGGCGTGGATGAGTGGCTAATTAGCGCCCGTCGCTGCAGGAAGTCAATCCGTCGTTGGCGGATGTTGAGGCTGTGCGCCAAACGGTGGCGGTGGGCTGTTCCCTGGCGCGTTCTGCACTCGGTGTGTGTCCTCTCGTATTCAGTCTCATAGTTGGTTTCTCATTACACCCCACCATGCCAGGTGAGACGCTTTTGTAAACTGGGCAACGGGAAATGTTGTAGCATAGCAATGCGATCAAAATATCCATGAGTGGCGGACGCTTTGACCCTCCTTACATTCCATGATCCGCTTTATTCAGGAACAGGGTGACGCGTCAAAGCGTTCTATACAGCAAATTCATGCACCCCCGATCATTTACCCCACTCTCTCTTTCAACCCCTTAGTGCGGGTAAACGGCAAATCTCAAATTGGGGGAACACGCTGCGCAACTAGGAACCTCGACAATAGGCGGACGCAAACCCTATGTTGTTCGATCGGGTTCAACGAGGTTCTAGTGGGCGTTGCCCCGTTCTACCGGAGGACGTCTGGAGGTATATATAGTGCTCCTTTCTCTCTTATATTGTCCCGTCCCCCCCTCTTCGTTCGCCACTTCGCCACCGCTTTGACTCCTCCCCTACACAATCTAATTTGACACTTACGATGTCTTCTTTCGCATTCGCCCCCTCTACCGTCGCCACCAACCATTGGACGCCAGACGTCTATGTGCCAGATGTCTACGAACCTGACTACCCTGTGGCCATCGGTAACCCGTATGGAGACTACTTCAACCAACAACAAGGCTTGTATCCCCCCATGCCGATGTTCGACAACTACGACATCGTTGGTGGCCCCTCGACGATTATTCAAGATGCTGATCCACAGCTCCTGATGGACTACGGGTTCGATATTGACGTGCCCATCACGTATGTGCCGACCTATCCCACCTATCCCTCCGTCCCAGGGACCCCAGTCATGGAGCCCCAGGACCATTCCCTCCAACCCCTCTCGCAGCACCAAATCCCGCTGCCGCCACCTCCCACCCAGCCCACCCGCAGGCAGCCCCATCGCAAGGCTCGCGCCACGAAAACGACGGTCGAGCAGACCGCTTCGACGACGCCCGCAAAGAAGAAGAGTACAAAGCGGGCAGTCACAGTGGCGAAGAACGCGGCACCGAAGCCCGCTGCAGCGGCGAAGAAGGCCGCCGTGAAGAAAGTGGCGCCAAAGCCCGCCGCGGCGCCTAATGCAGTGGCGGCTTCTCAGGCTGAAGCGCCGCTGAAAAAGGTCTCCCTGTTTTCACTCGCTTCTCGATGGGCGTCGGTCCTGACTATCAGAGAACTCTCAGGAGCCATGCCCGGTCTGCGGCGTCAAACGCATACCAGACCGGAAAACACTCGTCCGCCATGACAGCAGCCGAGCACACACGGCGGCATTGATAGCTGCGGGAGTCCAGCTCTCGGAGCACCAGAAGCTTCTGTGCCGCTACGGCTGCGGTGCTTCGTGAGTGCTCTTCTGGCCCTACACTTGAGACTCGTCCTGAGTATCGGGTTTCTCCAGCTTCCATAGCAGAAGCGACTCGAGGCTCCGCCATGAGCACGGCTGCGCCAACCGCCATGATTAAGAATATCATCGCCGCGACCGTCCATTTGGCTACACTAACATTATTTTTATCTATTTAAGTGCTGATCTATCCTGCTCTCGCATTGCACGTCGTCACCGCTGTTCTCGTTGTCGCCCTGCTTTTCAGCCCATCATCTTCGCTCTGTTGAATTTCTTTGCTAGCGCATATACCCATTTCACTGCATACTCTGCTACAGCCGGTTTATACCCTTGATACCCCCGCTGCACCCAAGCTCGAACATATACCCCTCCGGTCTCTGTAGCTTTTCACACCCCGCGCTAGCTGTTGTTTTCACCTTCCTCCATCTAGAGTCTTACTTCATAGCTCCTTTATCAGCAGTTCGATGTATTCGTGTCAACAAACACCATTTGCCCACTGTGCTTCAGTCGGTCGCCTGCGTGATGAGCACTGAGCGACGCGATACGTCAGGGCGCGTCTCAAGATGTGTTCACGTGATCGCGTCTCCCCCCACTTCCGCCCATCTCTCGCTAACACTGGTGGCCAGAGCCAATGTCATGGATTTGTTGCATGGTTCATGGGTTGTACGATGTCGCGGAACTCGCTGACTATACTGTGAATCCCCATAATAGATGCAGCCAGTTATCTGCGTCATGTCGGTAGAGCCGCTCACCAGCCTATCGCACAGCGAATCTCGTACTAGATCATTCAAAATCTACCCGAAGATTGACTGTATAGGCCAATACTCGTACAGGTATGCACCATACAATATTCAATTCCGAATTTGATGACATGCTTACTATTACACTGCTAGTACTACTGTCCGGGATGTGTGAGTATGTAACCCCTGGGACCTCCCATGGTTGACTGGGCCACGACTCAAGAAGAACGGCGCTTGAACTCATCGTTAAACTCGCGCCCAATGAGCATCCGCCGGATCTCCTGCGTTCCCGCACCGACGCAATACAAGCGCGCGTCCCGCAGGAACCGGCCAATGGGGTACTCTACACCGCCAGCGTCAACATATGGACCATATCGTAACGGACCGTCGACACGCACCATTAGTATACCCATTGCCACCTAGACATTGCATCGCGTCGATGGTGACCTCGACAGCGCGGTCAGACGAATAAAGGATCGCACCCGCACAGTCCTATAACCCATGGACACGATCGTATCAGCATGACCAAACGAGGCGGACACCATGTCTACATACCCGCCGGCTGACCTTCCCTGCGTCGCACGCCTTGGCAACGGCGTACACATATGACCGCGACGCGTTGAGCTTTGTGTACATGTCCGCGATTTTGGCTAGGAAGCGTGAGTGTGCGTGCAGCGACGTGCATCAGTATGTGCACCAGAAGAATGCGTACCTTGCATCAGCTGGAACGTCCCCACTGGCTGGCCAAACTGCTTGCGCTCGTGGACATACTCCACCGCGTAGTCAAATGCCGCTTGCATCAGACTGGAAGTCCCAAGACGTCAGTCAGCTTACGCGTTGTACACGTACGGTGGAAAGAACACGCACCCGAGCGGGCCGCCACTGAGGACCAATCGCTCCAGGTCCAGCCCGGACATGAGCACCTTCGCGCCACCGTCGACAGGGCCGAGCACACTTTCTGCAGAAATGCTGTGCGGTCAGAGGCCGGCAGATATTGTGAGACAGTATGTACCCTCGGGCACAAAGCAGTCCTCAAAGACGAGCTCGCACGTGTCGCTCCCGCGCATGCCCAGCTTGTCCAGCTTCTGGTGCGTCGAGAACCCCGCGAAGCCGCTCTCGATGATGAACGCGGTAATCCCGCGCGAGCCCTTGTCCGGCGACGTCTTTGCGTAGACCACGAGCGTTGACGCGGTGGGCCCATTCGTGATCCTGCAAGTCCGCATTAGAGGGAGTGGGAGGAGAGCACGCGGCGCACGCACCAGAACTTATTCCCGTTCAACTTGTATCCGCCATCGACCTTCTCAGCGCGCAGCTTCATGCTGACCACGTCGCTCCCGCTCCCAGGCTCGCTCATCGCGAGGCTGCCGACTTTCTTCCCTGCGATGAGGTCGGGGAGGTACTTCTCCTTCTGCGCGTCGGTGCCCCATCGGTGAATCTAGCGTGTAGCATATAGTAACCCAACAACGCGGGGCTATGGCTATGACGGACCAACCTGATTCACGCAAAGGTTCGAATGTGCGCCGTACGACAAGGCTACCGACCCCGACGCCCGTGAGAGCTCCTCCATCGCGAGCGTGTGGTTGAAGTAGCCTAGAGAGAGACCGCCATACTGGGGCGACACCGTGATCCCAAGCAGACCCATAGAGCCCAGCTTCTCCCAGAGATCCTACATGCCACGACAGAATTGTAATATCTGGACTTGAGACAGGCAAGTGAGGCACTCACAGACGGGAAATTATTACTCCTGTCGATTTCAGCAGCCCGCGGGGCAACCTCGCGCTGTGCAAACTCTGCCACTGCATCCCTGAACTGAGCAGAATATTAGTCCACATCCACAGACCGCCACTGGACCCCTGAGGTTCGACACACCTCGGCTTGTTCCGCCGTCAGACCTGCAACATCCACGTTGTAATGCGACACATTCCTGCTTTGTATCTGAAGCGTGCCCGGCGCAGCACGTCGAGGGCGCGTCAGTGTGCGGATGGAGGAGCGCAGGCAAGCCCACGGCAAGTTCATTTTGGCGTGTGGGGAATGCGGGGTTGCGAAGAGCTTGGCATGACCGACCGAGAATTATATCACAGTACCGCAGCGCAGACACGTGCACTAGCTGCGGCTGTACCGAATAAAAGAGTAAAAGGTACTCGACAAAGCGACCGGAGGCAAGCTTGCCGTGATTTATCTCGCCGTTGATGCATGATGGCCCGCCTGCCGCGCGCACAGGATGTGTAACGGTCGTTTGTCGGCAGGAGGCTGCTTGCTATTACTCGCGACAACGCAATGGCTCCAAATGCGAACGTCAGTCACGACGGTGATGGTAGTATTGGAGGTAGGTCTATTCGGACCGGTAGTTCAACTAGCCAGTCTCAAAGAGTGTATCAATTTCCTGGGAAGACCGTAGCGATGTGGGTCCGAACTTTGTGCCACAGAACAGCTCATGCTTCTCAGACGGACGACTTGGGCGGATGTATGTCATAAGAGAGCATCATATACAATTCGTGGAGCTCTAGTGGTCAGGCTTGGGTGGCTCAGTTGGTTAGAGCGCAGGTCTCATATGTTGCGTATGAGGGTTAATTCCGAAACCCGTAATCCTGAGGTCATGAGTTCGATCCTCATCCCGAGCATTGATTTTTCTTACGCAGCTTTGCACATACGTGTTCCAGCATTATTAGCACTCTCAGCATTACCGCGGACTCCCTGGTCACTTGCGGCAGATTGTTTCGTTCTAATAAACACAAGTGTGAGAGATTGACCAAAGTTTCTAGAGCTACCTGCAACCCGTGACAATAGCAGCATTCCAATGTACGCAAGGCAAAGGAGCAATATCAAAGCATGCAATAAAGATAAGAGCAAGAAACCGTACAAAGCAAGAAACTAGATTTCGGGAGACATGATACGCCTTTTCTTGGTGGGTGACCCGGATGTACTTGGAGATGACGTGATGATGACTTCCATGAGCTTGCGTGGAGGACGTCGCTCAGGCGTAACGGGAGGCAAACTTGACTCTTTGTCGTCGTCGTCGTCGTGTTTGTCTAGCTGAGAGTAATCTATCTCTTCTTCACCCTCGGACTCGACAATGGGACGTTCGTCCGCAGGGCTGGATAACCGACGTGGTCGCTTGCGTGACTTCGCATTGGTCTTCGTCTTGGCCTTTCGTTTGCGCGATAGTGGATCCTGTTCCTCTTCTTCGAAAACATGGCATACTTCTACGGGTATACCGGCCTGTAAAAGTACATCAATCCACACCTGTGCATGTAGTCAGCTCATATCCTTATGTCAGTTCAATATTCTCAGAAAACTCACCTTCTGGTTCTCCTGCAGCTTGTCACCAGGACCCTTGACTTCGACAAATTTGCATTCCTTCGCCTCAACATTCCAGATGATCAGATCAGGGACACCGCCGACTCGACCTGCGTAGTCTTCGCATAACAGCCTGCAAATAACTTCGAGTGCTGGCCCGCCAAGACACTGTCAACACTATCAATCCGGGTGCATGTATGAGCAGAGAGCAGGACTCACCTTCACGATGTCCAAAAGATCCTGCTTCTCGAACATCTCCCAGCGCACACCTACACACCATGTCTTCTTCTCGGCGTGCTCATTGTGTACACGTTCCAAGATTTCCTCAGCGGCACCTTCACGCAACCTCACAAGTAAGCGATCGGCGACTTCTTTTCGGGAGTGGTAAAAAGTGTCCTCAGCGATGTCGAGAGGTGCAGCTTGGTACGGCGTCTCGAATGCACCAGGCACAGAGGCGAAAATGACATCCCAGAAAAGGAGGCCGAAGAGCGTGCTAACGATACGCCCCTCGCAATGAAAACTGAAGATAGATGCTTGTCAATGGATGACCGACACCAATGAGGAACACGCGTACCCTTTGTAACCTTGCTCCTCGTAGTGCTGCAAGGCCAGAGTCTCCACATTGACCTCCTCGTTTTCCCGTCCACGCCAAATGGATTTCCCTGTCGCCTTCGCCATTGTAGTTTCAGGCTCCCTAACGTCGGGCTTCTGACTCAGCCACGGAAGCGCAAGCTGAGTAAGGCCAGGCTTTTCGTCCTTGACCAACACTGGCGGATTGTTCACGCGACACGTGCGGTCGAGTACTAGGCTTGTTGCGCTATGGCGGACACGAACACCGGATATCGAAACCTCGTCCGGCTTGTCGAGTTTGCCTTGACATATATGCCGATCATTCTCGGGCACGCTCAGGCGCTTCTCCAGGGTAGTGAGCCGTCGTTCAAGCTTTGGACGAAACACTGTGAAATCATGCAGGCATTAGAGAACATCACAGGCGAGTTTTTCAATGCAAGCGCACCGATGTGCGTATCTTCATCCATGAGCGCCTCCGTGACGGCATCCATGGCAAGGCGATATATCCTGTCGCTCTTCCCCATATGAGTCATCAGGATCAGAGCACGGCGTTCGTGCCATCTTCCTCGCCGACCTCGACGCCATCTCCGTTGAGCGAGAAGGGCCTCTAGAACTCCAAGCTCCCTCTCGTGCTCCTTGAGCGTGCCCAAGGCATATGTACCCTTGCACACGACCCTTGTCAAGATGTGTCCTGTGAGGCGATTGTGAGTACGCGTACACGTGCTCTGGACAGCGACGAAAGACTTGGTACGCACCGCTCTCGAAGCGTATAAGAGACTGTGGCCGGTCGCATTCACCTTTCGTGCTCACCATGTCCTGCCAGCGAGGATAGACGTCGTCAAGAATGCACCTTACAGCCCAAGCAGCTTGTCTGCGAGGAGTGTCCGCGCTAGTATCGACTGATGACTCGTTGAACAGGCTACGCGAATCGTCCAGTTCGTCCAAGTGACTCGACTTGACTCTACTCCTGGTACTTCTAGGGGAAACACTTGCGTGAATATCGAGGTCTTTCCTCGGTGTAATGGGTGTCTTAAATCTCTGCATCAGCGGCCCTGGTGTCTTGCTCGCTGTAGAACGCGCACGCGCGCCCGTGACTAACCCAGGTCCCTCGAGGAGAGCATCCACTTCCGCTTCGATCTCCAAGGCCTTTTCGTATTCAAGTAGTGCACAGCGTGACGGCCATATGTCCTTTGTACGCACATGATTATACTCCGCATATGACCTCTTCTTTGCGCGAGAGAGGATAGAGGGGGTCAGAATGGACGGCGTGGACTGTGTACTGCATAAATCGAGAGTGTTAGTCACGATGCAACACCCACACGAAATAAAAAGCGAACCTGCGCAAGTAAACCAGGTTGACCCGACGAACCAACTTCACAACATCCTCCTTAAGTTTGACACATTTACCTGATATCCCTAGGATCAGTACCAGCGTTCACAAGCATTGCGCGAGAAATTTACCCAGGTGTTTGATGACAATTTCTCGCAGCCTGTCAGCTTGTGTCCTGCGTCCTTCTATGCCAAACGACAGAGTTGTCTGAATAAGCCTGTCTGCTCTTCCTTTCCCTTTGCCTTTGGCTGGTATCGGAGACGCGAAAGGAAGTGTACGCTGTGCTGACGTTGAGGCCAAAAGTGCATTCATCAACTCATCTCTCTGAAATGTACAATATACGCATAAGAGTAGTGCATTTCGTGGTACGAGTAGTTGCCCTCACGCGTCCATGGTGCCCACTCGTCTTTAGCTTCATCTGTTTTGCAATATTCTTGAGCTCATCCAGGCCGAGGCATTCCAGTAGCTCCCGCAGATCTGCATGTGACTCATCCAAAGCGAACGTAGAGTAATCTGGTCCTTCCAATTTGCATGGTTGCGGCTCCTGCTTAGGCAACCTCGAAGGGCCAGCCTGAGGGCGCTCGCGTTCATCCACCAGGTCAATAACCTCTGGTTCCTCGACCTTGATCTTGATCTCCTTAGGGGAGGGATTGTGCAAACCGCAGAGCTCATGTATGGCACTCTTGATCTTGTCTCCAAGCTCCCTCTCATATTTCAACTTATTTAGCCGGAACCAGGTATCTGCTTTGCGCAGGCACAGGCGTATAAGAAGGTAGCGTCCCCCGTCTGATTTCGAGATGAGCTCTACCATGGTACGTCGAACAGGGGTACATACATGATAGTGTGTTGTAGTCCATCAGGCATTTGATCTCTTCTGCGCAAAATAAATACCCTTCATGCGTAAAGACTTCTTGTAGCATTTCTAGGTATAGAGTATTGATGAATCCGAGGCCGAGCATACAGGTAATAGTATACATACCTTCAAACAGAGTGACGTACATAGATTCTCCCCATTCTTTCTCGCCAATAGTTATATCATCCTCCTCGCTCGACATGTTTGGTTCTCCCTCCCTTTCGTCTGCTGTAGATAGACTATGTCGTACATATCCAAACACGAGCTTCTCCGCTGCGTTCGCAGGAGGTGACACGCACACCATGTTGTGACCCAAGAAATATTCGAGCAGTGTACAGTCTCAAAGAAAGCCAGCTCCTTTGAGACCCGTTGTCGTATGTCGTGTAGATATTCAGTTGCAAGCTAGGGATTCAAGTCAGATTTCCTCCCGCAGTCGAGGATCGAGACAGGAGGCTCTCGTCTCTCAAGCGCTCGCTTGACGCGATCACGCGACACGCGATCTCGGGCCTGCACACTCAGTGGGTACCGGCGGCGAGCGAGAAGGGATAGAAATTGTATTGAACCATTATAAAGTGAATATGTGTCAGCAGTGATTGATACAGGTACGCTCATAGAAAGATTTGTCTCCCGCAGGCAATGTTTTAAAGGTGCTGCATTGATACCGACAAAGACGACCATCTACCCCTATTACCACAACAAACCAGCCAATTAGACCTAAAGTAAGCATAGCACGGACGAATAAGGATCTAAAACAAATTACAGTAAGCGCGACCTCTAAATCACCATATCATAGATCAGGTATATTTGACGACTAATGTTCCCCGGAAACCAGGCAGCGCACTCCGTACGATGTCCCCTGCATCGTCCTGGTTGTTTGCGTTGTAAATCGCTAGGTTGACTTTGAAAATCAATGTCACGCAAGCGAAACGTTCATGGGCGAGCGTCTTGTCCAGCTGCACCCAGTCGATTGCACGTAAGTCATCCTGCCACCGTGCAAGGAGCGACACCTCAATCATCTCCAGCCGATCCGAATGCAGTTGTGCTGTCATGGAGGTAATCCATTCACAACAGTCCGGCAGGACGAGCCCATCGAAGTAGACGGCGCGAAGACCCGTCAAGTGCGCGAGGTCGAGATCACCGTTTGCGGCGGCTGTGGAACGGACACCGTCAGAGTAAGATAGATGATGGGAAACATATACTCACCTTGCGTCGCAACGCCGTTCGTCAGCTCGAGATACAGCCGCTCAAGGCGCGGCCCCGATGCACGAACCAAGGCACCCAGAGCCTTGGTGCTGTCCCGCTCGCGCCAATGAACCTGGACCTCTCGCAAGTCGAGCATAGAGCCCGTGGCGAGAAGCCAGTCCGTGATAGCGTTTGGTGGTGAGCCCGACCGAAGGACAATACGCTGCAGATATCCGCAATGTGTCATCTCTTCTGTCTCTGAGAGGACGTCGGGCATTGGCCACGACCAGCAGTTCCAGTAAATGCGGTCGAGGTGGAGTTCTGTGACAAGCTTTGCGGCGGACAGTATGTTGAGAACGTCCGAAGACGATTCGAAGTGCACGTTAACAAGTGCAAGCCTTTTGACATTACCGAGCATGCTGTAGAACAGTTCGGTGTGTTTAGGGTCGAGTTGCAGGGTGCGCCAGTTGAGACTCGTCATCTCCAGTTCTGTCACTCGCGGAAGTGCGCCCAGAAGTGGCGGGACCAGAGGCAACCAAGTGGAGTCGCCATTGCGCAGCGAGCTCAGGTCATAGGAGAAATGGTGTGCATCAATACTCAGCTTGCGGATGTACTGCACGAGCACTGGAGATGCCTCCAGCAATTTTGTGAAACGGGCGCACGCTGCGGCGTCTCTCAGGTCGACCTGGCGGAAGAGGTGGGTTCGGCTAGTGGGCAACCATGTGCTGCATGAGAGGCTGCACGCCCGCAACGCTGTGACATCGTCCCAGAGGTGGTCGATGACCTCGTCGACAAGCTCCTGGGGGAATTCAGGGAACATGCCAGTGATTTGCAGGCTCGTGTCTGCAGCGACCTCCTATCTGAGAGACTCGCCGTCTGCCACGTCTGATGATGAGTATTCCAAGCGAGGTCCAGGGGATGCAGCGTACCTCGTCCAGCAGACAACGATGGTCGGAGGCAAGGGAAATATTGCGCGGGAGGGGCGGATATATATTGCCGCTCTAGTGCCATGGGAGGCCGAGGCGGGGGCGACTGAGCGCGAACAGCGGGCATTGAAAGGCCTCCCACGTGGCTACCAATACAGCGCGTTGTCGACCTGGCAAATCTGGGAAGTGCTCTCACCCAGTCCTCCTCGTCCTCTGTTCCTCCCTTCTGCCGTCTTTCGTTCATCCTTCAACTATGGCCGCTGCTACCGTCGAGGAGATTCGCGCCAATGCGTACGTCGGTTTCGACACCATCACGCAGCAGATTGAGCACAAGCTCTTGAAGCGCGGTTTCCAGTTCAATGTCATCGTCGTTGGTGCGTCAACACGATTCGCAAGCTGCAGCGCACCGTACTCACTACAAATTCATGACATGTAGGTCAGACCGGGCTTGGAAAGTCGACTCTTATCAATACCATTTTCGCGTCGCACTTGATTGATTCGAAGGGGCGGAAGGAGGCAGATGAGCCCGTCAGACAGACGACTGAGATTCACCCCGTGTCCCATGGTAAGTCGCATTGCATGCCTCCTCACGCTCGGAGAATGAGCTGACCGTTCTTGAAGTGATCACTGAAAACGGCGTGAGACTCCGCTTGAACATCGTTGACACACCTGGATATGGCGACCAGATCAACAATGAGAACTGGTGGGTAGCGCGAATTAGCAGCATGCCCTTCATGCGGCTGCGGTGAACTCAACGTAGCAATACACAGCTGGGACCCCATTGTCAAGTACATCAAAGACCAGCACAGCGCATACCTCCGCAAGGAGCTCACGGCTATGCGCGACCGCCATATCCAGGACACGCGCATTCACTGCTGCCTGTTCTTCATTAACCCGACTGGTCACTCTCTTCGCCCAATCGACATCATTGTGATGAAGAAGCTCAGTGAGGTTGTCAATGTGGTGCCCGTCATTGCCAAGGCCGACAGCTTGACTTTGGAGGAGAGGGACGCCTTCAAGCAAAAGGCGGGTATTCACAGTCACCTTTGTACTTCACCTTGTATCCAGAGGCTGATCCTGGCCGACTTTGCAGATTCGGGCTGAATTGCAGTACCACAACATCCGCCTCTATCCCTTCGACACGGATGAGAACGACGAGGAGGAAATCGAACTCAATGAGAGCATTCGGGTAAGTCTACGCCTCCTTACCATTCGTGACGCGTACTTAAATCCCCTCCAGAACATGATTCCCTTCGCAGTCGTTGGCTCCGAGCGCAATGTGATCATCGACGGCAAGGCTGTGCGCGGACGCAAGAACCGCTGGGGTGTTGTCAACGTCGAAGACGAGAAGCACTGCGAGTTTGTCTACCTGCGCAACTTCCTCACGCGGTCAGTTGACTTTTCGTGCTACTGGAGTTTGGTCTTCTTACCGCGCTTTTGCCACAGGACACACTTGCAGGACCTCATCGAGACGACCGCACAAATCCACTACGAGGCCTTCCGTTCAAAACAGCTGCTCGCGCTCAAGGAGCAGACGAACCCGCGGAACGCGCAGTAGGTGCGTGTGCCGCTCCTTACTGCGGCCGTCTCTGCGAGCGGTGTGCGAGATACGATACCCCTTTGCCCGACCCGTACCCGTTTTGCTATCGGCGTTTGAACACTCATTTGCGGTTTTGGTTGTTGGATGTACCCCCGTTGATACTTGCTGCCGTTGTGCCCCTACGCTCTTTCCCGTAATAGTATACTCCCTTTTTTGTTTGTGTGCAGGGGCTTCGTCGCCTTCGTCAATGCGAGATCAAGACATGGGACAAGATTTCGCCAGTCAATGAGCCATGGCACTGAAGCTGCCGATCGAGCTGTCAGCTGATCTGCGAGTTGTCAGACTAGGATCCGCAATGCTCTCGGTCATTAGAAAGTGAATTAAGCCGTAATGCCCTGTACGTGCCCCGTCCGCTTCTATTTATATATACCACCATCGAGTTCATCGGATATGAATAACATGCTGGAGACATGCGGTCCGAAGACTGTTGTCCCGTGCCCTATCTCTAGCAAGTTATCATAGTTTGGCCTAATCTCCAATAAGCTTTTTTGGAGTGACAAATAGGTCGAACCCAGCTGAGGTCGAGGAGTACCTAGTGAGGTGCGATTTAGGTACTACTCCAACTTCTATGCTAATGAACCGCAGCTTACTTTATGACAACACGCTGGACGTAGTTTCCATGCATATGTGTAGCACGCGCAACAGAGCGTGCCTTGGGCAGATCCCCTCGTTGTTGGAGCTAGGCATGGCTTAGTGTTATGTAGTATGAAGGACAACACTCCACGGGTTCTCAAGGCTTGTGCCACTTTCTGACCGTCATGTCCTGCATTTCCTCGCCAACGGCGACCGAGTTTGCGACGGTCACCTCCAAGAGCGTCTCGACATCGCTCAGCAACAGTGTTACGTCTCTGAAGCCAAGCGCCACGACATCTTTATCGTGTACGTCGGCGCTGGGTGGGCTTCTACCCATATGCAGCAATGTCGTGAGCGATGTTGGTGAGCGTTGCACTGATGCCTGTTGAGATGATTGTGTTGAAAAGACTCAAACTTAAAGGTGGTGGTCAGAGCACCGCCCAGGTTGCAGTTGAGGTTACCGTGACCTACACTCAGACTGTCCCTACTACGACTCGTTATGCGACAACATGCCAAAGTTCTAGCTCTCACTCCCAAGATTCCGCTTCTTCGACGGCATCCCCTGTACAGAGCAGCTCCTCGGTGGCGGCAGCCTCCTCATCGCCAAATCCTTCCTCCGGAACTGGGTCTACATCTTCACCATCTGCCAGCTCTGTCGCCGAAACTAGCGGTGGGTCATCCTCCAGCGCTCCTGCAGCAAGCACTGCGCAGTCGCAGGTCACCACCTTCACCACTGTCCTTACCAGCACGTTCTACGCAACCTCATCCATTACATTACCCGGCGGGTCGGTCGTCGCAACGCAGCTGGCGGAGACCGAGAGGAGCACGGTTGTTTCCACGGCTTTTGCAGCAGCGAACACGAGTACCGGCAGCGGCCGGGCCAGCAACGCAAGCAGCGGCAGCGGGTCGAACTCAAGCACGCCCGCCATCGTGGGCGCAATTGTGGGCGGGATCGCCGCGTTGTTTATCCTAGCTTTCTTATTCTCCTGCTTCTGGTGAGGAGCCCCAGATTATATACCTGCGGTTTGTGTCTCACAACCTCTCTTGTAGGCGAAAGAAGAGACGTGCCCAGGAGGATGACGAGGATATCAGTTTCCCACAGCTCCTACGTAAACAGCCACTCCGCGAGAAGACTCCTCTCGACATCGACAACGAGGCGCACCCGTTCACTGCCGGCTTTCCAGGAAGCCAAACTCCGAGGCCAGGGGGGAGTTCTCGCAGTCCGGAGACATCTTCAGGATCCCTGTTCCACCATCACCTGGACGCACGCGGAGATGCCTCTGCGCCTATGCTACGCACGCCGATACCTTCGCCTATGTTGCCACTGCACGACTTGCACGGCGGGTCGGCCCACTCATACGCGGGGTCACAGGTGAGAGCAGACGCAGCGCGTCCACCGCCAGGAGCTGCTGCAGCATCGTCGCCACACGATCCACGAGACATACGGCGCGCGGTCTTGCATGTGACAAACCGCCTTTCTGACGGCTCGCCCCCGCCGCCGGTTCCGTCCAAGGGCTTCCTCCATCACACACACGCAAAGAGGCCTGTGGTCGCGGCGTATCCTGTCTGGCTGCCGCCTGGCGCGATGCCCTCTGCCGGACCTTCTACGATGCGCATGCCCGAGCCACCTACCGAGCCGAACAGGCCATTTGTGCCTCGAGACCTTGGAGCAGCGCGTCCCGGTCCGTCATCTGTGCCTATGAGCAAGGCCGACGAGGCTGCAGCGGACAACGTACATTCCGCGGACCCGCCTCCGCCTGCCTACTCAGAGTAGACTGTTTTCAGTTCCAGGACATCGACATGCGATATGTGGCCTATCTACCATTCTCCAGGTCTTAGTAATTTATTTCGGAAAATGACAAACAGTGCAGCTGCTGCGACTGGATCTCGCTGCCTACCTAGATGTATATCATGATGCGTCACGCAGGACCACGAGCTAATTCCCAAGCTGCTGTGCACCACATGTCTCCCTATTTTGTTATTCATTTCATGACGCTGAATACTATATGCCTGCGGAGGTGCTTATCCGAGCCCCACGAACTCGGTCTTCGATCGTATTATCATAGCTCGATGAACATATTTGACGACAAAATACGGTACGTTGTTGTTCTACCTTTGAATGGGATCTGACAGTGGGCATCGACAGCAACTTCATAGTCCTGGCGCGTGCATTGAGGGATCCTACTGTGGTACACAAGGATCGAGATTTGATCTGAAACCGGTGGCGAGATACTGACTGCCGGAAAAGGCAAGTGAGCTTGATTCTCACCAACTGCCTCCATCGCGACCAGCCTCACGCTGGGCGCCCTGCTTTCGACTTTCATCTTCCCTCCCCCTTTTACCCATGCAGCAAGCTCTGTGCAGTGGTGCTTGAGCCTAACTGCGCTTTTGCTGGAATAATGCGTCGTCGGTCGCATCAGTCACCCGCCGCGCGGGATCTAAATCATTTCCAGCTCGTCGCTGCCAAAAGGGACGACCCAGACGTGACTGAATCTGTCTTCACGAGCACGGAGACCAAGGTCGACCATGGCAGCACTATAGTGTCAGACCAGCTTGTCACAACGAAGGTGACTATCTCGGATTCAAAGTCCACAGACTCTTCAACTTCGACTTCGACTTCGGCAAAGAGCTCGAGCACTTCGGACCACTCGACGACGACGACTACTTCTTCATCAAGTCAATCTACCTCATCCACGAAGTCCTCATCCTCGGATAGTACATCTACCTCCGCTCACTCGACGTCGTCCGGTTCATCGTCCACTACCTCAGCTACTTCCACTGGCACTGCGTTTTCATCTACGCACCTGACTTCGACGTCTGCGTCCTCGAGTGCTAGTGCACCCAACGCATCATCTTCGTCGTCGTCCACCCTCGCAGGAGCCTCTGCCAAGCCAAAGGTCCTCTCAACCGGCGCGATTATCGGCATTGCTGCCGGAGGCGGCGCCCTTGTGCTCCTGCTTCTGATCTTTATCATACGAAAGCGCTGTCTTCGTCGCAAGGAGCGGCGGCTTGACCAATGGCTTGAGCCCGCGCTCCCTAGTACGTCTCCGTCCGCTGTCACTCTCGAGAAGGCCGTGCCTCCTTCAGAGTCCATGTCTCCGCCGACCATTAGCCGGGCCCCGAGCAGCGTGTATCCAGCTTCTGTGCGCAGAGACATGGTGTCGCCTCCGGCACCGATGCCCGCGCGCCAGTATATACCCCCGTCGCAGGCCCTCGGTCCGCGTCCGAGTCAAAGGATGCAGCCACAGATGTACAACCCCTCCCCTCCTCCAATGGCCTATGCACAGCCCCCCGTCCCGTATCAGAGAACGCCGCCACCAATGACCTACAACTCCTACACACCACCTCCCGTTGCACCTGCACCCGTTCCTGCGCCTGGTGCGTATCCCGAGGCTTTGCGGCCTGCACACAGGCAAACAACTTCCTCCGAGGGAAGCGTGTCGTTCGCACTTGTCCGCGCAGCGTTCGTACCGAGCCTAGCAGACGAGCTCGCGGTCAACGCCGGTGAGATGGTTCGTGTACTGGCAGAGTACGACGACGGGTGGGCACTGTGTGCCAACCTGCGCGGCGAACAGGGTGTTGTTCCTCAGGAATGTTTGCAGCGCCGACGGCCGGCTGATCAACGGCGCGATGATCAGCTTGCTTTTATGAGTCCCAACACGGGCGCGCAGAACAATAGCAATAACCAGGCTGGTGGCAATCAGTATGCACCACAAATGCAGGGCGCGGGATACCGATAATTGTGGGTAGCATTCTTCGTCGTGCGCACAGTCGCTCATCATATGGCTTTGCTCAATCAGAACATATGTGCTGGACTCCCGCTCCTTCCCTGTGTCTGTGTTCATCAGCAGGAGCCTCTTCGGGACATTTCGACTGTAACTTATGCTAGATCATGCAACGTGCCCCATGTTGTATCTTAGCCTTCTTTTCACATCCGTGCAGCTAGCAGAAGGCCTCAACTGCAGCTTGCTTGACCTTGCGATATCCACGTTGACCCGAACCTTTTTGTTGTCCGGTGTTACCCTTAGTGCGGCGGTAATTCTTGCGTTGGTTCTGATGATGTATATATAGTACTTTAGCAACTTTGTCGATGTTGATGTGACGGAAGGGTACGGAACAGAACAAGTCATACTAAATAAAGGTTATGTACACTAGGTCATGACTGTTGCCTGAGAGCTGAAGTTCTCCATTGACGTGCGACCGGGAGAGGGATTCTGGAGCCGCCTATCACGCGTCGGCAAACCTCACCAAGCGTCTCTTCTTTAGGGGTGAGTCTTCTCGCACTTCTATCGCCAACGCATCATTTGGCTCCTTATCCTCATTCTGATTCTGCTTGAGCTGAAAAAGAGGAAGGCTGAACTCGAGACGCGTCGCTGCGTTCTCTTGCAGGAATGTTGGATTCTGCGCGCAGCGAACACAAAACCGATCAGACTTTTCGCCGCATGTATGCACATGGAACGACTCACCGCGATGAAGTCGCGGATGCTTCGATCGTCTGTGAGCCGCGTCTGTTTGATACTTTTGCCCTTGCTCTTTAGTGCCTCGCGGCGAGACACAACCATCTCTTCCCAGGTTGAGCGGATCGCGAGTGTTTGCACTGGATGACGTGGTCAGTGGGCATTTGACGAAGTAGCGATGGGGTCTACCTGTGACAGGGCGCGTCTGGCCGATACGATGCACACGCTGGCCGAGTCAATGACGGTCAACGTTGACTAAGTGAGGGCAGGAGAGTGGTAACAATCATACTGACCTTAATCGCTTGGATCTCGACGTCTGCTTGCCAAACTGGCTCACAGAAGATGACTCGTGAAGCCGAGACGAGGTTCCTAGTGTCGAGTCGGATCAAGTCAGCGGTCTGCGAGCTGCAAATCAAGGCAAAGACATACAAGCCACGCGCTCCGTGCTTCAACTCCATCAGGAAGACGCGGTATAAGTCAGACGTCTCGAACGTCGTCACGAGCTGCTCGCGCAATTTCGGTTTAACCGCGGTGGTGTATTGGATGAATTTGACTTGAACGAGCTCAAGGCCTTCGGCGACGAACCCTAGCGTGAGAGGAGAACTCGAGAAGATGAGGAACTTTTCGGTAGGCGAGTGTTGCAGAACCTACGACAATGCCATGAGATAAACGGTGAGTGTCGGGAGACCACGCCTGCATGTAATGCTCACCTCATTAAGGATGAAGTCCAGCTTCGAAGACGTCGAATTCCCCATACGGATCCCAGCTAGCGGTGACTGCGAAAGGAGCCACGAGGGTGTCACTGGCTGTGGATGTACTTCAGCGAACGGCTCCTGCTCCTCGTCCTGGAAATGCGCCAGCAGTCGCTTCTGCGCGGCAACGAACTCTCGCTGCACCTCTTCGCGCTTTTCGGGCGCCACGATCTGTCTCGCGACCTCGCGTTCCTTGCGAAATGTGTTAGACTGCCCTCTTGCGTCTCGTCGTGTTCGTTCCCGTTCATAGCGCCGCAGTTCCGCTTCCCTTTCAAAGTCGAGTCCAGCAGCAGTAATTTGAGAGATGCTCGCGAGTGGGTGTTGCATCACGAATGAACGCAGTTTGATCAGGCGCTCGCTGGTCAAGACATGGACGCAACCATGCGACACTCTGATAGGCAGTGGGGACCAGGCCTCGTAGACACCAGATGACACATCGTGAATACGATGAAAGACAAAAGCATTGCTCTGCATTGCTCTCCACAGTAGGTCATTCCCAGCGGATTTCCTGTAGCAATATGAGCCTCACGAGGAGATAGAGCAATCAAGGACATACACATGTGCAATGGCTTGTTCCAGGAGCAATAGATCCTGTGGGGAAACATTCCTGCGGCGGGCATTTTGCAGGAACTCGTTCGAGCTTTTCACCATTTCGTCGACATTGTAGCGCTTCTCGTCATCCACATGCCAGAACATGACCCTAAGCTGGATTAGCGAGCAAGTGATTATATTAAGGCGATGTAGACCCACTGCGACATATTGAGCACGAGTCGCTGCAGAGCGGCCGCGTTCTGTACTATCACATCAGTTTCGGCAGCCGGGAAGCCATGTACTGCAACCTACGCTGGGGTGGAACAGATAATCCTACATAAGGGTCAGTGGTCACCCTTGCCTCGCTGAAGAGATGATGTGAGCTTACCTGATCAGTACGCTCAGAATCCACCGCGTTGATGACAATACTCGCTTGCAACGCGTTGTACGACTTGACTGCATATTGGTCGAGATCCAGCAGGATGGTCTCCTGATGCATCAACGGTAACAACACGTCCTCCTCGACGTCAGCAATCCTGTCAAGGAAGTGCTTCGTCAGTTTGAGTGGCGTCCCATCACGGGGAAAGCGTACCGATGGCGGATCATCACAGAACTCATCACCTGCTCGAGTACCTCGATCGCACCCGGTCGAGGTCTTGGATCCCCCATCAATGGTTGTATAACGGCCTCGTCGAATGCCGTCTTGGTACCCGTAGCGAACTGCGGCACCTCAAGGAAGTGAATAATCATATTGGACAGCTTGCGGAGATCTTCGCGGTCATCGGGCGTCCACTTTCGCGCGACAGCGTTGAGCTCAATGGCCTCAGCGCTGCCGATGTAGTCGCTTGCGGGCGACCCTTCTGTTCGAGGTGGCCCGGGATATTGAACCTCGCTACTAGTGCCAAATTGCAAGCCAAGGAGGTTCGCTGTATCGAGTGTCAGCATAGGTCACCCCAGGTCTTGAGGAAACTCTAACTCAACTCGTTGGTGTACCAGTTATAATCCATTTCCGCTCAACACTCAGCATCTTCGCGAATGGTGTGAGATTCGTGACGATCGAAGCGGAGATATGGCCCTCGTCAATGACGAGCCGTTTCCATCGGACTTGTAGCAAGGGTGTCACGTTGGTGCTTCCTGTCTTACAAGTACATGCGGGGACACGGGTTCCTGGGTAGCAGGGGCAGGAACATAGCCTCCATGAATACAGCTCAGAGACTTTGTTCTTTGTTGCTTCTCTAGAGAAGCCTATTAAGCATTCTGTAAGCCGTATTCAATTGACAGATTAGTCACAGTACGTACGGTCGTATGCCATCAGGATAATCTAACATAACATGAGCTAGATAGCTTGATTCAAGATACCGATGAATGGCCTACATCGTAGTCACTGGCCAAGTCCACCGCTCTTGGAAATACGGTGTCGGTTTTGATCTCCAGCACGCGCAATGTATCATAGCAGTGTTTCATGATCTCATTTCTCCACTGCTGAAATAGATTAACTGGTACAACGACAATTGTCGCGCTGCTGAGATACATTTTTCTTGGTCCGGGGTCGGTGTAGTTGCGCCTAGTGTGGACAAGTTCGGGCATTGCTAGATCGTATTGATGGTAGAATGGTGTACACAGTCGGAGAGGCTCCCAGAGGTTCCTTTGCTCAAGATCCTCCTGGTACATATGAAGATCGAGCTTTTCTGGGTATGCACGGCAGTGATGGAGTAAGATCTCTACAAGCGAGGGGACACGCAGAGTTTCTCGCCTCTCAGACATTGACTTGCGCTGTCGAGATAAGGATCCGTGGCTAAGTCGTTCACGTGCAGTATTGCATTCAGCAGTTGAGAAGTGCCGGAAAGAGAGTGGTGTCATGATAGGGTGTAAGTCGAAGATGGATTCCTCGGGTTGTGGGAGCTGGTCAAGTGTTGCAAGGATAAGAGAAAGCATCATTACAGTCTTCCCCGTACCTAGCTCTTCGCAGAGGATACCTCCACGGCTTTGGATAACCTGGGGACACTCCCGCCGTAATTCCATTGTTGACGGCTGGAGGTAGAAGGCTGTGCCATCCACCCCTTTTATGGAAATGTAGAGTGGATCATTGACGCTCGTTGGGGATAGTTCTCTCGCAAGCATCGCTGAGACAGATTCTTGTTGATAGTTATAAAGAGAGCTGCGCATTCCTTGGATGTGGTAAATAGTGTACCCCTCTGAGCATTTTGGAGACGGGAGGTCACTGTAGATTTCTGACATTGTCCGATTGTCCTACTTAACGATTGAAATTGTGATCAAGCTGAAATGGAGGAATGCGACGTACAAAGTCTACATTGAGAAGATACCGTGTTGCCGTACAATCCGGGGAAGAGGCACCTTGCCAAATATGTGTGTCTTGTCTTATTTGCGGCAACAGGACTCGTAAATACTGCCCAGCTTTCACGCGCACAGATGCGTCTCGTGCAAGCAGGCTGCCTAGGTCGGTGGAAACGTCCCATGGAAAGAGGTATATCCTGACTGTTAAGGAGTATCCCGGTTCTGATGCTTGACATGTAGCAGCGAGGAATCGTTGCCGTATGAGGAAGTCGAGGAGCCGCACGAGAGGTTCGTCTTCCGGATCCACCACCGACTGCACGCCATTGAGTCTAGGAAACTGGTGCCAATTATCATGAGAATGGTTGTGGGAACAAGTAATATTTGTCGAGTGTAATCTAATAAATAGAATCCCAGCGGGCAGGGAGTTGCAACGTTGTTCAAGAGAGTTAGACGAAGGATCAAGTAAAGTTGGTCCATCCAACAGGCAAGTTGTACAGCAGAGCGAACAAGACGCAGCCGCCATTCTTCATTGAAGAATGGAACTGGCTGATAGAGAGAATGTGACGCTCGCGAGTATGTTTGTTGAAGACTGGTTCCTGGGCGTACGAGAGAGGTGCGAAGAAGGATGATTATGATTGCCTTGCCCGATCAAATTGAGATCGGAAACAGCCGATGCAACGCGCTAAATCATACGGGACTTGGTGGCGACACTCTCCCGTTTCTCTCTTCATTGCCATCACCCGTCTCTTCTAACAACTTAACAGTCCAAGCTTTATACTCCGAGACGAACATGTTCAAAGCTGCGGGAAATACTCAGTTTGGAGAGGGGTACTACCTGAATCGCTCCGTGGAACAGAAACGGCAAGCCTGCGGTTCTGGGACCGATGAGGATAGAGAAGGTTGTAGACACTTGGAGCGTTCGTTCATATGGGTGCTCATACGCGATATTCAGAAATGGTACTTGCCCTTCTGGCCTCTCTGCCGAGGTCACGTCTCGCCGCTGTGCAGCGAAGGATCGCCCCTCTACTGCAGTTCGATGTTCTCGGGGTACGTCGCTCTCTTCGGAAACGCGAACAGTTGCTGTAATCTTGCTGCATAGCTATTACCGGATGAAATGGCGCTTCAGGTACTCTCATACCTGCCCTTCGAGGCTCTGCTCACATGCGCCTTGGTGAGCCGAAGGTGGCGGATGCTCGCCGATGACCAATCGCTCTGGCGAGTGCTATGTACAGAACAGCGGTGGGAATGGCGGAACCCGCCTGTACCTCGTGATCGAGGCTATGTCTCTGACCTAGATGATGCTGAGGATTCCGACGACGAAGGCATGGGCGATGAAGAGGATTCCGAGTTAGCAGTGCAAGACATGCTTTTGGATGACTCGGGATTCTCGTCCATGCTGGTCGATCCAGCTTCAGCTTCACTCACGTCCACCCGAGGGCCTGAAGTTGTGATCCCTAGGCGCAGAGACAGAGAGAGTACCCGCCGTAACTCCGCCTCTGCCTCTCTACTGCCGCAACGATCTACCTCCCCATCCGGACCGGACTACAAACTGCTTCATCAGACGCATACAAAGATCCACAATCGTATACTCTCCGGGTCGTATAGGCTTTACAATCTGCAGACCTCTAACGCATTGAACTCACATACCAACGCGATCTACTGCTTGCAACTATACACCTATCCGGAGACCGGTGTCCAGGTCTTATTCACGGGCTCGAAGGATCGCTCGATTAGAGAATGGGACCTTGTTACGGGAGCCGTGACCCGCGTCATTGCTGATGCACATGAGAGCAGTGTGCTCAGTATATGCGTCCACGACGGCATCCTCGTTAGCGGAGGCAGTGATTGGCAAGTCACAGCATGGGATCTCAAGAGTAACACGCGCATCAAATCGATCCGTGATCATCGTGACAGCGTATTGTGTGTACGATACGATGGCAGAAGGCTAGCCTCATGCTCGAAAGGTGATTGTTAGATGGTTTACATGAATGACGGTCTGAATACTAATGGACTTGTAGATAGGACTGTCAGAACGTATCTGATGCCAGATTTTACTCCTCATCATGTTTTGTACTGTCATCGCGCGGCTGTAAATGCCGTCGCTATGTCAGCGACTCACATTGTATCTGCTTCAGGCGACCGATCCATTCGGCTGTGGGACGCAGAGACCGGCACTCTCTTGCGCACATTTGAGAATCATCATGGCCGAGGGTACGTCTCTCGTCGCGTTCACGTACGCTCATTCTTCTGATATACCATCATCCTTAGTATCGCAGCGATTGACTTCCGACCACCAGTGATCCTATCTGGCTCATCAGATAAACACCTTAGGCTGCTCGACATCACCACGTCCAAAGGGTGGTCCACCGCGCCAGACTTTATACGTACTCTCGACACTGCCAACGAGACCGTCTGTGAGACGTGCGGGAATACCACACGGGTTGCCACTGCAGCTGAGAACGTGCGCTCACCGGGCTGGCCCCGCGCACACGAAGACTTGGTGCGGAGCGTCGCACTCAGCGCAGAGTTCGTCGTAAGTGGGAGTTACGACTATACCGTGAAGGTGAGGTCCATCGGTCCTGCCAATGCGATGTGCTATGCTTGACGGCCATTACACCGGTTCGCAGGTATGGAACCGGAAGACAGGCGCGCTTGTCGCAGATCTCGCGGGAGGGCATAATGGCAGAATATTCTGCGTGGGATTCGATCGTGCCAAGGTGAGTCCGGGGCTGTTCCCTATACACCTTCGTGCTCTTACAGCACAACATACCATGGCTTGCTGAAACTCCGTTGCTCTGCTAGGTTGTATCATGCGGGGAGGACCAGGTGAGTATCGTGCATTGCTCGTTTATATCTGTCGGTTGATAATAGATACCAGCGGATCTGCATTTGGGACTTCTCGCACGGAATGGACACTTCTTTCGTCAAACTGTAAACATGTACATATTATTGCAACCTGAATGCTGCGCTGGGAATGAGTGTCGTTCGCGATTCTAGACGGCGTTATACAAGACTCCTATGAGCACACTCGCTCGACCAGATCTTCAGAACGGGCAATCGCGGACGTGAATCTTACTACATCGTGAATACGCAATTTCGAGGGGTCGAGTAGCCTTTATGAGACGCCACCTCGGCCCGAACAATCCACGTCTTGGTATGTCATGTAGTCTTTCATCGGTTACTGGTGGGATGTTATATGCATTATCAACCGTGGAGGCGAGAGCGGCGAGTGGCAGTTTGTCTCACTGATAGGAATAATTCCAGGAGCAATGACCTCGTGCATCAGAGTGTATTGCAACAGCACTCAGAATTTGTCTAAGAGCCTCACGCCGTCCATCCAGGACCTATTCCTATATAGTGCCGAGCGTGCTCGTGGCGACGAATCCCACAACGTACGTCTCCTTCTGCGTGTTCACACGACCGCCATCTCACCGTCACGGCATCCCTCAGATAATTACGATTGCCATGAAGCATCGGAGCCTCAACTTATGAAAAGCTGTCGACTTGTCGGCCAACTGTGCAGGGGGATGACTGACACCTTCGTAGAGAACCTCCAGAGCTCGACCATCACGCCCGCCTGAGCTGAATTGTCGGCTCACTGTACCGGGGCTTTTTGTGGCCGAGCGGTACTTCGGCAAAAAAGGTGCGGATGTCAAGCGCACCCGCAATGTCAAACTTGCGCCGAAGAAGGCGCAGACAGACAGAAAAACTGTCGAGCGTCCACCTTCAATCTTAAGCTTTGATCCAGGAGTCGACAGTCAGTGGTGGCGTTTGATATGCCTAGTACGTATCCTTCAGGCCACAGCTGTCTCTGTGTGGCCAGGTATGGTACGCTTTATCTTAGGTTATATTATACACTACCAGTATAGTGCGACTCATGCCTATATCGGTTGTGCTCGGTCTCGCTCGGGAGCGAGTGCGCGCGCATCGGACGCGGCAGGTGGGATGGGCCCGACACCCGATGCGCCTAAAGCAGGAAGGCAGCGGGCAACAGAACCGACTGAACAAGCAATCCGCGCGGGATTTGTCATGCGCCAGATTCGCAAGGGCGGGGGAATAGGGGCTGCTGCTGACAAATGCCCTAGGCCGGAGATGCAAAGGACGAGCAGCCCATCGAGATGCGTTTGCTGTCAGCCGCGACACTAAAAAGATGCACTTTTTCGTTGCGTATGAAATGCTGTGGAATCCATGCCTATACGCATGCTCATGTAAGTCCCTTGGCATACGTTAGGCTGGAAAGATACCCCTATGGGCATTGTCCAGCCTGCTCCTGTCTCGCTTCTTGTAGATTTGTAATGTCGCGGTTATTCCGCCGGGTAGACGCCGTGGGATGAAGAAATATAAGTAGGAACTGGGGCGCCGGAAGGCGGGAAATGGCCTAAAAAGGCAAGCCGCAGTGATGTGTCATGGGCGCTGAGTGAGCGGAGGAAGAGGGGCGAGAATCATGTGAAAATCATGGAGCCCACGTAACGGGCTGGCATCCATCCCAACGCGGCAAATGTTTTCGTCCACTTGCATCGATGGGCTCATGAGTGATACATAATAACAGTATTTGCCTTTCGGTTTTGCGGACCGCCCCCCTTCAATGCCTCTTCCTCGCCTTCGCCACCCTTGCTTTCCTGAGGTCCTCGTCGCGTGTTTGTGGCTATGAGCGTTTTTGAGTGGGCTGCGACCGAGTCTCGCACCAACGTTGTTCTTTGCCGCCTGGTTGAGCGACAGCCTCTGTTCGCGTGGCTGCACTGGAACACCGGTGTTGGCATGGACCTCGTGCATGCAGGACTCAAATGCATCGTCGTAGTGTTCGCATCGGCCATGCTGGCTCTCGTCGGCCTCGCCCTTGTGAGTGCTGGCGCCATTTCGACCGTTCCCTCTAACCCTTTTTTACAGAGTGTGTTCTCGGGCCTCGTGGACCGTGCAGTTCCCATCGCCCTCATGCCTCTTCTTCGGCCCGACCAGGGCGACGAACATGCGCTCGCGCTCAACTGTCAGCCACAACCATGCACAGACGTCTCATCCACACCGTCAGGGTCCAAGTCGGTGTCAACTTCTAAGCGAGAGTCGGCTTCGTCAGTCCCGTCGACACCCTCGTTTCAGGATGTCCGTCCGGTCCCTGCAGTTGCCACTGAGGCATCCTCCCAGCCTACAGCGAGCTCCAAAGATGTGCATCAAGTCGAACGACTTCAACCTGAAGTACTTCAGCCCGCAAAGGTCGTCATGGCGAGCCCTCCGACACCTGCGGCGGAAGGCCACCACCTTCCAGGACATGATCATGCCCGCAAGTCTCTTCTGGCACCGTGCGTCAAGCGCTTCACAACAGCTCTGGATCAGCACAAACGACCCACGCGCACACAAAGTCTTGTCGTCCATTCCGCTTCTTCCGCCACTCCCTCCCTACCAAGTACCTCCGCTCTCCAGCAGCAACAACCGTCGTCCAGCTCAGCTGTGCCCGAACCACTCCGTCCCGTCGTGAGCAGGATGTCAAGTGCGCCACACGAGCGTGAGTCTTTCTTTGTCGACACTGTACAGGACGAACTCTGAGAACGTGTGTCGCACAGTCAAAAACCTCTTCCTACCGCGCAAGCAGTCTAGCGTGCCGCCTCCGCAGAAGCGCACCGACCCGTACGCGGCGCCATATTTTTTCCCCACGCCCGGCTCGCCGCATGCTGTGGACTACGTCCGACAAGTCCAGCTCGCGCGCCGGAACCCACAGGCGGCGAGCCAAGCGCAGCGGTCCCCGCGGTCTACTTCGCCAGAGCGGGAGGCTGCTTCCGCGCCCCCCACCACGGAACCCAGCCGCCGTGCGCTTCGCAATGCCAACGAGGCAGCGGAGCAGCCGGCAGAGCAATCGGCCTCGCGCCGCAGATCGTGGCAATTCTCGCCGCCACGACTGGCGCTCTCGCCGGTGCCGACACGAACTAAAGAGGCGGCGGACGCTGAGACCCATCCGCACACCGCACATCTTCTACAGCGGCTCGCGCCGAAGCGGAAGAAGTCGAGCAGGTATGTCCCTTCGCGTGTGCAGACGTACACAGGTACTTGATGGGGTCTCACAGCCAGCCGCCACATTCGCGGGTGCCGCTCAACGTCGCGTCGGCGGCGACGGTTGACGAAAAGTCCGCTGACCGTCGGCTTGCGTCTACGTCCGAGGTTGTATCGTCGACCGCAGATAGTAATAGTGGTGGTGTGCCTGCGCCGCGCAAGGGCTTGTGGCGCTCGCTGCATCGTCGGTAGCCTGTGCCCCCGCGTAAGAGAGTCGTACCGCATTTGCTGTTAATAGAATATCGTTATTTTCGTTACGTTCCTTCAATGTCAACCACTCCCCTCATTCCCCCTCCCCTTCCTCCTCTTCCTCCTTGCCGACCTCGTATCGTAGCGTCATTGCCATAGTCGTACTTATAGCGTATGTAAGTGTCTCGGGCTGTGCGATAATGTAGCATATAGTGCGTCGTGTCGAGAGTAAATATAAAAAATGAAACCACCATTGCTATGTCGCAACTGGCGTGCTGCCGAACACTGCAGTAATTCCTCCTACTTACTGCAATGCCATGACGTTCACAGTGGTGAATTCGCGTAATGTTCGTGGCTTGTGTAGCATGGGCGTTATTCCCCGATCCGGCGCGACACCTCGTTGTATGACGTCACATCCGTCAGTAGCCACACAAGACTTGGACGTGGGTCGATTTGTCGATGCTCCTTGCTCCTTGCTATCCTCACCCTCGTCCGCAATTCTCAACTCTCCGACCAGCAAGCTGAAGAACCTCTCACCGTGTTCTTGGTTGATGAAATGAAGCAGGTACGCACTTCTGAGATCAAGCGGTGCAGGTCCACGCGAGGGGAACGGACGGACTCGGGGTGCTCATGAGCACCAACGAGTATGAGCTCCGCTAGGTATGCACCTCGAGCATTCCCATAGTTTATCCTCTATACATACATGATCCCCTAAGTAAACCCCAGACAGTAAGAAATCTAATTACACTAGACAGTACAGACCCAAGCAGACACTGATAAATTACGTATATCAAGCATCAATCAGAACAGCGGTGAATATGCGAGCAGGCTTGCCAGAAGTTCTCGCGCCTCCAACCAAGACAACGCCTACAAGATTTCGACGTCAAATGCACGAGACGCACAGCGTTCCCCGTTCGCGAAATCCAGGCAGGCAATCCGAGATACCTTTCTGCACATCTTTGACTGCTTTCCCGATAATAGTGTCGTTGCAGCTGACGTAGAAGATGACGGTAAGACCTTTGAACTCCTCCCGCGACAGGTCACGATCTATGCGCGCCCAGTCGAGGCTGAGAAGATCGCGAACAGTGTTTAACTCCAATTCAAAAATGATTTCTTGTAGATGCGTAGAGCGGATTTGCGAGATCATCGCGGTGACCCAAGGGAAGAGATGGTTCGAAAGGAAGGTGCGTGCGACTGCGACTTTGAGGCCCCCGAAATGCACCGATCGGAGGCCGGTGTTGTGTACCAGGCTTATCTGGTTTTGCAGGACAGCTAAAGATGTTTCTATTCAACCTTTACCTCGTGAGCTGAATGAACACACACTTACCCTCCTCTGGCACGCCAGCCGGGAACTCGATTGACAGGCGCTCGAGGGAGGCGCCGCTCGCATGCAAGAGGTCGCCGACGCCTTTCATATTGTCGATTTCACGCCAGCACAACTGAATTGAACGCAGATGCTGCTCCGAAGGGTGCCTGAGCAACCATTCGGTAACTAGCGTGGGGGATGACTTGGGATCCAGGAAGAGGTACGATAGCTGCATGCGCTCCTGCTCCTTCCTCGCCTCCATATACCCGGGATGCTGAATCGCAAGCGGCAAGGGCGCTGGGGATTCGTTTTCCCATGAGACGCCGTGGAAATACAACTCACTGAGCACCGGGAATGCCGACAGGAAGTCCAACACGTCCCCGGACGCCAAGAAGCGTACCTCGAAGAGGAACAGGGTCTGAATCTGGCGGAAGAGCTCAGCGAATGCGCACTGTGTCTCGGCCAGAAGGGCGTTCCACCGCACGCGTGCGATGCCCAGTGTGGTGATACGCGTGAGTTGGGGGAGGACTGCGGCAATGGTGTTCACCCAGGCATCGTCCTCGAGGGCACGGCCCTCTGCGTCGACACCTTTGTACGCCGCGCAGATGGTCAAGCGGCGGACGCAACAGGCGATGCCAGGCGCCGTCGCAAGTAGGGCGCGGAAGCGGTCGCAGTGCCCGGCACCCTGGATACGGATGGTACGAAAGATGTGGAGGCGCGCGGTGGGGACGAAGGCGCGGCAGGTGAGGCTGCACGCGCGGAGGGTCGTGGGATCGTCCCAAAGGTGGTCAATCGCCTCGTCAAAGAGCTCGGGCGGGAGCGTGGGCATCGTGTGTCACCGCTGCTGCAAGGCGGTGAGTATGGATCGCGTTGTTCGCATAGTCATATACTGTACCTCTGCCAGCTGCTAGACTGCTGTCGTACGAAGGACGGTTCACAGTTAAGAGAGATGATGGGGACAACTCGCCATGGTATCTGTTTGATAAATAGATTGCTGTGTTACCAACGGACTCCGAGACGGATCAAATCTTGGGGAAATAGTGATGGCCCTTCGTCGGCGCGCCAATCAATTTTCGTGGGGTGAAAATTGCAACTGGCAGGAGAGACGCATGCATCGTGAGAATCGGCCTCCGCGTTTGGAAAGAAATCCGTGCGGCGTCGGGATACACGTCAGAGCCTGGTACACATCTGTGGTCACACAACTCTTGCGCGGCGTACATTATCTGCGGCCATGTCGCATCTTCACGTCGTACGCCCTCTGCGGCCAATATCGCTGCACCGAACTGCGCCTCTGCAATCATGCTCACTCACAGGACGCTCACTTACCTTCCGAGTGCAAATTTCTGTCCGTGGCAAGTCGACGAAGGCAAACCCGGCGAAGCACGCCGCTAAAGCCACTGCGTCTGCGGCTGCACCTGCACCGGCAGTGCATGGCTCGGGGAAAGTAACGGAGCTCGAGAAGCAGACGCTGCCATGGGCGGACTACCTTACCATCCGCAAGAAGAAGCGAAGATGGGAGACGGTGCGCTGCGGGTGTATTGCATATGTATCGCTGTACTGACTATCCCGTTGCTTTGCTTGCGTCCGTGTTGGCGTATTGACGTATTGGCGGTGATTTGTGTGTCTAGGCAATGACGATACCGTTCACGATCGGCGGTTTCGCCGGGGGTGTAGCGTACTTTGGGAACCTCGAGATGGACCCAACGAAGCCCATTTTTGTGCGCTGTTTTCCTGCTGGCAGAGCGTGTGCCGAAGTTTACGCTATTGCATGACAGAACGTCGACCCGATGATCGTCTATGGCTTCTCAACCCTTGCGTGTGCAGGTGCGTGCAGGGCAGTTCTACTGAGACTCAACAGGGAGTAACGTGAGCCGCACCAGGCCTGGGGTACCTCATCGGTCCCATTGTCGGCTCGATGATCTGGCGCATGACGCATCGGCGGACAATGTCGCTCATCGAGGCGCGCGACCGCGAGTTCCACCAGCACATCGTGAAGAACCGCGTTGACCCCACGGCGCAGAGCGCGACCAACCCTGTGCCGGACTTTTACGGTGAGCCTCGCTGAGGGTGTAGTTCGAGTACGCCGTGGTGCTCATGCCTTCTGTCTGAATAGGCGAGAAGATCGGCTCGTTGCACGACTATAGACAGGTAGGCCGGCCGCCTGGCATTGTGGTGGCAGCAGCGCTGACGATCGGTCCTCCAGTGGCTGAGGGACCAGGCGAGGTACAAGCGAAAAGCATATCTACCCGAGGATGTAGAGACGCATTAAGTGCATGTGCACTTGCAATATCGTAATGTTTGTTCTGCTCGTCGTTTGCTCTTAATTGCATGATTCCTCCTCTCAAGGCTGGTGAATACTGGGTATAACCCCTTAGCATAACTGGCGATTTATAGTTACAGTAAGAATAAGGACTTGTAGCAGCGGGCGACGCGCGCTAGTGCAGAGATGGCAAGTGACGTCGATGACGTCAAGTCAAGTTCGTGAAGGAGCACGGTGGCATGTCCGGGTCCCGTTATAACTCTCCCTCACGGCCGCCTGTCTCGCTATTCTCGCTTTCTCTTCCTCCACGACAGACACGACCCAATTGCGCAACATGTTCCGACTCTCTCCCGCCCTTCGCCGCACCCCCGTCTTCCTTCGGCGACCTCTGTCTACCTCCTCCCACGCCCCTTGTCTCTCGTCTCAACTAAAGGCTCCTCAACATCCCGTGTTCCCAAGGCTGCTCGTTGCTTCGCCTTCGCAGTTACCCCGGGGGCAGATCCTCACGCGCGGCGCCGCAAGCCATGTCTCCGGCAGGCCAGGCTCCCAGACCGCGAAGCAGGCCGCGCAGAACATTAAGGAGGAGGTCGGCAACTCCACCACCGACCTCGCAAAGGCGATTGCGGGAGGAAACGTCTTTCAGGACGCCGTCGCGTCAACAAACCAGACATTCGTACGTAGCCCTTCCATCGCCAAGACGAGCACCCAGACGCAGCATGGATGCGCCTGGGTGAGCGTTTTATAGTAGAGGATCCCCGATTGTGCAAGAAATGCCAGAGCCAAAGCAGGATATTTGTGGGCAGGCGGGAAGCCAATCACATGAAGGTCGTTCCTCAGGAACCGCAGATCTGGCCTGCCAATAATTAGGGATCCTCATAGCAGTTGACTAGTACGGCGCGCTGATATGCGGTTCAACATGTAGCTTGGAGTGACCAATGCCGTCGCAAGCTCAGTTCCCACGCCTTACATCGTCTTTGGCCTCGCCGGAGGCCTCCCGTATCTCGGCGCCACGGGCGCGACGATCTACCTTGCTCGCCAGGCGGGTATTGCGGCTGCGGGGTTGACGCCGAATATGGACCCTGGCGTCGCGATCACTATGCTCGACCATGCACTGACCTTCCAGATGGAATACGGCGCGGTTATGCTGTCTTTCCTCGGCGCACTGCACTGGGGTTTCGAGTTCGCGGGCTATGGCGGGCATAAGGGGTATGTTTTCAGGTCCTCGTTCCGAATCTATATGTTGAACGGTGCACAGGTACCTTCGCCTCGCGCTCGGCGCAGCGCCCGTCGTGCTTGGCTGGTCGACTCTCGCACTGCAGCCAGTCGAAGCACTCATCGCACAATGGGTCGGGTTCACTGGACTATGGTGGGCAGATTTGAAGGCTACCGGTGCCGGGTGGAGTACGTACGTCAACCACTCGATGGGCGTATTTGCTGACAGTGTGTCACAGCACCTACATGGTACTCTCAATACCGTTTCTACCTGTCGATCCTCGTCGGGATGTGCATCATCAGCTCGCTCGCTGCGACTAGTTACTGGGGTCCTGTTGGTGGGCACGGGCTTGTCAGCCACGACTTGAACATGGTACGTATCCTTGAATTTCGCGACTAGTCATGCCGGTGGTATTGACTGCGAATGGCTACAGATTCGTGCGCAGCGCAAGCAGAAGCAGCCCGAGCATGAGGGCCAGGTTGGCGGAGACATCGAGGCGGTGGCGGCGCCGGAGACTGCAGACCAGTATGTGATTGTCAAGAAGAAGAGCAATGGGAACGGCAACGGCAATGGAGAGCAGCAGTGAGTGTGCTCATTGTTGAGAACACGCGGAGGACAAGTAGACTTGAGTAGGATTTACACATTGTATAATAGCGATCTTCGAGTAGAGCACTCCCAGAGTACATGTAGTCATATGGTCAACAGCAACGAAGCCATAAAATCTGGAGGGCGCCTCCCTAGTGCGCGATCGAAGGCGCCCGTGCATGACGCGGGGAACGCCCTGGAAGGTTCGGGAGGCGGTTACCGCCGCTGACGGGCTCGCTATAAGATGCATGCAGTAGATCCTCATTTGTACCTCGTAGACGCTAAAGTCCTCCTGGTTTCACCTCACTAGACTTTATACAATGGCGGCGATTCCCCCAAGCATGGCGCCAAGCACGGCCAACTGGCACTGGAAGAACAAGACGGTCACGCCGTGGGCGAGGTCGTGGTTCGAGCGCGAGCTCGCAACAATCTCTGTCAAAGGCGAGGGCGATGAGGTCGTCACAGTCTCGCAGGTCGTGGAATTCGATGGGGACGTCGAGCTGGGGCAGCGCAAGTCCAAGTACGTGTTTCATTTGTCTCATTCTCTTCGTTGTGGGTGTGTGGGCTGTGGGCTGAGTGGGTGGCGCGCAGGCTGATCACGATCTATGACTGCAAGGTCGTGCTGAACTGGGCGGGCACGGCGTCGGACGGGACGGCGGTTGAGGGCAAGCTAACCGTCCCTGAGGTCTCCCACGAGATCACGCTCGATGGCCTCTCGGAGTACGCAGTACGTCTCCTCAACATTCATGCAATGCGGTCTTCAGGCTTACAGCTCACCGAAACAGTATGAGTGGACGCTCACGACCGCTCGCTCGCCTGCGGTCGACACGCTCTTTGCCCTCGCGAAGGCGCGCCTGCCGACCGCGCTCGAGACCAAGTTTGCCGAGTTCCCGGCGGCGATCGTCGAGACGCACGGGAAGGACCTGACGGTGAGCGCGGACCCGAGCCGCCAGGGCTCGCCTGCGCCCGCCGCGGCCAGCAACAGCGGCGCACCGAAGGCGAGCGCGCCGAAGCCCGCGCCGAAGAAGCCGGCCGCGGCGGTGAACACGGCGACGGTCACGGTGGACGCGACGTTCATGGCGGCGGCGGACGACCTGTTTGACCTGCTGACGAACGAGCAGCGGATACCGGCGTGGACGCGCGCGCCGGCGAAGGTGCGTGCCGCTGTTTTTGGGTCGCGCGCGGGAGCGGGATGGGGCTGACGGCGCGGGGCAGTCGGCGGCGAAGCCGGATACGGAGTACAGCTTGTTCGGCGGCGGCGTGCAGGGCAAGTACATCTCGCTGGTGCCGGCAAAGGAGGTCGTGCAGAGTTGGGCGCTGCAGAGCCCACAATGGCCGAGTGGTGCGTGTCCTGCAACGCTGTGCTTGGGCGTGCGCTGAATGCATTGGCGGTCGGTGATAGGACACGTTGCGACGCTCACGACGACGCTCGAGCAAGGCTCGGACTCGACGAAGGTGACGTGGAAGCTGGATGGCGTTCCTCTCGGTATGGAAGAGGAGACACAGCGAAACATCCAAGGATACTAGTAAGCCGTTCTGTCATCGCACTCATTCGTTGAACATCGCGCTGACGATGTCGTAGTGTACATGGCCTCAAATCTATTGGGTACGTACAGCTTGTCGAATACAGAGCGCCCCGCGCGTCCCCATCGCCGTCTATTTCGCGCGCAAAGCACACTGCCCCCATAAAGACGGGGGCGCGATACCAGTACTTCGCCGTGGCATTCGCAGTGCTCGCGCTCGTGACGGCGGTCTCGATACCCTACCTGTACCGCTGATGTTATGACGGTGTAATTGACTGGCTGCATTTTGCGCGCTTGGCGCATTTTAGGTTGGGCACCGAGCTGTGATCTGCGAGCGGACCGAGGGACGTCGTCGCCGTTGCATGTCCAGCCTTCATGTGACTTTCGGGCTCTGTGGGTGGCCGAAGTCGACGCCGGCGCGTCCGTGGGACGGTTTGGACAATGGTGCTTGTAGGAAAGGTGTACAGTGTGCTGTGCTCGATTGTAGAGAAGTCAAAGTCAAATGCATTAACACCATGTATCGTTAACTTTTTCATAAATGGCTGTAAGAGCCTGCGGCGCCCATTCACAACGTCTTATTTGGGCATTTGTAGCAGTTGTACAGGACTCACTGTCGCTGTAACACGGCTCTTTTGGTGCGTCGCTATGCGCGACCTTACGCCGATTCAACGTAGGTCTGTATGCAAGCGTGCACGTGATATGTTGAGGCGAGGCACCGCGAAGAAGTTGGAGGCAAACATCGGCCGGAAGAGTTTGACCCTGCACTGTGAAGAGGGCCATTTGGCATAATGACGCGCTTCCGCGTGACAGAAACACGACTAGTATTTCCTTCTTCGGCAATATACCTTCCTTTTCTGCATAGGATCGTCCATTTCGAATCTCGATCGCCCTGCAGCGTAGTATTTAAGTAGAGGAGCGTACAATCCTGTCAAAGAGCTCCTTTCCTCCTTGCTCCCATCTCAGCCCACACAGACATTGGCATAACTGCAGTGGCAGTTTCGCCCAAGCGAGCGATCCTCCGGACGAACCAATTCTTCCCGTCGGCAATCTCGAGGCCATAACGACTGTAGCACGAGTTTATTATAGTCTGCATCGTAGCTTACACCGGGCAGTCGGTCATCTTCAAGGCCGAAAACTAGTATGCTCGTCCGTGCCTTGATCACCATGTCGTCGGTGTGCTTGCCGACACATGGGACCATATCTCCATCGTCGAATGCTGCCTTGACTATGACTTATGGTGCGTTTCGACGCGACAGTGAGAGCATGCAGTGATCAACCAAATTTTCTGTAGGCGTTCCCAGAAGTTGTCTATCTGTCCAGGAGGTAGCGGAAGCAACTTGAGAGGTACAGCAATTAGACATGGCAACCGCCGACCCGACAAACGTCTTGGCTGATCGAAGGGTGTGATCGCCGCCCGTCGCTGATTGGCTCTGAGCAACGCGTCGAAATGTCAACCTCCCCTCTGCCGTCGACAACGCATTCCCCTTTCTCCTCTTCTCCTCGTAGGCGCACGCCGTTTGTGTCCTAGCCATCTTATCCGACAGTCGCTCGTGACGGTCTACGCTCCTTTGGTAACTATTTAGCTATGTGTGCTTGATTCTTATTAACAGGATTGCAGCCATCCAGCACGCGCCTCATGCTTGCGTCGTGTCTATGAATGAATGATGAACGTGCCCGACCCGCCATGGAAGCAGAAAAGTGCGTTTGCCGTCTTGTTTAAAGTAGATACTACTTATCGCCTTGCATAGCACGTCCGTGTCCCTTTTATTCGCAAGGACGCTGCCTCTTTGCAGAGTCTTGTAATTTCCTTCACACCGCCAAGGTCCAGCGCACCGAAGACGGTCTGCTGTCAACATGCGAGCGTAGTCTTCCGTCTCCGCCAGAATCACCTATTACCAACGCGCGCTCTGCCATGGCAACGAAGTTCGTTCGATTCCGTTCTCCGCCGCGCTCCCCGCGACTATCGAGTCTATTGATGGCATTGGGGGACGTCATACATCAGGAAGAAGAAGAAGATAACGACGATGTGGACGAGGAACCCGAGGCAAGTGTAGTCAGCTCGCCTGAGGTCGTGGTGTCTGAGCCAGAGCTGGCTCCTGCGGAATATGTGCCCGCACCCATCGACGAGAACGTAGACGAAGATGCCGAATCTACCACTCTAGTCAATTCTGCGGTCTCTAGCTCGCCTATGCTTCCGGACACAGAGCTTGACTATGCGTACACACCTCGTTCGAGTTCCATCGTGCCGTCCGAAGATGCATACTCGGACGATGGTGAGGTGACTATCACCCAGTTCCGCGACTCGTACGCTTCAGCTTCTTCCGGCACCTCCGGGCTTCTGTCGCCCATCGAAATGGCTTCGGCTCCTCTAACCCTTCCGCAGAGGCGCATCTCGGCAGAGGTTCACCGCGGAGATTCATTCGACTCTGGATATGCGGATAGCTGTTGTTCTATTGGCCCTGTCCCAGCTACGTTCATGACGTCTCCCCCACAACCTCGGAGTGTTAGACTTGAATCGCGGCTTTCCGTTTTGTCGTCTCCATTTTCTTCGCCAGCTACGCGGGCGCAGATGGTTGGAATCGAGCCACGGGTTGAGGTGGAGTTTTTTTCTCCGAGGATGCAGCCTGCGCGCACGGAGCCCCAAGTGACGGTCAGTGATGAACCGGACCACCAGCTCGATGTAGCAGGCGAGGTCCCACAAGAACAGCTAACAGTGGCTGTTGCCGTTTCAAGCCCGGTTGAAGCAGAACCCTGGGCGGCAAGTCCTGTGATGGCGACTCCAGCGGTCAATGCGTTGTACGACGGCTATTTGGACGACGAGGCAGATGAACTGTCAGCACTTCCCTCCCCGTTCGATGAGCCTCCGCGGCCGCCTGTCTTCACCGCCCCATCTCCATCAAATTCCCAAGAAAGCGAACAAGAGACACGAGGACGGTCTCCTACGGTAGTAGCACATTCCTCTCGTGGGATACGCGTCGACCATGAGATTAATTCAAATGTGCACTCGCCGGAGGGCTCTGTGGGTGGAAGTGTCAGCCAGTCAAGAGAGCGGTCCTGGGATAACCGAGCATCGTCGAAAGTACCTTTGGCGTGGCGGCGTAGTACGCTAGATCGATCAACCTCAGTGAGGCAGACATCTACCGCCCCTCAGCGTCCCCCCGACACACTGGACCGCTCAACGTCGCTGGCAGCAAAGCAAGCTCAAACGCCCGGTACCGTTCGTGCGCGGCCACCGGCCTTGGCAGGAATCAGGTCGCCTTCGGGCGAGAGAATGCAAGAGTCCCAATTGAGGGATTTGCAGTTGCTCTCGCCAGAGGAAAAGCCTGCGCGCATCTCAGGAGGAGGTCTGAGACCGTTACGCCTTTCTATGATTCTCACCTCTCCCAATGTTTCTTTCTCTTCTTCATCTACTCCAGCAACTTCTTCATTTGGATCTGCATCAAGCGTTCCGCCTCCGCTCACTACTGGAACGACCGCATACACACCCGCATCATTTTCGACACCCTCATCGCCCACTGTATCATCAGAATACTCGCTTTCACATAATCAGTTACTTTCTTCTCGTCCATCGTCCTCGAGTTCCAATCACATACCAGCACATCGGAATACCCTACTTATTGACCGCAAGCCTAACATTCACGTCGCTCCTTTGCACACCACGGTCCCTGATCTGGGCTCTGCTCCTCGCTCTGCCCCAATCTCGCGGCCACCGTCATCATCATTCTCCTGGAACAGCCGCCGTAGCTCAAGATTCTCGAGTGTGGCTTCTCGGAGGCTCTCACAGATTGACGCATATGCCCGGCCTGACAGTCGTCTCTCGGAACCTGGTATTCTCTACGAGGATGACGAAGACAACGTCGGAAACGACGAAAACGACTGGCAGGATGATACCATCCGCCGTCCTGCGTCTTCCCTTGCTCATGTCGCACATGCTGTCTCTACGTCCTCTTTCCTCAGTCCGCCTTCGCCCGCTCATGTCCACGCAATAGCGACGCCGCGCCCGACGCTTATGTTCGCACTTGCGAGTGATGATGTCGGCGAGGTGCGGCGGGTGCTTGAGAGCGGTGAGGCGCAGCCGAATGACGCCGTCGGGCCGCAGACGGCTCTGGCGTTCACGCTCACGTCGACGCAGCTCAATAACCGCATCGATATGGTGAAACTCCTACTTGCGCATGGTGCGGATCCATCCGCTGTGATGGACGGCGGTGTCGGCCGCGGTGCAGATACATCGCAGCCTGGTGAGAACGTGTCGCCGTCAAGGCTTCTGGAGAGCTTGGACCCTGCGACTAGGTACTACGTCAAGCGCGCTGCGGCCCCGCAGACTCGTCGCGCCTCTGCGCTCATTCACCGCTCGTTCTTCCGCCCGCTCGCCCGGGTACGATATGACCTGATCGGACAGGACCGTGCGCTGGAACAGCTGTTTCGCGTGCTGAGCATGCCGTCCATGGCACCGATCGTCGTATTGTTTTGCGGTCAGCTCACATGGGTTGTGTGGTGGTACATTGTCTGACTTCAGGATGCAGGTCCGAGTGGTCATGGGAAGAGCCTTCTCGCTCGAAAATGTACGTCTGAACACCTGTCCATAAACTTTGGTTGGTTGATCGTCCGGAACATACAGTTGGCTCTTTGCTCGACGTGCCTACTCATACTGTGAATATGACAACACTACGATCCACTCATGACATTTGGCGTAGCTATTCGATGAGCCCCTACGAGGTAACAGACCTGACTCATGATAGTAGAAAGGATTCCGACTCATTTTGTTTCAGGCCTCGTCGACTTGTACACTCGCAGAGTTTTTGATCAGTAACGAGGGCAAACGCTGTGTCGTTGTTCTTGACGTAAGTAGCTGCAACGCACTACTCCGCCACACCCTGAACAATGAATGCTGTCGTAGGAAATCGAAAAGGTGGAAGACAAAATGTTCTTGTCTTCTCTGCTCATGCCATGGGAGCTTGGTGCGTACGCAATGTTGCTGGAGACCTCTCTTAGATATTAATTTATTGTACAGGTCGATGCTCCTTTGAAGCAGGACAGCGCCATGTTGATGTCTCTCAAGTAATCTGGCTAGGAACGTCCAACGTTGGACATGAGCTAGTTTTCGAGCATCAAGAGAGTCGACAGGACCCTTCGGTGCCCATGTCGCGCGAAGAGTATGTTGACCTCATGGCACTCTTGAGACCTCGCGTCTCTGATAAATTAGGGGTACGCCGCCGTCAATTTGGACTACGCTGCCTGTCTCTTATTCACTGGTTTGTGGCTCCCAGCCTTCGCTTCTCTCCCGCGTGACAACTGTGCTGCCTTTCGTGCCGTTTGTTGACGACGAGAAGATGGCGGTAGCCGCGGAGGCGGTGTATTCGCTTGCTGGGGACGCTGCGGCGACCTTGCCGCCCGCGACGGTAGACATGGTAGTGCGTAAGTCGCTGAGTGCGTACCTGCCCGCGGAAGGCGCGCGTTCGCTCTATCGTGCTGTATCTACTTTACTATTGGATACTATTTAGCTAAATCTAAGTACTCGCATTGGAAATGCTTTTTGCACTGGAATGTCGTCTTGAAGCTGTTGTCTAGGCTCGGGCATTCGAGCCTGTGATGGATATCTTCGCCAACTGTGCTTTGAAAGGTATGCATTAGTACTAGTACAGTGTATAGGATACCGTAGACTCGAAGATGTGGCCCGGACGTATTGCACGTGACCGTGTTGTGACGCGACGCGTCGCGCCACGGACGGTGGTTCGTTTTCGCTCACCTCAATAACGACGACCGGGCTGCTTTCTTAACCTCGTGTAACTACCTGCTCCAATACCTTTGGCTGCCTTTCCCCCGATGCTGGCAGTCGCAACGAGCGATGCCGTTGTGGTCATAGACCAACCTACCCTCAAGCGAGGACCATCTTCGGTACCTGCCAGCTGCTCGACGGATGCCTCTCCGACGAGCATTGCTTGGTCTTCCGATGCTAGCTCTCTCCTTGTTTCCGACGCGGCAGGAATCTTCAAGTACATCCTTGGAGATGCCTCATTAGCTCCCATATACTCTTCTCCTGATGAAGAAGCGGCGAGAGGACCTATTCGTGCTCTCGTGAGCAAGGATCGTGGGACGAATGTTCTCTTTGTCCGAGAACAACGTGTACATATCTTGGAGATTCACTCGAAGAAGATCGCACAGACTTTCGACTCCCACAAATCTACCATCACCTCGCTCGCGCTCTCAAACGATGCTAGCCTTTTGGCAACGACATCTGCCAGTGCCATCCACGTACATAATCTAACACATGGGTCCCACACCGTGCTTCGAGGCATTTCTGCTAATGCTACCATTTCGACGTGCTCGTTCCACGCACACTCGCGGACACGGCTTCTCGTTGGGGCTGGTGCGCAGCTGCTTGTATGTGACACTACTCGGCCTTCTGGAGCAGTCAAGACCATCCCTTTGAGCAAGGAGAAGGCTGCCCTTGGAGACGTCGTATCCATTGCAAGTAGTCCCTTCAGCAAGACCCTCGTAGCTGTCGCTTGCAGTGGCGGTACCATTTGTCTGGTTGATTTAGACAAGGAGAAAGGGTATGTTGCCAACATCACATTTGCAACGCAGTTGCTGACGCAATTCAAAGGATTTGTCGTACAGTCTCCCTCCATGTACCGCTGACTGCCCTGGTGTTCTCTCCGGAAGGAGCAACATTATATGCCGGCACCGAGAACGGTAAAGTGATGGTCCAGGATTTGCGCGCCTTGGATAAGCCACCGAGGTCGATCACTGTTAGCGAGAAGGGCGGCAGAGTCGTCGCCATGAGCATACAGGTTAGTACATGTTCGCGCGTCTACTAGCAGGGTCTCATATTAATATATAAACATTAGAAAAAGTCGAAATCAGAAGATTCGACCGTCAAGACAGCGGGAATGGCATCTAGCAAGCCCCTCGTACAACAAGACGTGAACAAGAATCCTACACGTCGCGCGGCGAGTTCCACTTCTACAGATCCTAAGGCGGCCCCGGCGGCGAAACTCAAGGTAACCTCACCTGTCGCAACGCGGGTCTCCTCATTCAAGAGCACACCAGTCAAGGCTCGAATGTCTTCTTATGGCTCGCCTAACGTGATGCGGACAAGGGCGGCGGCAGCGAAGTCGCCAAATGCCAGGAAAGCCAGCAATGGCGGGGTGGCCAAGAAGGTTTTTTCACCTCCCCGATCGACCCTACCTCGTGGCGGTGCAGCAGTGCCTGGAGCATCAGAAGACTTCAATATATCTGGTAGGTGTTCCTCGTTGGTTGGGCTGAAAGACTGAATTGACCGTCTCATAGTGCGCGTCGAGAATCTGCTCGGTTTGCCAACCACAAACACTGCGAAAGAGAATATCAATCCTATGCAAGATGTACCCGAGCCGACGCGCAAGGCGGATGCACCGGATACTATTTCAGCAGTTTCACATCCATCTCGAGCGACTTCACGTGAAGCCGGCAAGATGCGCACACGCACGACGTCAACAAATCGGACAACGGCGTCATCGGCTTCTGCTGTCTCGAAGGTACGGTCCGCGTCGGGGAGCAGCGCAAGCAGCAGCTCTTCTGGAAGCGATGCTCGTAGGGGAGCAAAGACGTCTACAGGAGGTTCGTCTGCATCGCGGGCGGTCTTTCCTTTTCCTCCGGTTCCCCCCATCCCTGCGGCATTAAACTGCACAGACGACCAGCGCCGATCGCTTACGCCCAGTCCCGATTTGCCTGATGTTGACTTGGATGGTCCAGTCACACCATTGCCCGCGAGCAAGAGCAAAGGCAAGGGAAAGATGGCTGCCATGGGTGTGCTTGGGCTTGGCACTCCGGAAGTAGATCGCTGGATCAAGGCAGGCCAGCTCCAGGTTGCGGAGGAAGGAGAAACCGACAAGGATGAGGGCAAGAGGGTCGGCTTCGCGAGCGAGGATGATGATGAAGTCAACGAACACCGAGAGAGACAGGATCGGAAGGATACTGTTCGGGAATCGGCGGATGTCAATTTTGTAGTGCCAGAGACGGCCATGCAGGTCTCACCGAGGAGAGTACATGGTGGGCCGTCTTGGACCCCTGTGCCCTCTCCACTGCGCAACCTCGCCAACTCACATCCGAGCTCGCCGAACACACACGCTGCGGCGAATCTGCTGCAGTCGCTACTGCGCGACGCAACGTACGACTTCCGGCAGGAGACCCACGGGGAGCTCGTCGGGCTGCATCTGGACATGTTACGTATGGGGCGTGGACTGCGGACAGAGATGCGTTCGGTGGTGGACGAGTTCCGTGGCGAGATGTCTGCGTTGCGAGAAGAGAATACACGACTGAGGGTAGAAAATGAGCGCTTGCGCAGAGGATACTGAAGCGTCCGCCGCGGCGGGTTAGGTGTATGAAGCTTATGGATGTACAGTATATGACTATTTGCTAACTATCATGCGGTTGTGCTATGCGCACATCAATGTCCAATTGATGCTTTGCGAGAACAATCGCCAGGCAAATGTAGTTCAGTGCTCAAGCGCTCGTTGGTGGTTTTCATAACGATCGAGCATGTGCAATAATTCCTGATCCCAACACTCACCGATCGATTCTCCGCCTAGCGATCTGACGAGCGCGTATAAGTTCAACTGTTGCTTCCACACATCGTCTCTTCTTCTCCCTTCGCCACTCGCAACAACATAATATTGTCGTTTGAGACCACTTGCATGAAGACATGGCTGACATTAAAGCAGATAACGAGAGCCTCGTTTTTGCGCTACGCACTCTTGGCTTTTATATGGAACGCGACCGATTGGTGCTAGAGGCCATGTCTCTCAAAGACCAGAATGTCCGCCTGAAAAAGGCGTTTGACCGAGCAGTGGAAAATGTTTGTATAATGAGCCTGCTGTATGACGTCAAGGAGTCCAGAGCTGGAAAGCTCAAGCTGTCGAACCGAAGAAAATGGAGTCGATGGCAGGAGAATCGGAACGCTCTATTCATTCAAACGATCAGCGTCATACATATCATCGACCGCCCATGCTCGATGAGCTGCTTCCTGCAGAGGCAGACGGGCCACATTGGGAAGGGGGGTCTTGGTGGTCGGCATCTGTGGCCGGGGGGCAGAAGACAACAGCGTCATCTTCGATGCCATGGTGAACATCATCAAGACGTCGACGAGAGATAAAGTATGTTCGGTCCCGAGTTTTCACCACTTGCCAGTGTGTCTGACGCAATCGTGAGGCTGAGGTGTACTACTTCTGGGCCATGCGTAGAGGAGACTGCCTCGAGATCGATCTGCAAGACCTACCTCATCAATCGCTTGGCTGGTAAAGGTGGAGTACAAGTGTTACTGTGACTGTCCGCATCCGCCGTCAGACACGATGATACGACTGACTTTTTTTAAATATATAGCACGAGTTGCTTGCAGAACGGATGTTGTTGCATACGATAGGGTGGTTCGACCGTTCCATCATTGTCCGATGACCTGAAATGGCAGATCTCGTTTGGCGGTATTACATCTGACAGATAGCGTTGCAAGTGCAAGTACATACCGTGTTTTCGGACATTGTCGCGTACGAGTCTAGCAGCGTCGTTGCCCAGTGTCCTCTGATCATGTGGCGAACTGGCGACTTGTTTCATTGTCGTTTATTTCATTTACACCAGCGACGATGATGCCCGACGACTGACGCTGATCCCTTCCGTAAACCTCGGTGTCGTCGAGCGGCCCGCGAAAGCCCGCTACTCGCCCGAGCCCTCACTTCGGTCCAATGACGTAAAACGGCATCTGAACATACAAGAGCACCCAGCACGTACGCATCCCGAATACCTACGCCTGCCTCTCGCTGATGAACTATCCTGTCCGATCCATCAAACAACCGCAGGCGTCATGGTCGCTGACCGTCCGTCTGTCATCTCGTCCGCAAGGTCCTTCCGGTTTCCCAGTGCTCCGTAAGAGTGCGTATTCTTATCCGCAGACCCAGCAGGCCTTACGACAGCACCTGGGAAATCACAGGCACAAAAGCGCAGCATGGCCCGCGCCTGCACACGAGCGGGCCCGGCCGTTCCATGTAGCCACCGTCGCGGACGTCATGGATTCATACAGGTGCGTCCTCGCCCGCACGACACGCCTATCTCTCTTCCTGCCTCGACGGCCCAGCCTGAGAGCGATCCCCCTCGACTCTCGGTCCCGCCCGGGCGTTCGCGCCAGATAAGGGCGAGAAGCGTTCTTCCCCCGCGCACTATCCCCGCTCCGGGCTCCTCGCCCCCTCACGGGCACGCGCGCTTCCCTCCCCGAGACCACCGGACTCTTCTGATCTTCGCGAGGGTCTGCGCCGGGCGCGGCACGCATACGCGGTGCACGCATCTAGCATTCGCGTCCCGTGGCAGCGGGGGGCAGGAAGGACAGCGCGGCGACCATCTGGATGTGGGCCTGACTGATCTCCGAGACGAATGTCGAGCGTTCGGGACGCGCTTCGCCGCTGGGGGCTGACGTATGTGCTTGCCTGCGTGCCCGTGCTTCGACCAAAATGAAGTGCAGGGCTGAGCAAGCACGAACTCTGCGAACCCCGCAGTCAGGCGAAGACAAACGGGAATGACGAGCATTCCCTGGGGCCCCACTGCCTTCTATGCCGCCCCCCTTGCTCGGCCGCGCAAACGGCGTCGACCGGCCGCGCTGCCCATGATCGACGCAGAAGACGCACTTCGCCTTGCGGCGGCGGGCACGTAATCCTCGCCCCCAAATAAGATCAGCGACAGACCGAAAGACCCTGCAAAGACAGAGAGATTCGCGGGACCAGAAAGACCCGTGGTATGTCGATAAGACCCTGAACGACCAGGCGGTCAAAACTCTGCTAGCAAAAGACTCCGGCCAGGCAGCCAATGGGGCGAGGAGCGCTGCCGTATCTCGTATCGAAGACCGAGCCGAACCGTCGGTCGACCCTGCGCACAAGACACGAAAAAAACAGACAAAACGCATGCTCGTGGTGCATGGCCACGGATCGCAGTGCATATCCACGGATCGCAGTGCATATTCACGGATCTCTCGCCCTCGGCCATCGCATTCGCGATCGCGCTACGACGGGGTGGCGGGTGTCAATGTCAATGCAGACGCTAGTCTCCGAGAGCAGAGCAGAGCAGAGCAGACATTAGTTCCTCCAACCTGCGCCGGCTCCGGATACAGTATCCTTGTCTGGCGCAGACGCGCGCGTCTCCATGGGCTACGCGACCCGAGGCGAGCGAAGAAGCAGGCACACGGGCGGGTATACCGTATTGCATCAGCGCTGTACCGCACCGCACACAACTACTGTACTCGTTAGCCGCAGCGGTAGCAGCGATTGTGGCTTGTGGCGTATGCGTTTGGCTCGAGTGCGAATGAGCGTATTATAGCGACGCGGTGTACGACGATCACACAGCACACGGGAACGAACGAGTCTGAACGAAGCAGCGCTGGCCCGCGGGCGCATAACGAGTGGATTGCAGCCACAGGCAGGCAGGCGGACGTCGACGTCGACGCCGACATCGGGGCACACGCACACGCGCATAATCCGGAGGAAATCTCGATCATGGCGGCACGCGTACAGCACCGCACCTCTGGCTAATAACAACGAGTGTGGAAATACAGCGGGAACGACTGGATGGCCGGCAGCGGCAGTCAGACGCGACATCGACATGGTGGTACAGGTGGTATCGATCGTGACGTGAGTGAGGGAGGTAGGCGAGCACACAACCAAGCAGAAAAGAACAACAACACACAACACACCGGCGGCGGCGCCGTGAATACGATAGGGGTAGACGGGGGCGGGGGCAGCGTGCGCAAGCAGCAGTACAGGCAAGCGAGGGCGACCGTGGGCAATTAAATAGAGCAGGTTCCAGAGGGAAGGATATATCGATCATGAGCGAAGAAGGGATGGTGGGCGAGAAGCCCAAGACGTGTACGCGCGGAGGGGCGGGCGAGCGCAGCTCTGGACCGCCGGCGGGCGCACACACGGTTGACAAGCGCGCCCAGCCGGGGGGCGCGAGCTCGCGCGCCGCTCAGAGCATCATCGACGCATACCCATGGCCGTTCCCGCCGCCACCCACGCTGATCGGCGCGCCCTTCATCATGCCCACGTTCATCCCCATCCCGCCCATGCCCATGCCGTCGCCAAAGTGGCCGCCCGCGCCCATCCGCCGCGGCATCTCGTAGCCCGCACCCCCGCCGCTCCCGTTGCTCGCCATGCTGCCACTGCGCTCGCGCCGCTGCGCCGCCGGCGCCGCGTCGTCCATCCCGCCGCGTCCAAGCATCTGCTGCCGTTGCTGCATGCCCATGTAGTACGCCGCATTGCCCTGTGCGGTGCCGGGCGGCGTGAACTGCTGCTGGCCCGCAGATAACGCGGGGCCCTGATACATGGGGCCATGCCACATCTTGGTGTCCTCGGCCATGGCGCCACCGTGCGCGCTGAAGAACTGGCCGGGGAACTGCGCGTTCGCCATCGGCGGGTGCGCGTGGTGGTGGTGCGGCTCGTACATGGAGACCATTGCGGGGTTTTCAAAGGACACAGAGGTAGGACTTTGCACGATCATCGGTGTGCCGTTGCTATGGCCACCTTGGCGTGGCACCATAGTCTGGAGGTGAAGTCCGCCAGATGGGACAGCGTGGGCGAAGGGGCTAACCTCAGACTTCATGAGAGAGGCGGCAGCTGCGTGAGCCAAAGGAGCGCGCACGTCCTCGGGGCCGTCGTCATTGCCATGGGAACTCATCATACCAGGGCCGGCGTAATCGTCATCGCCGTACTGATCGTCGCCATAGTCGGCTCCGTCCTCCTCCTCGATGGGGCCAGCGCTGAGGACTTCAACCTCACCGCTGAGGATCATCTGGAAGCCCTCGCCACGGACAGGCTCCTCGACGCGGGGAAGACCAGAGCGGTCGCGCCATTCGTTAAGTTCACGGCGGAGGGCGTCGGCCTCGCACTTGATGAGGCGAAGCTCGCGGGCAGCCATGAGGCGGTGGCGGCGCGAGGCGTGGATGTGGGCGATCGAGGAGTTGACGATCGAGGACTTTGAGGGGCGCCGGATCTGCGAGAGGTTGGGGAGCAGGGCGGCGAGATCCTGCGGACGATCGACGATCAGTGACGAGGAGGCCCCCGTGTGCAGAGCGACATACCAAGAAACGACTGTTCAGAGTCTCCCGACGCTGTCTCTCGACGGCGTTGTGCGTGGCGCGGCGCTCTGCGGTGTTGGCACGGCGGCTGGGCTTGCGCTTGGAGTTTGCGCCGTTGGAAGGGCTGGATGTGGTTGTGCTGGCAGAGGCAGCGTCTGCGGGAGGGGGGAGTGCAAGAGTGGGTGGGTTGGAAGGAGAGGAGGGGGTCTGGGGCCCGTTGGAACCGTCAACAGACAGCGGGGAGCCGGTGCCAACAGGCGAAGAGGGGATGGTGATGGGAAGAGCCATGGATGGATGTGGAGGGGAGGATGAGGTGGGGGACGTGTGGTGAGTTGGGGGCCGTTATGGGGATATGTGTGGGCAGTCTAGAGAGGGTCAGGGGAGCACAGAAAGCACGGAATCACGAAGGGGATATGAAAGCGTTGCTTTTGGGTGATGGGACGTGAGGGCGGGTGCGGGGACAGGTCGGGCACGCGAGCGGACTCAGCGGAAACCGAGGCTGTTGAGGAGAGTCGTTGGCTATCGAGAGGAGGGGCGGTACCAGTCGCGAGCGGGTGCTCAAGCGGACGAGGTGCTGCTGAGAGAGAGAGGATGGAGGAGAAGGATGGGGGAGCTTGCAGAGGGGATGGGCGGGGTGAGAGAGGCCGGCAAGGGTCGCGAGATCTTGTTGGCGGAAAATTGGGCGCGGATAAGTGAGGAAGCGGGGGGGAGAAGGGGGAGTACTCACTCCAGGCGGTGTCCTTGTGTCGGCAGGGCTAGGCGGGGGGGAGGGTGCAAGAGGGAGGAGGGGGGCGGACGGGGCAGCAGCGGGGGACGGCCTCAACCGAAAACCATAAACGACGGGGGGAGGGGCTCATTCGTCCCTTCCCTCTCCCACCTTCCCATATATCTCTCCCCCCGGCACTTCCCGGCCTCTCTTGCCCTTTTCCGGCCATCACCATCATGTCTGCTTCTATCTACTTCCTCCGGCCCTCCCCCCGACGCCGTCCTCCGCTCCCCCTCCCCCCGACGCCGTCCTCCGTTCCCCCCCCTTCATCGCCGACCGTCCCCTCCATCCCCTTTCCCTGCCCCTCCGGCCCCCCGCCTGCTTCTCTCCGGAGTGGCGGCGGCGCCCCCGATCTGTCGGGGCGTGCTTCGGTAGCATTTCTCATCACTTTGCAATAACACCCATCACCCGCCGAGCCCGCGGCCAGCCTCGACGGACACGGACTATGCTGCAATGTTGCCTCGGTGTCCGCCGCACTCCGCCGCCGCTTGATGCGTTGCGCGTTGGTGGGCTGCCTGATCGTCGTGTCACAGGCCGCCTGAGACGCCATCTCACCGCACCTGCCACCGTCGTCCTCCGTTCTCCCCCCCGGGTTCCGCCCGCGCCGCGCCGCGAATCTATCTGTGCATAGTATTACGCGCTGTTGATCTCGCCTCCCCGAGAGTTTTGCGCTTCAATCGTTGGTCCCCACGACACACTGCCACCCTGACGCTGATCGCACACCGAGATCTGCATAGTACCGCCCCGTCCTCAGAAGCCCCCGGTAGTCCGTGATGGTGGATTCCGCTCGCTACTTCGTAAGCCACTGCAATACACAGCATGTTTTTAGGTAGGAACAATACACATCGTTGCGCATCGTTCATCCCCTCCGGCATTCCAATTCCCATCCCGCGGCCCATCTCCCGTCCGCCAGACGCGCCCCAGCGTCACCCATCACCCGCGTCTCCGCGATTCGCTCCCCGACGCACTACTGTAGCGGGCCCCTCGTACAAAAATATCCCCAGGCCTCTGTCATATCAGACTGACACTTTCACGTCTCGCTTCACTCCAGGTGCCTCTGAATGCCGTCAGTCTACACTGCCAGAGCTTGGTCCCGAGTCTAACCTGAGTTCCCACGCCCCGGGGTCACCCGGAGTCCCCGGATTGGGTTTAACCCACGTCCTCTTGGCCCCCCGCCCATCCGCCCCGATCCCGACGTCAGCTCGGCATAGGGAGTCGGGGAAAACCCAAAGCCCGCAAGCATGGGGCCGGCGCTGAAACTCCCTCAGGCCATGGATAGGGGCCACCCCACCCTTGGCTTGCATCCGCCCTCGTATATATTCGCTCCTCCGCCCTCGTTTTCTCATCGCTCTTATTCTCGTCGTCCTGCGTGTCACTCGCCCTATGCTGCCAGTCCTGTCCACAGTTGCACCCGAACCTGCGCAGAGCCTATTGGCCTCGAGATGTACATATCCGAGTTCGCACCAGCAGACACTGACGCCCTTGAGGTCACAGTCATGTGACCTGGGTAACACATTGTGACTGCGCATTTGCCAGCGTGAGTCGTCGTTTTTCTTCATCAACTCCCTGCACCTGTGGCCGACTGGTTGTCGATATTCAAAGGTGCGGGACACTTTGAGGAGGTGAGTACATGATATTGACAAGACTGACAAGACTGACATACCACTGACAAGAGCGACGCACTAATCATATACTGACAATACTGACGTCCCAACCTACTGACGTCCCAACCTACTGATGTCCGAACTTACTGACATACTGACCTACTGACTACTGACTACTGACCTACTGACCTACTGACCTACTGACTTACTGACCACACTTGTATATATGTAGCTAGTAGCTATTGGTTTGCGCTGCTGTCGAATGTCTGTAGAGTACAGGATAATATATATATTATTTATTTGAATTATTTTATGGGAATTATGGGGTGCTCGCGGAATAGCGGCATTGTTCGGCCTGTCCACTGAACCTGGCGTGGCGCAGGTCACCGGGTGCCAGGTTTTACCCAATGCCAGGCTGAATCAGAAAAGACCCGGCGGTGCCAATTCGGGGAAAAACCCGGTCCATCCTGGGTTGAGCATGCTGTTTGATGAACCCGGGTTGAACTCAATCTCAGCGCCGCCTGTGTATATCAACACCTAGGCACTCGCACTACCACCTGCCCCCGCCTCTCGCGCCTCCCGCCCAGCATGCCAGTATCCCGGGCCACTCGTACGCTCATAACTAGCCGCCCTGCGCTTTCTCGACATCCGCACTGCGAGGGTGCCAACGAGCGTAGCGCTCGAACGTTCATGCAAAAGGTACGCCCGCCATGTCTGACCCACTCCTGTCAGCAGAAGCGGCGTCAGCGCGTACATAGGCCCCGGGCCGCCACGACACAACTCGGCCAGCATCCACCAATATCGTCCTTGTACGGCCGGACGCTGGTCAAGTCACGCTGGGCCGTCATGTGCGGCCCTAGCCACACTGGACCCTGCACAGAGTACGTCAGCACCGACTCACTGCGGGCGATCGCCCCGCCGCAGGACAAACACCGTGCGTCCCGCATGCAGCGCGTCCAGTCCCCCTTGCGAGGGAGGTTCGACAGACCGTCTCGTAAGATCGTCGCTCGCATTTGGGGGGGGGACGCGCGTACATCCTACCGGGCGTCGACCCCGTGCGCTGAGCCCGAAGTGGCTGCTGCAGAGCCAGTCTCCGCACGTCGCGTCCCAGCCGGTGTCCTTTCCGTCGATGCGCGAATACGCACCGCCGCTGCGCACTCACCGCGCCCCCGCTCCGCAGCGCCCCTTCCCGCCTTTCGCGTCCTCTTCATCTCGAGACCGCATATGCATGTTCGTACGCGGCGCGCACCCTGGCGTCGCTGCGCCGGTTCCCTGGTCTCGCGCCCCACAGGCCGCCCCGGCGACTGCCCCGCGGCCTTTTTGCTTCCAGAAGCAGGGTCCTGCCAGGTACGCTGTGCATCTGTCACAGGCACGCCTCGAGGGCCGCTTCCCCGCCTTCCCCGCCCCGCGCTCCTGCGCATCTCGCGGCGAAGGCGGCCATGGCGTGCGGTAATAGCTGCGTCCTTGCGGCCATCAGGGCACCAGGGCACCAGGGCTGTCGATCAGGTTCAAGCTCGGGGTGCTCCCACCCTGTTTGTGTGGGTGCATGTGATATTCCTGTTCGGGTGTGCCCTGTCACTGAGCGCTGAGCGCTGAGCGTATTAGTACTTCTGGCGCTGACGAGCGGGCAGCTCACGCATCTTGCGTCTGTCCGACAGACTCTCAAGCTCCCCAGGCCCCGCCCCCACGGGCCATCCCATCCCACCATCGACCCGCCCCATCAACGTTCAACCAGCAACCCCCCCTCTTCTCCGTGCATCCCGTGGTCACCCGTGGAACACCGAACACCTCGCCTCGCGCCTCCACGCTTCGCTGTCAGCCGTCGCTGCGTGCCATTTGTCGCCCGGACACCTCGGCGCCTCGTGGCGCCGCAATTTAGCACGGTATACAACGCCTTCCATATCCGGCGCGTGGAGGTGGCGCGAGCGAGCGGGCGCCAGCACCCTAGATGTGGTGCGAGGGAAATCTTCGCCTGCACCGCTCTGAGGGCCCACCAGCTACCAATCACCAATAATAGACCACCGACCGCCGATCGAGGGTTCTGGCTGCGTGAAGACTTGCTGGCGCTGTGCGCAGGTTTGCTGGCTGTGCGCAGATTTACTGGCTGTGCGCAGATTTATTGGCTGCGCGAAGGTTTGCTGACTGCGTGGCTCGTGCTCGAGCTCCGTCCCGGGCATGTACGTCTACGTACATACATAGTCCGTGTGTGCTGCGCGTTCTGTGGATTTTGTGTGGAGGTTGTTGTTTTTGCGGTTGGCGCTGGGCGTGCGTGCTGGTATGCCGGCTTGGTCTGGAGTCTGGACTCGCCTTCGATCCTTGCTCCACAAGATTCGATGCCTCCAAAGTCGTGTGCCTGGCTGTGCGTCTGTGTCCTTGCTTCTTGAACGCTGTTCTGTCATCGCAAGTCTGTGCACTGAGCCTCTGCCTCGGCGCTGCTGTGCCCCCGCCTCCGCTTCCCCCCCCCCTTCTCGTGTAAGACTTCCCCTCACTGGGCGTGCTGCGTCTGGAATTTGGGGGCCGGCTGCTCCCCGGGTCATGCGCCGCTGGCGTGGCGCGACGCTCGTCGAGTCTTCTAATGAAGGAATGAATCCTCGGCGCCGTTGCTATGCTGCAGGGATGCCTCGAAGCCGCGGACGCTATCCGATTGCTCCCCCCTTCCCCCTCGTCCGATCGCACCCCCTCGTCCGATCGCACCCCCTGGTCGGCGCCCCACTCTGGCGCCCTCCGTGACGCATTCTGCTCTTGGGCGTCGCGCCCCACGCTTCGCCGCCGCTTCTTGGATTCATCCCCCCCTGCACATCTGCGTCTTAGCTTCCGGCCGGCATCATCTGTCCCAGGCCCCGTCCACGTCGAATCCTCGCCATCATCAGATCGCTATAAGAATCGTGGGCGACGCCGGCCGGCACGCGTGCTTCATTCGTTTCATTAACATTGGAACTCTGCGGACTCTGACCGGCCGCTGTCGTCAGGACTTGCCCCGGCTCGGTCCCACGGCCGTCGACCACTGCCCGCTTGTATTCCCGGGGCTTGGAGCGGGGTCATCGCCGCCCCGGAGCTCGGACTTCATTTCCAAACTCCAAGGCAGAGCAGAGTCTCTTGGGCCCTCCACATTCCCGGCGATGTCGCCAATCTGCACGCCCCCTGCCCCTCGGCCATCATCTCGGACATCGTTCTGCCCATTCCCTATCAGACGTCGGCTATCTAAATCTAACGCCTTTCTTTCCCGCCGTGCGTTCGTGGAACGGCCGGAAGTGAGTGGCGACGCTCTGTATGAGAGCGCGGACGGGCCTCGCTGCTTTCCATGTGCCGGTTCTGGATTAATATGTCCGCTTAAGCATGGGCAAGGCGAGTGCGCTGGCGTGCTGTTTACTTGTGCCCTTCTGCGTAGAACGATGCTGTCCATCAGCTGCTTCCAATTATTAAATTCTTAGTGCCTGCAGCTCTCCCCGGTCCGCCGAGGCCGGACGGCGGCACGTCAAATGCGGCGATCGTGACTGGTGCGTCTGGCAAGTGCGCTCGCTCTCCTCTTTAATGCACATTAAACTCCCGATCAAGCGCGTCCTGCAGGTCAGCTGTCGCGCTTATTGCCCATCGTCCCATCGAACGATAATATTACATTGCCCCGTTCTATGGGCCCGCCAGCTAGCCCCGTTTGTGAGTGGCACCGTGTCTCCCAGCGGCTGTCGTGTTTGGACGGTACCCACACCGACGCGCCGTTATATTCGGGCATGTACATGCATCATGGAGCGCCTCTGGGATGCTCGGCTGTTGCGCCTTGTAGGCGCACGAACACATCTGCGCTGACGCTGTGGCGCGACTGAGACGGCGTCGTGGCGCCAAGGGGAGGTGGGCCGTGCGTCGTTACATATACACTCGGAGCCTCGGGTGCCGCGACGGAGGCCCCTCGAAGGCTGCTGCGATTTACCCGGGCTGTCCCAGTCGATGCCTGTGGAAGGGAGCCTCAGCCGGACCTCTAGTACGCGCACGGACTCCTCTGTAGTTCCCAGATCTCCCGAGCGATTGCGCCGGTAGAGGCGCCCCTGAGCTAAGCAGCTGCTAGCGGCCGATCGTCCATCCTCGCGACATCTCCGCCCACGGCATCTCCTTTTGGCAACCGGGCTGGATCAGTGGCTTCAGCAGCAAGCGAGCATCGCACGATGGCAACTGTTGCTCAGGTTGCTGCTCGCCTTGATGCGGAGCCTCGGTGAGACCCGGCTCCGTCTCGCGTGCGCCCGCTTACCATAGCGCATCATCAGATCTGCGATCGCGATGGCTGCTCGCCGCGTAGTATGCTTGGAGAATCACAGCGAGACGCAGGAGCGATGTATTTACCTGAGTCTCCTATCAGGGTGCTTCGGACTCGACGCTCTCGAACTGGGTTTCACGTCCATCACTGCGGCACTACCACCGAAATTGCCTCTGATATACGCCTCCGGTAGAACGCGCGACGCTCTCATGTGATGCGTCAGCGGTGGTAAGATATGGATCTGGCTGCCGTCTCTGTTCGGGGCCACCAGAATACAAGGGCACGCCGCACCCGCGGGGGCGCAGGAATTGGCTCCGTCTTCGAGGAACGTCGGGTGTCCCGTGTTCCTCGCTGCTTTCTGATGCCGTGACCACGCGTGCGCGATAATGCGTCGAGCCTGCAGGCGGCCGAGGGAAAGACAAGGACGCAAGGGCACATGACCGGGCTTACGAGCGTCGGATGCGTCACCCATGCGCGGCGCAAGGAGCGGCGCCGCCGTGTGCCGACGGACATAGTATCGTCTGGTGCGGCGTCGGTTGTCGCTGGTGCGTCCGCATCAATGATTGTCCTTGGAGCTTGACGGGCTGCAGATTTCCTGGGTGATCCCAGTAATGAAGGGGATGCTCGGCGACGACGCCGCGGCGCGACATGCACCGCTACCACTGTTCACAGTCGACAATCACGACGTCACGACGTCGGCGATCGTTAATGCCTTGATCACCGCTATCACGAACAGAGATGTTAAGTGGTATAAAGATATTGCCGTATTGCCGTCGTACTCCGCCAAGCTTAGACTCTGCTGTGCGTGCACAGGCCAGGCACAGATCCCGCACCAGGCTCGAAATGTGTCGTATCGAGCACACGCAGCTCTGAGGGGCTCTCGTCATACTAATGCTGTTGCTGACTACGTCGTATGATGCCACCATTTATGCCCTTCGTGCCCAAGCTTGCCTGACTGCCTCCGAGATCAGTTCACCACATGCTGTGCACAGCGGTTGTCATATTGATCCAGATTGATTATGACACAGAACTTGAAGAAGCGACACTGCTCTCGGCTCCGTGTACATATGTTTAGTCAAGCCGCGCATATGTCGTGTATGCACAATCGGGACCTAGATTCTCTGTTTTGCACGGAAATGCACGGACAAAACGGCGGGCGTGTTCCATGCGCCCTTTGCTTTCTAACGCAGTTACGACAGGGATGCGAGAAGATGTTCGCAGATCTGGCGAAATGGACCACCCCCCGCGGTCGCTCAGCGCTCAGCGCTCAAGCCTTAGGCCTCAGGCCTCGAGGCGCATGGCAGGAATGCACGGAAGCAGGTAGTTCCGTCACATACGTCAAATTCTAGCTTTTCCTGCATATCAGTACCCGTTCTCGTATCGGTGCAGTCGATTTCACGTTTCGCGCACGTAACCATCGACATGCGACGCAAAACGTGTTGAGTAATTCATGTTGTTTGAGTCCGTTGGCACTAACGAAGACATACAGAATACTTCTGATCCGTCGATTTTCACCCTCCATCAGCGAGTGAATTGTCAATCCGGTTTGAGTCTGCTCTGCTCGGAGTATAGGCGACTTTTGCTGCACTATAGGCTGCACGGTGATTTGCATGAGTGTTCATTGTTGTCAAGTTCCTCTAGTAAACCGACGTCGGCCCGTCTAGGAGGGAAATATTCTTGCAATTTACTTCATATCTACGTAATATGGGTACAAAGTCACGTCTGTCGAATCGACCACGGGCCGTATTCTGCAACTCCACGTTCGCGCCTTTCGAGTTGGTACATTTACTCATTTAGTTACACCCTGGGAACGGTCTGGTCGGTGGGTCGAACTGACATGTCGAACCTGATGTAAATGACGTCATTCCTTTTGAATGGCTGATGCTGACCTTTATCTGTATTACATATGAAATTATTTTCGTGTGAGCACCCAATGATCCCCCATACTATGCCTCCCTGGGTAGTCGGCAGACCCCCCAAGTCGGCAGGACCAATCAGAGAGCAGGATTCCCCGGAATTTCTCGGGATGTTCGCAATCCGATCATTGATTTTAGCTCCTGAGCCAATCAGGCAAAGGGTGCCGACTTGGGGGGTCTGCCGACTACCCAGGGAGGCACAGTATATGATCTGTTCAGGCCTCTGCATATAAGCCTGATATCAAGTATGGTGACTACTCCTGCCATTCTCAGTCGCTCGTGGCTACAAAAATAGACTCCATTTCGAGTCAGAGTCGAGATACGGGTCCGCATCGGCTGTCAACTTCCCGTGATCTCTTATTAGTCGCGCAGTCGAACAGCCACTGTACTGTATTCATAACCCTATGGCAGGATCACGCACAGCTGCAACTCCAGGATTCAAAGTCGAGTGCCCCTCCAAATCATCGTATATCCATTGTGATGCGCCCAGAGACATCCACGCGTTTGAGAGCTTGGAGAGCGGGCCCATTCGCGATCCTCCCGCTTTTCTTTCTTTACGGACTCTCTTCCGGTATGTCGGGCCATTTCACTTTTATGCTTTATCAGAACGTACATTGCATCGCATATCTCGCGGGGAATGCTTTGAACGGGACGGAGAACCAGACTCAACCCAACCTCCATCACTGCTACTCTCACGACGTATCCACTGCAGTCGCCACTAGTCTAGATCAGCAGCAGACTGCTCTGGCTGTCTTGGGCGCCGTCGTGTCAGGGGTGTATGGCGTCTTGCTCGATACGCGGAGCAGAAAGTACGTCATGGCCGCTGGAACCGTACTCAGGGCCATCGGTGACGTATGGCTATTTCTTTGCCGTGAGTCGAGTGGTCACGTTTTTGTTACTCGCTCAGCATCCTACTTACCAACCCGTGCAGTCAGGTCGTCGGCTCTCACTACTTCCAATGCCGTCCTTCTTACTGCTCTATTCAACGGCCTCGCGGGAGGGAGCTATGTTGTTCTCACAGCACAATTAGCGTTCCTCACCGATACATCATCCCCTACCAGGCGAACCTTCGTACTCGGCCTCGCCCTGTCGGTGATGCCAATGGGATCGATCGCCTCGACTATTCTTTCTGCTGCTGTGACCTCACTCGAGCTATACGGCGCAGTCTTCAGCATAGCAATGGTCGTCCATTTGATGTACCTCGCTTATCTCCATTACGTCCTGCGCGAACTTCGCAAGCCATCCCGGCTGGAAGCAAATGCTCTGGAGGAGAAACCGCCCTCGGTAAAGGAATGGATACTAAGTGGAGCATTATTCACGCCGATTGTCATGATTGTTTCCAATCCAACACTCCGCTGGCTCTCCATGATGATACCGTGTCTAGTATTTGCAAGGAAGGTAGCTGAATTGGAGGTTACGAACCAACTGAGTGAGATGCCTATAAGAGTAAGTCGTCTTCGATGCACAAAACGAGCAGAGCACTCACCGCTCACTATGAACGGTTACTCGCAGTACATGGCGACTATGGTTACCACTGCTATGTCGAGTGGATTGGCCGCACTCTGCCTCGTTCCTGCCTTCGTGATGCTATATCGAAAATACGCTATACGAGAGCAGAGACAGTCGACCAATGACTCGCAAGACGGGCCGAATCTCGGGGATGTCGAGCTAGACAATGTTCCTAGGGACGCAGGCCTTGACACCGCCGGGTCTGGGCAATCCAGGTTCGACAACAAAGTAGCTGTCCGACAGGAGCTGCTACTCTGTCGATTGTGCTTCTTCGTCCAAGCGACGTCGCTCGTTCTACTATCGCTGAGCAGGAACAAAACCTTTTCCAGCGTGGGTGAGCCTCAGTGACACTCTCGAAAAAGTGCACACATTGAAATCTCGCCCAGCATTTGCCATTACCGCACTCGGCTCTCCCGTAGACGCGTCTCTCTTCACGCTCACCACTCTAGCAGTAGCGCCAGGCCAGATTGGCAGCGCTATCATAGGTTTTCGCGTGATAGAGAACATGGCAGGTGCATTGTGCGGGTCCCTCCTATCTGCTATCTCCAAGGTGACATCGGAAAGGCCGTCATTCGTAGTGTGCTGGCCCACTGCGGTAAGTATGCAATACCGTCCTAGAAAGGTTTTGACTGAGTCCTGCGCGCAGGGCGTTTGCGTCCTATGTGCAATCGTCATCGCGAGATTACGTCCTAGGATGCTTCGCGAGGACGATAGGCACTGATAATTCAAGTGAAGCGGCGATGACGATGAAGTATCGGAGAAGGGACGCGCTCCCGATCACTTACCGCCGGTGGACGTGATATCGACGTCCTGCCGCATCTGCTTGCTACACATCTCCTTTTTTCGGAGGCAATCACCAAGTCATATCAAAGTCTCATCCGATCCATGCTGCGTTGTATCCTTTACCTTGTCTTCTCGTGAGCCAGTGCGAACGAGCGCCCGAACGTTCAGCCCGATCGCATTACTTACTGTATTCTCGCGCGTTCTATGTATATACCCCACTAGCCTTCTCATCTGATGGCCTCACAGATGTACTACAATTCATCCTTCTCACAATGCGCGAGGATAGTCGTTAATGACGGGATAGCGAGGTGCGCTTATTTTACACCGGACTGTAGTGCATGTCCATTGTCTGGATCCATTTGTCGGCGGCCAGCGACGAGAGTCGGAAAGCTTTGTGCACACCTGCAAGTTGGAAGGCAGGAAGGTGCATCGTAGCAGGGCGCGAGCTCGTTTCCAGGTCGCGCATCTGAGAAGGTACTTAGTGTATCACACTTTGATCATCAGTGCTAATGAGCAACGCGCTGAATCTGCTTTGCCGAGGCGGAAGAGGTGTCGTTTCAAGGGTGCGTGTCCAGGGCGCAACTATACGAGAATGCTGACTCGCTTCTTTGGAAGGGCTCCGGGGAGTTTGACCTCTGCAGGAGCATTGGGCCAATGTGGCTGGTTTTGGCTTGACAAGGAGATTTCTTCCAGCGGATGAGTGCCATCTCGTGTGAGGTCTACCATCTTGTGCTGCTTAGGGAAATTAAAGCAAACCTGCTAAACCTTTTGCCCATACACAAAATTGAACCCTCAGCATATAATAGCAGCTTGTCAAGCGATCTTTCACAGCCGAAGAGCATTACACTATCATGCCATGGGTCCATAGAGAGTTGCCCTCAAATGACAAGTAGATCATCAACTATCTCATTTTGTACACCGATGGTAGGCCCCAGTAAAACCATCTTTAGAAAAAGTACCATGAGCCTCTGTGTCGTCTTCACGTCAAAGCTGGAGAGCTTTGATGTTCTGAGCTTACTCTGGCCGTGATACGTTTCCTCACGGTTGTATCTCAGGGTACAGCCAGAAGATTCCATGTTGCGAACTAAGCTATAGCTTTATCTTTTGTTCACGTCCACTTGATTTTGATCGGGTACACCTCGAAACGAGTTTAAATAGAGATATCGAACACTCACCCCGCGGGCTCTGCGCGGCCGACCCAATTATACACGGCTTGCTGGGCAGAACAGTGACAGCGTGTGAGACGGCGGGGAGGGCGCGCCTAGTTCCTCGGGCACGTCTGTCGCTTCCTGAGGTCACACACCTTTTGCCATAATCGGCATTCGCCAAGTGTACCGCTGGTGGCGCTGAATAGGCGATTGGTGTCCTATGTAGTTTCTTTGCACCTTGCGTCAACCGTCCCAAATACCCCGATCAATGGATCCGAGGAAATCGCAGACTAGAAGACCCTGACGCTGACGTGAGTTAACGTGACAGCTTCCTGATACTCCAGTTTTATTCCCCAGGCTTCAGCTTCAGCGACAGCCCTGTAGTCCGCGTGCCGATTTATATACACCTGGGTGATATCGGCACTCTGTCCCTACCGACGTAAGTTAAGTGCGCTCTGAACGGTAAGTCAAAGCTCGCCTGTCGTATAGGGTTCTCGGACGACGTACACAGCCTGATAGATTGATACCATTCATTCCAGACCAGTGCAAACTCAAAGCACACCTGTCGGATGTCGCAGCCAAGGAGAACATTTCAGGGAGTCGAGACAGCTGCCACTAGTACTGTCTCCTGTTACTTCAACAGAAACAGTTACCTCCGTGTGGTTAGCTAACAGGCCTTGTGTAGACTATACCGTGAACACAGAGCCCCTGTTATCCCCTAAGGAATACCCCAATGACACGAGTCAGACTTGCTGACTGCTGGCAGGCATGCTCAGGACATCCGAGTCCACATCTTGAATATCAGGCGCCAGGCACCAATTTGATCGTCGATCAGCAACAGCCGCAGTCCGCACGATGCACTCGGCTGCACAAGCCAGGTTGCAAATCTTCCACAGATTGTATGTTCGCTGGCCGGATGCACGCTCGTACTCGTTCTCGTACAGGCTTCCAAGTCCATCGTAGCCATGTGTGAAGACGAACACGCCATATATCACCAGCTCAGACATCGACTGACTGGCACTCTTCCCTAGGTAGCATCCCGATACCCGACGCCATCCGTGCACATTGCCTGTATGACTGCTTACGACACACGTGGGTACAGATATCTTCCGCGTGATCCGTAATCTATTAGGGTGCACATCGCTCGCACGGCCTCCCGCACATATGAAACCGTCGTCGTCTATTGTTGTCCCCTGTACTTTGCCAGAAACCCTCGGCTCCACCGCTATATAATGTTCTGAGCGCCGTCGGTTATCCCCTCCGCTCCGAGCATCTCTGACCGCTGGACGACCCATGAAGCATCTGGCTTTACCCCTGTCCATCGCTCTTTGTGCGCGCTCTGTAGCCGGTCAGCTAGCCGCGTCGGTCGGCTATGCGCCAGTGCTCGCGCCATGCCCGCCTGGCGTATCTCTTCTCAGAGAGGTAGGCACCGTCGACCAATTTCTCAGCGACGAAGAGCACGCCTACGTAGCAGGCAGACGATCCGAAGTGCTTCCTGACGCATGGGGATCGTACCTGGCGGCAGTGACCCACAGCGTGGCAGGCGTAACAAGCCTCCCAGAATACGTCGCAGACATACTGCGCGGCACGTACGGCGAACGCGGATACCCGCACTTCGGGATCGCCACCAGCGGCGGCGGCTACAGGGCGGCTATCTTCGGGGCTGGCGTGCTCAACACCCTGGACGGTCGCAACGCGTCCTCGGTGCAGGCAGGAACCGGCGGCCTGCTCCAAGCGGCCACTTACCTTGCCGGCTTGTCTGGAGGCAGCTGGCTCGTCACGTCGCTCGCGCAGGCAAACTTCCCCACCTTGCCGGAGCTTATTTTTGCCCCCTCCGCAGCTAGCACGGACAGTTTCGGGGGCTGGCTGACGCAGTACGACTTATTGGAGCCCGGAAACAGTTCAGTTGCGGTCGACGCATATGTCCTCGAGCTCGTGGAGGAGATCATGGGGAAGCACGTTGCGGGCTTCCCGGTGACCGTCAGCGATGTATGGGCGCGAACGCTTTCGCGGCATTTCGTGAATGGAACCGACGCCAACGACTTCTGGGACGACGCTCTGCCACACGGCGCGGGACTCACCTTTTCCGCGATTGCGAAGCTGTGCGTCATCGCACGTCGGCGGCCTGCGTTCGACGGTGCTGATATTTGTGCGCAGAGACACATTCGCGAATTACGCGCAGCCATTCCCGATTATCGTCACCGACTCCCTCTCACCGAACGGAAACGAGTCCAATGTGTTCAACGAGACCGACATCGTCATACCGCTGACGAATCCCATCTACGAGATCAACGTCTGTGAGTACGAACTCGCCGCACGGAAGGGGTCTCATCATGTGAACTGACGCTGCGGTTCGTAGTCGAGTTTGGCTCGTTCGATCCTACGCTCGCCGCCTTCACTCCAACCGAGTACTTGGGCTCTCCTAACGACAGCCTGTGTGCCACCAACTTCGATCAACTGTGCTTCATTGAGGCGATGTCATCGAATGAATTTAATACTTATAACACCTCAGTAAGTTCACCATGCATAGGGAAGATGATAATGCTGACCTAGCGAACAAGGCTGCAGCTCTGGCGGCGTCCCCGATAGCAGCTGTCCTCGAGTTGCTAACGGATCTGATCCCTGAATCTGGGATAGAGCTCGACGTATCGCTCGTGCCCAATCCGTTCTACGGCGTGGCTCCTTCCACTTATATTGACAGCAAGGAGACACTTCTGCAGCTAGTTGATGGCGGCGAGGATGGTGAGGTCGTACCATTCATGCCGCTGTTGGTGAAGGCACGCAATGTGGAGGTCATTTTTGCGATTGACGCTGTGAGTCGTCCACCGCCCACGTCAGCACCGCAGATGTTGACCATAGACGTCAGGCGGCGGACACCGAGGACAACTGGACGGCTGGGCTATCCGCGATTGTACGTTTTGCGATTCTGCAGATAGGTGGAGCTCTTGTGTCTGACTTTCGGGATACCATGCCAGGCAACGCAAGACCGGATGACGTTCTTCCCCGGCACATACGCCTTCCCGCCAGTGCCCCCGCTGGAATCCACGTTCCTGGCGCACAATCTCACGAAACGCCCCACCTTCTTCGGCTGCGAGAGCACCGCGGAGTCTGGGGAGCCGCTCGTCATTTACCTCGCGAACGGCGGCCCGCCGCTGGGGCAGCCGCCGCTCACGAATACGTCGACGTCGCAATTCGTATACTCTGCGGACGAGATTGACGGCATGCTCTCGCAGGCATTCGACGTCGCCACGCAGGGCATACCAGAGGGGCTGGAAAAGGACGCGCTGTGGCCGGCGTGCCTTGCATGCGCGGTTGTGGACAGATCCAGGAGGCGGGAGAGGATCGAGCGCAGTGGGGTGTGCGAGAGCTGTATGGAGCGGTATTGCTGGAGTTGACACAGTGGAGACCGAACGCGATGCTGTATTTAATTCATGGACGCCTACTCACCCTCGTTTTGCGTTCAATGTGGACAATGGACTCTCTAATACATTATTTGGATCCACCATTTCTGAGCCACGCGGGTCAATGAATCTAGTCTATCTGTGAGCGATCTTCCGATTTTCTACAACTGGTCACGGTGCCAATACTCTGCATGGGCGCGATCGAAGAACGCGTTGGTGTCATTAGTGTAAACCAACCGAGGATCTAGACTGCACGCACCTGATCCATCCACGCGCCCACACCCGCCCACGAGCCGATCTCCATCTCAGATCACGGTCCGACTTCCCACCCAAATACCTCCTCGCTCTCTCTGAGGCGCTCGCAAACGAGCTTGATCTTCTCGTCGCTCACGTTCGCGACCGAGAAGCGGATCCAGCGCTCGGGGGGCTCGCCGGACTGCGGCTCCTGCGTGGGCCCGAAGAAACCAGACGGCAGGCTCACGACGCCGCGCTCCGCTGCCAGCCGCCCGCACACCTCGTTCGCGTGCACCCGCACGAACGGGTGCCGCACGAATGCGTAGTACCCGCCATGCGAGCCGATGTGCCAGCGCGGGGGGAGGCACTGCGCGAAGAGCGTGTGGCGGTGGGCGACGGCGTCGGCGGTTGCGCGTACGAATGGGCGGAGGGAGGGGAGTAGGGGCGCTAGCGCGACCTGGGGCGGGCGCGGGGCGCATATCTGGATGGAGTCGAGCGCGGCGTTGATGTGTGGGATGAGCGCCGGGGACGCGCAGATCAGGCCCATGCGGTGACCGGGGATACAATAGGACTTGGAGAAAGAGTAGAGGTGGATAAATGTGGTGCGCCAGCTCCAGGCAGGCGAGGGAGAGAAGAGGCTGTGTGGAGGGCCGGTGGTGATGAAGTCGCGGTATGTCTCATCGATCACCAGCGCGATGTTATGCTTGCAGGCTAGCTCGGCAAAGGCTGAGATGAGAGAAGGCGGGTATACAGCACCGGTCTAGTCAACGCGATCCCGTTAGGCGTTTTGTTAATTCAGACAAAACTGAACGGGTTCGCACAGGGTTGTTAGGCGTAACTAGTACGATGGCCTTGGTCTTGGGGGTAATCAGGGCCTCACAGCGCTCCGGAGATGGCATGAAGCCATCCTCAGGGAGAGTCGGTAGTATGACGGTCTTCATGTTCAGCGTGGTCAATGTCATCCTATTCGTCTATCGTTAACGTCGGCGAGTTACGGTTCTTGTAGCATGACATACTCATGGTTGAAATACCTGAGTTGGATCAGTGTCACCGCATATCATGTTCGCTAAATGCACGTACCAAGGAATGGGCAAAATCATTTCATCCCCTGCATCTCCCAGCGTCATAGCTATAGTCACGAAGGCGAGATTGCAACCTGCAGTGACCGCGATGTCGTCTGGAGTTACGTCCGTATCCTCCCCATACCGGTATTTCATTTCCTCCACGATCGCCTTCCTGAGCGTTAGCTCCCCAACGTTAGGAACGTACCCGCATTTCGAGGGGTCTGAGGCTGCCGCTCCTAGTGCATTCAGTACTTCCTGCGGGGGAGGAATACCTGGCACTCCTTGCGACATGTCCAGCAGCGGCCTGGCTGGCGTAGGTACATACGCCTCCGCCCATTTGTGCGCCTGGGGAATACTGCAAAGTGCATTCAATACTGACTACCATTGTCGGCTGCAAAGTGGACTCACGGTGGGCGATTGGTATTCTCGATCCCGCGAGACAAGCGGAATCCAAGCGAGCTTGTCATGATGAGCCTTCAAGCGAGTATCCTTTTGAATGGACGTGGTCAAGAGCAGACGAGATAAAGGTACCGTCTATGCAGCCTTGCATATCGAATTCGTACGCCATGCATCATTGACTCGGTCGTCGGTGCGCCAATCAACCGAAAGTAGGCGTCTTCAGCGCGCTTTCCGACGTTGAATATATTCCACCACCTCAGCCGTTGTCGGCCTTCCGCCTCTGGCACGAGTGCTGTAAATACGAAGACAGCGCGAAAGGAGTTGAAGGGAGGATCGTGAAGGTTGGAATCATCGAGGTGTGTCGAACTTCGTCCAAGTCACATATGCGTTCTCAGGGTTAGCGGACGGAACAGCGCGCGGGCTTCTAAACACCGTCAAATCTCAATAGTACTTGCCCCGTGTTCTCGTTCATGGCAGCCCGTGTTGGTCGTATTGCACGCCTAACGTTGTTTTCGGGACCCCAGTGCTCTCTTTGCGACGTACGCTACAACTTCCACACACTCATCTCGCGTTCATGTGCTTATTCACCACAATGCACCTCACAGATAGCCAAAGCTGAACTTGCGAAGGTCAGACAGCAACGCTCCTTCGAGCTCGAGACGATCAACATCCAGGACGCTGGGCAGGAGCGCTGGAAGCGCAAGTATGTCTACTGGATCCCGGCGCTGCACCTCGAGGGCAGGGAGATTGCCAAGGGCCGCTGGGACGCGCACACAGTGAACCAGGCCATCGACACTTGGGAGAAGGACCCATGGACCCGGGACGGCCAGGGCAGCAGTGGGACGCCCAAGGCCTGACACTCTGGCAGGAGCACGAGCAGTCGGTACCACTGTTTGTCGTTGATACTCGGCCAAGCTGGGTTACGCTGGAACTGGACGTCGGTGAAGACATTTTCTATGATTGGTGTAGGGACACCGCGCTGGGTACTGGCATGCAAGAGCCTGATCCGGACTACGCGACACGCTGCTTCAACTGTGGTTCATATAATCACGTCTACTCGTCGTGCGCGGATCCGCTCAACCCCGCTCTCATCAAGCTCTCGCGACAGTTGCATCGCTTTCACAAGGATACTGTGGTCTACAGGCACCAACGCGTCCACGAGGTTGTGGAGTGGAAGCGTCAGAGACTAGCGTGGCTCGAGGAATTTGAGCCTGGGCAGATCAAAGGGCCCCTGTTGCGCGATGCACTGGGTCTGCAGGAGCATGACACTGGCGAGCACGTAGAGTGGTTACGCAACATGGCGCACTGGGGCTACCCGAAGGGATGGATCGGTGGAACTGATCCTCGGGAGCGTGTTCGGTGGCTGATCTATGACGACGGAGACAAGGCTGAGGATGAACCGGAGGCCTTTATAATTGTGGGTGAAGACATTGAGGAGCAGCTGGACCTCTCCGTGGTGCTGTTGCGCAGCTCTTCAGGCGAAGGTGACGGCGGATCCACCTCTGATGCCGACATATCCCGCTCTGCGATGCGCCGTTGGGCTACATATCCGGACACCTATTTTCGCTCCTCTCACCTTACGGTGTACGGTAGTCGGGGTCTACCTGGGACAGAGTTCGGCGAGGGGCCTATGTCTGTCAGATCATACGATCGCGAGCATCAGGCTCTCTGGAATAATGTATTACTGTCAAAGTGTATCCAGGCCCAATGGTCCCAGGGTATCCCTTGGCCACTGCCATTGAATATGCCTCCCCCACCAACTGGTACACCTCCGCCGCCGCCATCTAGCACGCCGCCTCCCCTGCCGCCTCCACCCTCTGAGCCTCCCCCTTCAATACCGCTACCGGCGAAAAATACTCGCAATGCACCATATGAGCACGATGACCGGTTAGAAACAGATATGGACTTGTCTGACTGAAGCCATACTCAGCCGCACGCTCCCGTATGATACCTATAGCACTCATAGTTTCACTTCACGGTTCCTTAGCGGGAGACCACACAAGACCCATTAATTCCTTGTACGCGGTACAATGATACAGCCAGTAATTTGGCGAACTATAGCTACATGGACGAGCGTAAAGCAGACATGAACTGGTGAGACAATCAAAAGGGGTTTCACGGTAAGTGACGAGTGTCCGATCCACGGCAGTGTCTTCCGTGTCTTGCTAGTCGTGACATCTATATGCATCACGTTAAAATTCAAATGGCGGTGTTGCTGGACTTGAACCGAGGTTCAGGCGTAGCAACGCGAGAGCTCGCCGGGCGTTCCGGCTGCGTTGACGGTGCATAGCGAGGCAGCGTCTCCAGGGGCTTAGAGATTAAGAAGCCTGTGCGTGCATCGTCAGATAGGCAGCATCGCACATAAGGAATGTACGTACCCTTAAGGCCAGCGGCCTTCTCGCCCTGTCTCCCAAAACCGTACCCCGCACGCTTGCCAAACTCGTCCACTGCCTGTCCCTGTTCGCCCTTCGGCTTGAAGATGTTTGACATGAACGTCGATGTCGGGCGCGCGAACGGCGGGCGAATGTCTTCCGCGCTCGGCAGGATGCTCTTCGCCTGCTCACGCCAGGCGAGGATGGAGCGGCGCCATTTGGCACTCTCACGGAAGACGAGTCCGAGGAGCATATTGACACAGCCAAGCGCGAAGAGGAAGAAGGCGGCGACGAGCGTAAAGTCGTCAACGTGGTGCGAGAGGATCATTGCGCCAAGGAGGCATTGGAAAATGCCTAGCGGACCAAGTCCGAAGTCGCGCCCCAGCACTGGGAAGAAGTGGTTGAAGAAGGCGGCGGGCCAGCCGACCTCGGAGAGTATGAGCATGATGACCTCGAATAGAATGAGGATGCGGTTGATGACCGCCCAAAAGATGCCCGCTGGCTGGTTGGGGACGTCGCTATTTCTGAACACGCGCATGAGTCTTCAATATCCTGATACTCTGCTGTGCACAAAAGTCACGCTTACGGGATGTATTCGCAGGCTAAGCTGGCGTGATCGGACAACGCCATGAAGGCGTTGAAGGCTTCTACATCCCTTGCCATGACAAATATGCTGCTGGCAAATACCAGTACCATGGAAATGATGCTGAGAGCACGGACGGCATTGAGACCGATGAAAATGTCTGAGATGCGCTTTGGTTAGTGACTTAGTCTGGTGTATTCTTTGTGAGCACGTACATGCGCGAGGAGGAAGCATGGTTTGATTTCGAGCTTAATGTCGGATGTCGGGTCGAATACTGGAGCAGGATTATACAGAAGGTATACACCGCGAGAGTCGTAGATGAAAGGAACAGTGACGGTGTCCCAGCACCAGGGAAAGATCGTAAAGTTTACTGGAGGAGTAGCAGGCGGAAACCCGAGGGTTGTGTAGGTGGGAAAGGTGCATAACGTGTGTTATATACTTACGTTGCGACGCCCACATTGTTTCCGCACTGCGAAATCCTATTGTATATCGCGTGGGGATGATTGTTTGCAGAACAATAGGATCGGGAGGGCGAACCATAACGAACTATAACAGTTGCCTTTTACGGACACATTAGGTAACCAAAGTCAGCGTGCGGAAGCAAACTCAAGAGGCGCCCATAGCTGTGTCGACAATTCTGAATTTTCCTAACTAGAACTTAGAGAGGGCATAGATCATAAGATTGTATAACGCAACGTTGCCGGCGTAGCGAGCGCTGCGGAGGTCGGTACTAAAGTGAGCCAAAAAAAGGTAAGTATCGCGGTAATTATGAGACCATTCGGATTTGGGGAAACAGCAACCTGTATTGCGTATCGGGCGACAGGGTATCGAAACTTAAGCTACATACTATCTACGTGCACCGCTAAAGCCAATGTAGAATGGAATGGGACAAATTCTAGTCATGCGCGCGGGATAATGTGGGAACAGTTCGGTGTCAAATTCGGCGGCGAGCGGGATAGGTAGCATGCGACGGGAGTAGGCAATAACGGAGAGTAAGGGGACTAGAGGGGTAGGGGGTAGGGGTGCCATGGCGGACGAGAAGAAAGAGCGATATCTACGCGACGGCGCGCTTAGACTTGGCACGAATAGCTTTACCGTATCGATAGAACAAGAATGGTATTGGGATCTATGAGAGCGTGCAGTTAGATACAACCCAGAAGTTACCACATCTGCGGGGAGGCGTACCATCGCAATGGAGATGAAAGCCCATGTCGACGCTGCCCAGCCGTTGCCGAGATTATGGTACATCGCCTCAATGAACAATGGCATCGCAGCACCCGACCCAGAACGAATGACGGTCTTGGCGGCGAGGGCAGACGCGACGTAGCCGGGGAAGGCATCAATGATGTAGGCGTTGGCAGAGAAGTAAATGATAACCACTAACAAGAACATGTCAGACACAATGGAGTTGGCACGAATTAACATATACTTACTGCCAAAGCCGAACGGAATTCCGGACGACGCGGGACCTACCCAATTTCCACCACCGGGTTGGACGTATGGCGGGCTCGTCCATCCAAAGATGAACATAGAGATAGGCACGAACCAACAGCCAATCATCATACCGACGAGCCGGTCCTCAGGGTCAGCGCGACCTCCCTTTGCGGCGGCACGCTTTTGGTAGTTCTTCTCAATAAGTGGTGTCACGAACAACGCGAGACCCAGGCCGATCAGAACAGAGCAGAACGTAGTCCCGAAGAGGCCGTCGCTGAAATGGTACGCTTCGAGGAAGACAACAGGGTAAGCGAAGAAGAACGCGTACTACACAAAAAGATTCAGCATGATAGGTGCGCATATCGAGCCATGTAACTTACGAGAAGACCGTAGATGAGGGCGATGTACAGCGACATGAGTAGCAGAATGGGTTCTGTCGCTAGCATTTCTGTGACATGATCAATATCAATATCAACCGACATGCAAGTGAGTAGAAGGCACTTACGGAAGGGACGAATGAGCGTCTCAACGATGACGTCCGATAAAGATGCTTTGAATAGCTCCTGTTCAGTGGTAATGTTGGGGTTGCCAGTCTCCTTACGCAGACGTGCTGCACGTTTCTTGAGCAAGGCTGGGGCGAATGTCTCCGGAATTGTCAGAGTCAACACAGCCACGAGCGCCGCGAGAATCATATTGATCCAGATCATCCATCGCCAACCTTTCTTCTCGCCGACGAAACCACCAATAATGGGGCCGAGGACAGGACCGCCGTACGGCGCCGCAGCAAATAGAGCAATAGCGAAACCACGCTCATTGTTGTCCCATATATCCGAGATGGTACCACCCGCGAGTGTGAGAGGGGCAGATGCAAACAAGCCGCAAATGAATCGGCAGATCATGAGAGTTTCAACGTTTTTGGCGAGAGCGCAGGGGATATTGAATACTGTTGAACGATAGTCAGTCGTTAAAAAAGTCGACTATCTTTCGGGTCCACTGGTCTACTTACTGACGTAAATGAAACTCGGGATGATCCAGATCCACCTGCGGCCAATAAGTTCACTCTAGTTTTCCGTGAGAAGCAGCCGACAACAAATGACGCAAACAACTTACCAGAGGTGACCACGCCAAAGGGCCGATACCAAACCCACAAACCATGAGCGACACGCTCAGCGCGGTGACGACCTCGCCGATATGGAACTCTTTCTCAATATCTTCGAAATCGCCGGTGACAACGGCGCTAGCGAAAGCGACACCGACCACCGAAAATGCGCATATGCCCGTGAGATCTACGAAGATGGTCAGTCATGTTAACGGGCGGCGATGCTCCTCGATACATACACCACCGATACGCCTTCGACCAGTTCCGCGGATCTTCCGGGTCGTTCGGCAGCCATGTAACCAACTTCATGTCCTTCAGCGCCGCAGCCTTTTCGGGGTCCTTCAAGGCGCCAGGAACTTGTGAGACATGGGTGGGGATCGGCCGTAGGGCCAGATCAGCTGGTACGAAACCAGTTTTCGTGGTGGTACGGTATTCATCCGTGAAGCCACCCTGCTGGGTGTTTGTGGTGGCGAATGGGAAACTCAGATCCGGTTGTGCCGGGTCGTGAGTAGGGGGCTCGACGGGCTCCGCATCGTTGTCACGGTAGGGGTGGGTTCCATCGACGATGGTCGCGGTCTCGCTGGGAGAGTTTGTAGAAGTCATTATACAATAGAGTAAGACGGAAAGGAGACTAGGAAATGTGAGAGAAGTGTGGGGACCGCGAGACGCGGGATTGAGAAAGAAAGTGGGGTCTCTCCAATGCGGGAGGATGGAAGTTATATAAGAGGAGCGGATGGGAGCGGATACTACCTGCAGCCTTTACCCGGCCAAGGAGACGGGTCGGGCGGGGCTGACAAAGCATGTCATCCTCCGCCACCAGATAAGTCTTGTCGCAGCTCCCTTTCTGTTCCTCGCCTTGACAGACCGAAACCTAACTTCCCGGTCGCACACGGAATGCCCTGTTGTCGACGGTCCATGACAGACAGGCCCTATGTGTGTGAATGCTATGATACAACATAGGCACAGTCACTGAGTGTCGCTTGGAATAAAGCGGAACGGTTAGCCACAGCCATGGATTTCGGACGTCAGATCGACGTTACCGGTTACAGTGGGGCCGGTCATCTGCGCGCACAGCGCCATATACCAAATGTGGCAATTTTGATCACGGGCGCCAACCAACACCGCCGCTTGACGGCTCTTCCCGTCACTCTCTTCCGTGCTTTCGCAGGATGCCTGCCACAGAGGGAGCTCTCCGATGCGGCTCCTACGCACAATGCCCAGTGCCCCAGGAGCGACATCGGACATTACTGGGAACAGCACCCCGAGGCGCGTCGGGTCGCCAACTCGGACGGGGGAATCGCGGTATCGTTGGGTGTCGTTAGGATCGAGTCTAGACAGATCTTTGTACAAGTCTTGGCAAGATCTGTGTATCAGCGATCGACTCGTCTAAAAACATACTATTGCCCCTTCGGTATACAACATCCCGCAGATTTTTTTCACTTTGGTTGTCACCGCGTGCCTTGCCATGTCAGACCGCCTCAGGCCATGGGCTTCTCGTCGTAAGCGTGCAGATGCCTCAGAAGTCCACGAGGAGCAGAGATCTAGCCCTCTCGGCGCGTTCCGTCAAACTTGAAAGATCTGACTCAAGTGCGTAGATACTCACCGGAAACCGGTTTTGTGCGAGTCCGCCAGCGTCTCGGCCGAACGCTTCCACCATGTCCGATGACCTCCGTGTCGTTGAACAACGCACAGACCGACTAACACGTTTTGAGCGACCTGATACTGATATCTGTCATTCGCAGCATCTCGCGACTGGGTGGGATAGAGCGGGCGGAGGAACGGGAACTTCGCGGACACAGAGGACGGATCATTTGCGTCTACTGTCAGGTGACCCATTTCATATATGTTTGGGAGAGGAGCTGCCATTATCGGTAAAGCGGGACTCTGGTATACCAGCGGCTATGGCATTGCACCCCGAGTTTTGCCGAGCTATGGTCGAGACTTGTGGGTCCAGGCGTGCAGCATCTCCAGATGATCGCAACATCCGAGGACAATATTTTTACATACATAGCATAGCAATCTCAATCAAACACGCTATGAAACAGGAGAAGTAGGGATTACTATTTGTATAGGTAGTCCAGTTATGCCACCAGGACGCCGTGGTATATTCCTCAACCCAGAGTGCATGCGACACCGCTGTTATGTGAAATACAGGGAGAGATCGATGAGTCGTGACTGCCAAGCCTCGGATGTCGATGAGGATTGGCTCCCTGGGAAGTCTTCAATATATTGACAAGGTCTGCTAGCGCGATGGCGTGCAACGTGCAGATAGGACCACTTTGCACGTTGTTTGCTCCATATCGTAGATTGTGCGAACCGGCTGCATCCATGGGCAGCTACTGGTAGATTCGCCTTCAGATACGACGCACTAGTGAGACCGCCCGGATGCCTTGTGACATACTGCGGCGAGGACCTTGGCGTATTTCTTCCCATTGAAAGTCCCATCAACATTGCGTATACTGTCCATCGCAGCTATCATAGCAAGGTGTGCTGCTGGTTCCGTATGATAGTTCATCGTTGATTCCGTGTGGTGAACGCATACCAGCTATTACGACGTCGCGGGAGGTATACATGCATGAATAGAGCTGGCCTGTCGTTTGACCCCTTCCCCCCTCATAGAGACTCAAATGTCGTATTCAGGACAGCTCTCAGGCTTAGTCGTATTTTTGGCTTTCATTTACTCTTCAGCTGAGAGCCAAGAATCAAGCCGAAGACGCACGGCGTGATTTGCGCCACGGGTCACCTGACTGACACGCGTGTCGCCAGCGCTTGGACGAATTTGAAGCCACCTAATTCTGCCATCATTGTGGCTTGTAATGGACGCGGAGAAACGCTGTCTTTCACGCGAGCTTCCTCTCCGGGTACGAATTTCCAAGCTGCAAAGAAGACACTACAATTAGGGGCAGCCATTCCTATCTCGTCCACCTCTGCAAAGCTGGTGTCAGGCTCAGTTCATTTAAATTATCAATCACGCCTGTTACTATCACACATTTCACGCCGCATTGTCACTCACTTCCCCAAGCAATCTTTGAACAACCGGCCTCTTTCTAACGACGCACAAGGCATGCCAAAAGCAAGCAAGTTAGCGTTCTACGCGGTTGCTAAAGGCAAGCAGACAGGCGTGTATTTAACGTGGTGCGTCGTGAGAACAAGCCGCGTGTCGGAAAACTCACGAGAGGCAGGGATGAATGTGAAGCACAGACGATCGGGTTTGCGGGAGCGCGGTACAAGAAGTTCAACAACGCGGCGGATGCGGAGGCCTATGTCGCGCAGTTCGTGCCTGGGTTGACTGCAAACATCAACGCATCATCGACGTCAGCAGCAGCGTCTGCTGCGCCTGCGCTCTCTGTGACCAACGATGGGAGATGGAAAGGGGCGGCGGAGACGCTCGATGACGAAAGTGGCTGGGACGTCGTGTACTCAGACGGTGCGTGCAAGGGTAACGGCAAATTGGTGTCTATTGCAGGCATAGGGGTTTGGTGGGGGCGAAGCGATTCACGGTCGGTCGATACATCGTCAGCCTGTGCACAGCGTGTGGTCTGACGTTTGATAGGAACTTGGCGGAGCGTTGTCCAGGTGTGCAGACCAACAACCGCGCAGAGCTCATCGTGAGTTTTGTATTCTATATGCTCTAAATATATGCTCATAAATGTCGCAGGCCATCGTCCGTGTGCTCGAGACGGCCCCCAAAACGAAACGACCCCTACTCATCAAAACTGACTCGCAATATAGCATCAACTGTAAGCACCGTGTGCCCGGCAATCTATCCCACCACTGACTGCAGCACACAGGTTTCCAGTCATGGATGCCTAAGTGGCTCCAAAAGGGTTTCGTCTCATCCAAGGGCGAACCCATTAAGAACGAGGCGCTGATCCGGTACCTCTCCGCGCTGCTTGACGAGCGCGCCCGCGGAGGCCAGCGGGTATCGTTTCAATACGTGCGTGGGCACGTAGGTGAAGAGGGCAATGAGGGTGCGGACTACCTCGCAAACGTCGGTGCGACCCACCCAGAGCTGCCTGAGCGCGATTGGGAAGAGCTGAGGCAGCGCATCGAAGAGGCGCGCGATGCATCTTCGACGCCGGTGACGCTAAAGATCACACAGAAGGGCGTGGAGATGAGCCCTGCAGAGGACAAGGCCATGTCTGCGGGAAAGTCCAAGTTCACGCCGCAGGGCGTCGGTGTCTCAGGACCAAAAATCAAGACAGCATCGCAAACAAAATCGTCACCAGTCGCACCGACGTCTGCGCTGGAGACGGCGACGCGCTCATCAACCGTGTCAGAGACCGTTATGTTTGACGAGGAGCTGCAGGTGAGTGACCCATACGGAGGTTGACGTCTGAGGTTTGACATGATTCGCAGGAATATGCGGATTGCCTGTTAAGCCCAGAGGAACTGGAAGAAGAGTTCCTATGGGGCGATGACTAGTCATATCCTCCCCTGATCGCTCGTCGTGTATGCTCTCGTTTTGTATCTGTAGCTCTCAATCTGGACATTGTACAGCATGTAAACCCACTACCTACTCGCATGTCGCCATGTATGGCACATCACATAATCTCTCACTTCAACGTAGATAGTGTCGTTCTTAATCGTCCTCGCCGTGCATGATGTGTGGGATGCGATCTCCTGTCACAGGTTGATTCTCGTAAGTCCGAAACACTGTTCGCTCCATTCCTTCGCACGCGCTCCACCGCTCACTGACTTCAGTTGGCCAGAGTTTGAAGACCTGATTGTATCCAATGCCCGCCTCCCATACGCCATTTCCCAAAGGGACGTATTACTACTCGTACTTGTCGTATTACTTGGATATGCTGCTTCTTTGGCAAGTCGTACCGGTGGCTGATGAAAGTCCGTCGTGGACACGGGTAGTATGATAATTGGATCAGGAAGAGGAGAAGCACCGCAACTCTGAGCTGGTCGAAGAGCGATCAGTGGCTAAATTACACGCTGCGCCTCCCTTTAAAAAGATTTCCTTGACCAGCATATCCACACCATAGCACCATCGAGGCCATCACTGCGGCACACAAATACATGTAGTTATCGCGCCTGCCTTCCTGCATTCTCACCACGGTTCACCAGAATTCACTGCATTCCGACATATGCCTCGGACTAAGAAAGTGGACTCCCTTTTTGTGGCTCCCTCCAAAATACTGAAACTATGGAGGCACTATATTTGTCTAGCAGCATTGGTCATCGTATTTTTACGAAGAGAAAACCATCTATACACGGTCCAATACAAAGTTTGTCATTCGGATTTTTGAGATGAATTGAGCATGATTTCAGTGATATAAAGAGATAGTCTACTTTGTAGAGAATCCTTCGATATTCAGCATAAGAATAGCAGTCTTCTGACAGTGATAGTAGAGAGGGTGCTAGTTGTGCGACCAATGAATGCTCTCCGCCAGGACGCGTTTGGGTGTACGTGCACACGTGATCGCGTTTCGGAAGCGCGGCAATGCTATTACCTGCGCAACTTGCTTCTCATGTTGGCAGCCTGATCATCACAATGTCCAGCAAAAGATGTGCTCTCAAGATGCACTATGGCATCGTCTACATTCACAGCATTCAGGATATCTCCCACATTTTCAAGGGGTGGAAAGCAGCCCGAAGTTCATAGTACCGGTATGTCATGACCTCACTTGCAGCGCTGTTTGTTACTATCCTAAGGATAATGCTCTCCACTGCAGCTTATATTGCCAGGAATTCAGGGTACGACGCAGTATGAAGATTTTCGATCTCGACGAAGACATTCTCTCTATGGTCGTCTCCTATCTCTCCATTAGTGAAGCACGGGAACTGTCAGCTACTGCCCGCGGATTTCACGCACTTGCGAGACAGCGCGCTCTGTCAGAATTGGTGCTCGCGTCTCCGACAGACCTCACAAAGGCGCACGCCTTCATGCTCCTCGACATCCCTAATCGCTTGCGTTGGCTCCGAGATCTGCGCGTCGACATCGATGAGCGATTTATCTTGCATCATACCAATCACCTGGCCGACCTCCTTGAAAATGCACACGCGCTGCAGAATATCCATGTCACATCTTCGGAGACATGGGTGTGGTCAGAGCCTCGTATTGGCGATGCCTTGCTGCACCTGGAGAATCTACGGCGGATCGGATTCTCTCAGGTCGGACAGCGAGTCTTGAAGGTAGTGAGCAGCATGCGCAGCTGCCCGGTGCAAGTCGACCTCCACGGTCCATCAGGCTGGTACAGGTCACCTGTCATGCCCACCAAGGACAGCCAGCCCGCCGACTTCGCCAGTCTCATGCGAAGCATTATGCCACACCAGCGTATAAATTCCCTCGATCTCAGCTTGTCCCATCTTCCTCTGGTCGTACGTCTCTTGGATGCAGCGCTCCAGTGGTCGACTGTTGTCCATTTGACTATCTCTGTGTCATTCAAGAATGCCCCGTTCCCCGACGAGCTGGTGCGGTGCTTCCCCAACCTCCGCACTCTACGCGTCCACGGTCCAGAGATCGCGATTTCCAGCCCTGGGCAGCGGCAGCACTTCTGGCCGAAGTTGGACTATGTGCACGGATCACCCATAGCTATCGGGTACTGGAATACCTCTTGTCCTGTCTACCATCTAAGCCTGTATACGCACTTTGCGGTTCCGGCTCCGTGTAGCAGGCCTCATCTTGCCGCCATACGAGACTCGCGCGCACATGACGCAGTAGAAGGGACTATCTCAGTCATACAGCAGGTCTCTCCGGTTGTGCTCACGCTCAACTCCTCGCTCGCGTGCGACTTCATGGGTCTTGATGATCACCACTGGACAACTATGCTTCAAAGTGCGCCGCGACTGCGCTTGTTGGACATTGACCTCCGGCGTTTGTCAGGGGAACAATTCCTCCGATGGAAGGTATGTCATCGTAGCTCTTAGATGGCCATGCATATAAATGCGCTTGTTTGCACAGGAACGAGTCCCGGCAGTTCTTGCGTGCTCGGGAGTAGTATGCCTCTTGTTGGGGATCCACCCATACTCCGTAGACGACAGCCACGCGATCCCCCAGCAACTTGCGGAGGCGGTTCCTTCTTTATCTTACATCGCGATCGCTTGTACTTCCTACCCACTGGTGAGTGATGCGGAGTCTTACGGGATGTTCTGCGAAGACTCCTCGTGGGGATGGTGGAGGATAATAGAGACGGAGAGTTGGCGGGAAGCGCAGGCATTAAGTCCCGAGCACGGTGCACAGCTCGCGACCCGTTTTTACTCTCCTAGCTACCATCTCGAAGAGCGCCAGGTGGATGGTCAGTGATGAGACACGTATATGGTCACCATTGTTTGACTTAAATCCCGTAACAAACAGTTCTTTGGGACAATCTTGTGTTCACTTATTCACAGTACAGTGACCAGCTTTAGATTTGGTGTATGAATGCTTATTTATGGTGTTTGGATCATTGTCTATCATTATTCAAAATCAGTGGGAACGGGGAACAATTGCATCTGTGCAGCTTGATCGCCATGTCAGTTACAGTGCAAGGACAATTATGCAATCGAAGACGTATCAGCCCTGTTCGTTAAAGTACAGCCCTTCGCATATCGAGACTGGCGCAGTGACATTCGCGACATATGAAGCTTGAAGAGTAGCACCTCAGTGGCAGTTGCTTTCATCTCGGTGATGCCGATTCCTGATCAGCTCCGTTCGTTAAAGTACTGCCCTTCGCATATCGCGACTGAATAACTTTCGCAACATATGAAGGGTAGCACCTCAGTGGCAGCTGCTTGTCGTCTCGGTGACGCGGATCCCTGCGACGAGTGAAGTGTCTCACGACCATGACACGCGTAGATGAGTGACGACTTACTGCTGCCCGGAATGCCAGCGATGGCCATGTGGAAGAAGCCTTCCTTGTACTTCAGATACTCCGCGGTCGCCATCTTGCGCATAATGACGACTGACTCTGTCCACGTCTTCTGTGCCTCCTCCGCTACCAGGGCTTTCGGTCGGCTGCAGCTCTGTCGCCCGCTACTCTTCCGTCTTGTTTCTTGGAACCCTTCCCTGTTCTTTGTGCTCAAGTTTCCTGTCATCTATCGCCATCCTAGCTACCTCGGCGGCTTCATTTGCTGTCTCCTTCACCTCTTCCTTTGATAAGAGGCCCTTCGCTGTTGACCGTCTGCGTCCTTGGCCTTGCGATGTTCGGATGGGTACGGGACAAGGGGCGACACGAGGTTTCGGAATCATGAAAACACGCATGTGACAGGGGAGATTACGTCTCACACACCATGTGCAGCGAGGTTGATTCAATTGAGAGCGGCGGCATGTGATGTGCCACACACGGCGCCGTGCGAGCGAGTGGTGAGTACACAAATTGTACAATGTCCGGATTGAGAGCTATAGATACAGCGGTCAACGGGAGCAGCAATCGGGGGAGGAAATGGCTGGTCATCGCCCCGTTGGGACCTCTTCGTACAGTTCTTCTGGGCTTCACAAGCAATGTGCATCATGGTCTTCCTACGCATAACGTCAAGACATGGTCTTCAACCTCTGGGTGGTTCACTCACCTGCAGCTCCTCGTTAGACATAACAGTCTCTGACACGGTCGACGAATCTGTCGCCATCGTGGTTTGTGCTGCTGGGGCACTGATGCCCTCCGGCGCGAACTTAGACTGCTGTCTCCGCGCATCCGAGCGCAAATTGTCTACTAACTCCAGATCGCTAAGAAGGAGACTTGGTTCTTGGCCTTTCACAACCTGAACGAGCGATTCCTTGTCCACGACATAGACCCGCTGCTGCGCCAACCCAGCCTTCTCAAGGTTCTGAGCGACGCTGTGTCTCGTTTCGGCGACATATTGCTTGATCGCCTGGTCCATGCGCGCTTCCTCATCATGATCCTCGTCCGAGTCTTCGTCGCATGGCATGTCGTTCAGAATGTTCAGGATATGTCGCAAGGACTTGGAACGGACGATATACGAAGGGATCTGGCAGCGCGCGCAGTTTCGCAGAATCGCGATGTCCGTCTCCGTGAAGCGGTTGTCGATGAGGACGATGATGCAGTCGAAGATGTACAAGCCCCGCTCGTTGAAGAGCAGCCAGTCGGGGGTATCGAGTATGCCTGCGTCAGGCACTTCATACCAAACGAAGGGATTGGCTTGGTCGGGATCAGCGTAGCGCGTGATTTCATTGGTAGTATCGGTGACGCTAGTTTTCGCGACGAGCGGGTTGCGCGAGCCGTTGCGGAGACCGCGAAGGGCATTGATGAGCGACGACTTGCCGCTGCCAGAAGCGCCCGCAACGGCGAAGTGGAAGAAGTCCTCCTGGCACTGGAGGCGCGCCCTCGTCGCCTTGTACTCTGCGTGCGTCGGTATCATGACGCTGCTCAACGTCCTTTGTGCCTCCTCCAATGCCATCCGTGCCTCGTCTGCTGCTTTGACCGCCGCTGACTTGGCTGCCTCTGACTCGTCTCGTTCGGCTCTGGCTCGCTGGGCCTCTTCGTTGGCTATCGCCCGCTCAGCTTCACTACGCTGCCCGTCTTCCTCTGCCCGCCTGCATCGCTCTTCTGCGGCTGCCTTTGCCTCCTCAGCAAGCCTCTGTTCCATTTCTGCTTTCGCTCTCGCGTCTTCAGCACGACGCGCCTTGTCCTCTGCCTTCAGCCTTGCTCTATCGGCCAGGAGCCTCTCTTCATCAGCGCGTCGCGCATACACTTCCGCTCTCTCCCTGCCCTCCTCTGCAGCTCGCGTTCTCTCCTCTGCCTCTTTCAGCAAACACTCAGCCCGTCTTAGGCTCTCCTCGGCTTGCACCCTGCGCTCGTCAGCTTGCTGTGGTGCCTCCGCTTTAGCACTTTCCTCTTCTATGCGTATCTTCTCCTGCGCAGCCCTCTTGAGTTCTATGGCTTTCTCTACTACCTCCAGGGCCTCTCTCTTTTGCATTTGAGTCCTCTGCCGGTCACCCGCTGCATTCTTCAAACGATCCAACTGCGCGTCCAACTCCTGCACGTAGCCGTTTTGCCCAGGAAGTTCTGATCGCCAGGTCTGTCTTTCTTTGACGAACTTGTTAGCTACCAGAGAAAGGATCACGATGGCAACGATATCACCGACGACACCGAACATGGTGCTTGGCTGGGCCTGTATGTAATCCTCGTATGCATTATGTGATCGACAGTTGTTGGCCACTTACGATGAAGCTAAGGCACGTCGGTTATAGCCAAGCCAGCGGGGGGTGTCTAAGGTTGGTGACAGCCGCGCCGCAGTGCTGAGGGGTGCGATAGCCCACATACCTCGTGTAGGCCTCGAGCTGTGCCGCGCAGGCAGTGCGGGGTACTAGAATGGACCTAAGGGTGGCGCGATCTACAATCGGCAAGTTTATGCTGTATCACTGAAAACTTAAAGGGTGTGTTGTCGTCGTATCGAGAACGTAGCCCTCGAGCGTCACTGCAGTGCGCCGCAAGTGATGGCGATGCGAGTGGGATCTCTGGTGATGTGTCTGTTAGTGAGGTTTCCGCTGGCAGCCTGGTATCATCCTCTCCCTTTGACATGCAAATGCAGGTGCGCATGATTGCCTGCCAGCCGCTGGCTAGTTGGAAAGACCTTCTTGCGCCTGGTTGCGTTGGGATTTGTGGGATCTCGCATTCCAAACTGTATCCACAAGGATGGGCGCGCGGAGCCCACTAACAAGAGCCGCCTACGGCTCCTCTGCACTATACATGTACCTACGCTGTATGGAGCCTAAACCCGTGGAACTCAAGATAAAAATTCCACAGCCATAGCAGCAGGTATATCTACCCGTATCCGATCAACGTCCACGTACTAGGACATCTGCGTCGACACAGTCGCCGAGAACAGGTACGCCAGTATATGTCTGCCGCGCACCACACTATTGATAACTCGACCAGTGTCTGCCATGGGAACAGGGTGCCTCGGACTCTGAGTTCAGCGCTCCTAGCCCTATCCCAAGGTTTCTCAAGGACATCGTGGGTTTCTTCGACCACTCGACTTGCATGAAAAGGACGTCGGATGAGCTTGCGTTTGCTTAGCGATACATATCACATGGAGTTTCATGCTGGAAGAGAGCCTGCGATCCAATTTCACGATCAAGGAGTTTCGCCGAGAGCATTGACTAGTGACGTTATGGTGAATTATAAGCAGACTTACTCTGAGCCGCAGCGATTCTAAGGTACAAACATCGCACATAAATTACACGTTCAATGACGAGATCACGACATTGCTTTAAAGACACTCTTGTGCCACTAACCATACATATGCGTTACAATAGAATGACGAAAGTACAATGCAGCGATTAAGTGTTGATCACAATAATGAAAACAATCAAGTTATTGATAACATGTAACAGGAGAGGCGGACAAGACGAGGCTAGCAAGTCGTCAAGAAGGGATGTGTCCATAACCAGGGGCATGCTCATGACCGCTCCAGCTTACCAGCAACCCCGGCTGCCTCGTCCCGCGCCTGACCTAATTGTGGATCAAGTCCTGCCACCGCGTTGAGTAGCGGCCCTCGCACCTCCCCCGCAGGCGGTGACGCCGTTGACATCTGCGCATTCATAGCTTCACTCGAGGGGCCGGGCGCGGACGACACCGAACCCGCCGACACCGAGGCCTGCGCATCCCCACCAACCATCGCATTGCGGAACGGCGACGGCGCAACGAGCGAGCGTTGAAACCGCGCTCGGAAGTCGCTCGGCGGTGCCTGGCCCTGTGGTTGCGAGGGGTCCGCGACATACGCCATGGGCGTCGGGTATCCTGGCGGCGCGGACGCAGGATCAGGGACGGCGCTGCCGTCGGGCGCCTTGTGCTGCCCGCTCGCGGCCTGCTGGGCGTAGTGGATGCGGCGCTGCGGGCGAGGCGCACGTCAGGCGGGGAGCAGGTGGGCGGTTGACAGCGAGGGTCTTACCTGCTGGTCCCAGTGGTCCCAGGCCTGCGCGATGATTGGCTCGAGCGACGCTAGCTCCTCGTTCGTCATGTTGAGCGTGCGGAGGAGGTGTTGTTTAAGAAGGGGCGCGCAGGAGAAGGATAGGAGGAGCGTGGAGGCAAACGTCTGGCCACCGATGAGCGCGGTCTGCGGGAAGGGAGGTTCGTGCATCGCTTGTGGGTGTGCGTGCGGGTGTGGGTGGGGCTGAGGGTGTGAATGCGGGTGCTGCGGGGGGAGATCGTGCGGGAGAACAGGCTGGTACTGGCCGTCGGCAGTCATGCGGTACTGCACGTCGTCCATGCCTGGCATGAGCTCGTTGCCCATGTCCATACCGAGCTCGCGCATTTTGCGTGCCTTGACGAGTGCACGGTGCTTGCGCTGCCGTTCGCGAGCGGCAGCACGCACGCGCTCGCGCTTGGTAGCCTCCTCTGCGGAGAGGCCCGATTCGTCCGGACCTTTGCTGGGGCCGGCATAGACCTCGGAGATACTTTGAGGCAATGGGGGTGGTGGCTCAGGTGCAGAGATCGTCTGTGGCGGGGGTGGTGGCTGCTGCTGGACTTGCTGGGAGAGAGCAAGAATGTTGTTCAGGCCGGCCTGGCGGTCGCGTTCGCGCTTGCGCCGCTGCCGCTCTGCGGCTTTCTCGCGCTTGTGCCGCTGACTAGGGGTTTCATTTTCGCGTGAGCGTTTGCGAGTTGAAGAGGGGGTACCTGCAAGCTGCTGCTGTTGCTGCTGAGCGGGATCGTGGTGGTGGGTGGCAGGGTCCATTGGCGGGATGTGCGTCGGTGACCGTTACGGCGGCTGCTCGTCGTTTCTCACTTTCTCTCGCTGCGATGGTGACAGTCGTGACCAGAAAGTGACAGCGCCCGCCAAACAATGTCACATATTGTCTTATACTCCCGGTGGCGTGGGAACATTACGTGACGCCTTTCGCCGATTTTCGTACTCCGCATTCCCGCGTCTGTCGTCGTGACATGGAAACTCGCGGGAAACGCTGCTCGCCGTCACTTACGTAGCGCACTCAATACATGTCGCGATGCCTGACTCTTATAGGATTACAGCAATAAGTATACTTTACTGTAGCTTTCTTCTTTCTTTCTTCAGCATGCTTTCACGGCCAGGACCCACCCCGACCCACTCAATCGGCACGCCCAAGAATTCCTCAATGAACCCGACATATTTCTTACAATTGTCCGGCAGCTCCTCGAACGTTGTCGCGGACGTGATAGACGTCTTCCACCCAGGTAACGTCACGTATACAACGTCGACTCGAGCGAGTACTCCCAAATCAGCTACAAGGTCTGTAAGATTCGGGTTTCCATCGATGGATAAAATCATTACTCACCTGGGAAGCCTGGAAGCTCCTTCTCGTCGACAAGATACTTGACAGCGACTTTGATCTCCTCAAGGTCGTCTAAGATGTCTAGCTTGGTCAGGTTCAGGCTATCGTACCCGTTGATGAGACATGAGTGCTTCATCACGACGAGGTCCAGCCAGCCACAACGTCTACGCCGGCCTGTCGTAACACCGAATTCGCGCCCCACCTCCTGCAGATGCACGCCGATGTCCTAAAAGAGTGTCAACCCTTGCCTCGCGCAGACATATACTGCAAACGTACATTCAACTGCTCGGTCGGAAACGGTCCCCCGCCTACGCGTGTCGTGTAAGCTTTGATTACGCCAATCGTTGTCCCGATCAGTTTCGGTGGGATGCCCAGACCTGTGCACACCCCGCCGATCGTGGTCGACGACGATGTCACAAACGGATACGTCCCGAAATCGATGTCGAGCATCAGCGCGTTCGCTCCCTCGACAAGCACCCGCTTCCCCGTGGAGAGCGCCTGGTGCATGTACACCACACTGTCGATAACATACGGTTTGAGGCGTTCTGCGAGTGCCTAGTAGCGAGTGTTATGATGAGCCAGGACGTTTGAATCAATGAGCAGTTGCCGTACCTTGTAGCGCACAATCTCACCCTCAGTATCATACTCAAAGTGTCCATAGCGCTTGAAGCGCCCTTCAACGACCTTGCGGAACTTTTCCGCAAATGTGGCGTGGTCAAACAGGTGGTGCACACGCAGACCAGAACGCGAGGCCTTGGCAGAGTACGCCGGGCCGATGCCCTTCTTCGTCGTACCGATGCTAATGAAGGAGCATGAGCTGAACCCCACACGACGTATCAAGGTCTGAGTTGAAACAACGCACCTCGACCCGCCGAGCTCGACCTCTTTCAGGCCGTCTACGATCTGGTGGAAGTCAAAGACGAGGTGCGCGCGGTCTGAGATGAACAAGCGGTTCGTGCAGTCGAGGCCTATCACCGCGATAGCCTGTATGAGCACCGTCCCAATTCAAACCAAAGAAAGTCCGCAACGCACCTTGGCCCTGTAGCGCATCCAGCTCTGCGAAAAACGACGGAACGTGCACAACGACACCCGAGCCGATCAAGCCAACGCATTTCGGGTTCACGAGACCTGCATCAGCGACAAAGCAACAGAAATGGGCACGAGCAGTCAGTTCAGGTCGGCATGCCCAGGGGGAGGGGGTAGGGGCACGCACCACTAGGGAGCAGGTGGAACGCAAAAGTCGTGCGCGTGCCCTGGGGCCCGACAGGGGCGACAATGGTGTGTCCGGCATTGTTTCCGCCTGCGCAGCGCGCGCAGACGTCCGCGTCTGCAGCGAGGATGTCGACGAGCTTGCCCTTGCCCTCGTCGCCCCACTGCGACCCGAGCACGACGGTCACTAGCGAAAAAAATCATAAGAACGTCGCCAGAGCAAAGCGGGAGCGATGCACACCGCTCATGGATCGGCTGGAGGGCTACTGCGATGCTACTGGGGATTTGTGTGAGCTGGCTGGTGGATGAAGCTGAGCGGGAGGTCTGCGATCGATAACGCCCGGATTTGGGAGCGACTGCAGCTCCCACAGTCGTCGATTTCGAGTCATGCAGGCATCGTTACCGCACCAGTCGACCAGACTAAAGCGCTGTTCAGTCATACCGCTACCGGTAGGCAACTATGAGCTAAACTGTTATACAAACTGCATGGATCCCAAATAACGGGATCCGATTACCAGTCTTTCGAATAGTGGGCACAGTCAAGTTTATATCCTCATTAGCAAATAGGATTATAAACATGCCATCATGATCGACAAAGTGGGTTGTAGAACATGGGTGTGGTATGCACGAGAAAATCGTAAGCGACGAACCTCGCCCTTGTACGTCAATCTTCGGTCGATAATGTTAGCAAGTATTCCGATCAATCAAGTTCGCTTCCAGCGATCACGAGAGGAAATAGATGGAGTAGATAAGTACACGTTGTATTGATACAGTATATAGAACATAGTACACGGTGCTTGAGGATGCTTAAGAGGAAACAAGTTTGCACGATGATGATCAAGGATGAAGGATCAAATGGAGATGACGAGATTAGACCAAGGAACGAAGTGGCGTGAAAAGAGCCGAAAGATAGCTTGTGCCTTGAAGAGTTGGAAGAGATCGACAGATTGTTGAAGCAATCTACTGCGCAACTTCAAGCGTTGCGCTATCCTCGGAGGTCAACGGTGGCACTGTGTCCTCATGCCTGGGACTCAAGACTGGTTCCGTATCCTCGCGTTTGAAGCTCGGGGACCGATTGCTGTCGCCACAGCAGTCATCCTCATCAGTGTCCTCGCAGCTCGTGTGCGAGCCGTCCCGATCGTCGTCCTCCCAGTCACCTTCTTCTGGTGATGTGCTCAAAAGCTGCTGGGGCCCGTCTTCCGCCACACACGGGGATTTCTCGTTCCTTGCGTGCCGCACGAGCGCTCTTTGCGAACGGTGCGACTCCATGTGGCGCTTCATGCCCGACAGGCACCGCACGCTCTGCACGTACACGCACCCTGATACTGGGCACGCGAGGTTCGCACTCGACAGTGCGATCTCACGTATGCGCTCGAACTCCTCAGGGCGGAGCTTGATTCGGCGATGACGCCGTTGCAACTGTCGGTCAGTCGAGGATGAGGAAGGCCCGCTCTGGTTGTCCCTATGCGGGAGCTCTGAGCGAGGGTATGGCTCGAAGCGCGCATTGGCTCTCGGGAGCGCGACGGCTCGGGTAGCCGCGGGAGGCGCGTCTTCTTCATTTTCAGTCGCGGTGTCACTCTCGGACCCCTCTTCCGCGGTCGGGGTTAAGCTAGACCGCAATGAGAAGAGCGGATGTGTTGAAGGAAGGCGAAGCCCCCCTTTGGAATGTCTTCTGGTTAGGGGACCAGACGAAACGCACCGGTCAGGAACTTCGCGAGACGACGGCCTTGTGGTATTGGACCTGCAGGGGTGTAAACCTCGTGGCAGCAGGAGCAGTTGGATGAACAGAGATACTCACAGGTTTCTCATAGTATGAATACTATATTCGACCTCTGATTTAGTCTCCACGGTGCAATCCGAGGCAAGAGTCGGATTCGACTTCGACGCCACTCTGAGTCCAGGTGAGCGCCGCAGTGAGCAGAGGGCAGGTTTATATATGTGCGAGCCATAGCCACAAGATAAATCCTAATTAGTCCAAGTTGTGTCCAAGGTCGCAGGCGCTCGAGCTCTTGTGGCTGCGACGCATGTCGATCTGATCTGATGATGGCGTGGCTCAGAATGGAACTCCGGGGAAAGGCATTGTTGCCACTGATCAAGCCACCGGGCCACGGTTAGTCGCTGAGCATGAAGCATACCACTGAACACTCACACTTCGCTCTTATTCAACGCGTGTCTCGCCGCGTATCGTTGGAGGTCAGACCAACGCTTCGTCTTGAAGTCGCAACACTAACATGCCGTGGTTCAGCCTGGTGGCGGTTGTTGGTGGAGACCACCCTGGAGCGAACAGAGCCACAACAACACTCTGAGAGCCGTTTGATAGGTGTCATGGAATATTGTAATGTCATTGTATACGTACCACTGAATTCCCAGAAATCAAGAGTGAGTGCGCCGATGTTCAAATATGGAGGTGGGTTAGAGATCTCTAGAATAGTCAGTTCCGTGCTGACCACGCGAATATATACAGCCAGACATCATAAAGCTGCAGCACCCGGCATAAAGCTGCAGCACCCTACATAAAGCTGCAGCGCCCCACACAAAGCTACAGCATCTCACATAAAGCATTCCAGTGAATTCATGCAGTCGTACAGGTCTTAAAGCCTACAGGAATGAGGAAGGAGAAGTCCGGAACTGTCTTGCACGAAGCTCAGCTCGCGTAACCTGGGGGCTGGTGCAGTGAGCATAGACACCAAATTATTCCAGGAGATCTGACAGAGCTAACACCACTTCGAAGAGAACAGATGCGCTCCGCAAGGGCGTTACCGATGCTATGGAGATTGATATAGATAGCATAAGTCAGGCTATTTACCAGCAGCGTCCATCCGAACTCGCAATGGCGAGCTCTTCGCACGCGCAAGAAATGCACAAGCCATCTCACCTAAAGGTGCATTCACTTCAATGCTTCTTTACAGGTCAGGAGAGGGGAGCGCCGAACTCTGCTAGTACTGGTGGATACGAGTGAAACCCACGCATACCCACCGGCCGACGTTGAGCGTTCGAAGGGCAGCATTGAGCTTGCTGTCACAGCTTTGGATACGTTGATGAGGAGCTCGGGCGGCAGGGGAGGATGAAGAAGGGGGTATATTGAGACGACATTGGGCTGTCTCGTGAGGCTAAGCACGGGTGTAATCATCATACTACCTGAGGCATTATGGACCCACGAACAACAGATGAGCTGTCAAAATCCGCGGATAGAGGAGGGATAGATAGTGCGAAGAGGCATCGATTATGCGGACGCCACACATAACTTGCCTCCTATTTACGAAGAGCTTCGAGCGCCTGCGCGATATTATTGTGTACGTCAGACCCGCTGCCATCCCGAGTCATGGGTGCACCACACCTATACAAGAGGGGTACGGCTGGTCACTCAGTGAGCGACGCAGCGAGAATGAAGCCCGGCTTTACCGTATCGCTGACGTCCCTTCATCCAGGAACGCAGACATGCGCCATCACGACGCACGGCCATGCGAGGCCATGCGCAGGCCGGTACTTCGCCTTGCAGAATACACTCCATCCGCTGGCGCTTACAAACGAGCATGATCTTCCGATAGAAGCGCATGCCGGATCTGGGTAATCCGGTGAGACTCAACGGAACATGCGCTGTAAGTGGTCAGCTTCTGCCCTTGGTATCGCCGGCAGACGCCAGCACGAGGTGGCACAGCGCGCCGCAGTCCATAGTGTATTTAGAACGGAGCATATCGTTTTCCCACAGGACCCCCCGAGCTGCAGCTCACTCCCTTCCGCGCACCGCCTGCCGAGAAGAGAGTCAGCTTTGCCTCCAGGCCGTCCCCTAAGTCTACCAGTCGCGACGCTACCTCATCCATAACCTTATTCGTCGCTAAAATTCATGGGAGTGGTCGAATCCGCACTTGCGCTCGGCACCGTCGCCGCCGCGGGCACCGTCGCCGTGGGCATCGTCGCCGTAGGCATATACCTGCTGGTCCGCCAGATCCGCAACGCCCATAGGGACGGCAACGTCAACCCGAACCCCACCATGGAAGAGATGGAGGAGCTCTTGTCCGAGGACGAGAGGCGCAGGGCGCGCGCAGCCGCGCCGGGCACGCATGAAGGCCTGCGGCAGCGGCGCCCGCGCGCGGAGCAGGAGCGCGATGAGGCGCAGGAGGAGACGCGGCAAGCGCGGGCAGGGCAGCAGCAGGCGGAGGCAGCGCGGGCCGCGGCCGAGCGCGCGGCCGCCAACGTGCGCGCGGCCGCGCGGGAGGCGGAGAGGGCGCACAGGCAGGGCATCCGGCCCGTCATCATGCCGACGCGCGCGGAGTACGAGGCGACGAAGCGGCGGCTCGAGTACCGCGAGGGGTACTTCCACTTCGCCGTCGCGGGGGTCGCGGGGAGCGGCAAGTCGTCGCTCGTGAACGCCTTCCGCGGCCTGCACAACGGCGCCGACGACCCGCACGTCGCGCGCACGGGCGTCACCGAGACCACGGAGCGGATCACGCGTTATTTGGACCCGAACGAGGCGAATCCGTTTGTGTGGTACGACATCCCCGGCGCGGGGACGCTCAGCGTGCCCGACTGGCAGTACTTCAACGACCAGGGCCTGTACATCTTCGACGCGATCGTGGTCCTGACGGACAGCCGGTTTACCGCGACGGACATTGCGATCCTGCAGAACTGCGAGCGGTTCCAGATCCCCTCGTACATCGTGCGGTCGAAATCGCTGCAGCACATACAGAACGTCTTGAACGACATGCCACGTGTGAGGTACGAGGAATTCGAGACGCGCTGGGAGCGTGCGCGCAGCAAGTACATGGCGGAGACGCAGAAGAATGTCAGCGCAAACCTGCTGCAAGCGGGGCTGCCGCCTCAGGCGGTGTACATGGTCGACAAAGAGGTTTTGCTGGAGATTGCGGAGGGGAATAACCCAGAGGAGACCATCGACGAATTTCGGCTGGTGGAGGATATGCTGTTGGAAGCTAGGAACAGGAGAGTGGACGCGTCGATGATCCCAGATGCCTTGGCTGTGACCACGTACCTAAACAGTGCGGCCTCAAATATCGCAGGCGCGTTTACGACGTAGCGTTTGCAAGGTATTTGAGGGGCTCGTGAGTGGCACTGTTAGCATGGATTCCCGTGTACTTGTACGTTCAGTGAGTTGAGGTGGACGCGGCAAACGGGATAAGCTCACAGCACGGGTGCGAAATATCAAAACGGTGGTAATGTCATGTGTCTTCAAGCGGATATGAAACTGGATCATCTTTTTTTCGATAGTCCTGTGTGTAGAGCCGTGCGACTGTACCTGTGCGCGGAAGTGTTGCGTGCCGAGAGGGACTGTCGTTGAAAGAGATGCACATGCCAAAGTCCCCTGTCATCTCGGCAGTGATCACGAATCTCACCTCGGCGGCCGCATTGGGCCATAATTCCTGCAGGCCCCTCAGGAGACTTGTATTATAGCTGGCCAAATTTACATGGGACTTTCTGCAGTTCAGTTACTGCGGATACATGAAATAAGCCCTTCCCGAGAGAGAGACTCTGCTGCAGTCAGCCCCATTTGGAGCGCACATTCAGCGCAGTGGCGTTTGGCACTTTCCTCCATCTGGTATGCAAATATCGTCTGGGTTCCGCAAACCATGCATACAAGAGTGGCGACCACCAAAGGCACTAGAGCTCCCCTCCTAAGGCCTGAGCGTTGAGCAACACTTGCGCCATCGACTTCGTTCTATCTCCCGACTGAACACGCAGTCCCCGGCCCGCGCCGCAGGGATTTGTAGTGGGGAGCGCACATGAGCAGCAGACACGATTCAGAATGGGGGCCCAGACCGCTCTGCCGTCTGACGTGCGCGCGTACGGGGAGCGTCGAATTTGTAGCCGTCATGAGCGAATTTGTAGTGGCGATAACGGTCATGCCACCGCGGGCGCCAGACTGCTCGATGTTACTCCTATCGGTGGGCGCACTGGCATGCGTCCTGTCGCACTTCAAGCTTCAGATCTTCAGATCTCGGACCTGGCAGGCGTAGAGTGGGAGCGTCGCGCGGGTGGGCCGTAGAGAGGAGCTTGCGGCCTGCTCGCTGCATGCCATGCGCGGCGGCAAACTGGATCAATAGGTAGGACCGCCGGCTATGGTATGTGTGAATTTGAAATGCGCTGGCGGAGGTTGGTAGCGACGTGCGGGCGGGATGACGATGACGATGCAGGGGGGCGCTCCGAGTCGAGTGTGATGCAAGACGCAGCGGCCGGCCTAGGCGCAAGAGCTTGGACACCGAGGTGCTCGAGCGGCGGTCTGGCCCAGCGCCCGGCGAGTCTCCCCGCGCGATGGGCGATCTGGAAGGCCTCCAGACTCTTTGAGACGAAGGGGGCTTTGATCGGGGCGGTACCGTCATCCACGGATTGTGGCACGACATGGACGTGTGCGCGAGTGTGGCCTGACGGAGGCGCTGCACGCTGCCGGGTTTGGCATGCGGCAGGCGGCTGAATTTTCGCGGAGGCATACGGGTCCGCGGACAGGCACCGTGTGTGAGATCCGGGGCGGCGGAGGAGTGCCGGACTGGGCTGCCCTCGAACCTGCTGGTGCGTCGGTGCCGAGCAAGATGTTGTGCATGGGCTGCGTGATGTCCGCCGTATGGGATGATGTCAATGCAGAAGGCAGCGGTCGGTATTATATTCATATGCAGCATGCAGAAGAGACGTGCACGGTAGCAGTGCACGGGTCGCGGGGCGTATAGACGGCGGAGTTACTTGCGAAGTGAACGTGGGACGAGGGAGGCGCTGGAGGGGCGGCGTGTGGAGTTGCCTGTTCAGGGAGTGACAAGAGGCGGGCGAGATTGAGATCGGGGATATGCTCCACCTGAGAAGTGGATAGCCCCCCGGTGTCTGGGGGGCCTGATTTCAATCTCTGCACCGTTTTCACTGAATCTCTGAATAATGCCTGCAAGACTTTCCTTCATGTCCTATCACTCTGTAAGATAAATGATATTGAGTATAGTTGTATTTTGACAAGAAGAAACGAATTTTCTACTTCTCTTAGAAGCCACTGTCGGATGTGTTTTTGCTGCGTGCAGAGAGTGTGGCCGCGGGCACGTGACATGTGCTGCCCAAGAGCGCGTCGCGCTACGAGTCAGCCTTCCTCACTCTCGCTCAACGCACTCATGAATACAGTATCCCAAGATAGTGATGCAAAATCTGCTTTCATTCAATGCTATCTACTCCTGGCAACTTATGCTATTCGACTTCGTTATCTGCCACTGACTCGGACTCCTTTACATCCCAGTGCCATAAGCGATCACGAGCAGATACGACGCGGGTTGACGATGCAGCGCGGCAAACAAAACGAGGCAGATTTTGGGCTACTATACTTACCGGAGCGACCCCATCATGTACTTGATGACGAAATATATATAGAATAAGCCTACTCAACTGTGTATGCCTGCTCGAGTGCATCGCTCTTCATCTACCATGCAAGAAGGGGACTTGAAAAAGGAAAAAAGGCCCAGCTGCCTGCCTATTATGGTTAGAACATCTATCACATGATGTGTTCTAACTAAGAAGGAGGTTATCTTACCCTACTTTCGGGGTCCTTTCAATGCGCACGGTGAATGTGGCTCATTGCATTTTTGCCCGCCTCTTGGGGAGTGAGGACGAGGAGAGTGGGAGATCTGGGATGAGGGGGATCTTGCGGGGAGTGCCTGGGGCAGCGATGGGCGGGCCCAGACCCGAGGGTCGATCTGCGACTGGGAATGGAGGAGGGCCTGGGCCGGGCAGCGGGAAGCAGGAGGAGGGTCTGGACCGGTGACCGCATTGGGGATGGATGGCAGGCGTTGTGGAGCGAAGGAGGGAGGGAAGGGGGCGGGGGTGGCGGGACGGCGTGCGCAGAGCCAAAAGCCGGAAGATCGGGACGACAGAGGGCGGGGGCAGTGCCGAAATACAAATGGGAGCCAGAGACGGGAGAAAGAGGAGGAGGGAGACGGGGGATTGCCGTGAAATAAGGTTTTCGGCGGAAATGGGCAGGAGGCATATGTATACCCGTCCGGGGAGAGGCCATCCATCCGCCCATCGCCCGCATCGCCAGACCTCCTCCCGACCGCCATGGACCAGTCCAGTCAATATTCCTCTGGTCTCTCCCAGCGCCAGCTCTTCTCCTCCCCCCAGCTCCCGCCTCCCTCCCAGCTCCATCTCGCATCATTTTCCAGGAACAACACCCTCCCGCCGCTCTCCCAACATCTCCCGCCCAATGCTCGATATCCGCCGCCCACTTATCCCCATCCCTCTCTCTCCAGCACCGCACAGCTCCCGCCCTCCTCCTTGTCTGCCTCGGCCACCCTCCCCTGGCCCTCGCACCGATCATCATCACGCGACGAGCTCACCCCGCCCCTTCGTTCCTTATCCGACTCGCGTCCCTCCAAGCGCATGGAGCGTGAACCCATTCGCGATTCCACATCTGCCTCGCAAGATCACAATAATGTCAAGCACGAGGGTGAGGATGGCATGCCTTCCACCTCCGACTTTGTCAAGAAGCTCTACAAGTATGTCCGCTGATCGCTTGTTCGCGAGACACCCCGTTCAACTCTAACTCGTGTAGGATGCTTGAAGACACATCCTGGTCACAGGTCGTGTCCTGGGGCCCCCAGGGCGACTGCTTCGTCGTCAAGGACATGAATGAGTTCACAAAGTCCATCCTGCCCCGCATGTTCAAGCACTCCAACTTTGCCTCCTTCGTCCGTCAGCTGAACAAGTATGACTTTCACAAGGTTCGCGTCCTTCTCCACTCACATCATGGCATCTGCTCATACATTCCCTCGCAGGTCAAGAACTCTGATGACAACCAGTTTGGCGAGCATGTGTGTATCGGCGCATCCACGCGCATATATGCGCCCCACTGATCATCCCCCCCCTCAGAGCTGGACTTTCCGACATCCAGATTTCCATGTTGACCGTCGTGATGCGCTCGAGAATATCAAGCGCAAGGTGCCAGCTGCGCGCAAGTCTTCAACGCGCAACCCAGCTTCGCCATCGCCGCCGTCCGCCACCGTTGAGGCATTGCAGGTCCAGGTCGAGCGATTATCTCGCGACCAGGAAGAGCTCATTGCACACGTACGAAATCTGGAAAGCAACTACCAGAACGTCCTCAACGAGATGGTCAACTTCCAGCGCAACATGGCGCAGCAGGACGGGCTCATGCAGAATCTGATCCAGTATTTCTTGCAGCTCGAGAATGGTGGGGGGCTCTCTGCGTAAATTGTACAAATGGACACTAAGCTATCCTCTTTGCTCCTTTTTATTGCCTTTGCGTTCGCTCTGTTGTGCTCTGCAAATTTCAAATCCTCCGCTCTGTACAAATTCCCTCGTCGCACCGCTGGCGCGCTCATAATTCGCAATGTCGCTTCTCGCAATTTCTGGATTATGGACTGGTCCGACCATCGTGCCGCCCCTCCCAACGGCTCCCATTGCGCAAAATGCGAATCTCACGACTTGTCGCCCGCCGCGGTCTCGCCCCGCCTCGGCCTGCGTCTCGACCCTCCTCGACCGTTCCCGCCCCTCGGTGTTCGCGACCTGACCTTATGTCTATCAAACAATCGCATCCGTGGATGTCATCGCGGTCCCGCCCACCATGACCGCTGCGGTCCCCGCGTCCAGCCAAAGTCAAGGCGGAAGAGCTCTCAGCCTCGAACCAGAACGTGGGCGGCTTCCAGGATGCGAACCCGTTCCTCCCCGCGACCGAGGCGCAGCGCATGATGGGCGCGTACCCAGACGGCGACATCGCGCGCGCGTCGCTCGCGCAGATGAACGAGATCTCCCGCCGCGCCGAGGTCGCGGGTATGTCCTTCACCGCGCCCCCGCCCCGCCCGCAGGCGCAGCCGCCACAGCAGCAGCAACCGCAACCAGACCACAGCAGTATGACCCGCATCATGCAGGCGGCCGCGGGCCTCGGCGCGGACACGCCCGTGCGCCCGATGAGCCGCCAGGACGCGCTCGCGCGCATTGAGGAGCTCTCGCGGCAGCGCCCTGCGTCCGCCCAGGGGCAGGCGCTCGCGCAGCCGCAGGCATCTGCGTCAACGGGCGCTTCTGCGGCTGCGGCTGCAGCGAGTGCCGCGCCGGGCCCAGGCGATGCGTTCGGTGGGGACGCGTTCATGCTGAGCGGCGCAGACGGCACAGGGTACACGCAGGGCTCGCTGACGCACGAGGGCCTGCAGGTGTTCACGGTGGGCCATCTGATGCCGAAGAGCACGCTCGACGACGAGAATGGTAACTGGGCGTTCGACGCGGCGGCGCTGAGCGGCGTCGTGATGCCCACGCCGCAGGGCATGGGCGGCGACCCCGAGCAGGAGGACGAGGGGAGCCCGAAGGCGCCGTATAGTATAAGTGCGGCGCAGGCTGCACAGGCCCGCGCGGGCGCGTACGCAGAGGCGCAGGCGGCGGCGCGGCCGGGGAGCGCACAGAAGCTCAGGGTGCGGCGCTCGACGTACGTGCCCGGGTGGGCGGTCCCGCCGCGCGTGCTGCTGGTGGACGACGACGCGGTGAGCCGGCGGCTGTCGAGCAAGTTTTTGCAGGTGTTTGGGTGCACGATCGACGTGGCCGTGGACGGCGTCGGCGCGGTGAACAAGATGAACCTGGAGAAGTACGACCTGGTGCTGATGGTGGGTGTATTTTGCTTATGGGCGTCGGTTTGTTTGGGAAGGGCGGGGCGCTGACGCGCGGCGTGTGCGCAGGACATCGTGATGCCGAAGCTGGACGGCGTCTCAGCGACGTCGCTGATCCGCCAGTTCGACCACATGACGCCGATCATCTCGATGACGAGCAACTCGAAGCCGAACGAGATCATCAAGTACTACTCGTCCGGCATGAACGACATCCTGCCCAAGCCGTTCACGAAGGACGGGCTCCTGGACATGCTCGAGGTGCGCGCATGTCCCCAGCGCTGATTGCATCCTTGACCGGGACTCACGTTCACGTCCGCGCGCAGAAACACCTCATGCACCTGAAAGTCATTCAGACAATGTCCAAGGTGCCGCGCAGCCTCGGCATCCCGCCGCTCTCGGACAGCGGGTTCGACCAGGCGCTGACGATGCAGGCGTCGACGTCCGTCGCGGACGCCGCGGGCGGGTTCCCGCTCGGCCCGCTCGGCGAGGACGAGGGGAAGATCAACCCGCTCGCGGGCATGGGCCTCACGGACGAGCAGTACACACTCATCCTGCAGCAGATCGTCAGCGGCGAGTCGTTCATGGGCATCGGCCCGCTCGACGCCGGGGACGCGGGCGGCGCGGGCAAGCGCACCCTCGACGACGCGGGCGACCCGCGCAGTGCGAAGCGCAGCCGGTTCGAGGTGGTCGAGTGAGCGCGCGCGTGTCCCCGCGGTGCACCCGCCCTGCCCGAATACCCAGACGTTAACTTATTATCGGATGATAGCGTCGGCCGCTTGTGACGCGCTCCTCGCTCCTCGCCCCTCGCCCCTCGGACCCTGCGCGTGCGCGCGGCTGCACGCCTCGACGCGCACCGCCAATACCTTCCGCCCCTCTCGTCCCCCTCGGCGCGCCCAAAATGGTATTGTCACAAGCCTGTTCTGCTACCGTCGCCCTTCGGCGCGGCCGCCTGCGTCCCGCATTTCCTCCACGTATCACGATTCTCCCGCAGGCACACATGACCCTACTCCCCTTCATCTATATGCACGTATGCTTTTACGCATGACCATGCCCGATCTGTCACCTGCATCATCTTCTTGTATTAGACCCGCGCCTCGTGTAAAATAGGCTATTCCCCGCGGCCGCGTGCTGTACAAGCTATAGGACAGTAATACTCAACACAGGTACAAGGAGCGCCATAACCCGCCGGGGTTATCTGATTCCACATTACGGTTCCCGAGGTGTCCGGAGGAAACGTAGAAGGCGTTGCATGATGAAATACATAAACAAGCTTTTTTGAGTGATGCTTGGAACATTGATTGGAAATGTGCAATGAGTTGATCAAATAGGCTGCATGGTGTACATGCGGCAGTGCTATGACGATACGGCCTTCAACGAAGAAGCACCTGCCCACACTTTCTGCTGGTAGTCCAAAATGATGGGCACGAAGTCCCACAGGCCGAAATCAGGCCAATACGTATTGGAGAACTGCAGCTGCGTGTTTTCGGAACACTGGGCGGGCGGCGTCAGTGTCGTCGCATCCGAGAAGGTAAAGGGAGAGAAGGGCGATGCACCTGCCAGAGAAGATAGTCGCTGAGGCGCTTGACGCCGGAGGTGCGCACGAGCACGTCGAGCGGGGGACTGCCTGCCGCGGCGGTCATGAGGTGTGCGGCGATGTCGTCCTCTGTGATCTCGCTAGGAGGCGAATGAGGAGATGAAAGGGTGAGCTGCGCCGTCAGCAGAGCGCGAATTGCGGAGTGCGCGTGCGTACCGATCCCAGCCCTCCGCGATGGCGTGCTCGATGGTGGAGTCGACGGCAAAGGCGATGTCGTTCCGCGCGGCGTAGGGCATGCACAGGTTGAGGATTGCCCTAGGAGGGGCGGTGTATCTGTCAGCTGTCGGGCTTCTGTACGCCAGGCTGGAAGACACGGGCCTCCTCAAGTAATAGTATGGCTGTATACATGCAAAACGCAGAGATACCGCTGCACTAATACCCAAGGGGTGGGAGTCGAAGATGATGACGCTACCAAACAACGGGAGTGCCACCCGACTAGGACGTTGTATGTCCACGGCTGTACAGCGCTCTCACGAGTCTAAACCACACGGCTGACCATTATGGAGCATTGCGGTCAAGTGCTGGAGGCTCTGAACTGACCTGTTGTTATGCCGCGTCATCTCTTCGGCTTTGGTGATGACGGCTTGGACCCGTGGGGGTAGTAGGCTCGTTTTGCCGAGCACGTTTAGACGGACGCCATACTCGCCGAGGAGATCTCTGTGGATACGAGAGTGCATTATTCAGACATACAAGGAACGCCCAGGGATGGAATGGCGCACCCATGCTGGCATATCTCGAGGAGCTTCTCCTCGGCGAGGGACATGAGCGCGTCGACCTCCTCTGGGGTGCGCTTGAAGTTCTCAATCGCGAACGCGTACGCGCTCACGCAGCGCACGTTCAGGCGCATGCATATCTCAAGGACCTGTGCAAGGCGCCGTGAGCACGAGCACAGAGACACAGGGGCATGGGACGCACGCGGCGGAGGGCGAGAAAGCCGTCCGCGTGCCCCTCCTGGACACGTTTGTGATGACTGCGGGCGTAGCGGCGATTGCCATCCATGACAAAGGCAATGTGCTGGGGAATGGGGCCTGCGGCGAGGACGGCGAGGAGAGCATTCTGCACGCTCTTGGACGCGGTGGCCACGAGCCAGCCGAAGGGGCGCGAGACGAAGGAGAGCATACCGTGCGTACCGTGGGAATGTCATTTTCCCCGCATTGACTGAGGCAGCAAGTCCGCGCCACTGCAGCACACTCCATTCGCCGTCTGCTACGACATCTCTCCCGACGCGCTATTCCCCCCTCTCCTCATTCTTGGTTTCGATGTCGAAAAGAAAGTCCCTGCTCGACAAATTTGATGAACACTATGAGGTAGAGATGCCGTTGCGTCCTACTCGTTCTCGCGCCAAGTCCTCGGCGATAACTCGATCCTATGCAACGTCGACGGCGATGCCGAGTTCGTCGTCCAGAGTGCTCGATACGCCACCAGTCGCGAAACCGCCCCCAATCAAGCGCCAGCGCAAGATGAAGGATGCAGACGCGCCCGCGCCAGAAAAGCGCGGCGCAATCTTCAAGAAGAAATGTCCCAAGAACATTTTGGAGCGCCTAGACAGAGTGGCTAGCCAGAGGCATGCCGGAAATCTCATGGATACGTCTGCAGGAAGCTGACATAAGATTAGGTTCTTCATGGTCGACAGACAGCGAGAGGGAAACGAGCTGCACGAGGAATTCAGCGTTCTTGGGTCCACTGGGAACGTAGGTTATGTCTCTGCGCTCATGCTGCCACTTTTACAATACTGTTCATAATAATTATCAGGTGTATACAGTCATTATAGACAAGACTCCTACCTGCAACTGTAAGATGAGCATGTATGAAATGACTTCGCAGGCTAACCTGCCTGTTCCAGGTCCCGACGCGACAAAGGGCAACCACTGCAAGCACATTGTAAGTCCTGAAAATACGCCTCGTTGCACCCGTCTCATCCTTTTATTCAGCTATTCATCTTTTCCAAAGGTATAGTGCGATCAGAATGCGTGTGTTTAACCGATGCCCTAATACTATCCTTCAAGTCCTACAAGTACCTTACGAGTCCTCGTACTGGTATCAGAAGTGAGCATCAGTCTCTTACTCGCAAGCCGACTCATTCTGATGCATCTTACCAGAGCGCTTATCACCTCAGAGCTCGAGGACATCTTCGCAAATGCCCCGCGCTCACCTACCGACATTGCCAGTGCCCGCGTGCTTGATGCATATGCCCGTGCGACGGGCAAAGCCCCATCCGGAACGGCGGAGCAGCAGGGCTCGAAGAAGCGCGTCCCCGGTCCCGAGGACGATTGCCCGATTTGCTACGAGAACATGCATGGCGCGGCAGAGACGACGCTGACCTTCTGCGACACGTGCGGCAATGGGCTGCACACTGAGTGCTTTCAGCAGTGTGCGTCGCCGTTTACATTGTCTGCCCTTCCTGCGTCCTACCCTTTCATACTATCGTGGCAGTGCGCTGACAGCCGTGGCTTTCCTGCAGGGGCTGTGACTGCACGGCAGAAGGGGCAGCAGGTCTCATGCGTGTTCTGCCGCGCGAAATGGGTCACCTCGGGCCCTGCTGCCGCTGCGGGTGCCTCACGCTCGTCTGAGGGCTACATCAACCTTGGCAGCGTCGCCGGGCTCAGTCATGTCCGTGATACAAGCTCTTGTCCGTAGCTATTTTTGTCTTACCAATCTTTCCGACGCTAACATTATACTGTAGACTACCACGGCCCCAGGAAGGGCAAGAGGCACCTTGGTTATCAGGATTATGATAATTACTATTGAGACTGGGAGGCATGGGCACCATCTTACTACGATCTTCTTGCGTATGCGATTGCAGCGATCTTACAATGAGCATGCGCTATTCTCGCTTTACTTCGGATCATGAAGGTTCCGGCAGTAATCACTTTCTAAGTATACTTATAGAGGGTCATCAGCGCCCGATGGTGCGTCGCGGACCGTATGTAAGCAGCCTTGTATATATTAATTCAGATGATATTGTGCTGACACTGTTTCCCTTTACAGTATCCACGAACTAAAAGAAGCCTCATGCCAGAAGACTTTCGTTTTCTCCCACTTTGCTGTGATGTGTTTCTCTTGCGCCGTCCATGTGGATGTCTTGGGCTATGGATGCAATGCGAGCATTCTCTAGCCACTCTGATCGACGGTCATCTGGGACAGGCTGTTTGAGTCGTCAAACACCAGGCGGGCCGAACACCTCAGGGCTTGTGATGCCGTGTGGTGGTGATAAAGCCACAGGCATGTAATCAACAAGTTGCTTCGAAGATTCGCCGGTTTCATACCCAATCTGATTTTGGTTGATTGACCACAATTCGCATGGGGGGGGGGGGGGGTATGCCACTACTAGCAAGGCTATGACTGGGCGCATCGATAGCTGTTGGTGCGCACTGCGCATAGTCTGCGGACGTCAGTATGATACGTGACCGTGTCAACGCGTTCTGACGAGTCTGATCGTGAGCTTGTATCAATCGCCTACACTGGTACGCCACACTGGTACGTATTTAGAGACGGTTCACACTACGCGTCGAATGGACAACTTGCCCACGTTGAGGCTGAGGCTCCGGGCCTTCAGAGTAGTTTACCTCACCTTATCTCGCACGTTCATTCACCTCACGTCGCTTTCGGTCAACGTCCAACCGCGTCATGGAAAGTCTCATGCACTGAATTGACTGCGATACTCGATTTGAAACCTACACTATGTACTATTCAGCCTAATAGAAGGCGGCGCCTCCGGACATAAAGAATGCCTCGGACGAAGAATCAGTGAAACCAGGATCTGCCAAAGACTCCCCCAGGGTGTTTGCGAGGCTCGACATTGTAGAGGATACATAAGCGCCGGCAGCGAAAAGTCCGTCAAATGCTGAAGTGTTGATCCTCCTCTTGCTTGCCTCTTGCAGCAAGTCGTAAACGAGATCAAGCTCGTCGATGTATCTTACCGGCTTCTCTCCTTTTGCGATGGTGACCAGGGCTGCTTTGTCGACCATATAAACCCTCTGTTCCGGCAAGTTTGCCTCGCGCAGGTTTTCGGTGACTGTCTTGGTTGTCTGCTCAACGTATCGCTCGTGCGCCTCCTTGCGGACTGCATCGCTTATTGGGCTGTCTTCTCCCACTATATCCTCGATGACGTTTCGGATGTGCTGTCGCGATTTTGAACGGACGATGTACGCAGGGATCTGGAACAGGGCGCAATTTTTCAAGATCGCGACGTCGGTTTCAGTGAACCGATTGTCCATCAGAACAACGACGCAGTCGAAGATATACATCCCTTGCTGGTTGAAGTATTGCCAGTCGGGTATTTTGAGCGTTCCAGCGCCGGGAACGTCATACCAAACGAAGGGATTGGCTGGATTGAGGTCGGGGTAGCGGGTGACCTCGTTTGTGGTCTCAACAACACCTGTGGCTGCTACGCGCGGGTCTTTCGAGTTATTGTTAAAGCAGCGGAAAGCGTTGATGAGCGACGATTTGCCGCTGCCGGACACCCCGGCGACAGCGAAGTGGAACAACCCCTCCTGGTATCCCAGGCGTTTCTTGGTGGCCTCGTATTCTTCGCGCGTCGGAACGATGACTGGCTTGATACCCTTCCTCAGTGCATCCTTCGTCTTCTGCATCTCAGCCCGTGCCTTAGCTGCTGCTCTCTCTGCATCTGCCCTGGCCGCCTCCGCCTTCTCTTTCGCAGCCACCGCGCTCTGTGCCTCCTCGTTGGCCTTCTTGCGTTCAGCATCACTCCGCTGTCTGTCCTCTTCAGCCCGCCTGCGCTGCTCCTCTGCGGCCGCCTTCGCCTCGTCCGCCAGGGTCTTCTGCCGCTCCGCCTGAAGCCTCTCTTCCTCGGCTCGTTGCCTCTCGTCCTCGGCGCGACGCGCCCTGTCCTCCGCTTCTTTCTGCAGTCTCTCAGCTGCTGCGAGCTCCTCCTGGACCTGCATCAATGGAGTGTCCTCTGCAATGCGCATCTCCTCCATCTCGCGCCATCCTTCGTCCGCCTGCCTCGTTTGCTGCTCACGCCACTCCTCAACGGCTTTCTGTGTCTCGTCTTCGATAGCAATCAGAGTCCCTTCTTCCGTTACGTTCGGCTCGTCGTCCTCGGTGTCACTCTTTGCTATGAGCGGCGCTTTCTCATCGGCGATGCGTTGCTCGAGCTCCTCCATGACTGGGTTGCGCTGAATGGTGCCGCGGCTATGTGCATTCTGTATCCCGGTGACCAGCTTGAAGATGCCGAACCCGATGCCGGCTGCACCTCCCACTACACAGAGGGTGACTACGGATTCGACAACACCCATTTGATGGAAGTGGATATGTTCGCCGATGATAGACGGGCAAGTGGACTGAAGACAGAGCTGACTCTCTTCTGAGCGGACGTCGCGCAGAAGGGAGTGAGCTGTAGTTGGAGGTCCTGTCCAGAAGCACCCTCGCGTCATTCCATTTATATATGCCTTTGGCGAATCGTAGCGCCTCGCGTCTGTCATGCAGAACTTTATCCAGGGACAAAGGCGCCGATATTTCCTGAAACGTCTGCTTCTACGTAAGGCGTTAACACACGCAAAATATCACAAGCGTAGGACCTCATACATGCTCATATCATCTGAACGTCCGGGTAGCAGGCATAGCTGGCGGATCAGACAAGCAATGTGGTGAACGGAGCAAGCTGCGTCTGGAGTAGTAAAGGGGATGGGACTGCCAGCAGTGCCATACTGATACCTGTACGTGCTTATACTTCAGTCCAGTCTCTATGTTCAGATCTACCACTAATATACCTGCTGTGACTCGGATATCCTATAGGACTGCGTTGCGCAATCAATGACATCTGTATCTCATCTACTGTTATCAACGTATGTGGCATCGTCTACATTTAGGCTCCAGATTTCCTTGCGGATTGTTGTTGCGATGTGAAGCTTGGATTCGTACTTCATTGGTACTGTAATGACTTCCTTTACCAACGTCTTGATGCGTGCATCCAAAGTTTGCCGTGCATCTTCAATCAGGTCGTGTTCACCAGTCCTACGGACGCACTCTTCTTCACTCTTAACTGATGCTACAATACCGTTTAATTGGCACAGGCACCAAGAGTCTTCAGATGAGGCGAGTGATAACCAGACATGCTCCTGAGTATTGATAGTCTCTCAGATAGCGCGGGAGATGAGATCCTTGTCGCTGATTTCGGTTGCTTGTTTCTCGCTTCTTTTCCAGCGACATTCAAGCGGCGACTTTGAATGTGCTCACCACAGCCCTGACTCCACTTAGTTTGAATATGCTGCTCGTCTGCTCCTGCTCCGCATCCGGTTCTACACTAGCCTCCTCACTCACACAAGTCCTCATCACCTCATACACGCCCCGCCTCCCCACTGACGAGTCTGGAGAATGGTGTTTCATGCCATATTCTCATGCGTCAAAAGGATCACAGTCACATCTAAGTCGAATGACACAACACAGCGGAGTTGGTTTTGCAACGGAAGTCCAATAAAATATCCGATGAATATTATTTAAACCTTTTGAGCTAAGGTGCGGTATCGTTAACTGTAAATCGTACAATTCCAGATACTCTACTCGCATTCGTCTCGAGTTGTGGAGAAGACGTCGGTGGATGTCCCTCATGGCACCCCGCACGAGCGGGCAAGGGCCGACGCAGCAGATGAGAACAGCAGAGACTGGGGAGACCGCTTCGGCTTAATCCTCCTATACCGCGCTGTCGAGAGCAAGTCGTCCATTAGCTGGTATTCATCGATGGCTCTTTTCGGTTTCCTCCTCTTCACAATCTTGAAGATGTTGTCAATGTCAACCATGTACACCCTCTGGTCAGGCAGTTCGGCCTTGGCGAGGTTGTCGGCGACGCTCGCCCTGGTCTCGGTGACGTACTTCTCAACCGCCTCATCCATGCACGCCTTATCATCCTTCTCCTCCTCATCGTCTCCCAGCATATCTCTCATGACGTTCTCGACGTGTTGCAAAGACTTTGAGCGAACGAGATACGAGGGGATCTGGAAGCGCGCACAGTTCCGCAGAATCGCCTCATCCGTTGCCGTAAAGCGGATATCCATCAGGACAATGATGCAGTCGAAGATGTACAGCCCATGTACATTGAAGTACTCCGCATCGGGCACGCTGAGCGTCCCTGCGCCAGGGATGTCGTACCAGGCGAAGGGGATGGCTTCGTTCGGGTCCCTATAGCGCGTGATGGTGCTTGTGGTCTCGGTGACGCCGGTCTTGCCGACGGATGGATCGTTCGAACCGTTTCGCAAACCGCGGAACGCGTTGATCAACGACGACTTGCCACTTCCAGAGGTACCCGCAACGGCGAAGTGGAAATATCCAGTCTTGTACCCCAGTCGCTTCTTGGTCGCCTCTAATTCCTCGAGCGTCGGCGTGATGACGGGCTTGATGTCCCCCTTGAAAGCCTTCTTCGTCTCCTCCGCAGCAGCTACCGCCTCCGCTGCTGCCTTCTCCGCCACTGCCTTCTCCGCCAGGGCCTTCTCCTGCTCGAGCTTGGCTTGCCTCGCTTGCTCCTCTGCACATCTGCGAGCCTCGGCGTTGCGACGGGCACTGTCCTCCGCCTTCCGCCTCGCCCTTTCGGCCAATACGCGCTCCTGCTCGACACGTCTTACGTTCTCTTCAGCGGCACGCCTCGCCTCTTTCACCGCGCGCGTTTCCTGTTCCGCATTCTGCCTGTTCTCCAAGTCCTCCGCGACGGCATCCCAGGCGAGCGCATTGAGCACTTCCATGACGGGATTCGGAATGATCTCGCTATTCCTATGGGCGCGCTGTATATCGCCGAGCAGGCCGCCAAGAAAGGAGCCGATGATACCCATGGCTTATACAGAGTGAGAACACTGATTTGTAAGGTGTCGGGGACGTGTGGTTGCAAGAGAGGACGCAGGAGGGCGGAAGCAGACGGGTCTCTAGGCAGGTGGCGTGCAGAACTCAAGGACGTGAACAGAAAGATGCCCCGCTCGTTTCTCTCATATACCCCCGACATGAGGCGTGAACTTCTGACCTCTCCACCCACAGTCCAGCCAGACAGACGTGTTACTGACATGCCGCTCGGTCGTGGTCCCTTCATGGTGTGCTATCTCTGTCAACGCACCCGGGAAGGTTGCTTGATTTGAGCTCAGTACGTGTCTTCGATGTACCAATTGGCATTTCCAATCGGTGTCATTGCGACTGCCGCCCACGACGCCAACCTGTGATTGTCATGAGTGAGTGGTGGTACATTTCGTGATTTTCATGAAGAGTACTAAAAGCTAGGCTGTCTCTACGATCTATGTCGAGACACGATATATTAGAACCTAGCAGACGGCTTCAACTTCATCAGGAATCAAAGTACATATCTTGTCCTTCCTGAGTACCTAGCACCCGGAAGTTAATTTCGGGTGGTTCAGGTGAACAGCATCTGGGTCCATTGTGGTTGTCCGGAGTGAAATTGCAGTCTTGTATGCCTTCCGCCTCGTCCTCCCACTCGACCACCTAGGTACGAGAGCGGGGGTACAGATGCGGGGCAGTGTCTTCTTGGAGAGCCCGACGTGATGTCGACGGTACTACGGACATGCGACCGCCCAAGATGTGCATTAAACGCGACAGTACCGGCGCAGCACCGTATACAAAGTGGCCGCCAGAGTGTTGGTTCTTGAACCAAAGATCACACCGTCCCGAACATCGCAAGCCAAGAATGTGTGCACATTCAACGGAGAAGTACTGCGGGCGGTTCTTTAATTAATATCGTACATTTCATGTGGCTTCCGGCACAAGGACACATTCATGATCCCAGCAGCTCTGCAGGTGTACCGCACGCAATTCACGCTGTGCCTGGCCAATGAAGAGCTATACATTCCATGAACTCGCCTCGTTTGAACGGGGAGATGATACGCTCTATGTTATCAGCGCAGAGAGAATCCGACCATTCATCATTAGTCTTCAGGTCAGTAATAGTCAGTGTATCTACTCTTGCATGTTATCGCGACCGGGGGCTCTCCCAGAGACTGTCGCTATCAAAATGCCATGTCATATCTCAACCATCAGTGGGACTAGAATCACATTGAGATGTCTCATCCGGACATGACGAGCTGAGTGGGCGGATGGTGGCTCGATGCGTGTTGTTGAGAGAATGTGGGCTGCGGGTCAGCAGTCACCAAATGCTCACTCCGCGAGTAAACCTCACGTATCTTTGTATTGTTAATATTCGTCCGAAGGGAAGCACGATAGGGGACTAGTCGGGAAGCACGGTCACCGCGTTCTGAGTCTCCTTGTGCGCACTGTTGATGCATTCAGCGAACAACGACATATATTCGCCCATAGTTGTTCATCCAACAGTCGGGCTAGGACTGCCATGCGGAACTGATTTATGAACATGAGGAGAGCACCGGTGTAAGAGCCGACACGAGAGGAGTACGAGGCGAAAAAAGAGATCAGACAAGGATATCCGGAGCCGGTGCAGGTTAAAGGAATAGTCTGCTCTGCTCTCAGGAGACTATGATTCGCCTCTTCTTTCACCCCCCGCCCTCCGCACATGCGCTGCATCTCTTCTGCTGCATCCCTTACCGTCTCTTCTGCCCTCTCCATGGCCGCTCGCGCTTCTGCTTCAGCCCTTTTCTAAGCCTCCTGTACCCGCCTCTGCTCTTCCTCAAATTGTGCCCGTTGCGCTTCTGCCTCCCTGCGCTGCCTTGTGTGTATCGAGGAGAAGCGGAGTCTTCTCACTGCTGTCGCCCCCCATATGATCTTTGATCGCCTCCATGACGGAACTAGCGGAGATTCTGCCCGCACACTATAGGCGTGTTGTATGCTCTTCATCAATTCAACGACCACGAAAAAGGTCCTGGCGGCGGCGCCGCTCGAAATTAGTGAGTACACGACGGCGATCGCGGTGGCGGTGGCGGTCGCTAACAGTGAGCCCACGATGGTGATCGCCGCGGCGCCAGTCGCTAATAGTGAGCTTATGACGGTGATGCCGGCGACGCTCGCTAACAGTGAGCCCACGACGGTGATTGCGGCGGCGGCGGCGGTCGCCAATAGTGAGCCCACGACGATGATCCCGCCGATGGTCCCTGTGGCGGCGGTCGCTAATACCGAGCCCACGACGGTAACCCCGGCGGCGGTCGCTAATAATGAGCCCGCGACGGTGATCGTCGCCGTGGCGGCCGCTAATAGTGAACCCACGACGATGGTCGCGCCGGCGGCAGCGGCCGCTAACAGTGAGCCCCCGACGATGATGATCATGTTGAATATGATGGGGACGCTGATGCTTGCGGATTGCTGTGGATGCGTAGATGCAGCAGAGGATGCTGGAGACAAAGCTGCTTAGCTGACACTCTCCTGGGCGATTGATGCGCGGAAGGGAGTCGGGGGGGCTCTGGTGTTATGTGTGTCCGCTCGTCTCTTACATACCCTTCGCGACATGTGGCGTATGCTTCTGACGCTCGTACCCCGTGATATGCAGTGAATCTAGCTTCCAAACACGTTATTTAAGTCTTTCGTTCCTTGCAGTGTTGTGCGAGTCGTCGAATGATCGTGCGACTGTCGTTTAGTCGCATGATGTCAGTCGAAACGACTACAAACGACGACGACTGTTCCCACGGCGGCGACTATTCCCACGACCATTCAGTCACACCTGACATTGAAGGCGATGCGGGAATGGAGGGAGATTTGGCCACAAAATAATGTACACAACAGGATGTGATGTTAGCAAGAGATGTAAATGAAATTACATGTATATCCTATTGGCAGAGACTCAGCACTCAGTCAATACTATCTTCTGCATTGAAGATGAGAAGTCGAGAAGCTCATACAACTCAACTTCATCCTGCAAATATGTCCAACCCTCTTTTCCATCCTTGCGGTGAAGTCGAATAGATCTCTCAATGACAGAGAGAGGCAGCCAAGTAAAGTCATTGGGCCCCCTCATCCCTTGATCCGATGCCTCTTTGGGACTCTTCGGGCGCCTGCGTACCAGAATTGCGCACGTGAATATCGGGCCGTGTCTGCGCAAGCCGTGGGAAAAGTCGCCGCGACTTTTCGACTGTCGTACAGTCGTCGATTAATCGCCCCAGTCGTGGGAACGACTGGGACGACTGGCAGACGACTGGCCCAACACTGGTTCCTTGGGGGCTGTTTCATTGCCAGTATACTCAACACAGTACGATTGCAGCTAACAATTTAATTGATGCGCCAATCTCTGATTTCGTTCAGAGTCCCCTGTTCTTCAGACATACAAAGACCGGTTTACCTTATACCTCTTTGTTGAAACTTCACGCGCCTACGTTGAAACAGACGCGACGCGTTGTAGAGTATCACGTGGTCGCGTTTCACGGAAGCGCGCGATCATCAGCAAGCGCTCTCCTGAATTCCTGTATCATGGCCGCATACTCCACCTTCCGGTTGACGAAGGTCGACTTCCGCGCGGTGATTCTTTTACTTGTCGTATCGCACCTACACCGATCACAAGAGACTAAATTATAGTCAGCTCGACTATGTGCTATCAGGATGTGAATGAAACGCGAACCGGTCCTCACTAGTCTTGAGTGCTGCCGGAAGGCTTCACCCTCCTAATTCGGGCCTCTGCCAGCAAGTCCTTCAGCAGCTCCCATTCATCCAAGAAGTCCTTCGGCTGCTTCCCCTTCACGACCTGCACCATGAAGTCCTTGTCAACCATGTACACCTTCTGCTGGGGTAACTTAGCGCGGGCAAGGTTCTTCGCGACACTGTCTTGCGTCTCGGCAATGTACTTTTCCATCGCCTTCTCCATCCTTGCATCGTCCTCACCATCCTCATCATCACCGTCGTCCTCCGGCAAATCATCCAGGACATTTTGTATGTGCTGCTTTGACTTGGAGCGCACAATATAGGTCGGGATCTGGAACCGCGCGCAGTTGCGCAGGATCGCTTCGTCGGTCTGGGTGAAGCGCGTGTCGATCAGCACGATGATGCAGTCGAACACATACAAGCCCTGGGTGTTGAAGTAGTTCCAGTCGGGCACGTCCAGCGTTCCCGCTCCCGGGACATCGTACCACAGGAAGGGATTCGCCGTGTTCGTATCGGTATACCGCACAATCTCGCTTGTTGTCTCGACAATGCCAGTGCGCGCGACGCGGGGATCGCGTGAGCTGTTCTGCAAGCCGCGAAACGCGTTGATCAGCGACGACTTGCCGCTCCCGGAGATGCCGGTGACCGCAAAGTGGAAGAAGCCTTCGGTGTACTGGAGCCGCTCCTTGGTCGCGGTGTACTCGACCTCAGTGGGCATGATCACAGGATTGATGCGCTCCTTGAGAGCTTTCTTCGCGCGCTCGAGGCCTGCGTAGGCTTCCGCCCTCCGCCTGTCTGCCGCTAAAATGCCCTGCTCGGCCTCCTGCGTCACCCGCTTGGCCTCGACAGCGTCCTCCTCAGACTTGCGTCGTTCTCCATCGACTTGAGTCTGCTCGTCCTCCGTCTTCCTGCGCTCCACATCCTCCACCTGCGTAGCCTCGTCCGCGCGCCTCCTGGCCTCCTCTGCATGCCTTCTTTCTTCTTCCGCTCTCCTCATGTCATCGTACGCTCTCTGCGCGTCGTCCTCGGCCTTCCTTCTTGCCTCTTCCGCACCTTGCCTTTGCTCTCGCGCCTGCCTAGCGTCTTCCTCTGCACGCTCTCGCGCCTCTTCAGCTCGCCTGGCATTTTCCTCCGCTCTCGCCCTCTCTTCCTCGGCCGCGGCACGATCGCGCTCAGCTTCGTCGGCCCTCCGCTGTGCCTGGCGCATGCGCCCTTCTAGCTCTTCCATGACAGGGTTTCTGCCCACAGAGCCGGATGCTGCGTCCGCGCGTAAGGCATGGATGAGCCCTGTGACGGCGGTGACGAGCACGCCGACGGCGTTGACTACCGAGGCTCGCACACCCATGGATGTTTGCGGGATTCGCAGCTAGGATACAGCAAGCTACCAGCAGTCGGCGTTACAGTAAGTTCTCGTGTCATCTGTTATGGCCCTTGTCTCACCTCGTCGCCGTAGTGCACAGGTACTGTGCGGAAGAATGCAACACAACGGCCATCAACCACCATTATCGTATATAGCGCTGCGCAGAAGCTATTTTATGACACACCAAGGCACGAACCCAATCACGGGGGATGGAAGCAGTGCTGGAGAGTACCTATCTCCGTTGATTCTCTGAACCACTAGATCTGGGACCACTGCCAACTCTAGCCGCGATAAGAGTGGTCATGTTCTGCACCGCCGCCCTCATGTCCACTGTTCTTGACGTGCGTGTGGACTCCGGCTTACTCTCAAGGTACAAGGTTCGCGCTTAGTTATCTCTGCTCTGTTCCCGTTGCCTATAGATGCAGACTTCCATTCCATCTGTCCACTGCGCCATCTATCCGACCTGGGAAGATCACCTTGTGGCTCGGACACGTTGAAGCACTAAACTGTGTGCGATTCTCCTTTCGCGGATCTAATCTGAACGGCAACGTTCATATCTGTCGAAATCAGCGATCTTGGAGACACTAGCGCTGGCTCTGGACGGCGCGCTCAACGGCCATCTATGTGCGTAATCGTACAATTCCTAGACATTGATGTATCATGGTGCACGTCTGAACCACAATACCTACTTTGTGGTCCGCCAGGCCGTAGAAGATGAAGGTGCCACGGGATCTGGCGACTCTAGACCCCTCACCCTCCGTCTCCGCGCTTCCTCAAGGAGATCGCTCATCAAATCCAACTCGTCCAGAAGACTTTCCGGCACCTTGCCGTTTGCAATGAGGACGAGCAATTCCTTGTCCACAACGTAGACCCGCTGCTGCGGCAGTCCAGCCTTCTCAAGGTTCTGGGCGACGCTGTCTCTCGTTTCGGCGACATATTGCTTGATCGCCTTATCTTTGCGTGCGCCTTCAACCTCGTCTGCGTCCTCATCATATGGCATGTCGTCCAGGACGTTCTGTATGTGTTGCAAAGATTTTGAGCGCACGATGTACGAGGGTATCTGGAATCGCGCGCAATTTCGAAGGATCGCCTCGTCTGTCTGCGTGAAGCGGTTATCGGTGAGGACGATGATGCAGTCGAAGATGTACAAGCCTTGCTGGTTGAAGTAGACCCAGTCGGGTATGCTGAGCGTCCCTGCGCCAGGAACGTCATACCAGACGAAGGGATTGGCCTTGTTGGGGTCGGCATAGCGTGCGATTTTACTGGTGGTCTCAGTGACACCCGTCTTCGCGACGAGCGAACCACGGGAGCCGTTGCGGAGACCGCGGAAGGCGTTGATGAGCGATGACTTGCCGCTGCCAGAGATACCGGCGATGGCGAAGTGGAATATGCCGTCCTTGTACTGTAGACGCTTTCTCGTCGCCTCGTATTCCTCGCGCGTCGGCATGATGACGGGCTTGATGCCCTCTCGCAGCGCCTTCTGTGCCTCCTCCGCCCTTGCCTTGGCTTCAGCTGCCGCTTCATCGGCCGCTGCTCTGGCTGCCTCTGGCTTCTCCTGTCCGGCTTTAGCTTGCTTGGCCTCTTCGTCTGCTTTTGCGCGTTGAGCCTCGCTGCGTTGCTTGTCTTCCTCTGCACGCCTGCGTTGTTCCTCTGCGGCAGCCTTCGCCTGGTCGGCAACCCTCTTGTCCTCTTCCGCTCTCAGCCTCTGCTCCTCGGCTCGTCGCTTTTCCTCGTCCGCGCGGCGCGCATCGCCTTCCGCCCTTTGTCTCGCTGCGTCAGCCAGATCGCGCTCTCCCTCGACGCGCCGCGCAGTCTCTTCTGCCCTCTGCCTTTCTTGCTCTGCTGCGCGCCTTTCGTCTTCCGCCGTTCTTCGCTGCTCATCAGCCGTTTATGTTCTTCTTCCGCTCTTCGTCTGTTCGCCTCGGCCCGCTTTGCTTCTTCTTCAGCGCGCGCTCTCGCCTCTTCCGCATGCCTCCTGTCCTCTTCGGCCCTCCTCGCGTCTTCAGCGGCTCTTGCGCTCGCTTCTTCTGCTTCTTTTCGTCGTTCTTCAGCCCTCTGCCGCTCTTCATCTGCTTCATCTGCTCTGCGCCGCTCCTCTTCCATGCGCCTTTCCAACTCCTTCATGACAGGGTTCGAGGCAATTCTGCCTGACCTGGCATCATTTTGAAAGCCTTGGATTAATCCTAGAATACCGTCGATAATTGGTATCGCGGCCAGGGCGATGATTAGACTCATGCTTGCGAAAGGATCTAAATATGCCAACGGGATGAAGTCAGTTCTCAACCGTTACACGTGGAGTCATTGTGCAACCGCAGCGTACTTCGGATTCTGGTTGAACTCTGTGCAGATGAGGTGGTGAGGCGAAAGTCGATGATACGACAGATGTATATATATATGTACGGCCACAACCGCAAGCGCTCATATATTATCATATAGGGTCCTTACAGTTTGCATAGCTCGGCAGCACCTCATCTTCACCGCCGTATGGCAGTCGACCCAAATCTGGATGACATGCATTGTGTAATCATACCGGAGGCTCGGTAGCTTACGAATAAGCTCAGACAGATCTGGAGATAGTCGCAACGTGTCGACTGGTAGGTTGGAAGATCGCGCCCAGCGGTGCTTCTCATTCTTGTCGACATACAAATGTACTAAGAAACACAGAAGGAAAGAGACTATGTAGCACCGTGCGAAAGAAAGCAATAGGTGAGCTTATGTTTCATGTGCGCATACAACTTTGATAACCTATGGCATACTCATGAACGGGGCCTCACCCTGCGTCGTTGCGCCTCTGTGAGTAAGTCTCTCAACAGCTCCAACTCATCGAGAACAACTCGTGGGCTTTTCTCGTTTGTTATCTGCATGAGGGTCTCCTTATCCACGATATACACCCGCTGCTGGGGCAGTCCGGCCCTCTCCAGGTTTCGTGTGACGCTCTCGCGCGTCTCGGATGTGTATCTCCTCTTTGCGGTCTCCCTACGGCCAGCTTCATCTCGGGGCATGGACGCGTCATGCGGCATGTCGATCAAGATATTTGCGATGTGCTGCAGCGATTTGGATCGTACGATGTAGGATGGGATGTCGAAGCGTGCACAATTGCGCAGGATCGCCACGTCTGTCGCGGTAAAGCGGCTGTCTACGACGACGACGATGCAGTCGAAGATATACAGGCCCTGGCTGTCGAAGTACGACCACTCTGGTATGCTGAGAGTGCCCGCTCCAGGAACGTCGTACCATATGAAGGGTCTGGCAGCGTCGGGATAGCGCGCGATGGTGTGCGTCGTCTCGGTGACGCCAGTCGGGGCGACCTCCGCGCCGTGCGCGCCATTGTGCAGCCCACGAAGAGCGTTGATGAGCGATGACTTGCCGCTACCAGCGATACCAGTAACCGCGAAATGGAATTGTCCGTCCTGATACTGCAACCGCCTTTTGGCTTGTTCGACATCGTCTCGCGTCGGGGAGTGTATGTTTCTCCCGTCCCATATTCCACTGCTGCTGCTGGCTTGCCTCTCCACGCGTGTAGGTCCGTCCCTCCGTTCCTCTAGTTTCTGTCTCAGACGCTCCTGGAGCTCGCGTCGACCGTCGTTCATTTGGCGAGTCTCGTTTCCTGCTGCGTTGCTTGCGTCGTCTGTAGCCTTGGCCTCGCCTTGCGTGGTGTCCTTCCGTTTCTCGAGCCTCTCGGTTGTCGGATTGGGACCGATCCTTCCTTCATCGCGGGCTCCCTTCAACTGTTCGAGGATGACCCCGACGGTCACGTAGAGTAGGCCGCACCAGAGGAGTCGTCCGATACCTGCTCCCATGAAATCTGCGTTGCGATGCTGGCGTTAGCGTGGTCAACATGCGTGCAGCAGAAACATACGCGGCGGTGCTCTTGTGGTCGAGCTGAAGGGGAAGTAAAGGTGATGTGGCGTTTCTGATTACTGTGCATACATTAAATGTCCACGATTACTGACCTGCACGAGAATTGCCAGCCACACCGCGGCGTGCAGCTAGGAGTGCGTCGTCTTCGATGCCTCATGTATGCCTTGTGCCAAGGACAATGTGGTGTTCTCGTTGACCAGCCCAAAGGCACATGTGCTGATCGGCATGAATGAGCTGCGGATTCATTCCCATACTTGTAGGCACCAGTCTCGCCTGCGCGTCGTTCATCTCCCTCAACAGGAACAGCTACGATCTGCGTTTGCTGCGATATTCACTTCACAGGTCGTCGTTAGGGCCGTCGGTGGAGCGCGATCGTAAATGATAGTTCAGACCGTACAATGAACTGACGACAGAAGATGCAACAAATTACGACACGCAGACTGAATGGCGATACTCTGAATTAGACCGAACACAAACATACTGTGAGTTTACCTGAGGACCATTCTGACTCGCCGGGCACTTGCTTCTGAAAGCAGGTCCTTCAGGAGATCCCACTCGTCAAGGACGTCCTTTGGATGCTTCCCCTGGGAGACCTGTACGAGGTACTCCTTATCGACCATGTAGACTCGCTGATGTGGCAAGTTCGCGTGTCCCAGATTCCTGGCGATACTCTCGCGCGTTTCACGCATATACGTTCTGCGCGCTTTCGCTATACGCACAACATCGTCCTCTCCCTCGTCCTCATCGTACGGCATGTCGTTCAAGACATTTTGTATGTGTTGTCGGGATTTGGAGCGCACGATATAGGCCGGGATCTTGAAGCGCGCGCAGTTCCGAAGGATCGCCTCGTCCGTTTGCATGAAGCGGTTGTCGGTCAGGACGATGATGCAGTCGAATGCATACAGCCCCTGCTCGTTGAAGTACACCCAGTCTGGAACGTTCAGCGTGCCTGCGCCAGGGATGTCATACCAGACGAACGGGTTCGCCGGGTTGGGATCCGCGAAGCGAGTGATCTTGTTGGTGGTCTCCACCACCCCGGTGCGCGCGACGAGGGAACTCCTGTCGCTGTTCCGCAGGCCGCGGAAAGCGTTGATGAGCGACGACTTTCCGCTTCCCGCGACCCCGGCGATGGCGAAGTGGAACATGCCCTCCCTGTACTGAAGCCGTCTCTGTGTCGCCTCGAACTCCTGCGATGTCGGAATGATGATCGGCTTGATACCCTCCCTGAGGGCTTTCTCCGCTTCCTTGCGAGCGGCCTCCGCCTCCTCCATTGCCTTGCGAGCCTGTGCCTCCGCTGCTTGTGCCCTCTGCCTCTCAAGCATAGCTTTGCGTGCCTCTGCATCCGCCCTTGCACGCTCTGCCTCACTGCGAACCCTGGCTTCTTCGGCTCTCCTGCACTGCTCCTCCGCCGCGCCCTTGGCTTGATCTGAGCATTTCCTCTCCTCGTCAGCTCTCCTCCTTTGCTCTTCTGCTTTCCTCGCCTCCTCCTCGGCCCTGTTTGCATTCTCCTCCGCTTTCTTTCGGGATTCGTCAGCGCGAAGCTTGTCCTTCCTTAATTGCCTCGCACGCTGTTCCGCCCTCGTTCTCGCAGCCTCGGCGGTCTGTCTTGCCTCGTCCGCCTGGCTGCACTGCTCCTCAGTACGCCAGGTCTCTTCTTCGATCCTCCGCCTAAGCTCGTCAGCCCGCTCGGCTTCCTCCTGGGCTCGCCTCATCGCCTCCTCTGCGCGGGCGCGCTCGTCTGCCGCTCTTTGCGTCTGCTCCGCGGCCCTCGCCTGCGCGGCACGCTGCTGCTCTCGCGCCCACGCAAGCTCTTCTTCGGCGCGCCGTCGTGCCCTGTCTGCTTGCTCTGCCTGCTCTTGCTGCCGCCTCGCGCGTTCCTGTAGCTCACGCAATACGGGGTTCGGGCCGATTCTCCCGGCCGCAGAGCTGGCCCTGATTCCGTCGATGAGACCGACTACAGTCCCAATGAGCCCGGTCACGGCAGTGACCACTGATGTTACGACGCCCATGACGCTGAGCACTGCGGATGCAGAATGTGGGTGGGTGGATGTGAAGGTATTGTGCTACGGAGGGATGTAGATAGTGCACCTGGGCTGTTAATGTGCGTGCGCCCGGGGCAAAGCTCGTTCGCAGCTGCGCCTTGTGAGTATCGAAGGTGTCCAGGGCGCCCCGTTGTCCCTGCTTTTAATACAAGAAACGCAGACTTGCGGCTCACACGTTTGCCCGCGCATGGTCTTCTTGACAGAACCATGTCGCGAGACATACCATCGGGCGTGCATCGAGGCTGTCTCCGCCTTCGTCGATCATCGATGCATCGCTCATGCTTCCATGCAATACAAACTGGTGTATCGAAATTGCTTCGCGCACAGCCATAACGGCATACTACTATCCTCGCGGCAACGGGGGTCCCTGGATCGGGAGTAGTCACTATAGCTGTCAGATGCGAAACACAGAAGCCGCACCCAATCCCGTAATACCCCCTTCGGAGGTAGGGGAAACTGAAAATGGTGCTCGCCCATCCGGTCACATGTGATCTGTGATCACAGCACAGGTAGAACGATGTTCGTGGAGAGAATGAAGTCGTACCTATCGACTATAAGCAAGCGGTGTTTGTGATGCCCAGTATGTAGTTGCAACCACGAGCCGAATAGCCCGACAGCAGAATATTGGTGCCAGATGCGTGATTGCAGAAGGTGGCTGTCGAGAGCTTTCATTGCCGGCATGGAATCAAACCTTTTGGTATAAAAGAACCGTCGCGCGCTGGAAGGGCGTGTAGTACCTCTGTCCGGGACGACCACAGTTCGCGCTGGGTTTCACGCAGAAGCATAGTCTCTATATATCAACACGGACGGTCGACGGGATACGTTTTGACGCACTCTCGATCCCTGTACAGAACATTCGTGTATCCAGTTAATCTTGTCCCCGGTAAGTTGACACGCGTGTTCGTGCGTCATGGATGCTCGCTTACATCGGAGCAGACGAGCAACAAACAATGGGTGGAGGCGGTTCTCATGATGACTGGGAAGCACGGCAGAGGGAAGAGCGGAGGCGTGCCGAAGAGGAGCAACAGCGGCTACAAGAGCAGCAGCGGCAGGCAGAGGAACAAGCGCGACGGGCAGCAGAGGAACGCGCTAGAGCTGAGGAGCGCACCAGGCAGATCGTGGAGGAGATGAGACGTGCGGAAGAAGCCAGGAGGCAAGCTGAAGAAGAGCAACGACGTGCAGAAGAAGCAAGAAGACGCGCGGAAGAGGAGAGGCAACGCGCAGAGGAGGCCAGGAGGAGAGCGGAGGAAGAGGCCAGGCGCGTCGCGGCAGAGCAGCAACGCCGTGAACAGGAGATGCGCGTCGCCGAGGAGCAAAGACGAGCCGCAGAAGAACAAAGGCGCATCGCAGAGGAGAACGCGCGTCGGGTCGAAGAAGAGAGGCGTCGTGCAGATGAGGCGAGGCGACGGGCAGAAGAAGAGGCGCGTCGGGCTGAAGAGCAGAGGAAGATTGCCGAGGAGCAGAGACGGCGAGCAGAGGAAGAGCAACGCAGAGCGGACGAGGCCAAACGGCTTGCTGAGGAGCAACGCCGACAAGCCGAAGAACAACGCCGGAGGAACGAGGAGGAGCGGGCACGAGCAGAGGAGGAGGCCAGGATTGCCAGAATAGCAGAGGAAGCCGCCGCTCAAGCCAGGATCCAGGCAGAGAAAGAAGCCGCTCACGCTCGAATGGCCCAGGAAGAGGCGGAACGCGCGCTGCAAGAGGGTATCAAGCCCATCATCGTACCTACGGTGGAGGAAGTCGCCGCGACGAAGACCCGCCTTCAGTATCAGGAGGGCTCATTCCACTTCGCAGTCGCGGGCATCTCAGGCAGCGGAAAGTCATCCCTGATCAATGCCCTCCGCGGCCTGCGCAACAATTCCAAGGACCCGCGAGTCGCGGCTGCAGGCGTCGTCGAAACCACCAGCGTTGTCGCACGCTACCCTGACCCGATGAGGAACGACGTCGTCTGGTATGATGTTCCAGGAGCCGGAACGCTGGACTTCCCCGACTGGGTTTACTTCAACGACCAGGGTCTTTACATTTTCGACTGCATCCTCGTGCTGACTGACAATCGGTTCACGGACACTGACCTCGCCATACTGCGCAATTGTGCGCGCTTCAAGATCCCGGCGTTCGTCGTGCGCTCAAAGTGGCAGCAGCATGTCGAGAACATTTTGGACGATCTGCAGGATGAAGACGACGAAGACGACGACGCACGACTCATAAGAGCGCGCAACAAGCTCGTCGCGGAGACTACCGCGAGCGTTTCGGAAAACTTGGCAAACGCCGAATTACCACCGCAGAGGGTGTACGTCGTCGATAAAGAGGCACTGGTGCAGGTCGTCAATGGCGCGGAGCCGGCTCATCTTTTTGACGAGCGTGATCTCGTTAGAGAGCTGTTCATGATGGCCCACGCCGGTAGGGCCTAGGCAAAATCGAGATCGTCAGTTTCTGTTTCGCGCTTGTTCCCCCGTTTCTGTTCGACGTGATCATCATTCCATAAGCCGGCTTATCACAACGTTTCTTGCAACACTCGATAGTAGCACAGCGCAATGGGTATCCAGCATCCTATTTCCAGATGTAAATCTTGGCCTAAGCACCTCTCCAGACAAAACATTTGACAGGCAAGGCGCAGAACAGATATGATCAAGCGCACCTCGCCATCAGGGCGCATAACACGCGGTGATAAAGTCTAGCTGCTCCTACACAACCGCATCCTCCAATCGCGCAAGGTTCATCGCACCCCTTCCGAAACCAGCAGCTAGTGCAGAGAATCCACCCTCGCGAACTTCTTGCAGGAATACATCGTGTTGATCCACGAGCCGTTCGTTGTTTTGCCGAATCTCACGTATGAGACCATGTGCACGAGCGCAGTTAGGGCACTCCGTTTCATGTTCGCCCAGGCATCTGTGAAACGATAGAATGAATAAGATGATCAGCAGTGTAGTATAGTCGCAGCCGATAAGGTATGGCACAAATAACGATTGCGTACCTTTGGTGGTAGCTGTGCCCGCACATAAAATGCACGCTTGGCAAGTCCAGCTGGCCTTGACAAACGGCACATTGTGTGACATGGAACACGCGCGGACGGTCTGGGTCGCTTAGCTCTTGCACCTGCTTCAGCTTCGCTTGCGTCTCCCCACGGTATGAATCGATGAGTTGTTGATCCTACGTGACGATAATCGTGTCAGCATTCAGAGTCCCACCACCAGGAAAGGCTCTGCTACAACAAGTACTGCTCACCACGTTCACGGCCTGTCTGCCCTCAGTAATCACTCTCGCCAGCCATGATCGGACTATGCCGACGCCAACAACATTGTTCCGCCCAAGCACTCGAACAACCTCCATCGGCTGCATCACCCCCCTCTCCTCTACTTCGCGAAGCACATCCTTCACATCCTCCTCATGTTTTCGCAACAACGCGGGCTCCGAAGTGAGGAAGCGGAGAACCAGTGCATACAGGGAAGGGTGAGTGGGGCCATACAGACGGAGGGCACGAACGACTTCTTCCGATGCGGCGGATTCCTCAGACGATTCTGCCGAAGAGCGGTGTTCGTCCATCCAGAAGCGCAGGATATCCTCGTGCATCCCAGCGCGCTCCCATAACGGAACAAGACCCTGTGTGAATCCGCATGTCGAACATAGGATAAGGGCATGTGTAGGGTCATAGGGTATACGCCCTCCTTCACTGCGCAGTACACGGAGCGCTTTGTCCTGGTTTGCTTGACGCTCTGCTGTTGTCGGTCCAGGGGCTAGGTAGAGTTCGAGCAACGTGTTCCACACGGAGACCTGGTCCTGGCGCTCAGCTTCCTCGAGCGCATTCGAATCCGATTCTACCTCAACAGAGCCATTCGCGATAGCATCCACAGTCTGGCCCCACCGCTTCAAAGCGACAGTCTCTAGAAAGCTCACGAAGCAATCCAAATGGTCGACAAAGTGCGCAAAGAACAGACGGGGCGAAGGTCGTTTCACGCTGTGCACTGTCGGTTTCACCGGAGAAGCACTAGTGATGGTTGGCGTCGGCGGAGGGGGAGTGGCTGTCCTCGACAGCTCCTGCTCATGCGCAACCGACAGTTGACGTGATGACGCTCCCGGCTTGACAGTTGTGGTAGACGCGGACGATGGTGCTACGGGCCCTTGGTCGGAGGCCGTAGCGGAAGAGGAGCCCGGTGCCGCGTTCCTATTCAATGCGAGATAGGAGAGATACGACGGACCACCACTCGTGCTTGGCTGGCGGGTTAAGGCAGCTGGTTCGCCCTTGGGCTCGTCGTCGTCAAACATCAGTGGTTCCAAACTAGTGCAGATATCGATGAGAAGTTGCGTAGTCTCATAAGGGAGATTATTGAGCATTGCCCGCCCATATCGCGCCAAATTGGATTCGGCCTATGATAAAAGTTGTGAGGCTAGAAGTACTATCAAGGACGCTCTACGTACTGCTTCTGTTCCTAGTCTCCGCAGATACGATAGCGCATCCTTGTAGTTACCTGCGTCCTCGATTTGTATACGGAGGTAGTCTTCATGTCGCTCGTATTTCTTCGCAAGATATGACGCATGTTCGAAGTACCCTGCCTGGCGACACACCCGAATAGCCGTGTCAAGATCAAATGGTAGCTCATCAGTGGCTCTGGCAGACTCGCGCTTGATGAAAGCGTCGAGGCGGGAGACGTCTTTCAACTTCGTGTACGTATTCAGAAGCAACGTAGTATGGTCAGAGTTGGCACGACCTAGCGAATGGAGCTCCTGAAGGTAGGTAACCAAGTTGTGAATCCTTTGCGCGTCGAGAAACTAGAGACAGCTTTAGATAGCGTAGAGTTTAGAGAAAGGAAACCTACCTTGCGAATTATGTAGCTCGGTTGAACATGTCCTATCGTCTTGAGGTACTGCTGCACAGCTCCGTCATAGTCTGCTTTGGCGTATAGATGGTCGCCGAAGCGGCGCTGCACATCTGCAACTTCGCCCGGATCGAGGCCCTGAGTCTTTGCAACGTTTAAAGCAGTCAAGAAAAGAGATTTGCGATAAAGCATGTCCAGCTTTGCCGACGTGGGTTTCTCCTCTAGGCACGAGAGCTGGTGACTGATCAGCCTATAATGTCACGCCATAAGAGAATAGTCACCTACCGAACCGTCATTTGCGAGAGCATATATCTGTCCAAACACCGAAAAGACTTCGCGAATGCCTGTGGTGAATGTCCCAGTATAAGCTACGAAATGGTTTTCCAGGTCGAACACCGTCAGTTTTGTGATCTCCGCATTGTCCGTGCTCTTGCTCTTAGCCGCGAGGTTTCGCACCGTAGCAGACGCTGCAGTCACGGATGGCGCGATGGGCGGAGATATAATAATCATATAGTTTCGGTGCGTGTGGACTGCCACCTTCTTCCCTATGATAAGTTGAGCCTGCAGTGCCTGTGTACCAGCGCCGTGACTCACCCTCGTATGCGAATGATGAACCCCTGCTGTCAATCCCGCATACGTAGATGGCTTCGTCTCGGGCGACCACCATATCCCCACTATTCCCATCCATCGCCGCGCATCCAAGTCCGCATCCCAGCTCGCTGACTACGGTAGGCTGTCCGCCGCTCCCCTTGCCGCTCGCATGGTACGCGAGCACTCGGTTCAGTGTTACAATGAAAAGATACATGTTCGGACTGTCTTCGCCGGGTTCGCGGAACCCCAATCCAGTGATGGGCTCCCCTGCCGACTCATGTACCACGCGTGGTTTCGGTAAGGCCGAAAGGGACGTCGAACCAGAAAATATGGACTGATCCAGATGTCGATATAGTAGGACCGTGCCGTCCCCAAGGCCTATGGCAAGGTACGCTAGCGTAGCTGACAATGCAATAGTAGAGACCTGTGTGAGCTCGAGTTAGTTGGCCTCGAACTAAAGTTGTGAAACTTTGGCCTACAGGGTGGGGTCTATTCCCGCTCTGTACTTTGGTGGATCTTAGCAAGGCAGGCAACCCTGTCTTATTATCGGTATGTTCCAGGTCCCAGACCTTGAGGAAGGGATGTCGTGCCGTATCCTCCTCCTGCGTGAGACTCGGGAGGTCACATTGGGCTGGTCTGGTAGGGAACAAGCGACGTACCCCAAGCGTGATCAGAATTCCCTTTCTCTCCACCATATGCGTCACTCGCCCACCAGCGTGCGCTAGCCAGCTCCTGACAATCTCGAATTCGCGGTTCAACTGGTAGACACTGCCGTGTATATCTGCAACAACGAGTCCTGCAGAGGATGAGCATAGCGTTGATATCTCCGGAGTTTTCTTCACGAATGGTCGAGTGTATGAGAGAATGCGACTGAGGTTAGGAAGGGGCAGCCATTCCAACTGGCTCAAAGGGAGTGACGTACCTGGAATATTTCGGGCGGACTGCCCAGGTCATGGATGTCCCGTATTGGCGCAAGGTCGAAGAACGTAAACTGCCTCCACTGCCATTATAGCTTCGGTTGATTTATGCATACCTGACACTGTACACTGCGATCGTACTTACTGCTGGTGCGGAAAGGGCTGCAGGTTGCGATTGAGCAGACATCATGCTTTCCCTTCAGTTTCTGGACCTATTGCTTAATTCCCTTTGAACAGTGCCCAGTAAGGGAACTGAGACGTTTCGTAGGTGATGTATGGTGTGAGCCTGTGATCAGAGGACAAGTAATTGCAGTCCTCTGTATCGTTATCGTGCTCGTGGTCCCCTTCCTTCTGATTAAAAGTCGACCGCTACGAATGTCGACGTATATGCAGGAAGAATGACACGGCGTGAGCAGCCGTGGAGAGTTATGTATGAGGATCTCTTATGCTCTATTTGTAACTACTTGCTTATGTAATCCATACCAGTCTTTACGCGTACAGCAGATTATAATTTCATACTCCGAAAACGCGACGTCTAAGCGCCCGTCAAGCTCATCCCGTTTCTTCCGAACGAGCCAACACATCTTCATTCTCTTGTCGCCATCTCGTGTATGTCGTTTTCTGCTGCTTCCGCTCGGTCTGGGAGCATCCTAGTCTCACGATTTGTTTGCAGAACTCGAACAATCAGCGACATGAGCTTCTTAGGTCTCCGCAAGTGGCCGACGCCCGTACGCCTTTCCTCTACCCGCACTATGTCCAAATAATTGACTGCAATCCTTCGCACCTGGTCTCCTGGTATTACATGCCTGTATGCTACAGGTCGCCAAGCCGCTGTGGCCGTTCATTGCCGCTGGTACTATCACGTATTTCCTCGTTGCGAAGGCGCAGGACATGGGTGTGAAGTGTGCGTGTCCTTCTCGTTGGCCACGTTCTTGTCTATGGCTCTATTGAAATGAACTAACCTCATCTGGCTTCCACAGCGGAGGCTTATGCCAAGGACCCGCGAAACCCGTACGCTGCGCAGATCGCGAAGGAGTCGCACCACTAGAGAAAATATCTTACTTCCACTCATGATCGTGGTATATGGCATAGGTCGATCCGTCGACTGTATACGAGCGTTATTTGAGCTGTACTCAGCATGCATGTCTGCGTCTCCAGTGAGCGGAGGTTGCTTAAGGCTTGAAGTGTTAGCGTCTAGCGAGCGCCTGCGGCTCTGCAGCGAGTCATGGTTTAAAACATGCGAACGATCACGCACTCGCACAGGGTGATGTAGGATGTTGAATTGATCCATTGATGATGGACTAAACGTTTCAACTCGCCGACAATGTCGCATAATTGCGGATCCGCCACTACGTGCACAGGTACCTGTGCATATGCACTCCGTGTGCAGATACTGTGCAAATGCCATCAATACTGCGCATATTGACATTGAGCTTCGGCACCGTACTTGCTGGCGTGGCTTCATCCTACTGGTAAGTGCTGCGATCTGCATCGCCTACAGCTAGGGCGATCAGTCAGCGCGGCAGCCAGACTCCGGAACCCTGCGGTCTGACTTGGCGCGCAAACGCGGGTATATATACCCTTTCAATAGGAAGACAGGAGCTATTCCTCACCTCTAGTTTCTGCCCTGTATCCTTCATCAACAATGAATGTATTCGCAATTGGTGCTTCCAAGAACATTGGCTACTATGCCTCAGTAAGACTACTCGGTGGGTTCCTGTTATTGACGCGTTTGCGAGTCATTTGTCTGACTTGTGCAACCTACTTCAGAGAAGGGAGCAACTGTCACGTTTCTTCTCCGTTCCCCTTCCGTTTTCGACGAAGACACGACAATCCAGAAATATGTCACCACTGGCAAGGCACATCTCGTGAAGGGTGATGCTCTTGTAGTTGACGACGTCCGGCGCGCATGGCAAACTGCACAAGCAGCCGGCGTCGACAGGGGCGTTGATCTTGTTATCTTCACCGTCGGTCAGTTGCTTTCATACTTCCTTAATTGCTGTGACTAGATACTTATCACGCCTTAGGAGGGACCCCTAATTTCAGCCTTGTGCACGGCGCCGTCATCTCTCCGCCCAACCTTGTCACCCAAGCTACACTGAACCTCCTCTCAACGATCCCCGCACATGCCTCAACTCGCGTCATCGCCGTCTCTTCTAACGGCCTCTCGCGCGCGTCGCATGCGACCCTCCCATTAGCGCTTAAGCCACTCTACGGCTACCTCCTCCGCCGCCCGCATGCCGACAAGCTCGGAGTGGAGCGCGTCGTGGCACACTGCGCCGGGTGGCAATGGACAGACGAAGACCCGGATAAAGAGATCCTGTCAGAAGGGTGGCAAGACAGAGAGGGCCTGTTGAAGGCGGGGGAGCTGGAGCACGTTGTTGTGGTACGGCCAGCGCTATTGACGGATGGCCCATGCAGAGGGGATAGTGTGCCGGACGCGCCGTATAGAGTATCGGAGGGAAACCTCAAGGGGTCGTATCGGGTGTCGAGGAGCGACGTTGCGCATTTTATGGTGAATGGTTTGCTTCCTCATTGGGACGAATGGGAGGGTAAATGTGTAGGCATTGCATACTGATGTAGATAGGAATTCATGGTTAGCGGATGTCGTTTCTCGGAATGGTCTTGCAAGGGATGACTGGTCCAGTGATTTAAAGACGTGAGGCGCCGCAGAAGCAGTGACAGAAGGTTATTTCGCTATTCTCGCTGTCTGTGCTGTACCTTATGCACATGGCCCATGGTGCTCAATGCTCCAGAGTGCACTCTTCCCGGAAAGAAATGTCAGCAGCTTCGGGATCAATGATCAGAATCAATTAACGGGGAAGTAACCCTCGGACTTCCAGCCAATTAGTTCTACGACGACTAGCTGACGGCAGATGGGGATACCAGCCATCCAACGTTGCGAGTACAACGACAACGACCAGCTCCTATATTGCTGAGGCACATTCACACTCCCATGTTGTGAGATTTGTCATCGCCGACTGCCTTTTCCACTACGTTCCACACGATCACTCAGATGTTCTCGATCGGAGATTAGCTCAATCGCGGAGTACGCTATCTCGGTTGTCATCCTGTCTTGAGCAGGAGACAATACATCTCAGGCCACTACTCTTACCTGGCGGAGCTACTGGGGTGGCAGGGATGGAATGAGCAATTTTTTGTGGATATTGTCTCGCAGATCAACAATTTTACTAGTTTGAACATGGAGTTCATGATCATAAGATGGATGGACGCAGGACGAGAGTTTTATTTGACCTGCCTCCGCAATTTGAACAGCGTTCGCATACACTCGCTTATATTGAGTGGTACACTCCATTGGGGACAGCCGCTGATGAATACACGGAGTATCTCCCTATGACGGAGATCGAAGTGTCTCCGACATGGGGAGATATCTCCGGCGTCTAAGAGATATTTCTCTGAGGGGCGCTTAGCTCCCTGAATAGAAATTCTATCACGTGCAGTGCGAGAGAAATGGGTGGTGACCAAGATTTTGTCTCGTATAGTATCGGGGAGCTTCATTATGGCTAGTTTTGGGCCTCTAATGGCCAGCGCCGGAAAAGGCAGGAGGGTGCGGGAAAGTATGTAAAAAGCGTGTAAAACGCGAGTTTCTAACCCTAATCTGAGTTAGCCTGATTTGGCAGCGTCTCAGATTAGATAACGAGAAAGGACCGGACTTTACCGAAAGCCGATGAAGAGATCGGGCGATGGTGATCCAGTCACGTGATCTCCCAAAGAGGACACAAATAATTTGAAGCAAGCGCCCCGCGCCGGAAAATTGATGGAGGTGTCTCCACACGCCGGAGATATCTCCCCATGCCGGTATCGCAACAGGGACTGATCTGCTCTGCGCCACTGATGGTGTTTGTCCTTACCAGTCTGTCGGACGCTAGGACCCCAGTCACTCCTAGAGGGCGGTGTTGCCTCACTCTCATTAGACGTTCAACCCTTGAGTTGCACATGTGTACTATAATTTAAATCATCATCACTCACAGTTGGCACTTCGGTTATAGAAAGAGCTGTCTGCACTCAGAAGAGAATTTGCGCACATAGGAGTGTTCAGGGTCTCAATCTAGCGGCATGAGCCGGCAGAGCCCGGCATGCAATGCCGGTGACCTTTGTTTGCAGCAGAGCAGTCTCTGGTGGAGCAGATCAGTCCCTGTTGCGATATGCCGGAGACACTTCGATCTCCGTCATAGGGAGATACTTCAGTCTCCGTGTATTCATCAGCGGCTGTCCCCTCCATTGCATCGTCCAGATCCCATCATGGGGATGTACCTTAAACCTTCAACCCGGAACCATCGCTCGAATGCTGCAATTGTGACCGTGGACAGGATTTACCGCACATGTCATCTCATTCCCGAGTATGGAGCAGAGATTAATCCCATTATGCCGAAACATAACGCACTGGATGTTACTTCACAGTTTATGATAATTCGTACATCTCTGTTGACCTGCATGCATTCCTAACCTAGTACAAAGTTGTCACTGCGAGAGGAACTTCACATAACTCATTGGTGTATTCGCCCATCGTGTCAAGGACGACCGTTCGGACGCAAGGAGTACAACGGCTAGGCATGTCGAGACTGAACTAATTGCTCGCCTAGATAACACGAGACACTCGCGCAGTCTGATCAAGTCGCGCTGAGCACATCAACCGTCAGCAGGAAGGCATTCGGATTGAGAAAAAAACACTACACATGCATACCATTGATGCTATTGCGCTCTGTAGTACCTGTAGACGAGCTGAACACTGTATAGAACGAGATTCGAATCATGATCAGCTGCAAACAGTATGGGCCGCTGCAGCACAGCATACTCACACTATCAAAGAAATACTTGGAGTGAGTGATGGATGTGTCGCCCAGTGTGAGACCGGGCCCCGCGAGAGCTTGATTGGTAACAGATGCGCAGGCAGCGCTGCGGCTCTAGACCCGTTTTCCTGATACACTGCTGGGCTGTATAAAAGAGCAAAGATGCGTCGGGGTATCTCAAGCTCCCGTCCATCTTCCAACCAGCGAAACGGACAATGCAGGCCTTTTTTATAGTCGCCGCTCTTGCCGTGTCTGCTTTCGCATCTCCTGCCAACACCAACAAATCGTCCATCACGCCGGTCGCGTTGTACAGCAACAACTGTAAAGGCAGTGGGCTCTGCTCTGACTCAATCAGAGACGATTGTCAGCAGGCTATAGACAACGTGAATGCTGGTGCCACTTACTCTGACCAGGCCCAGTTCTCAGTTGGCAATTGCTACAGTAAGCCTATAGTCTCCATTTGCGCACCTTGCACCTTGTGAATGACACTCTCATCGCCAGTGATCTATGCGACGAATGGTGCCGGAGCTCAGCCTGTCAGTGGCCAGACCATCATCGACACCGCCGACACTATCTTGTCGTCCTGCTCGGACACGTGCGGCAGCTACGGAACGAACAATAATGGGTGCTCCGCGTGTCATGTCACGCTAAACTATCGATCTTGAATACTATGGATTGCTAGTCGAAGGTGAGTTCTTGATTACTTGACCAGCGGGGGTTTAGTCCTGCATTCTCAGTTCTGGCTGATATGTATGTCGTTAGTGTCATCTAGGGTCTTATTACAGAGACCATGAGGTCAAACACACCTTGGGGTTTAGATTACATCCAGTACTGGATGCACGGCAGGTGTCCGGATACCGCGAATAAATTATGTCTCTCTGTAACTCCTGTAAACGAGCATACCGCTAGCCTTCAGTTCATTCTCAGAGTCACAGCGTCAATGCCTTGCACAGAGATCGTTTGTAATGGTACAGCTTCGACCTGATCGGTGACCCTGAGACTCATACGCATCAGACACTCACGGTCTAATCCTTCTCTGGTGCGTTACATGGGCTTTCAGGAGGCGCTGTCTTGCAATTTAGATTGTCGGACAGGAACTTCGCAAAGTCGATGACTTAAGCGTTGCGTGCTGACGTCGAAGGATATGCATGGTATATGTAATGAGTCACGTACGGAGAGGTATTGTAGTTAAGATGGCGTGTAACTTACACGCGACATTACTACGACCAGCGATACTATTATATCTTCCTGCCATCATAACCTTCGTGTAAAAAGCGAGATATGATCTTCACCATGGGCTGTCTACGATCGGGATAGTCGAACTGCTGCGAGTGATCAAGGTCCGGGTAGTACAGCACCTCTAAGCCATCCTTCTCCCACCTGAACGTGGTCTCGTCCGTCCCGGTCAGATAGCGCCTGACTTGCTTGGCATCGACGATCTGGTCGCGCCCGCACAGCACGATCGCGCAAGAGCGCCCGTCCAGGTCGTCCTTCCACAGCATGTTCTCGAACCAGAAGAAGTGCCGCGAAAGTGCACGCGCGATATCCGGGTCGCGGCTCGCGAAATACCACAGCTGCCACTCATTTGCAGTGCGCGGCTCGCGATATACAAAGTTGTACGCTACCGCGGGCAAGTATAGCAGAAACGGGATCGGATCGACGAGCAGCGTGGATGCTACGCGCGCAGCGAGCGGGGCGTCGCGCAGAATGTGGGCCGCGAGGACGGTACCGTAAGAGTGGGCGGCAAGGATGAAGGTAGGTAGGCCGTGGTGGTCGAGGACGCGCGTGAGCGCGGAAAGCATGGCGGGACGGTGGAGGGGCGGGTAGGTGATGTGCATGCTGACGGCGAGGTTTTCAATGGCCATGATTCCGACCTCTGGGTCTTCGGCCGCGATCTCACGAAGGAATGTCACATATGGCCACAAGCCAATCTATTATCGTGTCAACCCAGTATTTCCTTCATGAAACAATGTAACGTACCCCAATTCCATGCAAGAACAGCACCGGGGGCTTGGTTTTGGAGCGGTGCGGACGATACCAGTAGACAAGGTCGGATTGAGGAGACGGCTGTGACAGCAGGGATATCCACCGTGGGGGAAAGCACCTTATGGAACTCGTGTTGAAGTGCTTAAATCCGCCTCGAAGCAGCAGAGTACACGTGATTGTATCTACAATCGAGACAATCTGAACATATAAGCACCTCTATGAGCAGAGTCCTATAGGCACTTACAAGGTACCAGAACAACGGCCTGTGCACCGTGACGACCGGGTCCAATGTCGTGCGCATAGACTTGACAGTCTCGCTACAGCCTCGCGGGAGCTTGCTCCCCGTGGCCTCCTCTACTCTAGTTAAATAGTCCTCTATCTCTTCCACCCATTCTTGCTTCATTCCATCAGGGCGAGCACTGAATAACGCCCATAGTAGCCACTCCTTCATATTATCACGTTTAATGGACGTTTCTGGGGAGTTGAAAAACCAGCCAGTGGTCATGTTCGTGCCGGCCATATGGGCAACACATCGCAGGAAAAGGGTTTCGCGCTCTGTCTTTGACAATGGGGGCGGATGGACGGCTGCCTGCATAGGTAGTTAGAACTCTAGAAAACACACTCATCAAACTAGCGCGCCCGCGAAACCGCATGCACTGTTTGTGCATTGTCCTGTAAGATTTCGCGTTTTGGCCTTAACGAGGCACAGCCATCCCCTACGTGAATACGGCTGATGCCTGATCATTCACGCCGCTCACCTTCTGCAACCAGTAGCTTCTGGGGACATATACGAAGGCATAGAAGATTGTCTCAGCAATGGCATAAAGTCCAAGCCAGCGACAATACAGAATTTCACCCGCATACAGACTTGTTAGCGTGTATGCGACGCTCAGAGGAGCGACGAGGCGAAGACATGCGATACTGGCGCGAATGAAGATGTACTCGGGGAGAGAATTCCCAATCATCGAGAACGACTGAGTGGTTGACTATGTCTGAGGTGCGCGTGCGGCGTCGGCATGTATGTGTGAGAATGACTAGAAGTTGGGAGCCAGATGCGCCGCTGTGCCTTGGGGCCTGGTGGACACAGCGAGCACGTCCGAGAGCATGTTGCCTGTTTTCCCGCCACTGCGGCCGGCCATTTTTAGAACTCCGCCTCCGTCTGCCGAGCGGAACGGGACAGACTGCGCGAACTTTCTTCGGCGCCCTCACCCTTGTCGACCGCTCCCACCACCCACCGTCGACGTACAATGGCCAAAAAGAAGAATAAGCAGGTGCGTAGTAAAATCGCTGCCTCAGGAGACTTATTCACTCGCACGTAGGTCCTCCGCCCTTGGTGTTGGTACTGTGAGCGGGAGTTCGAAGATGAAAAGGGTGAGCGCATACGCGTCTCCAGCACTTCGTGAAAAGTGCTTACCGAAAACACTCGACAGTTCTAATGCAGCACCAGAAGGCCAAGCACTTTAAGTGCAACCTATGCCCCCGACGGCTGAATACGGCGGGAGGTCTAGCAGTTCATATCCAGCAGGTACATAAGCTTGAGCCCGAGAAGTGAGTTTTATTTTCTTGTCCTCCTTTGTACGTTGCTGATACAATCAAGTCTTCCGCGGATTGAAAATGCGCTACCTGGACGTGACGGATACGAGGTGGAGATCTTCGGCATGGAGGGTATTCCCGCTCCTGATATCGCGGACTACAAGCGCCGCAAGGAGATTGAGCTTGGTCTCAATCCTGGAACCATTTCTCAGCCTCAGAACAAGAGGCCCAAGCTAGACAATCGCGCTCTTACTGAAGAAGAGCTTAGGGCGCAGTTGGAGGCACATAAGGCGCTCATGGGCGCAAGTGAGGGAGCGGCTGCGCCTGCGACGCCTGAAGTCGCCTCGGGCGCTGTCTTTGGCGCTCCAGCACAAACGTATGCCCTTCCGACGGCTCCGGCCCCTGGTATGGTACCTCCGCCCTCAGCATCTCCTATGGGTATGCACCCAGGTGCGCCGCCTTTCCCTCATGGTGCGTTGCCGCCGCCTGGCTTTCCAGGCGCCCCTCCCTTCCCTCCGCCTGGCATGTCATTTCCTCCAGGGTGAGTCTGGTAGCTCTTCATCAGAATCCCCGCTCATTTTGCCGTCACAGTATGTTCCCTCCGCCTGGTTTCCCAATGCCGCCTCCGCCATTTGCCGGCTCCCCTCCACCTGGAATGCCTCTTCCGGGGATGCCACCTGGCGCCCCTCCTCCAGGCATCCCTCCTTTCCCTCCTGGTGTACGTCCGCCATTTCCACCACCTCCATTCCTCCCGCCAGGTGTGTCACCACCCCCTGGGTTTTCTTCTCCAAACGGTATGATACCTCCCGGTATGCCACCGTTACCAATGCGTACCACGGTGTCGACGTCTCCACCCCCGCCGGGTGTGCCGGGAACTCCAGCCCCTCCGCCAGCAGCATCTCCTGTGCATCAGGTACCAGCATCAGCACCAGCATCAGCAGCTTCGCCTTCAGTGGCGAAGACGCCCCCTCAGCTTACTCTGCCAGACCCCACTATTGCACAGACGAATCCGCCGTTCAAGAAAGATACTTCACTGAAGTGGTCAGATCCGAATTTCTCGCCTGTAAGTGTATCTTGCCATCCCGACGTCAAAATTGATCCAATCCCGTGATTAGGAAGAGCATCGCGCCATCCACCCGAAGTATTGGATCGCGAATACTTCCGAGAAGAAAGGGGACGGCCAGAGTGCCGCCTCTGCAACAACTGCCCCTGAGGAGAGCAGAGGAAAGAAGCGGGCCCGGGCAGAAGACTTCCTGTAGACCGCTCTGTCCAGGTCACTTCTCCTTCATTTATTCTTGACGTTATCTATTTGTACAGCAGTCGGCTGATCGATTCGGGGAAAGGCGAGAGAGCGAGATACGGAAGGAGCGGGGCCTTGTCCAACCAGTCCGTCCAGTCCTTGCATGCTGCTCGTTCGTTCCCTTCGTTCTGCTCATTTCTCCCCATCATAAGTGTCTCACGCCGTCGGACACAGTATGGTGAGACCGGTACGAAGGCTCCCTGTTTCTCTTACTTCCTCTGTTACTCTGTACGGTTGGTCTTTTCTTTGCCCTATGCCAGCTTGATGTTTATTGCCAGAATTGGAGCAAGGTTCGTGTAATTCATGAGAGGCTGAGCTACTCACATTAGGTGACTATTTACCTCGATAAGCGCACCGAGGATGCTGTTGAACGATTCATAAGCCTCAATAACCCTTGACTCCGCCCGCCGCACGCTATATGTTCGTGCTCCCACTGATCAGCAGTGTGTTCGCGAACTGATCCCAGAGTTCCCAGGAATGTAATTCAACGAAATGTGGTGTCCCGTGTTCCGCCATATTCTAGCATGGGTAAGTTCTGAGGCCTAGTGAGTGCAATTCTTCTACAGTAGCATGAGTATTTCCAGCGCACTGGCGCGTCATATATTTGTCTGCACGCAATCATTTCCAGGTTCACATCCACTTGTCTATGAATCTGGCCTGTCCATTCGTACCCACACCATCTGCTACTCCACCTGCATTCTCTCTCTCTTCTTTCACACGGGTTCTTAGCCTCCCGGCAACACTTCCTGCATATTGAGCGGACGGCAGTCACCAACTTTTGGGTAGGGCGTGATGACGGGATATCATCCACTTACGCCCTAATTTGCTCTTCAATCAGTGTACTCCGTGAGGCGGAGAAGCGACTTGTGGGAGTGTAAGCAGAGCCGGATTGTAGCAGAGCTGCTAGCGCACGGAGGGAATTGAAAGTGTGGGTCGCTAAACGGGCATGTTAGACTGATACCCGGTAGAGACCAGTCTATGATCGGGTTCAAAATACTGCTACACATGGTGTACTGGTATGTTTCTCAACATGGAGCATGATATTGCTTGTCAAAAGCGTGAACATTTAACAGTCCATTCTTGGATCCTCGAAGTCTCACCGTGTCGGAGTCGAAAGTCTTGCCTCACGACCAGGTGTCATGAGTGGGTAGGGTTTAACTTTCAATGGCCATGAACATTGTTGGCGGGGACTTACTGGTGACCACGCCCTTTCGACAGGCATGGTTGTAGGGCGAACGTGGGGCCGGATAGCCCGGTTGACACGTATAGGTGTGCTACATCGCTATGTTTGTAGTACGCGTGGAGCATGCTACGCCTTCCAGGGATGCAGCTGATCGACCGGTCGGCAGTTGGCCGAGTGGCGGTATAAGGCTAAACCTAGTCTAACGTGGTCAGCGTAAAATGACATTGATCAAATCATCCGCAGGCACACGTTTCAAGGCGTTGAACATACCCTTGTACTCTTGTACGGTCTCAGACGGCGTGCATACCTCAACCGCATTCGAACAGCAGGCAGAGTAGTCGAGGTCGTGGTGACCCGGCGGCGACGATGCAGAAATGGCCGGTTTTTGCTAGCCAACCAACCGCACTCTCAGACGGTATAATAGGGCAGGAATGTGTCCAGGTAACTTAGGCTCTCGTCCATCTTCCACCCAGCAACATGAACTGTTACAGTAAGCGGCTCCTTGTTCTCTTGCTGAGACGTGAATAATGTTCGTCACACAGACATGCTGCATATCGTCTTCCTACTCGCCGCCTTCGTCGGGTCGGCATTCGCGTACAATGACAACTGTAAAGGCAGTGGGCTCTGCGGTAATTCAATCAGAAGCGATTGCGAGAAGGCTATAGACAGCGTGGATGCTAGTGCCACCTACACCGACCAAGCTCAGTTCTCGGTTGGCCATTGCTATAGTAAGCTTGCAGCCTTTATTGGTGCACTTTGCACATTGTGAATGATACACTCTCGCCGACAGTGATCTATGCGACGAACGGCGCTGGGCCTCAGCCTGTCAGCGGCCAGACCATCATCGACACTGCTAATGAAATTCTAATCACCTGCTCCGTTCAATCGTGTGGTAGCATCGGCACGAGCTACAACAATGCCTGCCCCTCATGCCACGTCACGTTGAACTACCGATCGTAATCCATCAGTTATTGGAGGTACGCGGTGTGAATATTGACCTGTACTCTGACTGATCAATGTCTCTTCCGTCGCTCCAGTTTGTAGAGACAGTGGTTGGGAGAGGACATAGTATCCTCGGAGCTAGGGATGTAGAGGTACATGCTGTATACGACGCACCAGTGGATATCCTTAATCGTGCCATCTCCAAATATTTATTGAGCACAGCCACCGACTGGCCACCGCATATTGTGATATGAAATGCGTAACTCACGAAGCTAATGAGCAAGATAGGTATCATGTGGCTATGTACAAATTTATCACCGCTGATGCACTCTGGGCAACGAGCAAACGATACTTACGGTTGTGGGTCACGTGATCGCGTATGGTTCCTGACGTGTTTGCTAGCTGCGCGCTGGGTCAAACACCGCTAATGCTCTCATCTTCAGTTTTAATACCTGTCAGGAATCCAACACCAAGAAAAGTCTGTCCGCAGCGTAACAGAGGTGTTGCAAAAGAACCCCGAGTCCGTAGACGTCTGCTGCAGGCGTAAAGATATGCTCTGGAATCACCTCCAACATTTGCGGCTCCACCGTCCGGCGATGCAGATTTTGGACGCCAGACTGCACCGGGCAACCCAGGTCGCCAATTATTACGGGATCACCATAGAAGAAATTTCTGGCAGGAGATTGCGGTGTGTCAGCACTAGGGAGAGGAGATATGCAATACCGTCGACGGTGTGGGGAATCCACTTGCAGATGTTGGCGATGAACCTGTGCATGATGGAGGCCACAAAGAAGTTGTAGGGGTATCTGAAGAAGGCTTTGAATTTGTCGTCTGTAGTCCTCTCTGGCAGCTGCACCATGCACGGCGAGCCTAGACACTTCAACAAGATCTGGATCTCTTTTCGAGTCCGCGGCTGCTTGGAACAGTGGGATGTGATGTCGAAATCGATGAGATGAAGTGTCACAAAGTAAGGCGTCATCTCAATTGGCTCGACGACGTCTGAACCGTAGGGTTCTGATTTAGAAACAATGAGGGTGCGAATCTTCTTCCAACAGGCTGCAGGTCTACTGCAGGTTCGGGATATCGATGAAGGATGTGATTACTGACTAGTAGTTGAGTTAGAGCAACGGGGACTCGGTCGGTGAGCGCATTTGTCCATGAGCGTGGCGATGCCCGTACTATGACACGTACACAACAAACGATCAGATCTTGCACTCCTCTTGCGCGAGCAATATCCTCGTTTATCTGGTGTAGCTGATCAAGCTGCCCTTGTTTATTCCTCAAAGCTCGTTCCTGCATGTTGCGACTAAGTAATCAGGCCATCTTGGGCAGCGGCCTTCACGGGGGCGTGAAAGGTTATCTTGGACTCACTAATCATTTTCTGACCCCGCATACACTTCTGCGTATACGGCCTGAATCATAGGAAACACGTCTTGGGTGATGGCACAGGCCATCCCGATGACTACTAAAGGCCGAGGGCAGGGGATTTGGAATACCCCGAAGCTCTAATAGTGAGAGCACGCCTAAAGACCGACTGTAGATCCTTCATGTAACATGTGGAGGTAGCGAGCATCACTGGAATGCCTAGCTATCTACATATCGATTCTGTGGGTCTAATCTACTTCGTTCAAACGTCCGCTCAGTGAAGTGAGAAGAATCCAAATCTTGTCACTAAATGAGATATCGAAGCCGCTCTAAGTCGGTTTATACACCAAGTAGGGGCGATCTGCAAGTCTGAGTGAAGTTCGGAGGTCACAAGCCCGAGGCACACGATGCCTCGTGTGGAGTTCATGTAGGATCTTCTCGAGTCTCGGCGCAGCCTGATCCTACCGTGTGTCTATGACCAGGCATAATAACCTGCGGTTCGAAAGATTATTTGCAGGGCGCTCTTCCCTTCGTGCTTATCGCGTAGCTTTCCCTTCAAGTATCCGATTCCACCTACCACATACATTCGTATAGACAGTGGCCAACATGCTGAAAGAAGGCTATAGCAACATACCCACACCTGGGCCATACATGGTATTCAACGCGAAGAGCGGGACCGTTCTCGACCTCTCAGGAGCAGATCGCCAGAGCGTAATAGGCTATCCAGCACACTGGCGAAACAACCAACAAGTATGTATTTTCTATACTTCTCTAAGGCTGAGTATAATCGTACCATCAGTGGGAGTTCATACCGAGCGGGAACGGTTATGCCATTCGATCCACCTGGCCTTCTGACAAGTACGATTGCGGGCTGTACTTGACCGTACGGGCAGTCCAGGACGAGGAACCTATCATTGCCACCCCGTTTCCGATGAGCTGGGACGTGCGTACAGTCGACGAGGGCTCTATTCAGTGAGCGCCAACACGATCGCACGCCGGCCTACGAATTTCTTATAGGCGATTTGCAGGATTTACTGGCCAAACACTGGATTCGTCTTCGATTTGGCAGGTCGGGGAAGCGCCGCTCCTAGCACGAAGGCAAGTATCGGCGCAGGTGTTATCAGCTAAGCTCCTCAATTTATAATCTATTCACCAGGTTCAACTCAAGGAAGTTAAGCCGCGAGAGCCTTGCCAAATCTGGAGACTCGTTCGCCAAGAGGGGAAGTCAAACTACTCACAGAATCAATCCAAGCCCTCAATTACCGAGACCGTCACGGAGACCAAAGACGATCATCGCATTACTACCGTCCGGACGACGACGACGACAATCACCACTGTCATGGAACCAATGGCACGTGCTGCATGATACTAGAAATAGCCGTTTGCGATGGTCAACAGAGATGTGAAGTGCATACAATACCATTCGAGGCGTGTGCGGGAACTGTCGAGTAGAGATTCAGTGTAGCTTGGGTGACAAGGTTGGGCGGAGAGATGACGGCGCCGTGCGCAAGGCTGAAATTAGGGGTCCCTCCTAAGGCGTGATAAGTATCTAGTCACAGCGATCGAGGATGTGTGGAAGCGACTGACCGACGGTGAAGATAACAAGATCAACGCCCCTGTCGACGCCGGCTGCTTGTGCAGTTTGCCATGCGCGCCGGACGTCGTCGACTACAAGAGCATCGCCTTTCACGAGATGAGCCTTGCCAGAGGCGACGTATTTCCTCGTATTTCTGGATTGTCGAGTCTTGATTAAAAACAGGAGGGGAACGGAGGAGAAACGTGACAGTTGCTCCTTTCTCTAAAGTAGGTTGCACAAGTTCCTAGAACGAATACTAGATTACATTCACTTGAGGCCAATCACGAATCTGCATCAGAGAGATACAGAAGCGCTCGCGCAAAGTCTGCAAGGTACTACAAACAATGCCAAATACGCCAATGGCATGCGCTCACCACAATCGTGGGACCGAATGGTCCAATTGAAGATCTTGATGAGTATAACAGATCTCACTGGTGCTCTTGGGCTGCATAGTCCGAGTTCCGGTATTTGTTCCGCTACCAAAAGTTGGTATGCTCAAGGAGAGTGGAACACGAAAATATGATTATGTACTACTAGTGAGCAGATGCATTTTGTGTGTTCGCCATCTCTGAGTCAGAGCCTGCGTTCCCCACTACTCGACTGTCTTACAATTTGCACAACTCCCCCACAGGCCCTTCCAACGACCCTTCCAATCATATAAAATGGCGACCAACCTGCTTGCAGTACGTTACGCGGGAGTTGCCATATCGAGGTCTGAGCGCGACGCGTCCGCGTTGTGTATACTTAGATCGCGACGACGCGTTTCGGAGATAAAATCGCTTACGTAACTCCGAAATCGCGTCTTATTAACGTTCGGACCCTCCAAATTGACAGACTAGGCCTATGTCTCCAGCAGCGGCGTCGCTTTACATGCTCTAGATCTGGACCACGATGAAGGAACAAGTATGCTGACGATACTATGTACGAGGCCGTCACCTGGCATACCGCTCCAAGAACGCCGGCCGTGTATCAGACTGATCCTGACGCCCACATGTCCTATCCTGGCCAGCCTACCCATACACTCGCACGTTCATTCGCTTTGAGAGGGGATTTCACTGCCTACCAGCGACTTGATAGAAACACTCCCATGCGGGGAAGAGTAGCAGCCTTCATGGCGGTAGACCACCTCTGTCGCCTATGAGCGCAAGGACAGCCCTCGGGAACTCTCCTGCAGGACTTTCCCTTACGCGTTTCCCTCAACAAGAAAACTTCTGTAAACTCTCCCAGGCTCGTATTCAATCTACAACGTATCCTGTTGACAAATTACGCACAAGGACAAACAGAGGCTCAGGCCTCGATAGCAGATGACAACAAGGTGATTTGAGTTCGAAAGCTAACAGACAGAGCTAACAGACAGAGAACACAACATCAAAGACAAGACTTACACCGCTACTACTCAGATGTCTTCTCAGTTCCACGTACTGCAATCCTTCTGGAACGAGCTTGCTCCAACAAGTCCCTCACAAGCTGCACCTCATCGAGGACCTGCTTCCCAATCGGTCGTCTGGTGGTGATTTGGACCAACGTGTTCTTGTCGACCAAGTACACGGTCTGCTGAAGTAAGTTGGCCTTCTCCAGGTTCTCTGTGACGTTCTTCTGCGTCTGGGCCTTATATTTGTCGCGCGCACTCTCCCAGCGGCTCTCTCCCTCCCCCTCCCACTCTTCATCGTCCTCGTCGCCCAGTATGTCATCAACGAGGTTGTTGATGTGCTGCAATGATTTGGACCGCACGATGTAGGTGGGAATCTTGAAGCGCGCACAGTTGCGCAAGATCGCGATGTCCGTTGCCGTGAAACGGGTGTCGATCAGCACGATGATTGCGTCGAAGACATACAGACCCTGGTCATTGAAGTATGTCCAGTCGGGCACTTCAAGTGTCCCAGCTCCAGGGACGTCATACCACACGAAGAAGTCTTCGTTCGGGTCGGGGTAGCGCGTGATGCCACGCATCGTTTCGACCACGCCTGTCGGGGCTACGAACGGGCTCTTTGAGCCATTACGCAGCCCGCGGAAAGCGTTGATCAGCGACGATTTGCCTGCACCTGCAACTCCCGTGACCGCGAAGTGGTAGAGCCCCTCCTGATACTGCAGACGCCGCTTTGTTTCCTCCAACTGCTCGCGCGTCGGCAAGATGATAGGCTGTATGCCATCCTTCAGCTGACGTTCCGCACGCTCGAGCGCGGCCTGTAGCACTGCGGCCTTCCTGTCGGCAGTGGATTGCGCTGATCTCAGCCTCTCTATCTCCTCCTCCGAGCGACGCAAGCGTTCTTCGATCTCCTGTAACGTTGGGTTTGCGCCTGTGTCTCCAGCGCCGGCACCGTTCCGGGCAGCCTGCATCTGATTCAAGATTGCCTGGACAGCACCAGAGACGAGAGTAGGGCCTACGCCACTCAAGAATGAAGTAAATGGTGATGGTGGCGGTGGTTTGGACTGTAGACCTCCCATTATGTTATGAAGGTATAGTATTGAGGCTGCGAGTGAGACTAGTCTTGGTTGCAGACGCGAATGGCGTCTTCGACGACAGAGGAGTTGAGGAGAAAGGACGATTGTAGCCGATTGGGTGTGTGCGAAAGTCACGGCCAATGAGATGGTGGTTACAAGGGAGAATGCAGGAGAGCGGGAGACGGAGCTGGGTCTTCTACCGACGTCGTGCAGAACGCAGGGACACAGACAGAAACACCCCGCTCGTCCCTCATATGTCCTCCGATATGAGGCGTGAGACCCTGATCCCTCTGTCCAGGAATGCTTATGGTCCGGCCATACAGACATGCTGCTAGCATGGTACTCGGTCGTGGCCTCTTCATGGTGTGCATTCCCGCTGTCAGTATATCCGAGGAAGTTCCGTGGTTGGGGCCTGGTAAGCTTCTTCGATGTACCAATCGGTATTTCCAATTAGAATCGGTGCAGACCGCCGCCCACAAAGCAAATTTATGAGTGTCATGATGTTAACGAGGAACACTGGTTGTTCAGGGCCATCCGGTACTGAGACCTTTGTTAAGCGTGTTCTGTCTGTGTCTGTCCAGCGGATTTTGGTCGGTGGGGAGTTTCATCAGGTGCGGGAGGCTCTCACGGTGAATGCACACTCCGGATGCCAATTAGATAAAAGAAGCCGTCAGTGTATTGGTCCAAAATCAAGTATCACCCCTTCGGAACATCGCAGACCAAGACCGCGTGCACATTCGACGGAGAGGTGCCAGTACTGCGAACAGTTCTTGAATTGATATCACATAATATATATAGCTACGAGCGCAAGGATGTTGCCGTGATCCTCACCGTTAGACTGGCAAATCAAGAGTGATATACTCCATGGTCTTGCCTCGTTGTCACGAGGAGATGATACACTTCAGAGCTAAATCTTTCATTGAGAGACGGACTGTGGCCCAGCAGTCCGAAGATTACGGTTGGTCACCAAATGCTCACGACGCGAGGAAGCCTCGTGTAGCTTATATTATTGATCTCCGTTCGCGGAGAAGCATGATAGGGATGCTGTCGAAAAACCTGTCCGGAAACTTTCATAAAGCCTAGGCTGGCCAGGTCCTCAGCAAATCCACCGCGGATCAGATTTAATGAAATCAGGTCCAACAATATCACGCAGTGCACGTTGGGAGGTGAGGACTCTGGGGAGCGATAGTGAAATATTCACAGGGACACATCATACCTACGACAAAACAGCTATGTCTGTGCTGGCTTCATCTTGCACTGTCTATGAGTCATGTGGAATTGATTTCGGAGCGCTGAGTGATTCATCGGAAATAAACATGATCGTAAAGTGCGGTGAATGCACTAGACGGCGGTTCAGATTAGTACGATCAAAAATCTCAGCACCCACTACGCACCAGAACGCGGACCCATCAGAGCACATAATCAATCCTCCACATCTCCACCGTCATCACAACTCCCACACCCCGCTTCATCGTCTTCATTCGTCCGCCTCTTGCGCTTGCTTCTGGACTTCTCCCCGACCGCCCTCTTCTTCCCTTTGGCATCTCGCGCAGCCGCGGCCACCTTGACCACGGCCGCGATCTCCTGCCGGGCTGCCTCGTGGGTCTTCTCGTTCCCTGGCGTCGTCGCAAGCCGATTGAGGACCTCTACCTCTTTGCGCCACACGTCCATCCCGCCAGTGGCGCCGAGTCCGCCGCCTGCGCCCGGCGTGTCGAAGGCGGGGGTCTCGAGGATGAGCGGGAGGTCTCTCGTGCGCGGGTCAGCGAGGACGTGTGCGAAGGCGGCAAGCCCGAGTTCGCCTCTGCGAATACGCAACGGGAGCGATCAGCAGGGCATGATGGTGGTGGCGAGAAGACTCACAGCCCGATGTTCTCGTGCCTGTCCTTCTTGCTGCCTAGGGCGCCCTTGCTATCGTTGAGATGCATTCCGCGCAGATACTTGATTCCGACTTCCCGTTCGAATTCGACCACTGAGAGAGCAATAGGTCAGGATGGCTTGAACGCGATATTGAAGCCGAGCGGCTGCGTACTCGTAGCACTTATAACAGAGAATGTCACTTAGCGAGTAGACGAGACGTTGACACCGACTCACTTCCAGCCCTCCTTCGTTCTGATTTCGTATCCCTGAGAATGTTTCATTTTCTTTGCATCTTCCCATATAAGACCGAACGACGTACCGCTGCGAACATATGGCCTATAAAATGGGGAGATTCAGTGTGATCCCTTAGATAGGTTGGCGTGATGCGACTGACATGTGTCAAGGCAGACACCGACTCTGGTTTTGTCGTCGACCTGCTCAATGATTTTGCCGAGATCTGAGAAACGAGACCCTACTATGTTTCCGGAGCCTGCCTTCGTAGACCACTCGCTCAGTATTCGAGGAAGGAACGTATGTGGAGAACAAACCATGTTCTCAAGCACGATCACTGCGTTCTGAGTCTCCTTGTGTGCTCTATTGATGCATTCAGCGATCAGCGATATGGATTCGTCCATAGTTGCTTGTCCAACAGTCGAGCCAGGACTGCCATGCGGAGCGGTTCGTGAACATGAGGGAGCAGCGGTGGAAAAGCGCTCGTACTGGAAATTGTATAGACGCAAGCCAAGCTCCTCACAGCGCTTCAGATCATCCAGGAAACACTGATAGGACTTCTCCCTTTTATCGCTGAGAAAGCACGCAGCTAGTCCGTCATGTCGCCCAAAAGAGAGCAGAACAGAACATTATGCGCACCTGTCGGGATTGCCCAAATTGACGAGGTAACTTCCGTGAGGCAGAATATGTGACGGTGAATATCCAAATGTCTTCATACGGGATTTGAATGAAGATACCGAGTGCTCTGTGAAAGCGGAAGAGGTCCATTTGCGTTGTGACTTGACAAAAAGGGCAAACGCGTTTGCTCTGAGCTCGGTTTGCAGTCAACCAAAATGCTCGCAGGTGTGAAGATACATCGGCAGATACTCACCCGACCTTCGCGGCATTTATTATGGTGTTTTCAACGCCGCCTGCTGCCGAGACGTGTGGGCCGATCTTCCACTGACTTTTCGCCCTCGAGCTAAAGTCAATGGGAACAGGCCCAACCGTTTCTGTCTTGTGATGTGCAGGCTTCCTGGGAGCTTTGGAGGGGACCGCTCTATACTTTGCTTTATGGTTCTGGGTGTTAGAGATCAGTTTTGCACGAGTATTCCTCTCTACACGAGCGCGTTTTGCCGGTCTTGCATCCATAAGAGGAATCTCTCTCTGGTCAGACAAATCCTCGTCGTGCACCTGCGTAGGAGCAGCGGTGGCTCCTGGGCCGCTCGCTGGAGCAAAAGTGGATGCGGTATGGATGAAGCGAGCACTGCGACGGAGGACGACGCCAGACATGACATACACGTTCTAGCCAAGGAATAGCAAGTTCAATGAGCGTACAGACACTTTGCTGAGTGGGCACTTGGTTCAGGCCTCCGCAGGTAACTGCTGGTTCAAGCTTGTGGCTTGCAGGACGCGCTGCCGCCACGCGATCACGTGGAGTCGGGTCGGGTGCATGTCCCAATATGGAAGGTGGCGTAGTTGGATGCGAGGTGGGGCAGGCTGCTTCATCCACGACGAGCGGTGGCGTCGGCCGTGCCGGCCGTCCCATACGATGATGTCAGGCCCTGCTCTTCACATATATAAACCTCTCTCGCTTTCTTCTTTTCAACCCACGACACCACTTCTTCGACCACCCACCTATTTTAATTGACCGTTCACATTTTAACATCCGCCATGAGCCATCTTGTACCGCCTCAGGAAGAGAAGGTTACAACCTCTACAAATACATGGCAAGGAAAGCTCCCCGTTGATCACGAAATACCTCCTCAGTATCAGTCGAACGCGTCCGGTGCCAACTTGGATTCCAGCTTTCTTGTCCCTCCCCAAGAAGAGAAGCGAGCAGATACTTCTGGCAAAGGTATGATAAATAGCGTGCTTTTCATTCACGGCACCTCTGACAAAAGTCGGATACAGCACCCCTTGACAAGGGTACAATTCCACGCTCCTTCACTGCGAATGTTCATATAGCTGACGCACAACTTGGGGATCAGGTGTCGACCGTCTCGAGAAGGAATTTGAGTCCCGTTCTGTGCGCAACGATACGGACGACAGGGCCCGCGACAGGCAGATAGCCAGCTCTGTTCTTTCTGGTGCGGCCGGCGTCACGGGCGAGGATGTTGGCGTCGCGGAGAACCAGCGACTGGTATAAACGGGGTGAACGTTATGACTTAGCGTTTCCACCTTAAGAGGGTACCAACTGTACTATAGCATAGAGTGTGTATTTGTATCGCTACTGGCCTCAACATGCATACGAGCAGCCCTGTTTGATGATGACGCCATGTCAGGCGAAGGGTGCCACGATCTTCATTAAGACCGATAGCGGTTCAGTTTCGAGGCATATATCACCGCGTATCCGGATTTTCTCGTCCCTCTCGTCACATTGCCGTGATGAAGCGTGACCCTAAGGCATAATGAGGACGACACTAATAGCTATGAGCCCGCGACTTTTGGAATCAAACGTGGGATGATCACTACGGCTCAAGATCTCACCAACCAAACTATAGCATGGGTTCTGCACAACCCGCCTACGGAGAGCGAAGAATCATACTGGGAGCATATCGAGATCGGCTGCGTGGGATTCACTGCCAATCAACAATTGGTGCAAGTCTGACATTGAGTCATGGCCCTTGGTGTACAGCCTAACGCCCGCCCACGACGAATCACATCCCGCAAAATACACCATGCACCGGCATCTACAAACAGGTTTTGTGTGGTGATGTGGGTCCCATCACCCTAACCACAAGAAGATCAAGATTACCGCATGGTTCTCCGATTATCGTGGGATGCAGCTTGAATCCGGGCACTCACCCGGGTGTCCGTTCAGAAGCGGGAGAGAGCCACCGAGCAGACGCCCTTCTAGACTCATATAAGAATTGGGGCAGAATTGGGCGGTCCTTTTCTTAGGCTCGAGGTCCCTCGCTGCAGCTTATCGATCCTATAATCCCAAAGTAAGCGCATAAATGATAAATGATGCGTCTATCCCACTAAGCTCGCAAATCTTGTAGGCACCGTCCAATGACCTCCACAAACGAGAATGTGAATTCAGATGGTATGCATCCGATCACGTGATGTCGGTCACGCTGATGTGGCACCTTCTGCAGGGATGCGCCACACCTGGGACGAGGCGGCGTTCTTCTCCATGATTAATGCCCACCGCGACGCACCAGTCGATGCTTGGCAGAAATACCGCCTGTGGAGGGAGTCCTGCGGTATTAAATTCTCCCTCGACACAGTCGAAGTGTGGTACGGCGACGCACCGTACTATGTCCGCATAGTGGATTAGCCAGGGTCGCTTTCTGGGGGAATTCTGCGCTTAAAGTATGACCTTCCACAGTATGATGCCCACGTTCTTGTGCATGGGGACGATGTGCGCACGATCGAGGCGTTACCGGTTCCACCAGAAGAGCCCTACGACCCTGACGCTGTCGACCCCATCGACGACGATGCGAAGAAGCTCTTCTCGATGCTGCCACTCGTTCAATTTGACGACACTAAGCACTTCGCTAAACCAGCGCGTACTCTGAAGGAGATTGAGATCCTGTTGAAGTGTCAGGGCTCGCCATACATCGTACAGCTCTTGGGCAGGACGCTGGACGACAAGCTCGTCTTCCCGAAATACCGCTATGACCTCTTCATGGCGTCTATCATACACATATCTGTTGTCGATATACGCAAATGGATGATCGACATCGTCGACGGCATCACATACCTCCACTCGCTTGCTTTAACGTATCGTGATCTCCTACCACGCAACTTCCTCTACGGCAAGTCGATAGTCATATGCGATTTAGAGTGCAACCTGGCGTCCAGAATTTGCGCAGCTCCAGAGCTGCATACATTCGAGGGAATTCCGGAGAGCGCTTTCACGCCAGCCACTGACGTCTACGGAATCGGAGTGCTGTTGCAGCACCTCTGCCCTTACATCGACTGGCTGGTCCCGCCGCCATTCGACAAGATATACGAGGCGTGCACGCAGAGGCGTCCTGAAGACAGACCTACCTTGGCGCAGATTCGTGCATGGCTTGAGGAAGTCTAGTAGTCGATTTTGGGAACGCGATTGACTAAAGTTTTGCTCCCAACATTTGATGTCTACGATAACTGTATTTCATACAAATTTATTGAGCCTAAGTATGGGCATTCATGTAGCCTCTGCAGCGTAAGACCCGCCTTGCACCCTCCAATCCCTCGAAGGAATGCCCGCAGACTACTAACGTTCTCATAGCACAATGGGGGTGTCTTCTTTGGTCTGCTGGAAATGTTCATCGACGCTGACGACCTCGCGCTCTTCACCACTAGGCATAATACGTTCACGCGAAGCGGAACTGAAGACGAGGGACCACACCGGTTGTCCTGAGGAGCCGAGGCTGGCTACCAAGGACTGATTTACTTCACATTTCGTCGAAGATGGCACGGGCCAGCGTTGACGTTCTCAGCGATCTGGATGATGGTTGAGTCCTCGACGAGAATATCGGACTTGTAGCATTATGGCTTGTCCGCCCCAGCAGTGAATGTTGCAATGGTCCCGCCCTTGAGAAGGTAGGATTTATTGGAAAGGTCTGTTCGTTTTGCTCTGTTGGCGGCATGCGGCGGCTGGGTGATTGAAAAATGTCAATAATCGCTGGAAGTTGGTGCGATTCACGCCAGAGCAGTTGGTTGTCGCACGACAGCCGCATGATTTCACGATGCTGTAGTGGTACACATACTAGACTAAAGTCACCAGGAGACCGACTGGCTGATGTCCTCGCCATGCAGTTGAGCCCACCCCCCTTGCATCTAGGATGCTTGAACACGGTGTGATTGACCACTATACATGTACTCTTGGCATTGCTTCATGAATGTATGCATCATATCGGAGTTTCTGGTGTTTCAGCAATCTCGTGCAGACTGTTCGATTGTTCGAGTAAGTGCAAGATCAAGCGATAGCCGAGGTGGAATAGAGCGCGCGATCACACTCGATCGCCCACACCATGACTTTCTCGGCCAATCACCCATGTTCGCGGCCGCCTTCTGGCGCAGACTCGTCCCTCGTTCCTTTGCCCCCATCGTCTCCCTGAGTGTCCTCAACATGGCGAACGACACCGTTAACGACAGCGCCGTCACCCTGCGCCGCCATCCGAAATACTGGCTCGACGACGGCTCGCTCGTGGTGCGCACGCAGAACGACCTCTTCAAAGTCCATCGCACGCTGCTACATCGCCACTCCTCTGTCCTATCCTCGCTTTCGAGCGACCAGTCACAAGATGGGGGTGAGAGCCGGTCGATCGACGGTTGCCCGGTGGTGCATGTCCCCGACGATCTAGACGTCAGCAGTGCCGACTTCGAGGCGCTCTTGGAGCATCTGTACCACGACTTGTGAGTGCTAGCGATGGGCCGTCCCGGATAGGATGCCAAGTCGTACTGATCGTCCTCGAGCCCATTAGACCCCGAGGCACCGTTCGCACGAGTTGCTTCTGTCCTGCGTGCATCTTCGAGCCGGCAGCTCGACTTCCCTGCGATCCACCAGCTTGCACGGCAGAGACTAGAGAGTCTGTTCCCTACAGGACCTCAACCTGCATTTGACATCGAAAATCCCGACGACGCCCTGACCCTGGCCGTCGACTATCATGTATATTCGGTATGTGCTCCGCATGCCCTCGAATTGCCTCTACTGAAAGCATTTGACTCGCGATAGATCCAGAAAGCGTTGTTCTACACGCTAGCCACACACGCGAACCTCGACCACGACGAGCCCGAGGAGTACGCACTTCTCGGGACATCCGCCCAAGGCGCTCCCACAAACGCCAACCCCTTGTCCCGCTTCAACCTCTCACCCACGCTCACGACTCGCTGCCAGGTGCTCCTAGACGACCTCATCGCACACTTCACGCCGATCCTGTTCACCGTTGCGACCGCAGGGCACATGGCGTGCACGGACGTGTTCGCAGAGAAGTGGATGCCGCTCGTGATCACGCCCGCGCTTGCGAACAACGGGCTCTGCCGTCCGCTCGAGACGCTGCAGACGATCATGGATCTCGACTGGGCGGCGGAGGGGCTGTGCGAGGAGTGCGTGCGGGAGAAGAGGGCGGAATGGAGAGACGAGCAGCGGACAGTGTGGGAACGGATGGACGGATGGCTGGGGCTTGAGGGGAAGGTCTAAGAGATCGTTGCAAGGTGAGCACTAGAAGCAGATACTAAATGTGTAATAGGCATCGATGCGCGACGACGAATGGAACACGACGAGGGGAAACCTACACGTCCCAGATTGATGTTGAGCGCTTCGCTTTCGGTTGAATGGCTGGGCTAGCCAACACAAGGTCACCGAAAGATTCCGTCCTGTTCATAGGCCCGAAAGCCACAGGACCACCCGCCCAGAATATCACACGAACGCTCAGCTGTAGGATGAGGTCATCAGTACGTCGATCCTTCGATTGGCCACTGAGACTCACGAGATCATCGCAAAATCCGGCGGTTGTCCTATTGCCTCCAGGTGCGCGGGCGTGAACCGCAACCACTTCCAGTGATGTTGACCTTTTCTAGACGCCCCAGGCAACGCAGACCTGTATCGTCATCGACGAATTGCAGGGTGAACCCGTCTCCGATGATCGCCTTCAACTCGGCGAGCTAGCCATCGAGGTCCGTTTTCTGCATCAGGGTTTTACGCCAAGGCATCAAGGCGTAGTACCCTTTGGTGGTGGAGCGCAAGACGTCGTCCGCGTTTATGAAAACCTTCAGGAGCCCCAGGAAGACCCGTCAATTCGGGAGCGTTTTCGCACGCAACTGCGCCTCCTGCTGCTCGCACGCCTCCTGGAAAGCTACCATTGCATGGATCGCCCGGGAGTCGTGCGCGAGGAAGTCGACGAGGTCCTCGAAGCGAACATCCTCCAGTGTGTTCGCGTGTGCAGGGTCGTCCTCCGGTGTGTTCGCGCGCGAAGGGTTGCTGCCGCAGTCTCTGCGTCACCCCATTTTTATTGAATCATGAGCATACACGTACGCGAAAAGTCATATGCAACGGGACCCCCGCGCGCGAAGAGTGCGGAGTAGGTGTATTTTTAAGCATAAAGTCATGCACATCCAAGAAGTCGTACAGCAGCTCCAGCCGGCACTGGTGCGGCGGGACGCCCTTTGCCGCGTAGATAGCAGTGAGGTCAACGCTGGTGTCCTGATGTTTGTCGTCTAACCACATTTCTTCAAGTCGGGCCATGTTGCACTCTGGCCTGACGCGGACGGGTGGTCGCGATGTCAGGGTCTAAGCGCATATATGCGGGTATACGCTCGCTGACGCACTTCTGGGTCTTCCAATCCTTCCGTTGGCACTCGCGACTGCAGGAGACGATCGCTTTGCAATCTGCCCTTCGCGTAGTGCGTGCCTTTTGCAGGCCACTGCTCGTTAAATGCGCAGCAGTGGCTTTTATCGCGGATTAGACCAGTACTAGCCGCGCCAAACGTGTTATGGTGCATTGGTTGCTAGGTTTGGGCAGGACCGAGCAAAACGTCAGGAATGGTCTTTACATGCATGCATACCTGACTGCTTTAGCTCGTAGGAATTCTGTGTTGCTCCTGCGGGATATTGTTTGTTGAGGACTAAGTTCAAAAACAAAAGAAACGAGGAGAGGGGAGACAAAGACCCGTGAGGAGTCTGAGTCTGCGGGCGGTCATGCTAATGTGATTCCGGTTGGCCAGAAAGGAGTCCATTAATTCTAGCGGTTGATGTGCATCGGTCACATCCTGTCAACATGGCGACAGAGAAGCCCACGGCCTCACGCGTCACACCGCCAGTGGCGAGTCCGGGGGAGTCTCCTTAGGTTTCATTTCCCTTCTCAACGAACCGTACAGCATTCCTATTTAAATCACGTATGGCTCGCAGGTAGCGCATGGTGGACCAAGCATGGACGTAGCTATTTCGTCGCAGGTGACGTGTCTTTGCGAGTATTTCACTATCAAACCTCATCTCGCGATGTGCACTGCGTGATGTTGTTGGACTTCATATCATATACTTTGTTCTGTGGTGGATGTGATGGGGTTCCAGGCTCTACTGAAATAATCACTCTTGATCGGCCAGGTTAACGGTGGATGGCACGCGGTACACCTGCAAACTTCCGAATGGGATCACGGCAACATCCTTGTGCTGGTAGCTATATAAATTATGTGTAATATCAATTCAAGAACTGTTCGCAGTACTGGCACCTCTCCATCGAATGTGCACGCGGTCTTGGCTTGCGATGTTCGGAAGGGGTGATACTTGATCTTGGACCAATACACTGGTGGCTTCTTGTATCCAATTGGCATCCGGAGTGTGCATTCACCGTGAGAGCCTCCCGCACCTGATGAAACTCCCCACCGACCAATTTCCGCTGGACAGACACACAGAACACGCGACAGCGATGAAACGCCTCCTACACTCAACAAAGGTCTCAGTACCGGATGGCCAGTGTTCCTCGTGAACATCATGACACTCATAATTTTGTTTTGTGAGCGGCGGTCTGCACCGATTCTAATTGGAAATACCGATTGGTACATCGAAGAAGCTTACCAGGCCCCAACCACGGAACTTCCTCGGATATACTGACAGCGGGAATGCACACCATGAAGAGGCCACGACCGAGTACCATGCTAGCAGCATGTCTGTATGGCCGGACCATAAGCATTCCTGGGCAGAGGGATCAGAGTTTCATACCTCATATCGGAGGACATATGAGAGACGAGCGGAGGATGTTTCTGACTGTGTCCCTGAGTTCTGCACGACGTCGGTAGAAGACCCGACTCTGTCTCCCGCTCTCCTGCATCCTCTCGTAACCACACATCTACAGTATCCACATTCTGTACGAGCTATGGGTAACGAATTTTCCACCATTCTGACACTGGTGCGCGGCATGCAGGCTGCCCGTGCGAATAAGGAGATCACTCCGAATCCCATCATGGAAGAGCTCGAGGCGAGAGCACGGGAGGCTGATTCGAGAGCACGAAAGGCAGAGGAGAGAGTACGGGCGGCCGAGGCGAGAGAGAAGGAGAGCAGGCAGAAGGAGGCGAGACGCGCCGCTAAGGAGAACGCCAAACGCGACGAGCAGGATCGCGCATTTGCAGAAAGTGCGAAGCGGAAGGCAGAGAGCGACGAGGCGAGCAGACAGAAGACGCGAGCAGAGACACAGAGGAAAGCTGCGGCCGCCGAGGAGAGCCGTAGGCGTGTCGCGGAAGACGAACAGAGGAGAGAGAGCGCGCGCACGGTTGCTGAAGAGCAAGCGAGGCAAGCTAAGCCCAAGGAGAAGAAGGCTCTCACGGCCAAGGAAATGGCGGAGAAGGCTGCAGGAGAAGCGATAGCTGCGGCTGAGAAGGCGAAGAAGGCGTTGCAGGAGGGTAGCAAGCCCGTCATCACGCCGACGCTCGGGGAGTTTGAAGCGACCAAGAAGCGACTGGGGTATAGAGATGGACTCTTCCATTTCGCCGTTGCGGGAACCTCTGGAAGCGGCAAGTCGTCGTTGATCAACGCATGCCGCGGTCTGCGGAACGGTTCGGACGATCCATCCGTCGCGAAAACCGGCGCCACCGAGACCACAAGTAACATCTCGCGCTATATGGACCCAAACGAAGCGAACCCTTTCGTCTGGTACGATATCCCCGGCGCAGGGACGCTCAAAGTACCCGATGCGGAATACTTCAACGAACAGGGTCTGTATGCTTTCGACTGCATCATTGTCATGATGGGCATCCGCTTTACTGCGACAGACGCGGCGATCCTGCGGAACTGTGCGCGCTTCCAGATCCCCTCGTATATCGTTCGCTCAAAGTCTTTGCAACACATCGAGAACATCAGGAAAGACATGCTAGGAGACGACGACGAGGAGGATACAAAGGCGTACATGGAGGAGGCGATCGAGAAGTACATCGCCGACACCAGGACCAATGTCGCCGACAACCTTGCTGAGGCCCAGTTACCTGACCAAAGGGTGTACATGGTCGACATTGACAACATCTGCAAGATTGTGAAGGGGAAGAAAACGAAAACAGGCATCGATGAATGCGATCTGATGAGGGGTTTGCTTTCGACAGCGCGAGACAGGAGGATGAAGCCGAAGGCATGGTGGCAATACATGTACCGTCGATACGTATCATACTGGTAGTATATCACATGACCGCGAATGGTACTTGCACCGCTCGTTCTGTACTTGGTTCTTTTTACGTAGTATTTGCTGGCTACAAGCTGGGTCAAACACCGTTAGTATTTATCGTCTTAAGTCTCTATCCCTGCTAGAAATATAACAATGCATTCCCCACCATAGCTGTAACAACGTACTTGACATCCGCTGCGTGTTGGCCCTCGCCGCCGGTGTGGGGCGCCATGAGGAATATTCGTTGACGTCTTCTCCATAGCTCGAGACGAGTAGAGTATGAGTATCTGAAGTGCACAATTTATCGTTAGTTATGCGGTTTGATTTTTCCAACGGCATGGGCCTCATCTTGCTTCGGAGTCTTCGTCGTAGGCAGACAGAGCTTCGAGTACGGGCGGTTATCCACTGGGCCCGAGACCATTTGCATCTCCTGTGCTTGTCACATCACGTTGTAGTGATGTCTCGAAGGTTTGGCTTGTACAGCAGAAACGTTGGATTTCAGATCTTAGACAGTCATACAGAAGCTACCACAGGTACATCGTGATGATACTCACTTGGTATCTCACGCCGCCCGTGCGGCGCAACTCCAGATTTTCATGAGCCGCGAGCATTTTCCACTCAAGCGCAGTCGTCCTTGATTCTTGCAGACCAAACGACTCTGTCGGTCCAAGTTATTAGCCAAGAGCCTGCTCTCGACTCTTCTTGACATACCCTACAGGTTGAGCCACAACTGATGTGCCCTAGATTCATTGTAAAATATACTCAAGCCTAGTCAAGCATTATGTATGCGCGATGTGTCAACTTTTAAGGGATGCTTACAGCCAAAAAGCAAGACACAATACGGAAAAGAAATGGTTTCACCCCCTCTTCGTTTCAATTTAGATCGGCTATTTGCAATGTCTTAACGGATCTGGACTTATAAGGAACCCACTGCGCCTTCTACAGTTTTGTTGTTATCCAGCCTAAGAATGTATTAACTGTATGCCCTTGTGTTGCATTACAAGGCGAAATTAAATGGACCAGTAGTCGGGCGCACAAACCAGTGATTCAAACGAGGAAATGTCGAGACATTTCGGGTGACGTCTGGGCGTCAGCACCATCACACTGACGGCGACTTTCACACACTTCCAATCGGGTGCAATTGTCCTCTACCCTCGACTCCTCTGTTGAAGACGCCATTCGCGTCTGCAACCAAGACTTGTCTTACGCGTAGGCTCACTAGTACGCCTTTATAGCACAATGGGAGGTGCACAGTCCACACCGCTACCACCGCCACCTCAATCTACTCCATTCTTGGGCGGTTTAGGCACTGTTCTCATCGCTGGTGCAATCCCTGCCATCTTGAATCAGGTGCAGGCTGCCCGGAACGGCCCCGGCGCTGAAAACAGAGGCGCAAACCCGACACTACAGGAGATCGAAGAACGCTTGCGTCGCGCGCAGGCTGATGCCGAACGCGCTGCTACGGAGGTGGAGACTGCCGCTCAGCGCGCCCGGCTTCAGCAAGAAGAATTGTCCATCTATGTGACAGCGAAGCGTATGCTGGAGGAGCGAGAGCGCGAGGTGGAACGCGAGAGGCAGCGCGCCGAGGATCTCGTGCGCGACGTCGGGGAGGAGATGGAAAAGCTGAAGACGGCGCAATCCACTGCCGACCGGAAGGCCGCAGAGCTGCAGGCCGCACTCGAGCGTGCGGAACGTCAGCTGAAGGAGCACATACAGCCTATCATCTCGCCGACGCGCGAGCAGTTGGAGGAAGCAAAGCGGCGTCTGCAGCATCAAGAGGGCCTCTACCATTTCGCGGTCACGGGAGTTGCAGGTGCAGGCAAATCGTCGCTGATCAACGCTTTCCGCGGGCTACGCAATGGCTCAAAGAGCCCGTTCGTAGCCCCGACAGGCGTGGTCGAAACGACGCGTGGCATCACACGCTACCCCGACCCGAACGAAGACTTCTTCGTGTGGTACGACGTCCCTGGATCTGGCACGCTTGAAGTACCCGACTGGACATACTTCAACGACCAGGGTCTGTATGTCTTCGACGCAATCATCGTGCTGATCGATACTCATTTCACGGCAACGGACATCGCGATCTTGCGCAACTGTGCGCGCTTCAAGATTCCCACCTACATCGTGCGGTCCAAATCATTGCAGCACATCAACAACCTCGTTGATGACATACTGGGCGACGAGGACGATGAAGAGTGGGAGGGGGAGGGGGAGAGCCACTGGGAGAGTGCGCGCGACAAATATAAGGCCCAGACGCAGAAGAACGTCACAGAGAACCTGGAGAAGGCCAACTTACTTCAGCAGACCGTGTACTTGGTCGACAAGAACACGTTGGTCCAAATCACCACCAGACGACCGATTGGGAAGCAGGTCCTCGATGAGGTGCAGCTTGTGAGGGACTTGTTGGAGCAAGCTCGTTCCAGAAGGATTGCAGTACGTGGAACTGAGAAGACATCTGAGTAGTAGCGGTGTAAGTCTTGTCTTTGATGTTGTGTTCTCTGTCTGTTAGCTCTGTCTGTTAGCTGTCGAACTCAAATCACCTTGTTGTCATCTGCTATCGAGTTCGGAGCCGCTGTTTGTTGTTGTGCATGTAATATATCAATAGGATACGCTGTAAATCGAATACGAGCCCGGAAGACTTTATAAAGCAATTTCTTGTTGGAGGGGTCTAGAAGGAGAATCCCGTGCAGGAGAGTTCCCGAAGTCTGTCCCTGTAAGACCCGCTTGTAGGCGACAGAGGTCTACTGCCATGAAGGCTGCTTGATCAGCAGCTACTTTCCCCCGCACAGGAGTATTTCGCTCATGTTGCTAGTACGAATGGGGCCTGCGGTCCCCGGCTACTCGCGCGCCCGAGTTTTCGAGCTCGTTCCTGAACGCGTGCTTCAACAATATATGTGTGAAACGCGCGAGAGCATCGCTAGGGATCTGGGACACGCGAACTTGCCACATCAGCGAGTCTATATGGTCGATAAGGCATACCTCGTACAGGTCTCCCAGGGGAAGCATCCGAAAGACGTCCTTGACGAATGGGATCTCCTGAAGGACCTGCTTTCAGAAGCAAGTGCCCGGCGAGGCAGAATGGTCCTCAATTAAACTCACAGTATGTTTGTTTGTTTAAAATTAAGTTCAGAGTGCCCCGTATCGCCATTCAGTTTGCATACCGTATTTTGTTGCATCTTCTGCCGTTAGTCCACGGTACGGTACCAGCTATCATTTGCGCTTGTGCTCCACAGATGGCCCGATCGACGACTTGTGAAGTGAATATCGCAATAAACGCCGGTCGTAGTTGTTTTTGTTGAGGGAGATAAACGACGCGCAGGCGAGGTTGATGCACAAGGCATACATGAGGAATCGAAGCTGATGCATTTTCAGGTGCACGCCGAGGTGTGGCTGGAGATTCTCATACAGGTCAGGAATCGTGGACATTAAATGCATGCACAATAGTCAGAAACTCCACATCAACTTTACTTCCCCTTCAGCTCGGCCGTAGGAGCACCGCCTCGTATGTTTCTGCTGTACGCATGTTGCTCACGCTAACGTCAGCATAACAACGCAGATATCATGGGAGCAGGTATCGGACGACTCATCTGGTGCGGTGTGCTCTCTGACATGTTGCGACTATCGCCAGATCTGTCCGAGCTTATTCGTAAGCTATCGAGCCCCCAGTTTGCATACACAATGTATGTCACCCAGATTTAGGTCGACTGCCATACGGCGGTGAAGATGAAGTGCTGCCCAGCTATGCAAACTGTGAGGACCCTTTATGATAATATGTGAGCGCTTGCGGTTGTGGCCGTACGTATATATATATGTCGTATCATCGATTTTCCCCCCATCACCTCATTCACAGAGTTCAACCAGAATCCGAAGTACGTTACATTCGCACAATGACACCACGTGTAACGGCTGAGAACTGACTTGATCCCGTTGGCATATTGAGACTCTTTCGCAAGCATGGGTCAAACTATTGCCATGTTACCCCTTATGTCGGCCTTGACATCACCGACCATTGCCCGAGACGCAAAAGCAACCGCTGCCCCGGCACAGATACTATATCAACGCAAGCGTGCAGAGGAAGACAAGCAGTGCAGAGAAGCTCAACGCGCAAAAGCCGACGAAGAGGCTAAGCGAGCCAAAGCCAAACAGAAGAAGGCAAAGGCAGCCAGAGCAGCGGCCGATGAAGCGGCAGCTGAGGCCAAGGCCAGGGCGGAGAAGGCACAGAAGGCGTTGCGGGAGGGCATCAAGCCCGTCATTATGCCGACACGCGAAGAGTACGAGGCGACAAAAGAGCGGCTGGAGTATAAGCAGGGGTTTTTCCGCTTCGCCGTTGCAGGCACCGAAGGCAGCAGCAAGTTATCGTTGATATGTGAAAGGACTCCGCGGTCTGCGAAACGGATCGAACGATCCAGCTGTCGCGAAAACGGGCGTCACGGAGACCACAAGCATCGTCACGCGCTATGTGGACCCGAACGAGGCGAACCCTTTTGTCTGGTCCGACATCCCTGGCGCAGGGACGCTCAGCATGCCCGAGCGGGAGTACTTCATCGAGCAGGGCTTGTATATCTTCGACTGCATCATCGTCCTCATCGACAACGGCTTCACAGACACAGACGTCGCGATTCTGCGTAACTGCGCACACTCCCAGATTCCTTCGTATATTGTTCGTTCCAAGTCCCGGTAACGTATACAAAACGCCTTGAGCGACATGCTAAGAGACGATGAGGAAGAGGGTGAAAAGGCGTGTATGGAGAAGGCGATCGAGAAGTACGTCGCCAAAACGGGAGACAGCGTCGCCCAGAACCTTGAGAAGGCTAAACTGCCGCAGCAGCAGGTCAACGCTGTGGACAAGAAATCGCTCGTCCTGGTTGCAAACGGCAAGGTGCCGAGAATCCTTCTGGACGACTTGGAATTGGTGAAAGATCTGCGCGAGGAAGCGCGGACACGGAGAGTGAGGGGTCCAGATCAAGCGGATACAAAACTGGATTTAAAAAATAAAAAAAGAGGGGTCCAGAGTCGTCAAATCCGGTAGCTTCTTCGTCTTCTAGGGTTGGCTGACTACAAAGTAGATGTTGTGAGTGAGACATGCACCACGGTGTATCAATGTCTAGGAATTGTACGATTACGTACAAAGGTTGAGCGCGTCCAGAGCCAGCGCTAGTGTCTCCAAGATCGCTGATTTCGACAGATATAAACGTTGCTGTTCGGATTAGATCCATGAAAGGGGCTACAATGATCTTTCGTGGAATCGCACACCACACCGTTTAGTGCTTCAACGTGTCCAAGCCACAAGGCGATCTTCCCAGGTCAGATAAACGGTGCAGTCGACATATGGAATGGAAGTGTGCATCTATAGGCAACGGGAACGGAGCAGAGATAACTAAGCGCGAACCTTGTATCTTGAGAGTAAGCCGGAGTCCAAACGCACGTCAAGAACAGTGAACATGCGGGCAGCGGTGCAGAACATGACCACTCTTATCGCGATCAGAGTTGGCAGTGGTCCCAGATGACTAGTGGTTCAGAGAATCAACAGAGTTGGAACTCTCCAGCACCGCTTCCATCTCCCGTGATTGGGTTCGTGCATTGATGTGTCGTAAAATAGCTTTTGCACAGCGCTATATACGATAACGGACGCCGATGGCCGCTGTGTTGTATCCTTCCGTACGGTACCTGTGCACTACGCCGACGAGGTGACGCAAAGGCCATAACAGATGACACAAGAACTTACTGTAACGCTTGCAGCTTGCTCTATTATCATGCCCACTGAGGTCGAGTACACCGCGATCAAGGAGCGGCTCCAGTACACCGAAGGCTTCTTCCACTTTGCGGTCACCGACATCTCCGGGAGCGGCAAGTCGTTGCTGATCAGCGCATTTTGCGGATTGTAGAACAGCTCGCGCAATCCCCGCATCGCGCACACTGGCATTGGCGAGACAACAAGCGAGATTGTGCGGTATACCGATACGAACACGGCAAATCCCTTCCTGTGGTACGATGTCCCGGGAGCGGGAACGCTGGACGTGCCCGACTGGAACTACTTCAACACCCAGGGCTTGTATGTGTTCGACTGCATCATCGTGCTGATCGACACGCGCTTCACCCAGACCGACGAAGCGATCCTGCGCAACTGCGCGCGGTTCCAGATCCCGACCTATATTGTGCGCTCCAAGTCAAAGCAGCACATACAAAATGTCCTGGATGATTTGCCGGAGGATGACAGTGGTGATGAGGACGGTGAGGACGATGCAAGGATGGAGAAGGCGATGGAAAAGTACATTGCCGAGACGCAAGACAGTGTCGCGAAGAACCTTGCCCGCGCTAAGTTACCCCAGCAGAAGGTGTACATGGTTGACAAGGACTTCATGGTGCAGGTCGTGAAGGGGAAGCAGCCGAAGGACTTCTTCGATGAATGGAAGCTGCTGAAGGACATGCTGGCAAAGGCCCGAATCAGGAGGGTAAAGCCTTCCAGCACTCGAGCTTAGTGAGGACCGGTTCGCGTTTCATTTGCATCCTGATATCACAAAGTCGAGTTGAATATATATCTGCTGTGGTCGGTGTAGTTGCAAAACAGGACAAGTAACAGAATCACCGCGCGGAAGTCGACCTTCGTTAACCGGGATCGCGCGCTTCCATGTTCTATGAAACGCGTGACACTGCATCGCGTCGTATCTAATCCAAGGCGTCGGCAGGGGCACGTTAGTCTGCGTGGCTGACCATAAACGGACATGGATGACAATCGATCCATATCTAGTATATGGTCTGCCGGAAAGCGCGCCCACTTTACTGGACCATCGCCTTACGTCCCAAAAAGGAAACGCGGCTGCAGCTAGGGGCACGTACAAGGTAGGTCAGTCTTTGTATGTCAGGAGAACAGGGCCATTTAAGCAAAAACAGCAATTGGCACATCAATCAAACCGCCAACTGCAACCGCGTTGAGAATCCCAGTTGACTATACTGGCAATGAGATAGCCCCTAAAAATAAACGACTACCGATAAAGTGTTTGGAGGCTGGATTCCCTTTCACTACGTACCACGAGTGCGAGCGTTAGAAGCATACAGCACATGTCGCGAGGGGTATATAAGAGATGAGCAGGCACACGTAACACCAGAACCCAATCTTCATTACACACCCGGGGACTCCGCACTGATACGGGACCTGAGGCTCGGACTCCTCTACGACCAAGATCGGGCGCCTATCCGCATCTCCCGAGCTTTAGCTTACTCCCTTCCACGCATCAGCCGCCTAGAAGAGAGTCAGCTTTGTCTCTAGTGTCCTCTATCGCATTCACGCATCCACAGCAATCTCCCATCACCAGCGCCTCTATCATACCTAACATGGGCGTCGCGCAGTCTGTCGGCGTCGTGGTATACGCCGTAGTAGCGATTGCACATGGGATCTTCAAATTGGTGACGGACATCCAGCGTGCCCATAGTGCGGGAGAAATCGCCGCTAATCCTGTCATGGAGGAGATTGAGGAGCGCATGAGGAAAGAGAGAGAGGCGCAATGGGCGAAACTCGAAGAAGATCGGAGGCAGATACAGGAGTCCAAGGAGAGGGCGCAAGAAGCTGAGGGGAGAGCGAAAGAAGCTGAGGGGAGAGCGAAAGAAGCTGAGGGGAGAGCGAAAGAAGCCCAAAAGATGGCAGAAGAGGCGGCGAGATGGGCGGCAGAAGAGGCGGGGCGCATGGAAGAGAGTAGGCGGAGGGCAGAGGGCGCAACGCGTGCGATGGAGGAGGCGAAACGCATCGCCGAAGAAAAAGCAAGGCGCATAGAGAAAGAGCGTATCCAAGCGGAAGAGGCTAGGCACATTGCTGAGGAGAACGCAGGACGCGTTGAGAAGGAGCGCGCCTTGGCGGATGAGGCGAGACTGCAGGCGGAGGCCGACGCCCGTCGTAATGAGGAGGCTCGCAGGCAGGCAGAAGAGGACAGGAAGCAAGCAGAGCAGAAGAGGAAGCAGGCCGAGGAAGAAGCAGCGGCCGCTGAGGAGAGCCGTAGGCGTGCCGAGGAAGACGGACAGAGGAGTGAGCGCGAGCGCGCCGCAGCGGAAGAGCAAGTGCAGCAAGCTAAACATGAACAGGATAAGGCCGAGGCGGCCGAGGCAGTCGCGAAGAAGCTGGCACAAGATGCGATAGCTGCGGCGGAGGAGGCAAAGGAGGCGTTGAAGGAGGGTATCAAACCCGTCATCTTGCCGTCACGCGAGGAGTACGAGACAACCAAGAAGCGACTGGAGTACAAGGATGGGTTTTTCCATTTCGCCGTTGCGGGCATCTCTGGCAGTGGCAAGTCGTCACTCATCAATGCCTTCCGCGGTATGCGCAACAACTCACGCGATCCACTCGTCGCGGAAACGGGCATCACTGAGACCACCAGCCGCATCACACGCTACGAAGATCCCAACAAGGCCAGACCCTTCGTCTGGTACGACGTACCTGGTGCAGGGACGCTCAAAGTGCCCGATTGGGCGTACTTCAACGACCAAGGCTTGTACGTCTTTGACTGCATCATCGTCCTCACCGATAACCGCTTTACGGCAACGGACATGGCAATTTTGCGAAATTGCGCGCTCTTCCAAATCCCTTCGTACATTGTTCGCTCGAAATCCGCACAGCAGATCCGGAACGTCCTGAACGACATGCCATGTGATGAGGACGCAGGCGAGAATAAAGACGCACGCAAGGATAAGGCGATCCAGCAATATGTCGCCGAAACGAGACGCAGCGTTGCGCAGAACCTTGAGAAGGCTGGACTGCCGCAGCAGCGCGTCTACATTGTGGACAAAGAGACCCTAGTGAAGATCGCGAACGGGGGAGGTCTAAGTACGGGTATTGATGAGTGGGAGCTTATCGGAGATTTGCTCTCGACAGCGCGAGACCGAAGGATCAAGCCAAAGGCATTCTCTCCCGTCTCGACTGCCACTACGTACCTATCGTCCGCTGCGTCGGCGTTGACCGCTCGCATGCGACGCCATGAGGAGGATCCATCGCCGTCTTCTCCATAGTTCCAATCAAATACATGTAGAGGATCTAGAAATGTATGTCTTGCTCTTATGTCGGCATTAGCGGCGACATATAAATACTTCAGCGTACTTCAAAAATATCCGATTGAGTATCTCGTCGTCCTTGCTAGACGTGTTCGCCAGAAAGGTCATGATACAGGATTCAGGAGCGTACTTGCTGATGCATGATCACGCGCTTCCATGAAACGCGAACACGTGATTCTATACAACGCGTCGCGTCTGATCCCAGGCGTCTGCAGAGGCGCGTGTAGGTGAGACGGAGAGATATAAGGTAAATCGGTCTTTTTAAATCAAACAGGGCAGCTCGAGCAGAAACAGCAATTGGCGACTATATTTGGGAAATTGAACTAGATCCCCTTTCACTACGTATCAGAATCATACGCATATAAGAGACAAGCGGACACACATAACACCACAACCTCCGAGGTTTAGCTTACACCCTTGCGCGCATCAGCCGCATAGAAGAGTGTCAGCTTGTCTCCAGCGTCCTCTGTCGCATTCGCGCATCTACAGTAATCTCCAATCATCAGTGTCCCCATGATGCTCAACACGGGGATAGTGGAGTCCGTCATCATCCTGGGCTCGCTGTAAGTGGTGCGCCGCAGCAGGGATTGATACATGGGGTCGTCGGGTTGCTGGCCAGAATGCAGCATGCCCATAGTGCGGGTAAAATCGCCGCCAATCCTGTTATGGAGTTGACCAAGGAGCGCAAAGGGTTTCAAACGGCGGCGCAGGGCAAGTCAAGACATAGGCGCAATGGGCACAATACGGAGAAGAGCGGAGGCAGGTACAGAGGGCTAAGGCGAGGACGCAAGAGGCTGAGGCGAGAATGAAAGAAGCCGTAGAAAGTGCAGAAGAGGCGGCGAGGTGGGCAGCAGAAGATATAGGGCACATGTGCGTGATAGAGGATGACTTTGTCAGCCAGAGTTGAAGCATCCTAGGTGGTATGTAGTTGCACTGTAGAGTTTTCCCCCCTCCGAGCGTAGAACATACCATCGCTAGTTGCCCCACCCTTGCCAACAATCACCATGAGCCTCTGCCAGGCCCGCGTCGCAGGGGCGCTTGGCGAAGGCCTGAACGAGTTCTACCCACGCCGGAAATCGCATGGTGGTGACTTTCACACACTCCCAATCTGATGCAATTGTCCTCTACCCTCGACTCCTCTGTTGAAGACGCTATTCGCGTCTGCAACCAAGACTTGTCTTACCCGCAGGCTCACTAGTACACCTTTATAGCACAATGGGAGGTGCACTGTCTACACCACCGCCACCACCGCCACCACCGCCACCCAAATCTACTCCGTTCTTGGATGCTGTTCTCATCTCCGGTGCTGTCTACGCAAGCTATGCCATCTTGAACAAGGTGCGGGCTGCCCGGAACGGCCCCGGCGCTGGAAACAGAGGCGCAAACCCGACACTACAGGAGATCGAAGAACGCTTGCGTCGCGCGCAGGCTGATGCCGAACGCGCTGCTACGGAGGTGGAGACTGCCGCTCAGCGCGCCCGGCTTCAGCAAGAAGAATTGTCCATCTATGTGACAGCGAAGCGTATGCTGGAGGAGCGAGAGCGCGAGGTGGAACGCGAGCGGCAGCGCGCCGAGGATCTCGTGCGCGACGTCGGGGAGGAGATGGAAAAGCTGAAGACGGCACAATCCACTGCCGACCGGAAGGCCGCAGAGCTGCAGGCCGCACTCGAGCGTGCGGAACGTCAGCTGAAGGAGCACATACAGCCTATCATCTCGCCGACGCGCGAGCAGTTGGAGGAAGCAAAGCGGCGTCTGCAGTATCAAGAGGGCCTCTACCACTTCGCGGTCACGGGAGTTGCAGGTGCAGGCAAATCGTCGCTGATCAACGCTTTCCGCGGGCTACGCAATGGCTCAAAGAGCCCGTTCGTAGCCCCGACAGGCGTGGTCGAAACGACGCGTGGTATCACACGCTACCCCGACCCGAACGAAGACTTCTTCGTGTGGTACGACGTCCCTGGATCTGGCACGCTTGAAGTACCCGACTGGACATACTTCAACGACCAGGGCCTGTATGTCTTCGACGCAATCATTGTGCTGATCGATACTCGTTTCACTGCAACGGACATCGCGATCTTGCGCAACTGTGTGCGCTTCAAGATTCCCACCTACATTGTGCGATCCAAATCATTGCAGCACATCAACAACGTCGTCGATGACATACTGGGTGACGAGGACGACGAAGAGTGGGAGGGGGAGGGGGAGAGCCACTGGGAGAGTGCGCGCGACAAATATAAGGCCCAGACGCAGAAGAACGTCACAGAGAACCTGGAGAAGGCCAACTTACTTCAGCAGACCGTGTACTTGGTCGACAAGAACACGTTGGTCCAAATCACCACCAGACGACCGATTGGGAAGCAGGTCCTCGATGAGGTACAGCTCGTGAGGGACTTGTTGGAGCAAGCTCATTCCAGACGGATTGCAGTACGTGGCACTGAGAAGATATCTGAGTAGTAGCTGTGTAAGCCTTGTCTTTTATGTTGTGTTCTCTGTCTGTTAGCTCTGTCTGTTAGCTGTCGAACTCAAATCACCTTGTTGTCATCTGCTATCGAGTTCGGAGCCGCTGTTTGTTGTTGTGCATGTAATATATCAATAGGATACGCTGCAGTGTTGGGCCAGTCGTCTGCCAGTCGTCCCAGTCGTTCCCACGACTGGGGCGATTAATCGACGACTGTATGACAGTCGAAAAGTCGCGGCGACTTTTCCCACGGCTTGCGCAGACACGGCCCGATATTCACGTGCGCAATTCTGGTACGCAGGCGCCCGAAGAGTCCCAAAGAGGCATCGGATCAAGGGATGAGGGGGCCCAATGACTTTACTTGGCTGCCTCTGTCATTGAGAGATCTATTTGACTTCACCGCAAGGATGGAAAAGAGGGTTGGACAGATTTGCAGGATGAAGTTGAGTTGTATGAGCTTCTCGACTTCTCATCTTCAATGCAGAAGATAGTATTGACTGAGTGCTGAGTCTCTGCCAATAGGATATACATGTATTTTCATTTACATATCTTGCTAACATCACATCCTGTTGTGTACATTATTTTGTGGCCAAATCTCCCTCCATTCCCGCATCGCCTCTAATGTCAGGTGTGACTGAATGGTCGTGGGAATAGTCGCCGCCGTGGGAACAGTCGTCGTCGTTTGTAGTCGTTTCGACTGACATCATGCGACTAAACGACAGTCGCACGATCATTCGACGACTCGCACAACACTGGAACGCGAGCAGCACGCCGAGAAACTCATGTATGATGTAGGAGATGAACAGATTCGGTGCGGCAGCTATAGAGCTGAAGATCGCGCTCGAGCGTGCCAAATCTGATCTCAGGGGAACGCATACAGTTCGCTGCTATACGAACGCGCGAGCAGTTGGACGAGGACAAGCCTAGGACCCCACCATTGCCATTAGCTCCCTCTCGAGATGGCCACCCTGATCCTCGTGTGAAACAAAAGGTTGTGCTATTTTGAAATCTAATTCATCAGAGAATGTTAAAAACATCTGAAGGTTGCGGATGCAGAGGATGAACGAGATGAAGAGGAAGCAAAGCAAGCCGAAGTGAACGGGCAGACTATTGTAGAACGTCACAAGGCCATGGAACATATGGACGAGGGAGACATGAAACCCCAGAACGATGGGTACGCTCAAAGACAGCGTGAGACCAACATCGACCCCATCCTGGATGCGGTCCTAGATGCGCAGGATGCAGATACTGATGGTTCTGGTGGAGGAATGGCAGAATCAGTCATTCTATTGCGGCCCGGCAAGACCCGACCTCGATCAGAGGGGAAGCGGGTGGCTAGCGACTTTATATTTCTCCTGATGTCCTGATACCACTAGCTCTGCAAATCTCAACGTCTGCTATATACAAAACGACCCTTTGTCATAGCTCTATAGCTGAGCGTTGGCGTTGAGCTTTTGCAAGTGGATCGTAGCTGCGTTCGTCTAGATATTTTCTCGGATGCCTCCCTTCGCACGCACCCCGCTGAATCGCAACCCGGTGCACCGCACCCTGCGCAAGCATCCCTCCCTCTTCGGCATCCCCTTTGTGGTCATCATCGTCGGCGCGTCCTTCGCCATGCAGAGCTTTACCCAGACACGCTATGACCTCCACGACCAGAAGGTCAGCCAGGTGCGTGCGGCCCTTTCCTCCTGAAGGCCCGAACATGACCGACGGCTCCGGCATTCCTACTACAGTTAAGCAAGGAGCAGGAGCTCGGGCTCGCGAAGAGCCGCAAGAAGTTTGACATCAGAGAGGAGTATTTCGTGCGTAGCGTACTTCCTTCGCTGCTCATTGTGCTTCTGACAATACCCCGCAGCGGCTGAGCGCTGCGCAGGAGGAGGACTGGGAGCCTAAACGCATTGAACGTCCCAAGGGCCTCCCAGAATGGGGTGTTCCGCCTCCGGAGCCTCCGACGAAGCCAGATAAGCCTTGACATGCACAACACATAGTACTCGCTTCCGCAGCGGACCCTCGAGTCGTTTCCTATCACCTACTCAAAGCCCATGCATTACTCGGTGTTCCGAGCTCAGCATAACGACGCTACGATACACAGTCCGACGCAAAGAGATGATTTGCCACAGCCCCACACCTGCAGCCTCAAAACTCAGTACAAAACCTTGCTCAATCTCTGCACAGAGTTGAGCAGGATGTCGCCCTGCCGGATAACCGTCTCGTATTGCGCGTCCTTCAGCGGTGGCCGGTTTGTCTCGACAACGCCGTGCACCTTGTCGATCTTGCAATGTAGTCGGCCGGACGCGATGAACCGCGAGAGCTCACTACAATCCGCACCAGATCAGATGGATGAAGAGCCGATGCATAGAAGGAATCAACGGTTTATGGCTAGACGCGTACCTGTCGACAAATTCGGCGCTTGCTCCAAACGAGCGCGCGAGGCTGTCTAGTGTGAGGCTGCGGTAGGACTCGAGGAGTTGGGAGTATGCGAGGATGCGCATTTCACGGACGTAGAAGCGGGTGTGTGGCGAGAGGAGACGGGATGGGATGAGGTGCGTTTGTTCGAGGGTTGCTGTACATTTTGCAGTGTCAGGAAATGGACCCTATGTAAGTGATTGGATCGAGCATCAGATACGCACCAAGCGCAACAAAGAATTTGTCGTAATGTGAGTCATAGAGATTCCTCATGAGTTCGGCGAGATTGGGCAGCTCTGGGAGAACTTGTGAAACCTCGGACGCACTGATGAGCTGCATGTACAGTTTGGTCTAGTTACAATATGCGAGTCTACCGGAGTACGTACGCGTTTCTTCAGGTCGACTCTTTTCAGTGTAAGCACATTCGCAATGATTGTATATGACACGAAGTCGTTGTATGAGATCAGTTCCGTTGCTGTGAACGTGGCGAGCGCGTCGAGCAGGAGTTCACCGCCGCGCTTGAATTGTCGGATGGAGAGGAGGTGCAGGCCTTTGTACACCTTAAGCCGATTCCGCCGGTCCCAATCACCGCCCTCCTCGATCAGCCTGGCGAACTGTCAACAAAAATGCGCTGCAGAGAAGCAGCACGGGTACGCACTGCTCAGCCTGGTCGAGGTGCGCTTTGATGATGTCGAAATCACCAAAAAAGAAGCCGACACGGACGAGCGTGAGCACGATATCGATGCGCGAGCCCAAGCCTGCGGTCTTCTCCAGCGCAAGCTTCTGCGCTTCCAGTGCGCGCTCCTGTCTCGGGTGAACATACGCATATCCGCGAGTGCGGTCGGGAACGTACCTTGTCGCCGATCTGGGTGAGGTAGTTTGCGCGTGCCTGGAGGGCATCTGCGATGTCAGACTCGCCTTCGACCTTCTTGGCCTCCTCGAGGCGCTCCTCGAGGCGGGCGAGCTCGGCGACGTTGGCCTGCTCCATGGACTCGAGGAGGGCGGCATCGAGGGGTAGGGCACCTGCGGCGGTCACGGAACGGTAGTACGGTGCCATCTCTGTCAAATAAATGAAGACAAGAGTAGAGGTCAGTGCTAGCGCTGCGAATGGGTGCGCAGGACGCACGGTCGGCTTTGATACCCTCGAGGAGCTTTGTGCGGGCATTGTCATGGAGGTGGGTGAGGGCAGGCTGGGAGAGGACGAAGAGGTTCTGAGGAAGCTCAAGGTTGGGGATGGGCAGGACGACGTCGTCGGGCATCGTGGTTGTGGGTGTCGAGGACGAGGAGGAGAACAAGTACAGACGAGACACGATCGACCGACGCGTCAGTGTGATGGGCGCTTACACACACGCGACGCGTCACCTTCATTCACGCTCCTCGTGCGTACTCAGATCTCTTTACACCCCTCTACCTTTCTACACCCGCTATGTCTTCCAAGGAGGACCTCCTCAAGCAGGCAGAGGCTCTTGCCTCCTCAAATCCTGTGCAAGCGGAAGCTTTGTACAAGGAAATCATCAGTACGCATAAATACAACCGTTCTATTGCGGTCAGACTGACGAACGCAATGTATGCAGCAACACCGGTGAACCAGCATGCAGCGGTCGAGGAGAGGCAATGGGACCTCCGGCATCAGGAGAATGCACTCGTCAAACTTGCTGAGTTGTACCGGGACCAGAAGTGAGCATGCTGCTCTTAGATTCGGCGCCCTTACTTCATGAATTCTGCCAGGAATGCCCGCGGTGTCGCAGAGGTCATCACACTGTCTCGGACATTTGTCTCTGCCTCTGCGAAAGCAAAGACGGCCAAGCTTAGTACGTATGACTTCCACCGCCGTGAGGGCATCCACTCAAGTTCATGGTATATGCAGTTCGGACGGTGTTAGACTGCTTCAGCGCTATTCCTGACAGCCAGAAGATACAGGTAGAGGTATTGACTGAGAACATTGAGTGGGCAAAACGCGAAAAGCGCATGTTTCTCAAGCACAGTCTGGAGACGAGGCTGGTCGGGATGTGAGTTATATGCCCATCGGCGAGTTCTCCTCGAATATTCGACATGGCAAAATGTCTTTGACTATGGCTGATACTCTTCGCCACAGACAGCTAGACACGTCCCAGTACAAGCCTGCCATTGCCTTAATCGACGAACTGCTAGGTGAACTGAAGCGCCTAGACGACAAGATGATCCTCACTGAGGTACATCTCCTGGAGAGCCGGGTATATCGTGGGATTGGCAATCTGGCGAAGGCAAAGGCATGTTTCTCCACCCTGTCGCCCTCACTGCCGTCTCCTAACAGCCGTGCCAGGCGGCCCTGACATCCGCACGGACAGCAGCCAACTCAATATACTGCCCCCCACACCTACAGGCGCGCCTCGACTTGCAGTCCGGCATTTTACATGCGGAGGACAAGGACTACAACACTGCGTACTCGTATTTCTTCGAGACCTTCGAGAACCTGAGCACCCAGGATGACCCGAGCGCGCTCGGCGCCCTCAAATACATGCTCCTCTGCAAAGTGATGCTCAACCTGGTAGGTCTTTTGGGCATGCGATGGATGGCATACTGACCCCGCTCGATTGCCCGTGCAGCCAGAGGATGTGACGTATCTGCTCTCGATCAAGCTCGCGTCGAAATACGCGCAGCTGCGCGACGTCGAGAGCATGCGCGCGATCGCGCGTGCGCATCAGCAGCGCAATCTTGCGGACTTCGAGAAGGCGCTCCGAGACTATCAGCAAGGTACCGCCCCCTCGCCGCTCACTCTATACAGCCGCGATGCTAATTACACATTCATGCGCACGCAGAGCTGTCGTCAGACTCAACGATCCGTACACACCTATCCGCGCTATACGACACGCTGCTGGAGCAGAATCTACTGCGCATTGTCGAGCCATACTCTGTCATCGAGGTCGAGTACGTCGCGCAGCAGGTCGGACAGGGCCGACAGGCTGTTGAGCAGAAGTGAGTGTTCTGTGTCCGTGCGCACACCGTGCCCTTGAGCTAAATGAAATGCGCTTTAGGTTGTCGCAGATGATTCTGGACAAGGTGTTCCATGGTGTGCTGGACCAAGGTCGGGGATGCTTGATCGTGTTTGACGAGGCGGAGGCAGATGTGAGTCGGACTTTTATTATGATGCTCTGGTGCGGGGGCATAGAGCTAACTGCTGATTGGTGTTGCAGAACACGTATGGTGCGGCGATCGACACGCTGGAGCAAGTGGGTAAGGTCGTCGAGTCGCTCTACGCGAAGGTCAGTGCCGCCTTCGTGTGTTGCATGCTTATGCTGACGCTAGCATCTCTGTGCCGCATTTCTGCTCGACTCGTTCGATTGGGATAATTGCGCTCGTTGGTTTTAGACTGTCAAAATCGCATAGGTTCTATTGTATTGTATCGCTTTCGGACATATATTCTCTCATTATGACCGCCACGCGTGCATTGGAGCTCATGTTCAGATTGTGTTTGCGTTCGTACTTGCCGTATCATATGGCATTGTGTGACTGACAGCATCAGTCATAGTCTACTTCCTCGAGTGGAAGTAGCGCTAGCCACCTTAGCAGTCAGCGTATAATGCCCAGAATAAGATGAACAAAAGTCCTGGGGACCGGCACTATTCAAGGAGTAGCCGCGCAGGTATACAGTCGCACCACGGCGAGGCTCATAAGCAACAGGCAATGAATTGGTGAGTCGAACAGGTTAGGTCAGTCATATTTTCCTCGTCATACAAGTGCCGCGGACTTTAGATAATGTAGATCTCGTTGTCCCACAGGTTCGGCATCGGCATCATTGGCAAATCGAAGATTCCGACTTCAAGTGTGGCGTTTCCGTCGCGGACGACCACCTCAACATTTCGGTAGTCTATATGTGAGTGCTTTCATTATCCCTCGACGTGAGCTTATTGGCAAACAGATTGCTCTGAGAATACAGCTCTGCTGAGGGTTCTGAAGAATACCAGGGCAGATGACAATGCATACTACCACATCTTACATTCAACATTTGCCAGCAGAGCTCCTCATTGACATTCTCGATGAAATCGCTGCCAGCAGCGCCTTCTCCGCTGACAGGCTGTCTCTTACAGCTGTCCGCTCATGGATCCCAGTCACTCACGTCTGCAGGTACTGGCGAAACCTCTCTCTCGCGTCGGCTGTGCTCTGGAGGACTGCCGAAGTAACAGAATGGGACGTTGAGATGGCCTGCGAGTTTCTCGCGTGCGCGACAGATTTTTACCTGCGAATCCGAATGTCTCTCAGTGACGGATGGCTGAGTCTCTCAGGGCCGAGGCTTCACCGATTCTGTAATATCTTGCGTCCACACAGCGATCTCCCGGAGCAGCCTTCTCGTCATATCTCCCATCTCCAGCGATGTATGAGATAGCATTCTCCCGCTATGGCCCATTCCGGGAGGAGCGACGGCACCCCGACTTCCTCGTCCACTTGATCGCAAAGGTCGCTAGCCTACACCAGGTGGGGTCTCGCTGGCGAAATTCGTTTACAGGGTCGACTGTTCACACACACTGACGCATGCGCACCTTGTTTATCTATGACAGGTTATTGGATTGATTGAATAGGAACACATAGTATTTACCTCCGGACGTGATCAAGGATACCACGACTCCTTGACCTCTCTCTCTCTTGACCGGATACAGCGCGTGTTGATTTAGTAACCACAGGAATGGCAGTACTAATTACAACCGGTAGCGTGATAGATATTCACTTGCTGTTGTTGGATTTTAAAACATGCAGAGGCACGTTCCTATGCCTTGCCATCTGCATACAAGCCACATATTGGACGAGAGGTATATACGTCTATCAATTCCTCGACCGCTGTCACTTCGTTCGATTCAAGCGGAACCTGTGTATGTATTCCCATACGGATCTCAAACAATAGAACCCTGTTCTATGACGCTACCTCGTGAACAGACGTACCAAACACCTTTGAGTGTCCAACCATCAGACATTACCTGACGACGACGCGAACTCTGCGATTGCGCGCCTCGGTAATCAAGTCGTCGAGTAACTCGCGCTCCTCCAGGGCATCTCTCGCCCTCTTACCCTTGGCAATCTGAACCAGGTTCTCCTTGTCGACGACATATACGCGATGGGAGGAAAGCCCGGCACGATCCAAATTCTTGGCAATGCTCTCGCGCGTCTTGCGGATATACTCCTCGCGCGCTCTCACCAATCGCTGAGGGTCGTCCTCATCCTCATCGTCCTCGAGCGGTAGGTCGTTCAACACATTTTGTATGTGCTGCCTCGATTTTGAGCGCACGATGTACGTCGGTATATTAAATCGCTCGCAATTCCGGATGATGGCTTCGTCGGTCTGAGTGAAGCGATTGTCGGTGAGGACGATGATGCAGTCGAAGATGTATAGGCCTTGGGCGTTGAAGTACACCCAGTCGGGAATTTGCAGCGTACCAGCACCGGGGATATCATACCACACCCACGGGTTCGCCGTGTTCGGGTCGGGGTAACGACTGATGTCGCTAGTCGTCTCCGTCACGCCGGTGCGCGCGACCAACGGACCCCTGTCGTTGTTGCGCATGCCGCGGACAGCGTTGATAATCGACGACTTGCCGCTTCCAGATATCCCGGCGACTGCGAAATGGAAGATGCCCTCTCGATACTGAACGCGACGCTTCGTCTCCTCGAACTCCTCCACGGTGGGCGTAAGGATAGGCCGGATGCCCTCTTTAAGGTCCTGCTGCGCCCTCTCGAAGGCGGCCTGAGCCTCCGCCGCCATTCTGTCTGCCTCGGCCCTAGCTTGCTCTGCCTGCTCCTGCTGGAGACGAGCCCTGCGTGCTTCTTCGTCCGCCCGCATGCGCTCTGCCTCGCTCCTGATCCGTTGCTCCTCCGCCGCCCTACGCTGCTCCTCGGCAATCGCCCTGGCCTCGTCTGCGCGTGCCATCTCTTCTTCTGCCTGTCTCCTCTGTTCGTCGGCGAGTCTTCTGTCGTCGTCAGCCCTGCGCGCATTGTCCTCCGCATTGGCACGTGCTTGGTCTGCCTGGATTCTTTCCTGCTCAACGCGTCTTGCGTTCTCCTCCGCTTGTTGCATCCGCGCCTCTGCTGCCTGCCTGCCTGCCTCGGCCTGAAGCCTCTGCTGCTCCGCTAGCCTGTTGCTCTCCTCGGCGCGCTGCCTAGCTGCCTCCGCCGCCCGTGCGGCATCTTCCGCCTGCCTCTGTATGGCCTCCGTTCGCATACGCTCTTCCGCCGCGTTCCGCATCTCCTCCGCAGCGTTCGTATGCATCTCGCGAAGACTGCGCTGCTCTTCCAGAATTCTCAACAGCTGCTCCTGCGCCTGTTGACGCGATTCCTCCATGTCCCTGGTTCTTTGCTCCTGCGCTCGAAGCTCAGCCTGCAGCTGCTCTATAAGAGGGTTGGGGCCGACTTCCTCTCCACGACGCCTCGAGAATAAGCCCCCCATTGCGGCGTATCAAGCTTGATGCAGCGAAGGTAGGAAAGTCGTGTACTCTTGTAGACAATGGCGTCAGAGATAGTTTTACTTCATGAAGTATGAACAAGACAATACCTGGGAGAAGAACGCCTACGAGGGCTCAGTGCAGACTAGTATCCTTCCGAAAGACATTTTATAGTGGACATCATTTAGAGTTCGACCTTGTTACCGAGGCTGCGTCTGAAAATGAGTCCCTCGCATGAACGGGCAGGCAACAAACTTAATATGACTGGACGTGAGATCTACATTCATTCCGGCGAGATTGAACAGGGAAGCACTGGTGAAACATTTGTCCATGGACGTCTCTGGAATGTGTACGAATGGTTAGACGAGAATCGATGATACCTAGTCTCCTCCGAAAACGCAACATGTCTATCGGCTTGTTTGGCTGAATAGTGTATGGTGTGCACGTGGAGGTTGCCATGAGTGAGACCGAGCCTGCAGAGGATGCAACGCCGGAGTTGAATCTGCTTACATAAGGCGAAATCGCTTTCAAATTGAACCAGACTGGATGGCCGTAGTTAGCGGCTTGCGCCGAAGAAGCTGAGCTCCATCCAGATACACAGGTGCGTAGCGTTGGATCCAAAAGAGTGGGCCCTCGTGCGACACGAGTATCGCACGAACGGTATCTATCAGATAGTGACGGAAGCATTCACCACGAGGTGTGATTCTGCATCGTTCCGTGCATTGCGCGCGGCGGCGTAGTAGGCGTAACCAAATTGGGACGGTCAACCGAGCATGCTTCCGAGTTCCTTTGGACAGCCGTGTCAGTCGAGACGTTATACTGGTGTCGAAACAAAAAGCTCCGCGTATATGGATTTTGATAGCTGATTTTCACACCAATAGACTTTTGAACCCGATGTGTCCGTAGCTTTGGCAGGGAATCGGACGGCCTTGAGAACAACGGCCTAGTCTTGTAATATGTGGCTATGACGATACCTTGCCAGGTAGTGACCATGGTCCCGACCATTGATTCCGAATTTCACATCAACCCCGCCTGCGCTTAAATATTCTCGGGTGCGTCCATTAGTACGGAGATGACTCGATTGCCCCACTACTGATTGGTTACTCGCTAGAGCCGCCGCAAGCTGGCGGACGACTCATACGAGTGATACAATTGATATAGACAATCATTCGTACATTCATGGGGTCCTTCTGGACGAAGATAAATAACCATACAGGAATCACAGAGACGATCCATGAAGACCTACGGGTTCCCGAATCCTCGTGTGTGGTCTGTGCCTGCAAGTCTACCACCGATATGAAACCCTGATATCGAGAGCGTGTTCCGGTGACGGTGTTGCACTGGCACTGGCAGGTATGATTCGGCAGTGTGGCGTGTTGCTTCAAGGTTTTCCACATAGCCGTTGTCTCCGATGTGCGGCTGTATGTCGTCGGTGTCTAAGTACGGTCCTTGGCTCGTGGAGAGAATTAAGGGTCCGTGTAATTGCATTCGTCCCTAGTACAGAGCGTCAAACGCCAGTAAAGCATGTACGTGCCATGCTATTCCACAATCACCACATCAGAAGGTGATGTATTCGAGAGAATCCACGAGAAGTTGTCTTGGGTTCGCTTCGGCAGAACGAAGTGAAAATGGGGTGAGGTTCAGGGCGTGAGCTATCGGAGTTGTAGGGCTATTACTACCTTTTTTGGCGTCTGCTTCTGGCTCTTCACCATGCGCAGCTGATGAATACTGGTGTACAGCGAAAGCCTTTTCTCATACTGGATAGTGACATCCCGGCGCGGTGTCTCGACGCGGACCAGCCAGTCGCAGTGGCCTACTGGTGCGTCTGTTAGTGGTCGGAAATCTCTTTGTGACATAGGCTAACCTATTACTGATACAATACCTATTGTGTCTTCGGTTGAGTTAGCGGCTACTGCTCGTACGGCTCATCGAGACCAGGCCTTGACTAGGCCTCGGAGGAAGGTATTCCACGAGATTGTAGGTGCACTGTGCTGTGGGTAGAACTTTGTGGGTAGAAAGGCAACGAACCCCGCGTGCTCCGTGTCACCGATGTGGATAATTGCCAAATTAAGTGATCACCGTGGCCGTACTTTGCGGAGAGCATGCAAGATAGTCCACCTGTTCGCGGAGATGAAAAACACGATCCTGGAGGGCGGTGCTGCCTCCTTCCCAGATGCCCATATAGATGTGTGCCCATCGTTGATGTGCTTCTTCACTGAGACAGGGCATGATCGGTCTTCGCGCGGAATATCATCGGCGTTGACCACTCAATTGGCAATGCGAATCGTAGAGACACGACGCATCGTCCTACGATGGTTCCTTGGCCCAGCAGCTCGGGCCACCCAGTTAGGTCCGCATACGACCCTCTGGCTGTCCGCCACTCCAATTGTTCGAACACATAGGATTATGTTGGCGAATGTGGCGTGACCATGTCATAATGCACGACATCGTTTTGTGTTCCTGTGCATGGAAGGTGTGGCGTCAGAACGAGCCAACGCGTTGAGGTCTGGCAGCGGAAGCCTAGTGGACTGCGGTCGCGTCTACTGCTGGCAAACCGTAGACTCTCCCTCGCATCGTGTTTTAAGGTGAGAGTCTTCTTGCCAGAAACTCCGTCCATTGACCACGTCATAGAGATGCTTCAGGGAGTCCGACAATTTGAGCATGAGCCGGACACAGCCACGACTCGGTGGTTCCTTATGGCTCGGAACCATAGCACCTCTGCTGGAAAGTGGGCATCCCTGACGTCAGCCTATCGATTAGAATAGCTCATCAGTGCTCACAATGGTTCACCTGTGGAGCAGCATGGTCTGCTCGTCAGCATAGGGAGTTTGCAAGAGACCTCCCGACATTCAACCGCCTCGCCACAAGGCTACGCCATTAGCCACATTCGCCCGTGGGTCAGCCCGCATCGGCTTCGTGTACGTCGTGTCAAGCACTGGCATTCTCAGCCCTTCTCCGTGTATTCGACGGGAAATGTCTGATCTCTCCACAGAGACTCAAGACATTGCGTCGCGACGTATGATGTCGTGTGCCAAATTTGGACTGGTCCGATTGTGGTGGTGATTTTTAGGTGGCCGGAATGGTCACGCAAGAGCAGAGTTGACGTCAAGCGAGCGTACCAAGACCTGGGCTTAACAAGCTAGCAGACAATTTCAAAGCTTGGCAATTATGGTTTGAGACATCTCTTCCTACTTTATGCCTTGCTTACGGTGCATGCATGTGCAGAATCCTCAACCAAAAGTATCATCTTGCTGAAGTGGATCCGAATATGAGTCTGAACTTGCGGTGAGCCCCAGTATACCACAATATCTTTCTCATATTTACAAAACGCCACGCTCTTTCAGCTTGATCCCGCACCCTCACATGCTAGCGCATGCGCTGCGTTTGAGGTAGCGGAAAGGCGGCTCTGCACGGTCGTTACGGTCCGGCGGTATTCCAGGTTTGAGTGACAATGGCGAGCTCAGATAAGGTTTCGCTAGTGCAAATCGCAGTTGTGGGGCTGGTCGGGTGTGCTTCTTCGCGTCTTCCTCGCCCTCTGGGCGTACGCGTCCATGTGGTGAAGTGACGTTGGTGGGAATATATATAGAGGTAAAGCGGGGCAGTGCACTCCCAGGTATTTGTGTCCCTTCAAATCCTTCCAGTGCTTGCGTCAATGTAAGTGTTACATACCGCGATAGTGGTGCTTTGGACGAAGCTGATTGTGGCGCAGACACTCCAGTGGCCTTCAACTGTCGTTACTCGACTCAGCGTCTTGAGAAAAGTGATAACGATGTCCAACACTGATACTATCGACACTCCCACGGGACCTACCCCTTCTCCCATCACACCCACTATCACTGCCGCGGACGAGGGAGAAGCTACTCCTGATACTCCCACTAATTCCACTAATGCGGCCAATCCTCCGTCCACTATTCTACTGAATACGCCCAGCGCGATATCTCGGGTACATATTAGATTCTTAGGGTCTTGTTTCAGCGGGACTGACATGTTTGCAGGCTTCCTCCACCTCAAGCACATCGAGCTATGGCTATGGCGTTCGGATTGTAGAGCCGGATGAGGAGGAAGACGATGTGCCGTTCAAGCGGATGAAAGACCTGCAGATCGGCAAGTAAGGAGGTTGAAGTTACAGAAGAGGGAAATTGGCTTGTATTTCTCGATTTGTGAATACAAAGATGTGTCTCGGCAGTCTCTTGTTCGTGGCTGATGGGAGCAAGCGCTCGTCGATCGTTCGATCACCCGCGTCCGAGTCCGCGGCGCACCCGTGGCGACGGCCCTCTCTCTTTCTCTTGTCTTTCATCTTGCCCGACAAGTACTCTATACCCATGCCAATTCTCCAATACTAGGCTCGAAATTACTAACCATTGCTACGATGGCGGAAGACACGACCATCGTGGCCAACGATCATGGCTTCCTCTACAAGTTGAGCGCCAAAGCAGTGTCCCGATTACTCGACATTCCGACTCGTGCTATTGCGCGCGTGCGCCGACTGGACAACCTTCTCGACGCAGATAACACTGCGCGCACTTCTGGGAGGTTCTTGCGCAGCCATGCTGGTCACCGTGGAGACGAGCCGCTCGTAGGTCTCTCTATGGATCCCATCCCAGGACCGCTGGGGTTCCTCACGTCGGGTTACTTCTTTGGACTCTTCGTCATGGTGCGTATCTTTACTAGTTCGTCTGAGATGTACTGATTCGATCAGGGTGGCAGGCCATCGTTCTCAACCGTATTCAGAACATCGTCGTTCCTCCCCGGAGCAGCCTAGCCATGCGCATTCATGCTGCCCGAGTGCGCCGTGATCGATGGGCGCTCTACCGTATGTTCATCGGCGTCATCTTGCCAATAGATCTATCCTCTACAAGATCTCGTGCTCTCTTTCGCATCCCGTCCGTGTATGTACTTGCAAAGTCGCTCCTAATCTGGATCGTTCTGCTTCTCCAAGCATCCCACCTCTTCCCAACATGGAAGTGGGACTGGTTGCAGTCGCTCGGTTCCTGGGTATCACAGAAACAAATGGAAGACATATGTTGGTTCACTTTCACTTCCACGTGTGTGGCACTTGCGGTAGGTGCATTCACCAACGGACTCGAAGGGCTTCACTTCAACAACAATGCTCCGTTCAATCTGGTACGGTCTACACAGTCTGAGCGCATCTAGCTCGTCTGAATCATTTGCAGTTTTCGTTTGCATTCCAATTGCATATCTACGCGTCACCGTCAACCCATGCCGACAAAGTTCCCGGCTCACCTTCCAGGCCCAGTAAGCATGTAATCATCACCATCCTCCTTCCACTTCTGCAGGTATGTTCTCACTAGATCTCTTACACTTGATAAACGATATTGACCTTTTTACAAAGCTTACCTGGCTGCACTGCTTCGAAGCACACCCGCGCACTGCACGCAAGCGTCTTCTGCCGACCACTGTCTGCTCCATTCTCACCCTCGTGCACTTCCACACCATCTTCTGGCGTGCGTCTACGGAGTACCCGCTCACCAACCTCTTCCCGTGCGCCGTCGAGTCCCTCCTCTTAGGCATAGTCCTACTCGCCGTCGGGCTTTCCGCCGCGTCACAGCTCCTCGCCGAGGGAGCGCTCGTGCGTCCGCTCCTTGGACACGCGGGCGCGCTGCAGCCACGGCCCGAGGAGGACTTTGCCACGGCACTGGTCCGGATGGCGACTGCCGCGCTCGAGGCGACGCGCGTGGAGGGGCTGGGCAACGAGGTCGGCTCTGTGACAAGCGCGAGGGCTGCTGTCGCGCACCTCGCGGAGGAGGCCGCGGTTGAGTTGGATCGTGGCGGCGCGGCGATTGTGGCGGGCGGCGGGCGGGGATTTGCGAACGAGGTTCGGCACGTGAAGGCGCGCACAGTGCGCGGCGGTGATTCGTGGTCAGAATTTGTCACCGGCACGGGCTGGCTGCGAAGCCTGGGCTGGTTCCTCCTCGCTGCTATGCGCCTGGGCGCGCGGTTGGGCAGGCAGGCGTGGCGGCGCATACGCGATCGGGGAGCGCCGGCGCGTGCCCAGCCTGCTGTACGTGTGGTGCCCGCTGTGCACATGTACCAAGACGAACCCGACACGGACGACGATGATGCTGACTTGTACCGCCGCTTCCTCCGTGGGGACCTGTTGAACGACGAGGACGACGGGGAGTACCAGCCACCGCCGGACGCGCGGTTTACAACGCCCTTCGACGATGAGGATGGCGAAGGGGATGAGCGGGCTGAGCTGTACGCAGACCTGGAGGAGGCCGACGTTGCGCCTGTGTTGCTCGCGCACATGACGTCGGAGGGGCCGCTAACGCGTCGTCGGTTCGGAGGGCTTGTTGCCGGTGCGAGGGCAGGGCCGGATATGAGCCAGGGACGTGTTGAGGACGATGAACGGCACGTGGATAGAGCGCATGAAGAGGATCCGGACGTGGAGAGGCGGCGAAATTGCGTGATTTGCACGGTGGAGCCAAGGGAAATCATTTGCTGGCCATGTCGGTGAGTGCTGATTGTTGTGTAGTTATACGGGACAGTGCTGATCATCACGGATAGATGTCTTGCGCTGTGCGACGACTGTCGAGCAAACCTTGCGTCTCGGTCGGCGGCGTCAAAGCATACATGCCCTTGTTGTCGGCGCAGGTGCGTGCATTCTACTTCGGCTTGAAGCAGCTGCTGATACGTGTGATGTATAGTGTGGAAGGGTATTCGAGAATCTACATCCCTTAGGCCCTTTTCGGCGCTGTAGTCATTGTACTTATTCAACGCAAAATGTTTACTGAATATTTATTCCTCTGTTCACCAAGACCTTGCGGAACGGTGCATTACGGACGTCAGTGACTGCCCTGACACCACCTGATAATGGGTTCTTCCATCGGGTATCGTATGCCCACCTGCAGGGCTCCGCTATAGGGTGCGTATCCAACCACCCATTGTGCTCTCTGATGATAACGGGATGCTTAGATTATACTTTTCAAGTGTGTTCCATAAATAAAGTAGCAGCCTCACCATTTGTGCAGTCTAGCCGCTCGTATGGCTGCACGCTGGTTAATCAACTCGGTCCCGGTTGTAGGATGTGGCCTGCTTCCCTCGCGGTCTATCATATGTGTGCCTTTGTATCTCGGACTGCGGACCGCTCACAACTGCTGCTGCAGGCTAGAGATTTTGTATCTCGACATTGAGGAAGACCGTAGCCATGATGCAAAGCAGCAGTCGAATGGTGTATACCCAGAATAATAGTCGAGCTGGAGATTATAGCTCACCAAGAGGGGACGGAAGATGGGCAGATTGAACAACAGTGGCGACATTGCGTGTTGAGTCCCTCGTACAAGACGTACAAAGCGTCTCGCGCAGGTGTCGTGAACGCCCATTAATTGTGAGTGTTCCCATCTACACTTTTCTTCGGGGGCTTACTGCCTACACATTATTATCAGCTCCGCATTCTCTGCCGATGATTTGCCTGCCATCTTTGTCGTGACAGACCCAGACGACACCAGTACTCCTCGTTGAGTAGCTAAGTCAGGGCTACGCACTATAAGGGATGGAAGAGAGATGTCGATATAGATGCCACTATATACGACCCATGACTCGTGACCATATGACTGGGGATTCGATCCCCGAAGTGGTCGTTGAGGTTTTAGTTGACTCTTCCTGCAGTCGGTCTCATCCATCCTTGTTTCGCCAACGCTTGGTTCGTCTAAAGCCAATTTCCGTAGCCAATCATGAACTATACCTCTGTACTGCTTCAGCATTGCATAAGCTCAAGTAGACGAGGTTGGCTCGCGCGCGTGTCATTATTAAATTCCAGTGACGGGGTCAATTCTATTTTCCATGTACTCGAGATCCACAATGTGTATGTAACCGCTGTTGCTCTCCGGGCATCTCGGTACCTCACCGACCGTAATGGAACCATATCTAATAGACGCAGAGCACTGCCACATCGTGCACCGGTTCTGTCACACACGCGTCTCCGCGCTCAATCTAGTCATCTGGGCGGCTGGCTTGTTGGCTTAATCAGCGTACTCTATGGATTGCTCAACCATGCCAACAGAGGGCTTCATTGAGCCCCTGGATTACCTTCTCCAGGATTGGCACTTGGAGTTACCGCCTGACGCAAACCCACGAAATGTACGCAACGTGCCTCGTATATCGGCCCGACGTCCTCATAGTCTTCTTTTAGTCCCCTGGTCTTGCCCAAGTCGAGCATGCCATTACCCCGTTAAATGACCACAGCCGCGGCATGAATCGTGATGAATCCACATCTACTGACCAACTTGGCCAGGTGCGTGCCCAACAGCTTGAATGCTATGAAGGGGTGCTGACCCGGATGTTGCACAGCTAAAGTATACTGGACCGCACCAACCCCGAATAGTGGACATACCCTTCGATATCATAATGGTCATGTCTCGGTTCATGTCAGCGACCGAGGTCATGAACTTGCTCAGCTCATGTCGCAAGCTCCATTCCTTCATCGATGAAGAGAGCATCTGGCTGCACTTCTGCAGTCGCTATGGGGTTCGCGACCGACAGCCTTTTGTGGGACGATCTTTCAAAGAAATTTACACGTGCTTACTACACACCTATGGCCCTTTGCTTGGTACTTGGGCTGGAAATCACCCACCCATTGGGAACATACTCGAATTTCGGCTCCAGCTTGGCCCTGGGATGCCCGCCGCAGGAATCGTCGGGGAAATCTGGCATTTCGACCGTGGACTACCCAACAAATCCCGTCTTTTCGACGATTTAACGCGCACTGCGGTAGTTCTCATCACATTCCCTGACCCATCTTTGGGAATCACCGTCGTACACCCTTCGCGATATGCACAAGTATATTGCTGCGGAGATATGTCACGTCGCATCGTGCGCCCTCCTACCGAGTGGCACGAAGCGAGCTTACACACACTATCCCGTCTAGCGACACTGACCAATACTGATATCGTTTCTGGTCGCTACAAATATCCCGATTTCCCCGGAGCCTCATCCTGGTATGATGTACTCCGCCCCTTCCCTCGACTGCATCCGCTTGTCCAAGTTACGCCCAATGAGTCCACCTCGACATACGTACGTGACCGGGACGTGACCGCAAAACCGTGCGCAATCACCCTTGGATGCCCCAGCGGGGACAGCTACATCAGCTCGTATTCTCACCGAGCGATGAGCGACCTGGGAGATCTCCCTGCTACCTATTATTTTCCCTTATGCACAGAAGTCGTGCGAGGTATACCGCCCGAGTCCGTGGAATGGACTCCTGCTTCTTTGAGGGGATTGTGGCTGGGTGATTATGCCGAAGTGGGCACGGAATGTATCCATGTAGAAGTGGATGAGGGGAGCAGCACGCTACGCGGGTGGAAAGTCACTGGAGATGTCTTCGTTCCTCGGGGGACAACGACCTGGGACATCCATATAGGCGTCCCTCTGGACATTAATGAGGACGGTTGGCGGATACCTGCGCTGTTAGAACACAGCGAAGTCCATCAAGTATACTGTGGCGCGATGAGATTCGGCAATGGGTATACGTGAGCATCTTATCCAACTACCAGGACATCTCCGTGTCTGACCTTGCTTGACATGCTACAGTGACACGTATGTGAATACCCTGGCTTTTCTTGCAGTCACGGGACCAGACGATATGACAGTCCTTAGCTCCGACGGGCGGAAATTCACTTATACGCGCTACAGGGAGAAACACAGCAGTCGTAAATCTTAGATGTCAAGATGAATACGGCCACATTTTCAGATCTGTACATGTATTTTACATTGTTCTCCGTGAGAAACGTGATATTTGGTGTTTGTACAGGCCCAGCGGTGGCAACCATATTCAGACCATTGATTGCGGTCCTGTTCATTTGTTGGTGTTGATTATTCATCCCAGAGTGGCTCTTCGGGAAGGGGAAGGAATGCTTGTCTGGATCAAAAATAAATTAGCAAGGTCACGATCACATTCAGAATAATGTAGATGGAAGGAATGAAACATGGTGTAAGAAGAGAAGCGTTGTCGACGACGGCCATCGCAATTCAATAATCTGTAGTGATGGAAGGCTTGTCCTTGTACGTACTATTACTGCTTGCTCTGCGATACCAAGGCGGAGGTGTTAAGGCGTGGGCTCATCCTCAAACACGTGAGTGAGTGTGCCAATCTATAGAGGCTGATTTCTAAGTGTGATCATTGGTCGGTATCGCATTGATCGAAAGAAACGGACAGACCATCATGCAAGGGGATCGTCCCCAGAAAGGCCATAGAGTCGCGAAATGGTCTCAGGTCGGCGGGACCTAGGGAAAAACATAGAGCAAGACTCAAGTGGCGGAAGGGCGACACTTGACAGGATCTCGTGATATTGGAGCTGGCGTGAATACAAAGGGAGCACCGCACCCAAGTAGAGCAGTAGTTCGAAGGCAGATCATTACCTTTTTATCCACAGACGGGCCTTCGTGGATTTCTGTTGACTCTACGAGTACTGGCGCTCGTCCCCCCTGAACCGTGGGCCAGCATTGTCATAACATGCTCCCAACTATCGATGGACCGGCTGAGAGACTATTCAAGTATCTTGTCTCCTAACACAGGCTATGGTGGCGCGCATCACCTGATTGCTTAACTGAATTAAACACGTACACACCCGTCTCGCGACCAACAAGCAACGAGATAAGCACTAGGAGCCTGGAGGAGCTTTGATTACAACAATGCAGCACATTGCTTGCTATGAAATTCGGGGATGGCCGAACGCTCAAAAGTATGGTAACATCAGCGAGCCGACTTGTGTCATCTTGAACCATGAACGTATGCATGAAATATGAACAAGTGAAATACATCAGATAGCATGAGTGACAGAACTGTCAACAAGGGTGGGGCCGAGATGATACAGACATCCACGCTTTTCCCAAGCATTCAGTGCCTAGAACGTTATATGCTTTGACGCTCGAGGACGATGTGATGCTCAGATAGAAATTCATGCTCTCGCCTTGACATTAAGTTCTGATCTTCATGGGCGCATGACCGCGCGAGCCGTCGAATTGCGCCGCAGTCCAGGGGACATATAGAGCAAGACGAACGCATTCCCACAGGGCTCCCCAGCTATAGCTCACTCCCTCCCGCGCACCGCGACCAGAAGATATTCAGTTTTGTCTCCAGAGTGCTCTCCGGTACACGCGCGGCCAGTGTCACTGTCCTGTGTCTATCATGGGCACCCTTCAGTCAAAATTCGCCCGAGCCAGGGATACGCTTCTATCGCAGTCCTTTAAAGTATGGGACCAACTTCGGAGTGTCTTTGCGAGTGGAAACATGGGTCGAAACCCTACTATGGAAGATATGGAAGACATGATGGACGACGACGGAGAGGAGGCTTGGGCGGACTTTGAGAGGACGCGTGCGGATGCGCGGGAACAGATGCGTGAGGAACGCAGGCGGGCAGCGGAACGTGAGCGTGCGGAGGCCCAGCGAAGGACACGAAAAGAGGCGCGGCGCGAGAGAGAGCCGCAGACAGAGGCCGCCAGGGCACAGACCGCTGCGGCGAAGGTAAAGAAGACATCCAGGTTGGACATCGCGCCCATCATCATGCCCACCCGTCAGGAGTACGAGGCCACCAAAAGGCGGCTCGATTACCGGGAGGGGTACATCCATTTCGCCGTCGCTGGGACGTCCGGCAGCGGCAAATCATCGCTGATCAACGCCTTCCGCGGCCTTAACAACGGCTCAGACGACCCGACCGTAGCCTCTACCGGCGTGACCGAGACCACCGAGCGTATTACTCGCTATCCCGACCCGAACGAAGCGAATCCCTTTGTTTGGTACGACATCCCTGGCGCCGGCACGTTGAGCGTGCCCGACTGGAAGTACTTCAACAACCAGGGCCTGTACATATTCGACGCGATCATCGTCCTGATGGACGCTCGCTTCACTGCGATAGACATCGCGATCCTGCAAAATTGCGCGCGCTTCAAGATCCCCTCGTACATCGTGCGCTCCAAGTCCTTGACGCATATCGAGAACGTATCGAGAGACATGCGGCGCACGAGGCACTCCGAGGTGCATTACGAGCACGCACGCGACAAGTATATGATGGAGACACGGAAGAGCGTCAGTACAAATCTGCCAAAGGCCGGGCTGCCGCCTCAAGCAGTTTACATGGTCGACACCGAAACTCTTTTGGACATCACAGAGGGAAAAGTCCCAAAAAAGGACATTGATGAAATACGGCTAGTTGAGGACATCTTGCTAGAGGCTAGGAACAGGAGGGTGGATATGGCGTTACCGTTAACAGTTTCATTGTGACCACGTACTTTACTTCCGCAGTCTCGGGTGCGTTGCTGCGTGGAGTCCGTATACTAGTCTTGAGATATCCGTGTGTTGTGTTCTGTATAATGATTTCTTGTAAGCCTTGAACCACTGTACTATGCGTTCACCGCCAGGACACCCCCAAGGGAGGACGAGTGGCCATTCATTGTGCGCCCGCAAGGTTGCTCGATGCACTGAGCTCAGAAGGTTCACTGGAGGAGAACACGGATCGTCAGCCACTGGCAGCGTGTCAGGAGCGATCTAACAACACGTACATTCACACTGTGGTCATTGCAAAGGCAGAAGATGTAAGTGACTAAAAACGTAGCAGCTCGCAAGAGCTACTCGGCGCCAAAGCCATTGAGTCAAGCCGGTACTGGATCTTCTGGATGTCAAATTAAGCCCAGTATAGATGCCGTCAAAGCCTACGAATAGTTGTCATGGATGTGGCGGCGAGGCCTCGAATGAACGGTGTGACTTCTGGGACAGGTCCACCCGAGATACAGCGGATAACCTTATGTAGCAATCTCCCTGACACGCAGAATGCAAGCGCTCGCACAGGGAGCCAATGAAAAGGCGTGTGAACGGGGAGAAATACGGGGGCCAGGGTATCCGGAGGGCCTGCAGGGAAAGAGACACCCCAGAAACCCTCTTTGCTTTGCGCGACAAATAGTGGCCGCTCCCCAAGACGAGAATGGCGTCGGCCCAGGCGGGGTCCTCCTCCGCGACATCGTCCAACCCTCCCATCCTCGCTGCAGGCGACTGGACAAAGAACCTCGTCCATCTCGCAAAGACCGCAGAACTCAAGTGCGTATTCTATCTCCTCCTTCCTCCCACCCTGCGTCTTGCCCTCCGTCTGCCCCGACTTGCACCGGGAGACAACCTCGTCTTGCGCCCAGTACTCTCCGTCTCTACTCTACATCGCGACCGCGCTTGCGCTGATCCTGCCGTACTGACCCCCGCTCTCCCTTATATGCGCGCGCCGCCCATCACCACCCAGAAAACATGCCCTCACGCTGCAGCTCCACACAGCGCACATCCTCTCCGCGCACGCGTCCCTCGATCAGAAGAGCAAGACGATCCAAGACATGAAGGAGCAGAAGAACAAGTTGAGTCTCACCGCTGTCCCCGCACGCCCGCGCGCTGATCGCCGCGCGCGCCCCCTCGGCAGGCTCGATAGCGAGCGCATGCGGCTGCTCAACTGCCTGCGGCAGGTGAACGAGGATCGAGATCAGGTGCGTACCGCGCTGCTCGCGATCTGGCCGCACGCCTTACTCGATGCGATCGCCAGGCCGACTTGATGGAGGCCACATTGAACAAAGAGTGCGTGCCGCACTTCCACTGCTTACAGGGCCCGTTGTCGCTCGACGGCATCCTCCGTGCAGCAGCATCGCTGCACTGCTGTCCGTGTCGCGCTCCACCGGCGCCGCGCCGACCTTGTGCACGATTTCTGACGCCTTCTTACCCAGGTGCGATGACCTGCGCCATAAGATCCAAGCCATCACCGACGGCGAGTACGCCTCCGCGAAGGCAGACGTCGACCGCCTCCGGCAAGAGCTGGGCCAGTCGCCGCTGCCCAGCCTCCAGCAAACGCTCGAGGAAAAGTCGCAGCAGTACGTCCTCCCGCGCCGCCCCCTTCCTTGCGTCCTCGCCTCCCGACCACTCCCCTCCCGTGAGCCGCCACGTGCTGACCGCATGCTAGATATTTGAAAGAACTGCGTCTGCAGACGGAGAAGGCCACAGCGGCGGCTACGGCGGGCAACAAGCGCGCCGCGGAGGACAGTGCCGCGGAGGGCCAGCCGGTGGGCAAGCGGCCGCGCGGGCGGCCGAAGGGCAGCAAAACGAACAAGAACAAAGGGAAGGACGCCACGGGGGCAGCAGCAGGAACAGCGGGCCCGACTCCGGCGTCGTGAAAGTGCCAGAATCGCGCCGGGTCAATCGTGTATGGTTACGTGTGTGCAGTTGTCGCGTTGTGGACGGTAGATGGTGGCGGAGTGGCTGATGGACGGGTTGCGTTTTCGTTGCCGGGTGTGCACACCGAGCAGGACCGGGGTGCGAGTGCGCGAGCCCCGGTGTTGTCGTGCCTTTTTACGCTCTAAACTTCCTGACGACGGTCGCAGGCAGTTAGATGGAACCCGCGCCGGGAAACAGCTACGACCCGATTTCATTTACATTTCAATTTCGACTGATTGGCCCTGTGTTGTAAGCTACCAGATGTTTGTACGAGTATGATCGCGATAACGGACTATGCACGCCACGTCCCACTGTGCTATTCATGACTGCTTTGGCTCCGACGCCCCTCTGATTTACTCTAGGTGGGTTTTGTTTGACGCTAGTGCGTCGGCACGACCCGAGGCGACAGGAGCGCGCACGGCGACCTGACCACGGCCAGCGAGCAGGGTGATTCACGCATACCGGACATGTGCATGATGGTCGACAGGTGAGAGAGGGCTAGCATGGTCACGGCGACTGATCAGTCATATTGCGCGCTGTTGCAGTACTAGTCGGCGCTGACTCTCTGAGTGATATGCGGCTGACCAATCGCGCCACCGAGGCGGGATCCGCGCGGGACAGGAGGATTGGTGGGTGGCTGAGTCAGGTCCGCAGGAGCGCGGCACGTATGTCATCTCTCGTCGACATCTCTCGGCCGGTTAACAAACGTGGGTGACTCGGTGGCCTCAATATCAACGGCCGAGCCGGTGCGCTTGTGGGCGAGAGGACGCGCAGTCGTGTGGCTTGGCATCGTGCGTCCGCGCCCGGCGGACGGAGATGGAATATTATGAATATGGCGTCTGGACGCCCAACTCATCCCATGATCTACCTCGATGTTCGGATCGGACGAATTCGCGCACAGACGGATATCGGTGGGCGTGCGGGCGCCTATGTCGGGACGTCGCCGCGATATTCTCATGGGCGGAGGAAAGAGCACCGGAATGGACGCGCGGTGCCAGATCTGGTACTGGATATGCCGCGCGACCGGATCGGGGCCGTTCGTGCATAGTTGCCCGATAGGGCAGGCGGCGGGCATCAGTGCATCACGCGTCATTGATGGCAGTGCGATGAGTGCTAGTGCTTCAATTGACACGAGACACGTTTGACGGTGCACAGAGTGCGCGTACGCGAGCCGGCGACAGGTGCGCCGGAGGCGTGGCGGGGTGTGCGTGGCGACCGCCGCCCGACCGGTCCCAGGCCAGCGCGGCCGCTTCATGCGTTAGTGGCGCGCCGCAGCTTGGGCGGGCGTGATGGGCCGGGAGCGGTGCCATCGCCAGGGCAGTAGTGCGGCGACAGATGCATCGACGATGGGCGGCGCCGCAGGCAGCCCTGAAGCGGAAGTGCGCCGCCGGCAGGCACGCGCCCGAGTGTGGCCGTGACAGTGGCATCATCCTCGGACGGGCAGGCAGTAGGTTATTGTGTGGTAATGGTGATTGCAATGGGCATGTTTATGGGAGCGATCGAGCGTGAACCTGTAGACGACCCTCGAGTGGATATAGAACTGGAGCTAAAAATAAAAATAAAGCTATGTCTATACTTACGATGGTGGCCTGCGCGCGCAGAGTGCATCTGTCAGGAGGCTGCAGAGGAGCCGGCGCAAGCTTGAGGATCTATTCTAATTTTGTATTCATGTACGGTGTGATACATGCAGCAGCGGATGCGGCGGTGACGACTGGTGTCTGCGCTGAATTTAGACGGACATGGCGTGGACGGATGCAGATATAGCACGGGACGAACGGCCGAGCGAGCGCCGGGCAGAGGGGAAATGGAAACACGCCGCAGGCGTTGATGTGTATCCGGATGGGGGAGGGCACTATTCGGTCATGTGGCACGACCGAATCGGGAGAGGATAGATTGGGCTGGGAGTGGGATGCGGGAGGGTGGAGCGCGGGGAGAGGTGGGACGTCGGTCGCGCGGGCTAGGCGGGTCTGTGGCGTCGATGGAGGGATCGGCGACGGTCTCGGCGAGCCGTGGCCCTCGGAGGGAGGGGTGCGAGGCGCGCAGCGATAGAGGGAAGAGATAGAGCGGACGTCGTCGGGCGAGGAGGGAAGCACACAGGACGACGTCCGGCGGGCACTTTAGGAAACAAGCGGCCTCGGGGGTGTGGGAGGGCCGGGCGCCAATGGGGACGATCGGATTCCAATCGGACGCGACGCTGCATAACGCCCGTTTTCGTGCGATGACTACAGGCAGCGCAGGGTTCATTGGCGTCATTGGGGACGAGGGCGCACAGGGGCCGATACGCGTGATGCTCAGCTACTGCGAGCGCAGGCGTACGTGTTAGTTGGACTAGTCGGACACAGGCTTGCGGACGCAGCAGCCGAAAAAGCGTCGGAGTGTGTCGCGCAGCTGCACGGTGACGCTGGCCGAAGAATTGACAGACGGCTCGGCTCGGCAGGGCCTGAGTCAGGGCGCTTGCTGAGGCTTGGATCTGAGATGAGACGCTGCCGATGCCAGAGCGCCTGGTGTATGCATCCTGCGTCCGCCACTGCGTTTATATACCCGCCCCCGTCGTCTCGATGGGTCCATTCTGCACAAGCCCCTCAAGGGTCCCCAAGCCCGCCCCGTCCCTGCAAATCATCCTCTCTGCCCGCCATGCACTCCGCTCCCATTCACAAGGCGTCCCTCGTCGACCCCTCTTCACATCACCCTGCTACCCTCCAGCTCGTCAAAGTAGACATGTCCCGCAACCTTCTTGGTAAGCGCCACACCATGGCCTCACCCCTGCCATCACTGACCTCCCGCCAGAATATGTTGTGGATAACGTCGTGGACACTGTCGACTACGCCCTCGGCCGGCCCTCGTCCTCGTCCCGCGGTCGCTCCCTGTCTCGCCACTCAGAGCACGCCAAGTTTGCCCAATTCGTCGCCGACGTCGTCCGTCGCGCAGAAATCACCGTCCCCGCCCTCCTCGTCTCCCTCGTCTACATCGCCCGCGCAAAGCCCCACCTCCAGATCGCCCTCGAGCAGTGGGCCTGCGAGCGCGTCTTCCTCGGGGCGCTCATCGTAGCCAACAAGGTCCGTCCTCTTCTCTCCTTCCTCTCCTGGTAATCCAATCTGACCCATCACCCTGCAGTATCTCAACGACTCCACCCTCAAGAACGTCCACTGGGCGCTCTGCACCGGCGTCTTTGGCAAGCGCGATGTCGGCCGCATCGAGCGCGAGTTCCTCGACGTCCTCGACTGGGACCTCTCCGTCTCCGAGGCGGACCTTCTTGCGCACCACCCCGCCGTCATGGCCGTCTCCCGCCCGCGCCACCACCACCGCGCGCACAGTCCCGTCCGCGAGCGCCCGCCGCCGTTCTCGAACGAGAGCGACGACAGCATGGACGCCGACTCGGACGTGTCCACCCAGCCGAGCGCGTCGCCGCGCACCCCGGGCGACGTCGCGCTGCCCGCTCCTGCCTCTGCCAAGCACGAGCACGCCCGTGCGCACGCGCACCTCGGGTACGCGCCCCCACCGCCCGGGCACTTTGTCGTCCTCCCGACGCCGCCGCCCGCACATCTCGCGCCGCTGCCACAGGACGCACATCATCACAGGCCAGAGCCGCCGCGCCAGCCACTGCCACGCATGTCGTCCGCCCTCCAACTGCTCCACTCGTTCCCCATGCCCCATCTCCCGTCGTCGCGCCCATCCGCGTGCCGCCCGCTCGCTGCGCCGCCATCGTCGGCCAGCGCATATGCGCGGCAGGTGCTCGCATGACCGCCGACCCCGCCCCACTCTCCTTCGTCTGTTGTATAAAACCATCGCGCGCCGCGCCCCGCCGCTCTCGCTGCTTCATTGTTGTCCCCATTTTGCATAGATACACTACGTACACACATGGTCGGCCACCGCTAACTTATGCAAGTCCCCACCGTACACGCTCGCTAATCGCTGCTTTCCATGATCGTTCTCGATGTACCACTACCAATATCACGCCTCATTGTACAGTACTAGAATCTTCCGAATCAAAGATTCGTCTTGACTGCGTCATACTGCGCGCGTTTGCCGAGGACTGCGTCGCATTCGCAGCGGATGACACAGCGCAGGGTGAGTCAGCGCCATACTAGCATCCGAGTGTGCCCTGACGGTCCGCGCGGATCATGGCGGACGCGTGACGTCACGCGCCCGATGTGTGAGTAAGGGTGTAGCAGTCATCTCCGCGCGTCCACGCTCCCCGTCGGTCGCCGTCCTCCAGGACATTGTCATTCGGACATACCGTACCGATCAGCACACATATCGCTGCTGCTGCACACGCCCCGTCCTCTACATATCGCGCCATCGACCCAGGCCTCTTTCCTTCCGGCCCAGGCGTGGTTTGTCCTTGCAGGGCTTGCACACTCATGCAGTCCAGACGGCCAGCTGCACGTCTGCCCGGCGAACACCATCAAGTCGGGTGCTGGCACTTCCATATTTCAATACGCAGTGTGCGATTTGGAATGGGCCTCGGCGCGCGAATGCATTCCTAGGTGCAGTCCCAGCGTCACGATGCTTGCGCTATTGGCCGCTTCGGGTCTGGGCACCGATGTAGCAGCCAGCCCATGCATCATGAGACTACGTCCCAGAATACTCTCCCAGCGAGGCCGTCGACAACGGGGAGGGGGGGCGAGTAAGCTTTGCAGAAAAATGTTGACGAGAACACCCACAGTTAGAAAAACTCACAGTGCAGACGTCTTGGACGAGGGGCTCGCTCGACACACGACATCGCCATCGTCGTTCAACCTACTGATAGCCAATCCTCTCCGACATTCGCGCCCTCCTCCGGCATGCACCGGTCGCTCGCGTTCGATGGCTACTGTCTCCTATTCGTCCATGGTGACATGTGCAGAGCCTCGATGCCGCAGGGGCGGTGCTTGACCAGCCGCTCTACGCTCAACGAAGGCACCCCCCATATCGGGCGGTGCGCGGTGCGCACGCGCCGGGTATCGCGAGGGCGACGTAGGCCGCGTCCGAGACCCGGGGCCGAGGTTCGATAGAGCCGCGTGCAGCCCGTGCTCACGACTCGCAGGGACGGCCCTAGGTTGGCCTCGGCTCTCGAGGCGTATGGGGATGCAGGAACGGGCGATCCTGCTATTATCGCGGAACGGGCGACGGGGATCGATTGATACAGCGGATAGGAGCTTGGGGAGAGGTCGGTCTCCGTCGCGCTATTGGCTATCAGAAAGGTCGGGATGCTGAGCGACACCGCAGGGAGCGCACAGCGACAAACGTGTCCTCATGCCGTGCCCTGCGCAGCTTCGCATCATCCTGACGTATCCAAAGCGATTTGAATGCGATCGCCTCCTTTGTGCATGTTTCCCGACGCATCCTAGCGAATCCGCTAGCAGATGCGTCTGTGTGATTCCCCTGAATGAGAGTACACGGTAGCAGAAAAGCGCGTCGAGGACAGTCGGTTGGTTTGTATGCAGGAACTAATGAGGCTCGCTAATGTCTTGTGCAGACAGACATCTCGGCGGTTTTCTATGCGGGTAACCAACTCAACTCAAACATATCGCTTGGCGGACGCACGAGACTCGAGATGCTTGGTGCCTGATCGTCGATAGCTTCTCAAACAGTTAGTTCGAAGAGTCCTTGAACGCATAGTACGGTATCAGCGTTAGAGTACTAGTAGTGAGAGTAGGCGTACCGTAGGGTGGATCCCAGGCAGGATTTCACTGTAAATGCCGGATGATGTTGCATGTGTGAAAACGTTCTTGGCCAAGGGGTTTAACATGGACATGAAGGCGACTCAGGTCACGGTGCATTGGAAGTATGATAAACAATAAATCGACGGCGAGCGGATTATACATGTCGGACGGCACCATTCGGGTTAGCAATTAGCAATACACACATGTCAGTGTTACAAGAAACCGTGGCGAGTTAGGTCAGACTATCCAGAGGGCGAAGCAGCGCCGGTGGAAACAGACAATGAACTTGGCATCATATATGCATGTCGGAAGGCTCAGGCGGCAGTGTCTCGCTCTCATGATCCTGCAAGTGTTTCAAATAGCAAGTACTTGCGCTAGGTTGTCGTATCTGTCAAACCGCTGTCAACGGTAGCGTCGACCGAGCGTGCAACACGTACTGGAACACGTTGTGGTTTCACACCGTTGCTTGAGCTGGAAGTAATGGTCCCAGCGGGAAAGCCTAAATGACATCCTCCTTGATTACGTTGGTTGTAGACAGCGCCGACACGTTGATGTTTTAACTGGCCGAATGGCAAACGTCCGATAGTGTATTTCTCTTGAGGAACATCGCGGCTATGACAATATTGATATTGAACAACGTTGGCGATCGCGAACAAGAGCACTGTGACAGAAAGTGGACAGCGCGTGACATAACGCGATTGAGACACAACGTATGTCACGCCACGCTCGCGACGCGACTCGCGCTCTAATTGCCATGGCCGCACTCGGTAGCACTGCTCGCAATGGCGCCCCAGCTCCGCTTAACGGGAGCCCAGAGAAATCTCACGACGAAGATCAGTATCTATCCCTCATCCGAGACGTTCTTGCCAGGGGAGAGGTGCGGCCAGACAGAACTGGTACTGGGACCCTCTCTATCTTCGCACCGCCCTCTCTGCGGTTCTCCCTCGCGAACAACACCCTACCCTTGCTCACTACAAAACGTACTTTCCTCCGCGGCATCCTTGAGGAACTCCTCTGGTTCATCCACGGCTCGACCGACTCGAAGCTCCTCTCCGCCAAGGGCATCAAGATCTGGGACGGTAACGGGAGTAAAGAGTTTTTGGAGAAACGTGGGTTGGGGCACCGCCGCGAGGGAGATCTTGGACCCGTGTACGGCTTCCAGTGGCGGCACTTCGGCGCACGGTACACGGACTGTGATGCGGACTACAGTGGGCAAGGCGTCGACCAGCTCGCAGAATGCATCCGCAAGATCAGGGAGGACCCAACGGACCGTCGCATCATTCTGAGTGCGTGGAATCCTGCAGGTGCGTTTTCTTCCTCCGCAACTACGTAAGACTCCGCAAAATACCTTCGTCGGTGGTCGTTTCATGTCCGTGCACCCTTCCTCTTCTGTCTTCACGCGACAGCTTTCCATCCCTGTGCTGTTAATCCCTCATCCGAGAAACGATGCACTGTGATACACCAGCCATGTACTGTCACCGACGAAGTCATCCACGGAGCCGCGCCGCTGATGCTCAAACAGACATCCCACTCATGGCACTCCCACCCTGTCACGTTCTCTGCCAGTTCTACGTACACCTACCTCCACCAGACGCGCCCAACGCGCCGCGACGGCTCTCGTGTCTACTCTACCAGCGCTCCGCAGACTTGGGGCTCGGCATCCCCTTCAACATCGCGTCATATGCGCTGCTCACCCACCTCGTTGCGCACCTTACGCAGACAGAGCCCCACGAGCTCATCATCCAGCTCGGTGACGCGCATGTGTACCGCGATCACGTCGACGCGCTAAAGGAGCAGTTGGAGCGGACGCCACGCCCATTCCCAACGTTGCGGTGGAATAGGCGCGTCGAGGACGTGGATGATTTCAAGGCCGAGGACATCACGGTGGAAGGGTATCAGCCATATCCACCTATCGCGATGAAGATGAGCGTATAGGAGCGGTAGGGTTTATGCTGGAGTCGGGATTGTTACGGCGTCCTACCTGTATTTTTCTCAGTGTATTGGTGAGCTCGTCTTTGCGTGAACGATGGTGCTCGGATCGAGAGCTGATGATGCCCCACGTGATGAACCAGCATGTCAGTCAATGATGCTGTAAGAACAGCTTCCGTCGCAATCGGAGAATGCAGTGATAATTCACTGTTAACTTGTGCATTTCAACGGTCGCCATCCTATACATTGATCCCAAGAAAATATGCATATTAGACCATGCACTCCGAACTCGATGTAAACATGACAGGAGCATACGTTGCGCGCGCATAGGTGACGGCTCGCCAGCTCGGATAGGGACGCGAATCGGGGTATATAAATCCAGTATTACCGTTGCAAAAGACCGACTACAGTGGGAAATAGCTTCTTCGTATGCTAATTTGCGCGAGCAATTGATAATGCAGTTGAATTAGAACCGCTGGCTAGGAACACCTTCCATGGTGTGCTGTCCTGCAGCTCCGAGGACGCGGCCCTTCGTCGCTCTCGTCATGACGCAAGGATTGCGGTTGGAGACCCGTCCGCAGGGACTTCCACTGTTTGCGTGCCGACGCATGACTCTTTGACCTCCTCCGAGGGCGTCGATGGCGCTGAGCCCGTTTCTTCTCTGAGTTGTTTCCATGTCTTTCCTCCGACCTCTTCCTCCCATACGCCGCCTTCCTCGTTACCCACACACGGCTTCCTAGCTCGTCAGCGGCAGTATGGGTTCTGCAGCGTTGGTACGCACCTCTGGTATATGCTCCTGCGCCCCATCTAATGTAGAATCTTTTACCCCATGCACAATGGGTACGTCTTTCCGCTCGCCATCCTTGCGCGACTTGCGGCGGAAGAGCGTGCGGCTAGCACCCTTGACGAACCGGCCTATCGCCGCAAACGCCTGTTCGGCAGGGTCTATCCCGAGGTCGTCCGGCTCGATTTCCTCTGCAGGGCTGGCCAAGTCGTGGTCCCACACAGGGGCAGGAGGCGGAGGTTCAAGGGCCTGGAGGGCCTGGATATTGGACGGGGTGGGTGGGATGCCATGTTCGCGTAGCATGCGGCGGTGGTGGAGAAGACGTGAGCGTGCGGCGACGCCGAGCTGGACGGAGGACTTGCGGCGGCGGGGCTCGATTGGCGGGAGGGGCGCGAAGGTGACATTGGTACGCGAAGGGAGAGTGAATGAGGTGGACGCGCGGAGGATGGATGTGTGCTTCTTCGTGGACACAGAAGTCGAGGCAGAGGGAGACGATTCGACAGATGCGGGGGTGGCGAGAGAGGACCGGGAGGACTCCGGCGTTTCTGAACTGATATCAGAGGGAGAATCTGCGAGAGCTACCGTGGCCATTCCGCGGTGCGTGGTAGCACTTGTGCTGGGTTCCTCGGAAAAACAGGACTGGGAAATGGTGATTATGGTGAGTAACGGGAACGGGGACCGTCCAAGGCGAGTAGAGTAGATCGAATCACGGTAACGAACGCGGGCATTAACGTCGGCGGACCCTGCGAGCTATCTGTATGCGCTCGGTATAAGCACTCAGTGAGACGATGTGGAGGTTCATACCGTCGAGAGGTTGTTGCACGTCGTTGCCGTGGAAGGGAGAATATGGATGGAGATAAGTAACCCTGCGTCAGGATAGGATCACGTCCACCGCAGCCCCTAACCCTAGTGTCCATCATACACCTAACCCGACCACGTACGAGAGTGTGATCATACTTCCTCCAAACCTAATATTGTATCTGACCCACGACTATGTCTACCTCGCGTGCTGAATCTCAGGTCTCCCAATTCGGGCGCAGACGGTCTAATACAGTTCAATCTATACATAAAAACCCACCTTTGCCCGCGACCCCCCTCAAAGTGGGCGACTCGAAAACGTTTACGACCTGGGTCCATGAACCAAAGGAGTCCACCAATGTCATTCTGAATCCAGACCACTGGCCTGGCGTTACAGAAGGCGATGTCCTGCGGCTATCGAGCGGTAGCGAAGCTTCGTCTGGCTTCCTCTTCATCGTACAGAGAGATGAGGGCCTCAAACGCCAACTGCAGGTATAGTCTTGCATTTCCGGGGATGTGAACTACATAATCAATAGTCCACTGCTTCGGAGAATGTCAGGTGTCGGTGCCCCAATCTGCCGCCGACCAATTCCAGCTCAAGAATATGAGCGAGGTGACACTCACAAAGGTGACGGTCATCAACGAGTGAACATCTTGTACTGGAGCTTAATGAGATCATCAGATAGACCAGACGCAGTACTCAGCAGACTACATTGAACTGACATTTCAGGACCAGTATCTGGGTCGCAATGAGATGTGGAGACTGGGCTCAGACCTAGTCGGGCAGTGCGTTTACATAGAACAGGAGATATCTTTCATCGGCGTCATAACTGCCAAAGTGCACGCAATTTACATCAATGGCAAAAAGGTATGATACGTCGCGTTTAGGTGCGCCTTGGGCTCACTACATTGGCCAGGTCCCTGCCGCATATGTATCGCCTGCGACGAAAGCTATCTACCGCTCCCTCTCTGCCAAGGTCACCATTTTCATCCAGGTCTGCCGTGAGCTCTGGGAATTCGCAGGGGACGGCGAACGCTACAACGAGAAGATCGTGCATTCCTTCCTTCCTGCGTTGTTCGCAAAATGGAGTGCGTCTAACACGAATCACATTGTCACCATCGTGCTTATCTCGCGGGTCTTCTACGACGAATCTGAGCTCAAGGACGCCGCTGGTCCGCTCCGCCGGGACGAAGAAGGCCGGTCGTACAAAGACTTCTTCAAGGTGATAACGGACCTCGAGGTACTATCAGACTGGAAGCCGACGCTCGTCGACCTCAAGACATCTTTTTGGGAGTTCCAGCGCGATATCCTACTCGCGCACCATTACCACCGCCCATCGTCATCATCACAAGTGGAGCCAGAGCACGTTCGGCTTGTCGGGCAGCTCTCATACGCGCACGACGGCCCCCTCCTGGAGGCGCTCAATCTCGGCTTGCAGCCGACAGAGACACACTACATCGACCGGTCTCTCTCCTTGACGGGTTCTTCGACGATCGTGATCACCCCTGGGACCGGCTACTTCCGTGTGTCAAAGTCGCTCTTACGCCTCACGACTACTCGAGTGCTGGACCAGGGGTTCGGGGTGGGGCTCGTCTCACTCACTAAGCCACCATTGCACCAGAGTTCGATTTTCGCGTTCCAGGGCGTCGAGCCTGATCAGGCGTCAAGGTACGGTGCTCGGGCGCTGGACCCACTGTGGGGCGGTGACGGTATCGGTGAGAGCTCCAATTTTGTCAAGACGATATTCTGGTGGGAACCGTTCTGGATGAGTGTGTCGTATTGGGATAAACAAATGGATCTACCGTTTCGAGAGGATCGGTAAGTCCTTCTCTCGCTCGAAATTGTAAAACGGTCTAATATGCTTGAAAATAGATTTGTTTCTCGTGCGAAAATGCATGAGATTGAGAGGTTGGGACTATTGGATCACGACGTTCTGTCCAATATCGAAATACCTTTCCTGCCCGCTCCTGAAGCGATGACATCCTCTTTTACGTCGGCGGAGTCAATTAGCCGTGCCGTCTCGCAGGAAGAAGCTGACGCCTTTGACGTGGACATATTTGCCCCAATCGCAAGCGATTCTCCTGCAGTTACCAGTCGTAACTCCGTCTCCTCTCTCACCAGCAGTGCCCCAACAGTGATCTCATCGCGACTTACTGAAAGCCTGAAACGATCAAGCCTTACGTCCGAATCCTCTATGTCATCCGTCATGGAGGAAAGCGTACAGCAGATCGCTATTGGGGACTCGACATCCGAAGTGGAGAATAGATTCTTATCGGCAGCTATGAACACCCTGAGCACATCACCTTCCCAATCCTCAATGCGCTCTGTGCGCTCCGCAAGGTCGCAGAACAGCACGATCTCAGCCCGCTCCCCGACGAGCCCACGCCTGCGGGCGACCAAGCTCAATGTCTCTGTAGCTAATGCCAAAGCGAGCTCCCGTCTTACTCCTGCGTGGCTCTTCAGTCCCTTCCGGAGCGGGCCCAGTCAGCCGCAGACATCTCCTGTTTCCGTGTCTACTCTTAGTGCATCCCCGAATAAGGTATCCTCAGCATCGCCCATCAAGCCCTCGACCACGACTGCGGTGCCCAGCCAACCCCGTCTCCCATTCCCATCCACGGCTCAGCCCGTCTCGTCCACGCAGTCGCGGCATGTACAGCGTGCGAGTGCAGAACCGTCGAATGGACATCGCGACTCCTTTGATCGACCAGTAGCCGCCACGACCCCTAAGGACGAGTCAGTTGTCTCCAAGCGTAGAACACTTAGCAAGACGACGTCCATATCGTTGCCGACTACAGTACCATCCGCTGTGAGAACGAATCCCAGTAAGCCGCAGTCGACGTCAAATTACGCTCAGTCGTCGCTGGCACGCCGATGGCAGCATATCTTCCCCGGCCCCATCTCGAAGCATGAGATCAAGTGGAAAGCCATGGTCATGCCCGGCTGCCTTCCCCTCAGCACCGAACAGCTACCGTCGACCTCTGAGCTAGAGACCGCATACGACATGTTCTCGTATGAGTTCGTGATAGATCCATTGGAGATGCGTCCATTCCTTGTACGACCTCCAGCGTCGGCGCAGAGCGCGGAGGAGACACGAGAGCAGTGGGCGTTGGTCGTAATGCGCGGCATGGTCGCTGTACGTCTAGCTCAGGGATTCCAATTTGTGCTCCGACCCTCGAAATCCGATCCCCATGAGGCGGGCGTGCACGATGCTCTGCGGCGAAGCAGATCATATATAGTCGAGGATGAGTACAGCTCACGGCCTGTAGGAGTTAGAGATGCGCTCAAGTCTCCATATGAACCCATCTATCTGACTATGAGCAACGAGATCCATCGCGTCTCATGCAGCGGTGATATCGTTCAAGTACGAAGATATGTCCGACGCATGTCTCGGTCTCAGCCCATCGAGTATCAGTGTCTCATTTGGCCCAAGCTTGGTGTCGGCTACACAGAACTATCGACTTCCTTCAATTCACATGGATTGGAGAACTATGGGTGGAACAGGTAAGATCGTTGTCGTCGCACGAACTCCTCGTCATAAACTGTATCCCGGTCTAGGTTGGACATGCTGGCTGCCGGTTACGAGAACGAATTCAACGAATCAATACGATACTGGCGTACACGATTTGTGGTTATACCAACTGACGGCCCCCCATTAACTCAATCTGGACCTAACAAGGAGGAACTCAACGATGAGGAAGTGCGACTACTTGGCATAGATAAGCTAGCGGAACTATTCACAAAAGCTCGGTGGTACCCGCCGGACGAAAGAGTAACCCAAGCGCCTCCCGTACGCTTCCTGACCACAGATCTCGATCCTGCTGCGTGTGTCCGTGACGAGTCGTTGATGGCCGAATTGGATGAGATACACGCTGCAGGACCACTCCGCAAGAAAGTCAAAAGTGACAGGATGATCGCGGGGATGTCACTCAGCGCTATTGTGAAGGCCATGCGGGAGGAAGGCGGCGTGCCCATCAAGGATTACAGCTGGCATGGTAGGAAATATGCGAATTCGTTCAAAGGCCACGACTTTGTCTCTTGGCTGGTCCGCGAATTCCGTGACGTATCATCGAGGGAAGAAGGGACGAAATGGGGTGCAAGTTTGCAAGAGCAGGGCCTTTTTGATCATGGGCGACAACAACATGGATTTCTCGATGGGTAAGCCATGCTTTGTTTTAAGATGTCACGTCGCTCACAGCTTTCCGAAGGCATTACTTCTATATCTTAGCGCCCGAGTATCTCGCGCCGCCAACGACACCGAGGACTGTTTGGGGACCCTTCCGTTCTCGGCATGTATCAGGAGAAGAATCTAGCATAAAGCCAATGACCCCTTTGGAGATGTCGTCTGCATCTACTCCCAAGGCGAAGAAGCGTCTGATTCTTAGTCAAAGCATGGTCATAGATGTCGATCCTAACAAGGTCAGCGTACATAATACCATTCCAAGATCCATTACTCAACGCGTTGTCCTTAGCGGAGTAACCAAGCGGAATCGGTCGTCTTGCATCATGACATCATTCACAACCCTGCTACATGCTTCCATTTCGAGCTGCAATGGATCGGGACAACGGCGCGATGTATAGACGATCTTCTGCGGCAATGGACTCGGACAATCGAGAAGTATGGCTTAAGACTAGTCGAAGCCTATGTCACGCAAATCTGCGACATCAGGGATCGGAACCCTTTTCAGTCTTGCTTCCCTCTACCTCTCATCGAACCGCCTCCTATAATCTCAAATCTGCAAGAGCGGGTTCCAGACGGCATTCAAGCAAAACATTATTTCGAATATGCATTGCTCCGCAAGCACGGTTTTGTGTTGGACATCGAGGCCGCCAACCTCTATCCCGATCAGATCGACGTTGTGTATTCTTACCGACGCGCGCCTGTTAAGTACTCACAATGGGTTCATCGATCTGGAGTGGCCTTCGTGCAGGTCCTGGGGGCATCGGACGGCTTCCTGTTCTTGACCAATCGTCTGATGGCGCCCGGCCGCATTGGCACAGCAATCAAGTTCCACAGGCCTGAGGCAGAGGTACTACCTGCAGTAGCTGCTGACAAGATACGCGTCAAACTGCAGCGATTCTGCTCAGATCGGGCAGCCCTCACTCGCTTCTACCAGGAAGAGATCGACAAGCTGAAACTGAAGCCAGAAGACCCACCGGCGCTACATATTTGACGCGTTCAGCCTTCGACCATTTGAGTGCGCCTTCTTCTAGGTCTTCTCCGCGTTCCACACTATGTAACTGTATTGCGATCGTTCTGTCATACATGCATGCTACCATCTCTCGCTGATTTAACTTTACCTGTTATGGGTTCAGGCGATCTAGATGTTAATGTTAATCACTACATTCAAGAGAAGCGGCGTCTGCAATCACAGCAGCTACTGTAATACATCGCGTCTTGCTGACTGCATGCTGTAATGTGCGGATTCTGTGAGGGTGATCAATGTTCACTCCAGGTATGTACGTACATCTCATATCTTAGCTGTACTAGTCTTCTGCGAATTGCGCATCACATGCCGGAGCATGGGCACGCTTTCGTCTTGATATTCCCATCATCATCGCCTGGCCGGTGCACTAGACCAATGACACCTAGTGTCCGATAAGGACGCAAATACCGCGTTATCTCCCATCGTCCGCCCTCTTTGCCGACGACAAACGACATATATGTTCCCAGACGACGCGGGATAATTGTCCTTGCAGGGTACGGCCCCCGCCAAAATGACTCGCCGGGTTTCACGATCCACTGTTCAAGGTGGAATCATCGACCTTCCATACGACGTTCTCCTTCATCTGCTCGCCTTCTTGCCCGTAGATGCTATTGTTCACCTTCTTACCACTTCGCGCGCCCTCTACTCATTGATAAAGGACGAACAAATCTGGAAGGAAGTCTCGCGCCGCTACGGCGTGCATGATGCGCGCTGCTTTGGCAACCACTCGTTCTTCGAAGTGTATACCGGCCTTCTGCATACCTACGGGTGCCTGATTGGTACCACCTGGGCCGGCGATCATCCCTTTACTGGTGGCGTCCTCCAGTTCCGCCTGGATCTTGAGGGTCATGTGCGCCCCAGAGGTATCATCGGAGAGATCTGGGCCTTCCGATCGCTTGAACCAGAAGAAGCAGATGCTTATCCCCCTCCCGAGCCTCCGCAACTGACTCCCGCCATCTTCATCACGTTCCCCGACCTGCTTCCTGCCGATTGTCGAATAGCTTCGGCTCCCGAACCAGAGCGCCATGCGCAGGTCTTCTGCATTTGCCTCTGCGAGAGCGCCATCTCGGATGAGGCGAGAGATATAAGGCCGTTGTACCAGAAATGGCACGGAGCGAAGATGCAAGTGGGGTCCGAGACGACTCAAGGCACCTTGATTCATACTCGCCGCGGGTCGTCCGTGCATCCGGACTTTCCAAACGACCCCCGAGCCGCTTGGTACGACCCAAAACGCGTATTTCCGCGCCTGAAACCACAGGTCTTTCCGATCGTCGATGCTACGTCGATGCTGAAGAACTACCCACACCTCCGGGTGCCGGAGCTGTTCGCTACACGGACAGAATACATAAAGCCAAGAGCCTTGACGCTTCGCTGCTTGGCGGGTTGTGCGATGCGTGGTTCGTCGCTGCTCACCTATCACAACCATACCCCGTGCGCACCACGGTACTACCCCCTCCACACCAGCACACCGCACGGCATCGAGCCAACAGCGAGCGACTGGCACCCACGCTCGCTGGTCGGCCTGTGGCTCGCCAACTATTCGTACCACGGGACGGAGTGCATATTCATCGCCTGGGATGCGCAGAGCAGAACGCTCTCGGGTACCAAAATTACCGGAGACGAGCACGTCCCTCGTGGCATCGTGAGCTGGATGCTCGATGTCTCACGTTCCTGCGTGATCGAGCCCGAGGAGCGCAGCACTTGCGACCGCGCATTCAGAGGCGAGGCCTCCAAGTACCGGCTGTTCCGCGGGACCGGCCACTTGAGTGCCCGTGGATATATGTGGGTATGCACTTGTCCGTTCGTTATATCGCGCTGACGATGGCCTTGCAGCACTGGAGAGCAAGATACGCCCCCAATCATTATGGCGGTCGTGGGGGCTGACGATATGCGTATGCTTTGGCCCGAGGATGGAGACATATTCCATTACACGCGCTACAGAGAAAGCTTGGCAGACGTTTGGCGAGCTGAACCGTCAGTTTGAGCGTACGCATACCCACGATTACGTTCGACGTAGAGGTGACTGGTATCAAGTGCGAACACCCGACCTGATACCTTTCACGGTGCCGTGGACTAGATAGTGCACATGAACTGAAGTTTATACGGTCTTGCCCGGGAGGCAAAACCTTAAAAATATGACGTAGACTCGTTGAGACCATGTTCTCTACTTGCGTTCCAGTATTGATAGGAGATTCGTCAGATATGACTATTGCTTGACATACTGTTGGTCAAGGCACAATACGTGTACGAACATCCCATGTTAGAGTTGAGCATGATCCCTGCTTGTAACGGCTTACTACATCGACCATCAACTTTCTCTAGGTGCGAATTGTGGTATGTCCAGATGCTACTGTGCAGACTGCGAATGCGACCGCAAGCCAAGTGGAAACGTGAACGCAGGCGAGCAGATCCTTCGGGCTGAGAACGGTGAAGGTTGAAGAACAAGTGACAGAGCGAGAGGCAAAAATTCACCTTCCAGAACGATAGGACGCTATTTCAATGAGATACCAATATACGAGACGCTCGAATAACCATCACGTAGTTAGTGTTGTTGGCAATACTGCGGCCAATCGCCGCGCCAGGCGCAGCGAGCCACTATGGCGCAGCGATAGCGAATGGCGATTGCTGGCGCAACTCGGACAGGTCAGGGCTGATTCAAACTCTGAGCAAAATCTCCGATGTAAAATCTTTGCCTCCCACATGCTTGAGCCATTAACAAAGGAGTACGCAGGTGAACGTGTCCTAGATTCTCTGATCGACAGAGATCCAGGTCTATGATTTAAAGTAACTAATGATGTTCGGAAGGGCGTTGTACCCTCAGCGAGGCGGAAGGAAAATGGAATACACAAAGGCGAGGAGAAAGCTCCGGGGAGGTGGCATCTGAGGTCACTGCTATCGTCTCTCGGTCTGTAGTTGCACTGTGGAATTTTTGTCACCTCCGAGCGTGAGGAAATAACATTCGCCAGTTGCGCCATCCTTGCCAGCAATCGTCATAGGCCTCTGCCAGACCCCGCGCCGAGCCGGCGATTGGCGAATGCCTTTGCCCATGACACTAAGTCCAGGGCGCCTCGCTGTGCCCTTGTGAATGAGGAAGATGTACTTACGCAGACGTACTGTCCAGATCGTCCGGAGCAATACACATGAACCGCGCAGTAGGCACCACAGAAACGAGACGGAAGAACACGGTGCAGAGAAGTCGCAGCGCCCCTGCCGCATTCACTTCGACGATGTCGAGCCTGGGAGTCTGAAAGAGTCAGCGCAGCTCGGCGGTAGATCGTTGCTACTGCGCTAAGCTGCATGCTATGCTATGAGGACGCGACGAGAATGTGATGCTGCGCGCTTAGCATGTACGCATTCATCTGAGTGCATACATTAGCACGTACGCGATCTCAGATGAATGCGTACATGCTAAGCGCGCACACTGTATACGTGGTTCACCTTCCTATTCAGGTGTCTGGGCATACAAAAGCCTCCACGGCATACTTACATCACAGCACTCATGGGCTTAGGGAGCTGAAGCGCTGACATGCGGAGTTTGCTACACCCCAAACAAAACAGCTCACAACCGCGACGGAAATTAGCATAGGTGTGCATGTCAATCACCACACTGCCTCACCGTCGCTTAGAGCACTGATCTCCATCTAGGAGGGTACAGGAACTGCTCAGAGTCACACGGCGGTGTATCTGTCCGACTTGTGATGCGGATGAGAATTTGTTGCCGTCACGCACGATGCATTCGTCGCGGGATGACTCTGTAGTCAAATGAGAGCGAAACTCACTCAAGTAGCCCACGCAGGATGATAGTCGGAGCAGATATAGAACGACCGACTGCGCGAGGCGCAAGTGTGGTATAGAACTCGATGGCGCACTGCGTCATCGACTCTCACGCGTCGAAAGGGCCACAGACCTGCCTGATTTGGGCGTCATCCCCGCCGTCGACGGAAGATATCATTAGATGAAGAAGCCCTGATGACATAACCTATCTTACTTCTTCGTGATCGTGACGCTGTGGTAGCTGACATACTAATCGTAGTCACAGCACGAAGCTCGGCTCCACCATTGTAATGCCAATAAATCGTGCCGTTTGAAGTCCTGGAACGCCGCTGTTTCCTGCTTCGGTTCTGCTGTTCGCGCGCGACAACTCGGTCAAAGGTATCTAGATTTTCGTAGACAGTGTATCGACGAGAGGACAGGTGCCATTTCTGCGACGGCCACGGGCAGTTGGAGTCAGCGTCATCAGGATCAGAGTTCACTCTGCACACCGCGCCGTAGTCACGCTACGGCCAGGGAGAGCGAGAGTCCGGTCGGGGCCGATGGAGGGCGGGTGCGACAAGCGGACGTCGGTCAGCAATGCCGGCGACGTCAGCGACATTTAGTCACACGGGTAGAGGCGGGTGAGGTGTGACGGTCGAGGAATGGCAAGCGTGACGCCAGTGCCGGGAGGACAGTCAGCTCCGTCAACGACTCCTCCCAGATGTCACCGTTCCCATCTCTGCCTTGGGCAGTCACTGGCCCCCCCTCTCTGCCCCCTTTCTACCATGGCCACCTTTCGTTCCAGGGTCGCCGTCTGGTACAGCAAGGCCTCCAATTTCAACGTCGAGGCCCTCTTCACCCACTCTCGTGAACTAACGCCCCGCACCGTCTATGTGCACGAAGATCTCCCGGAGCACTTTGTCGACCCCAAGGGTAGAATCAAACGGGAATATGTGTTCTGCTCGAACCAGGTCATCACATCCAAGTACTCCGTAATCACCTTCCTGCCTCGCAATCTCCTCGAGCAATTCCGGCGAGTAGCCAACATCTTCTTCCTTGCCATTGCCATTCTTCAGTTCTTCCCTATCTTCCCCACCGTTTCACCGGGTCTTGCCATCCTTCCGCTTCTCGTCGTGCTCGCCATCACAGGCCTCAAGGATGGCTACGAGGACTTCAAGCGCCATCAGGCCGACCACCGTATCAATCGCTCCCGTACCCGCGTCCTTCACGGCGGCGTCTGGCGTAACCCAAACCCTATGCAGGCCAAGACCAAGACTTTCATCCCTGCCGTAGTCCCTACTTTGCTCGCATACACCCAGAGGAAGAAGCCTGCCGCGGATGTCGAGGCCATGGAGCTCGAGCACGGCGCCCCACCTGTGGGCGTCAGCCAGTCAGGAGCACACGAGCAGGCGGACGAGGACACGCGCGAGTACGACGAAGATGAGGACACGAGTACGAGTGCATCTGACGACAAGCATCGACCACACTGGCAGCGTACGGCCTGGGAGGACGTCGCGGTCGGCGACTTTGTCAAAATCGTAGAAAACGAGTCGTTCCCGGCTGACATCCTCATCTGTGCGACGTCAGAGGAGGAGAACGTCTGTTTCGTCGAGACGAAGAACCTCGATGGGGAGACAAACCTCAAGTCTCGCAATGCCTGTGCCGTGCTGACCCACCTCCGCACCGCCAGTGCATGTGCGGATTCCCGTAATGCGTTCCATGTCGACTGCGACCGGCCGGAGACGAATCTGTACAAGCTGAATGCAGCTATTGTCGGCAAGGACGGCGAGAAGACATCAGTCGACTCGCAAATGGTGCTGCTTCGAGGTTCAGTCCTTCGCAACACGGGATGGGTCATCGGCCTTGTGCTTTTCACTGGACTTGACTCCAAGATCGTCCTGAACTCGGGCGGCGCGCCGAGCAAGCGAAGCAAGGTCGAGCGGCAGATGAACCCCCAGGTGTGAGTACGCCTGTCCCCGACCATACTCTTGTTTTGACTCGTCTGCATTAGTTTCATCAACCTGGGCATTCTAGCGGCTATGGCGGTCGCTTGTGCTATCGCTGACGCGGTGCTCGAGCAACGCTACTATCCGCGCGGCGCACCCTGGCTGTATCTGGACAACCAGAGCGACGACAATACGCACGTGAACGGTATCATCACCTGGGCTTTCGCTCTTATCACGTCAGTATGGGTGTTTAAACTCATTGGCGTCACGAACTCACACTTGACCTAGCTTCCAAAATATAATTCCGATCTCTTTGTATATTTCAATTGAGGCAGTACGGACATGTCAGGCGCTCTTTATCTATTTCGATCATGAAATGTACTATAAGAAAACCGACTCGCCGACCCTAGCTAGGAGTTGGAATTTGTCGGACGATCTAGGTCAGATAGAGTATATTTTCTCAGACAAGACGGGCACCTTGACCCAGGTATGTGCTTCTGCAATCGCTGCCGCATACATACGCTGATCATGATATAGAATGCTATGGTCTTCCGGCAGTGCTCTGTCGGGGGTAGGGCGTACCGAGGTACTAACGGAGACGAGGAGTCAACAACCAAGGTCGGCCTGCCTGACGAAGAACACACGTCCCCGTCCCTTCGTTCCCAGTCGCCAGTACTGATGGAAGGCAAGAAGACGCCAGTATCTTCGTCATCGGAGGACGTCCCAGACCCCCTCGCCGCCGACTCGGTTGGGCTCTCTGACGGCGTACTCGCTCATTTCCGCGATGCGATGCTGTCTTCTGACATCGTCTCCGCGGTATCCGCCGACGCTGATGCGGAGAGCGCGAAGCATGCGCGGCTGATCAACGGCTTCTTCACTGTGCTCGCCCTCTGCCATACCGCTCTCGCGTCTATAGACCCTATCACAGGCGCAATAGCGTACAAAGCGCAGAGCCCGGATGAGGCCGCACTCGTGCAAGCGGCGGCGGACGTGGGATTCGTGTTCCGTGGGCGGGACAAGGAGGTTCTGACGTTGCAGACGCCATTTGCGGGCGCGTTCGAGCGGTGGGAGCTGCTGAACATCCTCGAGTTCAACTCGTCGCGCAAGCGGATGAGCGTGATCGTGCGCAAGCTGGACGAGGAGGAGGAAGGGGAACGGCTGTTCTTGCTGACGAAGGGCGCGGACAACGTGATCTTCGAGCGGCTTGTGCCGGGTGAGGAGGAGCTGAAGCGCAGCACGGAGGTGCATCTGGACGAGTTTGCAGGGCAGGGGCTGCGGACGCTCACGTTGGCGTACAAGACTATCAATGGTGAGTGCTGATTTGGGTTGCGGGGATCTACTAGAGGCTTATTCTGGCGTAGAGGACGACTACGAGGTGTGGGCGCGCAAGTTCCAAGAGGCATCTGTCTCGCTCGACGATCGCGAGGCGAAGCTGGAGGCGGTGTACGAGGAGATCGAGGGCGGCCTGAGCCTGCTCGGCGCGACCGCCATCGAGGACCGTCTTCAAGACGGCGTGCCGGAGGCCATTGCGGACCTCAAGCTTGCTGGTATTAAGGTGTGGGTAGCGACCGGCGACAAGGTGGAGACTGCTATTGGTGAGCCATTCGTTTGGTTCCATTGGTGAAACTGCGCTTACGCGCACATCCACTCGTTCAGCTATTGGGCACAGCACGAATCTGATTGGCCGCGAGGACAACATCATCGTCATTCGTGGCGGTGTCGACGGGCAACGCAATGTCTATACGCAGATGTACACCGCTGTCGAGGAGTTCTTCCCGGAGAGCGGCATCCTCGAGGAAGAAGGTGTCAGCCTCGACGTCGTGTCTGAGACGCAGCGCTCGTACCCGCTGCAGCGCGTGAACACTGCCGCGTCGGACCTCGTGGGGCACAACAATGGAGACCGTCCTGGCGGATTTGTACTTGTCGTCGACGGAGGCGCCCTGGCAACGGTAATCACCAGAGCGTCTAGTTGATACCATTGCGCTGATGCACATATAGGCATTCGGTGATGATCGACACAAACATCTGCTGCTGCGTCTGGCGATGCAGTGCGAGGGCGTCATCTGTTGCCGTGTATCTCCGTTGCAGAAGGCGCTCATCGTGAAGCTCGTCAAGGACGGTCTGGGTGCGATGACCCTGGCGATTGGGGACGGCGCGAACGACGTCAGCATGATTCAGGCTGCCGACGTGGGTGTCGGCATCTCCGGTGAAGAAGGTCTCCAGGCGGCCAATTCGTCGGATTATGCCATCGCGCAGTTCAGGTTCCTCAGGCGGTTGATCCTCGTCCACGGACATTGGTCGTATGCTCGCAACGGCAGCATGTGAGTAGGCAGTGGCACCTGCGGTATGCTGGCGTTCTAACAGGGTCGATACAGGATTGTGAACTTCTTCTACAAGAACATGATTTGTATCGGTGTCTTGTGGTGGTTCCAGATTTATTGCGCTTGGAGTAGTCAATAGTGCGTAGACCGATCACCATGATGCGGGGTCTAACTGACCCTTCGAACAGCGTCTTCGAGTATACTTATCTGCTCTGGTGGAACACGTTCTTCACCATCGCACCCGTCATTGCCATCGGTCTTTTCGATCGTATTGTTGGTGAATTGGTCGTCCCGCTTCGGTTTCTGATGATGAGCTGACCACCGCTCTAGATGATCATGTCCTCGTCGCACTTCCGGAGCTGTACGCATACAGTCGTCGCGGCGGGTACTATGATACGAAGCTCTTCCTGGTCTACATGCTTGACGGTATTGTCCAGGTAGGTAACTTCGTGCGGTCTCTTGTCACGGCACTCACATGCGATCAACAGTCCACGCTGATCTTTTTCCTGATCTTCTACGCGTATGAAACGACGACGTCGAGGACGGATGGTTACGCTGTGTATCAATATGAGTTTTCTACCGTAGGTCATCCATTCAAGCGCATTGTACGGCTAACCCACACCCCCGCAGACAATGGCCGTTGCAGCCGTGACTGCCGCCAACCTCTTCAACGGACTGAACACGGCCGTTTGGACAGGCTGGGTATTCTTTGCGGTTGCGCTCGGCATTGTACTGGTCTGGGGATATACGGTGCGCTGATTTGTTACGCCGCTACGATTCTTGTTCTGAGATTTCTATAGGGTGTCTATTCAGCCATCACTCCTGGCTGGTTCTCAACTCCCATTTATGGCAACGACGCGTATCTGTGGCCGTCAGCATATTTCTGGTTCTGCATCCTTCTCACCGTCGTTCTGGCTCTTCTGCCGCGGTACCTTTGCAAGGCGTACAAGTTCGCTTTCTACCCCGCCGATGTTGATCGAGTGCGGTGGCTGCACAAAATCGACCCCAACCGCGACTTCTCTCAATACAAGGAGACCGACCTTCAGGGACTTCGACGATCTGCCTCGCGACGCTCTACCGCCATGGCTAAACGGCCTTTTGCCCATTTCGCTGGCAGCCACACTGACATGTCTACGGGCATGCGCTCCCAACATCGCGGATTCGACTTTGCGACGGAAGAGAACGGAGTGGCACTGCAGCGCATGCAGACAAACCTTTCAGAACGACAATCCGAGCGCCAGAAACATCCATTCCGTCGACGAAGGAACGGCTCGCTGCTTCCCTCCTTCTCTTTACCTCGCTCTCTCCGCCGGAGACGGCCGCCACCTGTCCCTGAGTCGCCTCCGACACCTGGATCATCATATTCACGAGAATAGAATCTTATTACGCCCCGACACGTTGCTGCGTCGTCTTAATTCATCTTTGTTTCTATTATTGTAAGGCCGCTTACATGTATCGATGATCCGGGTATGTACCCATCAATGACCACGCTCATTGCTCTTGATAGTGCTTGACTGGGACTTCAGATCCTGGACAGTGCTCTGCATTGTCCTGACATGTTTCGATATAACGCACATTGTACGAATAGCTCCTTCGCAATCTACCATCTTTGGATGCTTTATTATCTCTGAGGATTAGAAGCGCGCCGAGAGTGGCAGCACGTACGCCGGTGAAGCCACAGATAACTCGTCTGGGATGGCCTCACTCACTGATCTTCACGCTAATGCAGCAGTGTGGGGTTGCGGGGCTCTGAACATAGTTGAAGGCCGCGACATCCTATGGCGAATATGCCTGCGTCAGGAAAATGGGATGAAGCTGCCTAGCTTAGAGGGTGACCGACAGCGGGCAGCGTGGGTAGTAGCAGCAGCAGGTGGTGACAGATGAGGCGAACAACGGCGGGAGGTTACACGCGGGCGCTGCGGGAAACGACAAGCCGCCGAGTGTATCGTGCGCGACAGGGCGTCTTAAACGACGAGCGAGTGGCTGCCCCTCACCTCACGCGCAAGAACAGCGCTAGCGTGCATGTCGTGGCCGGCGCCACGTCAAGGGCATGTCAATGCACATCCCAGCGACCACGCGCTGGCGTACTGCACCGTTCGTACGCCCTCGTTGTGTGTGCCGGTGGTGACAGCAGCACTGCGAACCGTCTACCCACGCAGCTGTATGCGCTGGGTAGCCGACCATGCAACAGCACGCAGGGAGAAGGATGATGGTAGCAGCTCACCTGCCTACATAGTCCGTCGTCACGTTTTGTCATGCCGTTCCAGGCAAGGACCTACGTTTGCAGTCGGTGCATTCTGATACGATGCGTCTAGATGGCTGGGGCGAAAGGGAGCTGATGGCAATGATGGGGTGCTAGGCGTGTCCTCGTCCGACTGTTTGCGCGTTCGTAAGCAACAAACTGTATGCGTTCCCTGAGATCAGATTTGGCGCGCTCGAGCACGGCCTTCAGCTTTGTAGCTCCGGGTCTGTTCATCTCTCTACCGCACACATGAGCTTCTCGGCGTGCTGCTTGCGTTCTGCTTCTCATGACACTTTGGTGTTAAATCTAATGCGGGACGAGCGCACTGTACAAGACAACGAATATATTGACTTCAGTAGGCCGTAAGGGACAAACTCAGTAAGTATGCACCTGTACAAGACAACAAATATATCTACAATGTGGTGCATTAGTATAATAATATTGTTGATGTGTTTAGAGGTACTCACTGACTTCAGTAGGCCGTAAGGGACGAACTGAAGTCAGCCTACGCGCGAGAGCGAGAGTCCTACAGTACGAAAAGAGGGGACTGTATAGTAAGCCAAACAATGTCCAAACAATGTCCGGGCTGCGCCACAGGTGCATCACCGCCTAGCTATATAACAACGTCCCGAGGGCCCCCTCGGGCACTTTTGTCCCGAGGGGGCCCTCGGGACAACACCTTTTTCTGATTTCAAATGATTCAATTTCGTCAAATCTCCTTGTGCTCATATCTTCTCCTCGTCATCGCCTCTTGCTCATTGTCGCCACCAACATTTAGGGTTAATGGGACTGGGTAGGAAAGACTAGGTAGGGGATTCCACTAGGGAAAACCCTAGGGAAGGCCGTAGGAAAGGCCATAGGGAAGGCCGTAGGAAAGGCCATAGGGAAGGCCGTAGGGAAGGCCGTAGAAAAGGTGTAGGAAAGGCTGTAGGAGAAATCATAAGAAAGGCTGTAGGAAAGGTGTAGGAAAGGCCGTAGGAAAGGCCGCAGGGAAAGCCCTAGGGAGAGTGTACAAAGAGCGAGTGTAGGGAAGACACAGAAAGAGGTGCAAGAAAGAGGGCAAGAAAAGGCCTAGGGGCCGTGCATGTACGTCCCGGACGCATAATGCCAGACTATGGATGGAAAGAGTCGGAGGCGGCTTTCTAACAAGTGTCGTTCGTGAGGGCATGCTTCCCGGACGCACACATTCTGCACTGACCACTACTCTCAACTTACATGAGCCTTGCCCATGAGGTTGTGCTTCCTGGACGCACACATTCTGCGCCGGCCATAACTGTTGACTTACATGAGCCTTACTCGTGAG